TTCGCTTGGAAGACTTCACCTGGGAGTTGAGTGGATTGACCGGCAATCTTAGCTCCGCGACAGGTCAAATGGGTTTCTCCCCCGCGCCCTCACGAGTGCACGTAGGTATGCCAATCTTCCCCGTTTTTCATCCTTTACATGCTTGGTGTCACCCTTCTCTTTACTCGGTAACCAGAGGGGTATTGGTTTCGGATGAGAATGAGCCAGCGAGGGCCGTTCCAACCCCGGATCGCCAGTCCCGGACCGCCAGCCCCCCCTGGCGTGCGCAAGATTCTGGTTAGTCGGCCTTAACTCTTGCAGGCTCAGGGGCTAGAGAGAGGCGCCCAGGGCGCCTCTCCCCAAACTTATTGGCGCGAGTCCTGGACAGTCTCTCACAACATGGCAGCACTGTACTTATATCAGGCTCTCATCAATTTCTGCCAGAGTCTAACCATGCTAAGCCTGTTGGCTAGAGATCATGTTCCGTCAGTGCCCCTTCGTTAGAACCATATTCCCTCGTGGGTTGTTAGTCGGAGTCTCGATCGGCGAGCTGGAGATAGAGAGTCACGATCGTCTACTCAGCGTGGAGATCTAAAGGTCCTGTTGTTGGAGCTCCACACCCAGCAGCGGAGTTCTTGTACCGTTCTCAGTCATGACTGCCAGCAACGGTGATCACAGTCAGCGACGACTGCTTGGTGAATAAAAGCTCCTACTCGTCGTACTTCTTGATCTGCTCATAATGCACCCATGGTGAGGCTCCTTAGATACCGACTGGATCACTTTTCCTCCTTTTGAAGGGTCCATTGGCTATGTACCATGAATGATCAAGCATCGTCTGTGGGAAACAGACCGATACCCTAGAGATCAGCGTGACACACCCTCCGATGGAGGTTGTAATTTACTGTATGTTACCTAGTACACCGTACGGAGTACCTACGGTACAGAAGGTACTTAGGGCAATCGACCGGCCTCTACGACTTAACCCTTTAAGATCGGCAATTAGTACTTGGTAGGATTGGACTGGGTTGCCAGAGTGTTGAGAAATTTACTCACAGCAATGGCTGCAAGTGTTCCATTTTGGAGGACAATCAAACCCCGAGCAAGGCTCTTTTCGGATGGCCAGTAGACTATTGTGGGAAGGCCGCAAGAACCGCACCATGATGGTGGCCACCAGCGAGCGTTGTTTTCGCGGAGGCGCCCCCAGAATGGGCCCCCTTTCGAGACCACCGAGTTCAAAGGTCTGAGCGCTAAAGAGGTGGTCTTTGCGGTGGCGATTCAACCGGGTCCCTCCTGCTGGCCACCGATATTTTGACTGGGGTTCGGGCATGTGGCCTTTGCCAGAATGAAGACTCTTGGTCATTGGCACAGCGCAGCCTCCCGTATCTGAGCCGTTTTCCTGCGTTAGCGCCGCAATGCAAATGCCAGCCGCGGGCAGACACAGTCTGCCGAAAAGTCAAACCAGCACAGGGGGATGGTACATCAAACTGTCATGGACTTTAGGTACCCTGTAGAGGTTTGATGATCACACCGCCATTGGGCTGATTCGGCGTCCTCTCACCAAGTGCCGGCATAAGAGGCAACATGGATTGTCAATCACCTGAAGAAGAGATCGAATGGCTCCTTAGTGCTTTGACAGGTCTCTCTGCGAGGTCGCTGAATGCAGGAAGAGCTCCGTAACCGTTTTGGTCAGTCCTGGGAACAGTATCCTGTCCGCCCCTAGCTGACGAGGTAGAGTCGAATAGACCCTTTACCTACATGTGGCTGGGGGGCTTGCCACACACTTGATTCGCCCCCTTGGAATATGACCTGTCACATTTTTCGGAGAGGGTTACCGCGGCGCCTCGCCTGGAAGTCTAAACCGAAGAAAACATACCCGGAAACCTCTTCCACCCTGCTCACCTGTCACAAGGCTTGCGATTGTTGCTTGTTGCTCACGCCTGATAAGAGCATTTCGTAAGCACAAAATGCATCAATCTGGTGAGTTTCCTTCGAAGTTCGAGCTCGCCGCCGACAACAAGTTCGTTCCAGAAAGGGGATAGCATAGAAAAATCTCGCCCTTGACGTCATGGCATGGAGGGATTGGAATGAGCAAGAATTAGGCCCTGAAGTCGCAAGTGAAGTCATGGGTTCAGTCATTTTGCTAACTTCGCCGCTCAGGCCGCTGCGCGAAGGGAATCCAGGGGAACAACAAGAAGCTAGCTCGTCTCTGTTCTTTTGAATTGACAGGCACGGAGGAGGAATGGTCTACGCTCCTGCTCCGGTACATATGTTGTCCGAAGTCACTGTGGACTTGCGAACGGCCTTGATACACCTCTACACCTTGTCTTCTCAACATGTACTGAGTACAGAGTAGATGCTAGGTCATTTGCTGACTGACTGGTCCCGTACTGGGTACTCGGGACAGAGACCATCCTTGCGAGCCCCTCACTGACACTGACCGGTTTCTCGACACTGGCATGCTTCGGTCCTAGGTACAAAGGCAAGTAAGCATGGATTCCAGTCTTGTCAACGATCGTTCCCGGCATCCACTTCATCGGTTTCCTCGCCGAAACGTCCTCTTAGCTCGATGCTCTGGTCTTACAAGAGGGTCCAAGATCGACTCCATGGAGAAATGGTCCCTTTGGAATCCCTCCTTTCACGGGGCTGAATTTGGTTCTCGCTTTGGAGTGGGATGGCGGTTCAACACATGAAAAAGCCTCGACGGTGGTCGCGTTGCAGTCATATTTTCTGGAGCTGGAACTGGGAGTGCCTTGCAACGGGAGTCCTTTGGCGCACTTGGACGCCAATGGGAGACTGGGTCGCAATGGTTCCTTCCCCCGATACTCAAAAGCTAAGTGCGTTAGTGAGTGGGAATCATCCAGATATCCTCGAATCTGTTGCCCGTGCCTATCAGAGGGAGTCTCGGAGATCATGTTGTTCGGGCAGGACAAGGTTTGCGGAGAAACGTTGCTACCCAGCTTGCCAGCTTGCCCAGCGTGCCAGATCCACTGAACGCACCGTCTCCCTGTAATCTCCAACGCTCATTTTCGTCCCCTCTCTTTGCCCTCTTTCAATTCCGTTTTTTCCCTTCCTACATGCGATATCATTCCAGCTTAGTTCAGAAGCCCAGTCTGGCGCAAAGCTCTTTGATGCTGAGAGTCTACCGACTGTTAATTCCACGCAATATATACCTCGTCAGCTACGCCACATCTCTGGTCATGATATTATGATGCGGTGGGTTCTGGCTACACAACGTGGCTTCTCTGAGGATCGCTGCGTTGGTGCTTACTAGGTCGGGACCCTTGCAGTGATCTACAACGGGCATATGGAACAGGGATTCTTTTGTCCTTTCGATATCTTCGTCTGCTACTGTACATATTCTACTTACTTATCTATGTACCTACTCAAGGGGACCCCATCGGCCACGCCTCATTCCCAGAGCTTAGGGTGTTAAATGGTAGCTCTCTATAGGTGCGTCTCCACCAGACTTGACCCGAATTCTGCGTAGAAAGCAGGAAAGTTGTGATCTGTCTGCATTGATCTGCGGAGATATGGACGGGCTGACCCGCCTCTACCTTCGTCTGGGGCTCGCCTCCTTCAGGCTTTCCACATGCTCTTCGTACTATTGGGCCACGGAAGCCTTTTCCCAGCTCGAAACCCCATAGATCAGCCGAGACGTCCCAATGGTCTCCATTCTTGATTTACAAAGCGCTCCCGAATGCATGGCAAATACCTACCAAGCATGAAATGCCTGAACCACCCCAAAAGTCGGGTCCTCTAGACTACTGGACAAATACCGAGACTGGAATTGAAACCGTGATGTTGCAATCGGATGGGGCAAGATAGGGATCCTCGTCGAACCGGGTTCTTAGGATCGTTCCCTCCTTCCGTTCTTGCAGTATCGACCTTCACGTGTGGAAAAGTCGGCACTGGTGGCGCCCCTAGCCGCTTCAACGGCCCCTAATCCTGCTTTCTCGTCGCTGCGACCAGACGACTGCTGGAACAACGGAGTCTACCGGGTCTAGATGCCCAAATGGAAATATATTCCCAGCCGATTCGAGAATCGAAAGCTATTATTTTGCCAAGAAAACCGTGCTGATCCCAAAAAACCCTCCCTTGTCGCCCCCAGCTGAACGCCCTCGGTCTCGCCCCCGTGTGGTCCCTCGGTTGCAAGTAATAGGCGGCACAGAAATTCTTGGCTTCGTCGTGATAGTGATATCGCAGCAGAATTCGAAAAGCGATGATTCACGACGAGGTACTTCAGTGATTCTGATCCATTGACCCGCCGCAGATCTCAATGTGACATCTACACGGAACTAGATGGTTGAGGTTAGAAGAGGGGATCAGGGATCAGAAGTGCAGACGGTGAGATATCGAATGGGGCATTTTGGTGGTACCTTGTAGAGAAGGCGAGAATAGAGCGTCTCTGGAAATGCTTGAATGGTAATTATGTCCACGACGAAGCCAACGCCGCGGGAAGTGTCGGTTGGGCGTTTCTGGGGTGTGCTGGGTCCGCTTCGCAGCTGTTTGACCAAGGCTAGACACCTGTGCAAGAACTGCTCGAAGAGGGTTGGAAGACTCCGTTTCAGCTGATCTGTCAAAAGGGGTTGTCTTGTCTCTGGCGGGGTCACGAGCAATGGGCGCAATGTAAACCTCCAGGCCTACATTGTCACGACGGACCGTCGCACGTCCGCCAATTCAACGAGCCCTTTGCTCGTCCAGAAACCAGAGGCCGAGTCAATAAACAGACTAGTACAGAGACACGAAAATCGTCGTTGGAAGATTTCTTGTTTCTTGATTCTCTCTCCGTCATGTCTGCTGCTTGAACAGGGGAAACACCATCGAGGGGACATGCATGGCCATAGACCCAGAGCCTCGCTAGATTAAACGACCTCGACCATGGATAGTAGATGGCACCTTCGTACCACAGCCCAACTCTCTCGCACATCCGTCCAGCGTGGTTCTATGAACAACAAACCCCGGCGTACCTTCTTTCGTTCCCAATTTCAAAAACCACATTGCCCTCGCAAATAAAGACAGGCCTAGTTCTCGTGCAACACCTCTTGGAATTTCTCGTTGACGCGCTCCGGCTTGCCGTGCTCCACGCCCTTCTGCCCGAGCTTGTCCTTGGAGTACTGCGCGGCGTACGGGTTGAGGCGGAGCAGCACCTGTCTGTTGCGCAGCGGGTTCTTCTTCTGCACGCCGGTGCGCTTGGTGGTGGCGTAGCCCTTAGGCTCGCGGAGCACGGACTGAATCTCAGAGCTGTTGATGAGGCGGGTGATGTCGGCGTTGGAGACAACGTTGGAGGGCAGCAGGAAGTCCTTCTTCAGGGCCGACGGTTCGGTCGTCGAGCCGTAGAGGGTGTCCAACGCCCCAAAGGCCGAGGAGGTCCAGATGATGAAGCGGCCCAGGTGGCCACCGGGCGCGAGTTGGAGGAGGTTCAGCGTGAAGACGGACGAGGTCTCGACGCCGGGGATGTTGCGGAATGCACGCACGAGCTCCTTGCCGTCGACCTCCGGGTTGTACACCACGAGGGGACCGCGGCGCATGCGGTGTCTACGGTTCCGCATCTTGCCCTTGCCGGCGCGCAGTTTGCGGGACTTCTGAACCTTGACGATATCAGGGCCAGCGCCCACGGCCTTCATGAGAGCAGCTGCAGCGGATGTCTTGACCAGGGCTGCGCCTTCAAAGATCTTGCTTGAGATGACGAGGGGCACTTCGGGGACGGTCGAGATGCGGTGGCCTCGAGCGAGGAGAAGGGCCGGGACAGAGCTGGCAGCAATGGCAGATGCTGTAGCAAAACGCCTGTAGAGAAAATCTTGTTAGATGTATTTGTCCCAAGAAGCAGCCATTTGTGTTTGTCTCATACTTCTGGCCCAAGTTGATCTTCTGATGCCACTTTCGCCAGACCTTGGTTGGTGCGAACATGCGCCCGGATCGACATTGGTTGCCGAACGCGGCTTGACCTGCTCTGTGTGTACCGCCGCCAGAGACACGGGGGATACGTGCGACAGCACGACCTGGATTTTTTGTCCTTTGTCAGGTTCTGTTGTCCATCTCTTTTATTCACCGACCGGCATTAGATTTCCAAACGCACCTGTGCCCCATGATTCGGCTGATGTCTGTTCGCCTGCTTTCTCGCTCACGGCGTATGGCTGTCTCTTGTTCTTAGCCATTCCGGTGTGGACGGTCCTGGTCTGGCTGTTAGCTCACCGTCGTTTAAAACGGGGACAGGCGATGCATCGGGATCATACTGGACAATATCAGGACGGATTGGAGAGCTGAAGACGGCTGGCAAGGGATGGGTCTCCCCAGTGCTGGAGCCATCTCCGCCAATGATGCCGACAGTAGGGCGGTTCGACATCTTGACTTGCGGTATGAGAAGTTTATGAAGAGACGACGAGTTGACTACTGGTCTTTCGAGGAAGACCCAAATCTTCAATAGCCAAAACCGCAGCGAAAATTGGGGTTGTGCTGTGAACTAGTCCAAATCAGGTATGAAATCTTGGCGACGCTGGGTCTTGGCACAGCCTTCCCGAGTACTCATTTTGCGACAACTTAAAATGCTCTGTACTTACAGTATTATGATCCAGTGATTAACACTTTGGGGACTATGACTAGAACTATCCAGGCTCTCTAGCGCGTGGTTTTCGTTTCTTCTCTGCTCTGCAAATTGTGTCTAGTGCACGGGGAAAAGTGGCTGGATGGGCCTGTATCAGCTTGGAAAGAGACAGTCCGGAAAGTCGAAGACGATGCGCATCATGGCAGAGGAATTAACGAGGGAAGGAAATGCAGATGCATGAGATAGTCCCGTGCCTGATCGACTTGCACCATTGTACCAACCGACATAGGGGTTTGGAGTGTCTGAAGAATATACGGACCTCACCAGACTGAACTCAGAGCAGCATGTCGCTCGTAACACGATGCTGACTCCCATGAGTAGTCAAAATGATTTTGTTTTCTGAGATCTATGTTGCGCTCTGGATGTGCAACAAGATTGATTGCCGCTGATATCTTCTGTAGAGACTGTATTGTATTTCAGTCAACATCAAAACCTCCTGCGTGTTCGCACAGTCGCAATGATTAAAGATAACCCATCATACATGAACGGCAACTTGAACTAACAACGAATAACAACGATGCACATGATCTAGGAGGGTATAAAGATCTGGTGCCCGTGCATCATCCGTTGCCAATTGTATACCACCTTCACTCACCCCATAGGTAACCAAATAGGAGACCGCTAGGACTTCATCAATCCTCCATCTTCCTCCCTCATGTTCTTCATATTCGGCGAGAAGGTGTTATTGATATCAGCAGACACTCTTGTGACACTCTGACGTCTTTCCTCTACCTGCTCCTTCATCTTTTTGTCCACAATGCTGGCCCTGCGCTCCTTCCCGTCCACAAATCCATCGTCAGCATCACAATCAATGTCATGATCGAGAACCTCATCATTGAGTATCTTGGGATTGAAAGACAAGGCTCCCTTGGGTATGAATGTCGAGGCGAGCACAACGGCCATGAGCACGGTGAATTGCACGCCGCCCACATTCCTGATAGCTCGGTGGATGTTCCCGCCATCGGAACCACCTGTCTCCGCGTAGACACGGTCGATGTAGCGACCTAGAAGAGGAGAGCAGATGGCGTAAATGACGATGTAGGTGGAATAAAGAAAGGCCATGACAGCGCCCAACGCTGAAACTTCCTTGTTTTCGGCCTCCAAGCGGGCAAGCGAGGCCTGGATGTAAGCAGCAAGAGAAACATCACCGGCAGCCCAACCGAAAGAGATGGGAACGAAGGTACCAGCAACACGCCAGGCTTCGTTCACATCACCCCTCTTGGGATACCAATAAGGGAGATACTAGACGATGAGAAGCATCAGGGCGTCGAGTCGGAGCCATGGCATTGGAGTTTGAACGAGATTGGTGAAAAGAAAGACAAATCCGGCACCAAGAAGCTCGCCAAAATTACTACCTCCGACTTTTCAATGTTAGTATATGATAAGGACAATGGTGTTTGACAGAACAGGGTAACAGACGCCTGTAGACTATGGAACAGGAGGCTCCTAGGGAAAAAGAGGAAGGGGGCTGATCTTCAAACTTACCCATGATTTGTGACCAGGCAGAGTTCCCTAAATAGCGTCAAGCCACAGCGGGCGCAATACCATTTTTGAGATATCAGTGACCATATAAGGCAAAGGAATAGCCTGGCAAAAGCCAGATGAATTTGCGAGAACTGAAAATGATCTTGAAACCAGTCCAGATAGATTCAAAGAAAAGCCAGAAGCCCATGCCGACCGCCAGGAGGTAGTTGGTGCCTTCCTTCAACGGTTTCCGGTAGTTGAGATTAGAAATGAAGAATCATACAATGGAAGCGACAGCGAAGAAGATAGGCGTGATGAGGAAAGAGTAGTTGTTGCCAAAGGAAGGGATCAAAACCAAGGCTGTAAAGAAGGCGCCGGCGGTCCCGGAGATTTCGTAGAAGATGTGAACGAGCGCGTCCATCCGTCGAAGCTTCTGGACATTGCTTCCAACAATGTCTCGGGGGACGACACGACGGATCAACTCAACCATTCCATAGGCGATGCCACTGACGCAGTAGATGGGGATGATACCGTTGGCATTGTAGCTGCCGTAGTACCCAAAGTCGTCATCGTCGTGGTTATCCGCCCAATTATCAGGCCTGAAGCACCCACCGGTCCCAGCATCCACGATGAGAAGAATGGCAGTCATGACGCTGAACACCAATATAGCGCAAGATAGGACGAGCTTGGTAGGCCAACGCTTGATGAGAGGGGCAATCAGGATGGAACCAACACACTGGAAGGCTTGATTGAGTCCGGTCAACAAACCAACACGCTCGAAGGTCTTAGGGGGTGCTGTCGGTGAGCCAGGCTTCATAGTCGTACTTGTTGGTGGCTAGGGCGACGATTGAGCCGTTGAAAGCTTCGAGTCCAAACTTGTACAACATTATACCAGCAATGTAAATGGTGATATTCCTCTTCTCTCTGGGAGTGAACAGTGTCCATGACTCTTCGAGGGTATGGAATACCATGATTGTGGTTCAAGCTGGAGCTATCCACCGTTTCAAAGTCGCTATGTAGTTGATGGTGGCACCAGGATAATCATATCAGATCCAGGATCCATGACATGATTGCTTTATGAATGAGAGATATTCGGGCTCTTGGGCCTCGTGGGCATGCGCCAGTGACCTCCGCCGCAAGAGGAGCCGTTTCGGACGTCCCCATGGAGCGAATTACATCCGCGGTAGACACCCATGTGCACAATCATCTCATATCCAAGCAGCTCTAGACATGATAGCAAGAAACTATGAGTAACAGGAAGTATCAAGATCTGAAAAGGCACACCGTGCAGAGACTGGTAAGGAGCGGGCCAAATGGGAATCACAAGATGCCGAGACCTCCGCCGAGCCAGTCAAGTCTGCTCTTCCAAGATGCCGACCACTTGGGTTGCGCTGGCGGTCTTGGACGGACAATATACTGCAAGAAGCTCAGAGAAAAGCATGAGCCACACAAGCTGGGCGGTGTTGGGCACGGAGCGAGTTAGATTTCGACGTTTGATACACGTGGTATCAGCTTCCATATCAAAGTTGAGCATCTCGACTTCTGTTCTGTTAATCAACAACAACCCCTTTGAAGTGACGGCGCCGCCATAAGTAGAGCCCACCTCTCGTCTTTGTTGGCGTTGTTGATTTTTGCGTCCGAATCGTCAAAATCGTCGACATCGTGTCGTTTGTGAACTTTGCCTCGGCTTTCCTTGCCTCTCCCATTCGCAATGCGTCCATATTTAGAGACGTCAACTCGGCGGTGTGGGATGACGAACAGATTTCAGGCTTCGAGTTTTTCGCACGAGCAACTGATGAAAAGCGTATCTATCGAACCGAGATATTGGCATTCAACTCTGGACTCAGGAGGCCAAGTCAGGGCGCGTCATCGGCTGAGGCCTCGAGTGGCGGAATCTCTCATGTAGGAAGCCAAAGGCAAAGACCGGGATGCCTTCAACATGTGTAGATTACTTGACCTTGCCCATGACTGTATCTATACCACGTTCTGCGTATGTGCTTGCCGCTGCTCGTTTGACTGCCGTGATCATACCACGATCCCAATCGTCGCGAGTCTTCAAGACCCCTTCTACCCAACTCAATTGAAGGTCCCAGAACTCGCGCTTGAATTGCTCATACACTCGTACAACGTCGTTCTTGTCAGTTTCCAGCAGCTGTACAGTAAAATTCACGACTTTCCACTTGGGTTTGATTGTTTCGTTGAAGCTTTCAGGGTATTTTTCAAAGAAGGCAAAAGCGGCGAGTACATCGTCTCTGAATCTTGCCGCAAAAGGTTCCCCCCGCCTGAATTTTACGCCGCGATTGGTGCGGATCGATGTTAGATAGCTCACCAGAAGGGCGTCTGATAGCTCTTCAATCAGAATATCGATCAAGGATGGATGCAGTACGGAACTGTAGTCTCCAATGTAGTCGTCGTACGTGGTAGTGATCCTCTGCATTGCGGACTGTTCATACCACTTCCCTGGCACGAATAGCTCTGTCAAGATCGTCCGGAAGTCGACTCTGAATATAAGTTGAACAAACCGATTGATGCAGTGAGTGGCCAAGTCTACGTAACCATCTCGGAGGGCATCCAGTTCTGCGGTTCCATTGGTAGACATGAATTTCGCGGAGGGGGGAGTGGGTAGTTTGATGAAATCCTCTCTGAATCGCGTCAGGTAGCCCTTTTGGGCTGTGGGATCATCTAGCACATCTCCAGCAGCGTCATCCACGCAGGCAATCTGATCATTCGCAATGGCGAGAAGCCAGTCTTGGAGTTGCTGTAAGGTTTCGAGTTGTTCTGGCGTCGGATTCTTGTATCGCTCCAACTCTTCGTCCACTAGTTTCTCCCACTGCTGCTGCCGTGATTTGAGTGCACCGAACATGGCGCTCATAACGCCTTCAACGACGTCTTCACGTTCGGAGTCGCCTGCTGCAACGGCTTGTTCATGCAGCATACGCCACATGTCGCCAAGTGTCTTGGTTCTGAAATGTCCGTCTGGGTCTTGTTCGATGGCGTCTGGGGTTTTAGACAGAAAGTTCTTCCTGTCGGTCACATACATTCTGTCAATCCAAGAGTTGAGAGCTTTAGTGATGATGTTTCTGTAGTCACGGATAAGGTCGCCTTCACGAGAATCGAGAACATGGGGTTTCAGTTGAGTCTGTGAGACGCCCAGCTTGTTCATTCTCTTGTAATAATCATCGATGAAGTGGACGATACCCAACATCTGCGGCGGTCGGAGGTCTTCGGCGTCCACAAAGGATATGAGAAAGTCGTGTATCTGCTTGTGGTAGATATCCACATAGGTGTTGAAAATTTTCCACTTTTTTGGGAAGAGGTTCTGCATCCCCTGCTTCACGGCGTTAATGTCTTCAAAGAACCACCTAGTCTGACTTTTAAGTTTGGAAGGATCCTCTTGAAACTCTTGCCGCGTCTGTTGAAATTTGCCTTCTGCAACATTTTCGATAGCTTGCAGGAACTTTTCTTTGTATCCGCGGGTTGCTTTTGGTCCGATGTTGAAAGATGTGAATTTGCTCACAAGATCTTGATGATCCTTCTGGGCATCTTGGAGCGCGCGGACTCGATCATCGTTCTTCTCCTCTGACGCAAGCACGATGGCTAGTCTTACAATGATGCTAGTGTCATCAGACCGTTGAATCAGGTCGATGAGATTCATGCAAACGAAACCAATATGCTCATCAAAAAGCTCAACGATGTTGTCCAGCTGTTGAAACCAGTCGAGCAATGTCTGCTCCAAACTCGAGTCTCTCGCTCGTCGAATCTGGTCCAATGCTTCATCTCGAAAGTCGCGCAGTCGGGTCAGGCGCATGTAAGCCTCAAGGAGATTTGACTGTTTGTACAGATCGTTCTCGTCGTCTTCCAGCAGTCTTTGGACATAGGAGCAGTCTCTTTCGAAGCTATCCAGACCTGCCCGCATTGCCCGGGTTGCTTCGAAATTCCGATGGACTTTTGCGAGATAGTCCAGCTGAGGGAAGTTCTTGCGAATAGCCTGGGCTTGCTCGCAGAGATCATAGATGGTCTTCATTTCCTCTTTAATTTGTCCAACGAGTTTCTGCCCTTCGGATAGAGTTGACATGCCATTCTGTGTAGTGTCCAGGTGGTCCTGCAATCCTTCTCTTAATCTGGCGTCCACGTCGCCCTTTTTGCGATTGATTTCTGCTTTCAGGCTTGCGATCTTTTCGAGGTCTTCGGGGGTGCGAAGGACGTCCTGGATGCGTGGCATGCCCACAGTGCCATTTGCGCTGACTCTGGTAGACATCTTTGCGGTGGCCGTCGGCTTAAAGGGAGAGGATGGACTTCGTAGGCCCCTAGAGCCGCGTCTGGGACTACCTGTAGTCCAAATGCATCAGTGCCCACAGTTTCGATACTGGCAAGGGAAAGTCGGGGTGTAAAGGACGCGAGACGATCAGTAAAAGTTTGATGATGAGACCGCACTGGTTGGTCATATAGTTTACTTTGGAGGAACGGGGAACGGAATGGGACGTCGAGAACGTGTTGGCGGATTATTGTTAGTGCGAGCACCGAGTAATACTATCACGCCTGAAACGTCCTGATTTGGCCGAGGCCGACACACTAGGATCACCAAACGCTGTCAATACGCTCAGGACACATTCTCAAACATGTCACAAAGGGCATACGTATTCCACCCAACGGCGATGTGAAGGCAGAGTCAATGGCTGGCTTATGCAAGCAGTCCCTTCTCTGAATCGAATGTGCTTAGTATGAGCCTAATATACACTACCACATTACTCCTAGTCTGGGATTGGCTGCAGCTGCCAATCTTCGGATTCGAGGTCGCTAGACTGCTGTATATGGTGCTCAACAGCCTTATTGTGCACCTCGTCTTCATTCGTCACCTTCACTCTTACTCGCAGCCGTCATGGGTAGAAAAAATCGGAAAACTGGTTGCAGGAAAGCCCTAAAACATACCCTCAATCTAGCTATAAGCTGTTTCCGCCGCCAGGCTTTGGAGAGCTCGCAGAGTCTTACCATGAGCCTGCATTATCCTGTGGTCAAGATTGTACAGTAGACGCTGTACAATCTGGAGGGCGTACAAGGTTAAACCTGCTTTCAAGCGAGCTCAAGACAAAAGACTGACCGTGGCCAAAGACGCAGAAACCTCCTTTGGACTGGCCTGGTCAATCTGTTTTTGGCTCTGATGGGTGTTGCGGTGCTCTGTATCCTAACTTCGATTAAGGACATCCTGATTGCAACATTCAATACCTTAGGATCTCCAAAGAGCGAACGTGAGGAAGTAGTCATGTTTACTGATCTCCTCCGCAATGTCGCTTCAGAAATCCGCTTTTCCTCCATGTCAACTGTAACAACTTGGAGCGCTCTTGAGGCCTTTCTCTCTGCAGATCCCTTTTTACCAGGAGAGAAACAGCCACAGCGTACCGAATTAGATCCGGGAATCACACACAGACGAAAGTTTCGTTTGCTCCACAGAGGCTGATCGGCTCTCTTCGGCTTTTCGACCTTTACCTCTGGCGTTTTCACTTTCCATATCACGACGTCATCAGCGAGTTTGATTATATTTCCTTTAGACCACATATGTTCGAGTTGCAAGATCAGGCTTTTTTGGAATACCATGAAGACTGGGAAGCTAAACCTAACGAAAATGGATACTTAGCACCTGCTAACTTCCTCGACCTCCCCTGGTTTTGGTTCTTAGGCCGGAAGGAATGGCTCACGCGTCAACTTGATCTCGGTATTGGCCCTCTTGATCAGGATCCAGCCAACCTTCTTATTTGTAGCTACGAAATCGGCTCACTGGCCAATGATATGGTGGATGCTACAATTCGTTCTGAAAGCATCCTAAAAGCTGGACAAGCCTCCACCTTGAAAGACCTGCAAGACTTCGAGGAAAACATTCGAAGAAATACAAGGAATTGACACTCGCCTGGTTTTGTTCCTACATTGCAACGCAACATCCGGCTCCGACGCATTCCTCGCTGCTAATTCGCAGATTTTGGACCCGCATACTTTGGGCGATATGATCGGTGTTTGGGAGGTATGGGCTGAAAAACCTAGCCTACTGGAAGGCATTCTGAACTTTCATATAAAACGTATGAGGGTCCCTCTGCATGTCTGCTTACCCAAATTCGTGTGGAGTCTATTTAAACACCTTCGTTCTTCAGAAGGTTTGATGTATTGCCAACTTTGTCCGCTGGGCTTCTCTGGAGCGCTCGCGCTCTCTGGATTTCGGATTCGGCAGCCCTCGGTATCGGTCGTCTGTTCTCGACGATGAGAGAGGGGCGAGGTTTTGCTTTATCACGGACGAGCATCCTTAGTCTGCTCACACTGCGAATGTTATCGACGCTAAAGAACTGGGAAGCACCACTCTGTTTCGGATGGAGACTGTCATCAAACAGGTATCAACGTTGATGATTAGACTGCCGGTGCCCAAATTTGGTGTAATACCTACAAAATTGGAGGCAAGGACCGCATCTGAAGTCTCTGATCCAGGGGAGCAGCCCTTCACATTCCCGTTTGACAAGAGGGCCCAGGAAGAATGGAGATCAGAGGTTGGCACTGACATTCCGTTCTCACAAACCGGTTCGTATTTGTTTTCCCGCCGCATAAAAATGTCCTACAAAGGCCGCTTTCAGAATTCATTAGAAAGTTATAGCGGGGAAGAATGGCTCTGGAGACCATGGACGCCGCCGAAAAAAACCACTTGCTCTTAGAAAAGTCAGGGTGAATTGGAGATGCAGCTGCGGAAGTGGGCAGTCTATCGACATATCCGGGCGACTAGCAACCTTCCTTCGCCTGTATGCAACTAACGCGAGATTGAGAGGTCGAAGCCACGAATCTCCGAATAGACGACAGCCATCGAGCCAAGCGCCAAATGTTCTAGCACCTTCCAAGATCCTCCTTAGACCTATACCTCCAATACGAGGCTGCCACTGGCACCCATCACTCGATAGATCCACTAGTGATGTCCAACAACAAGGGCGTGATCCACTGAGCCATGAATCATGGGTTCTGCCCTCTGCGCCTCATGGAAAGGAGATTCGAGCAGAAGCGATCGAAACGAAGCATGGAATGAGCGACGAAGATTTCTTCAAGAAATTCAAAAGTACGTACATTTCGCTCTGCGGTTGTCTTCGCTACCACCTCGAACCTCGCTAATTTGCTTTCTGCCATGCCAGCATGTTCGAAAAATATCACGTCAACCGCCTTGGGACGGTTTGTCACGAGATGGCCCCCTCTGATGAGACCACCTACACATATAACCCTAAGCCATACCCCAGGCCTTACCGTCCACCGCTGCTGGGTGTGTCTCTATCAGATGGTGGTTGAGAGATCATCCCAGTGATTTGCAGAATGCGAATGTGGCTGTCACACTTTTGCTTGGACCTGTCATGTTGCTTTGGTTGCCACTTGGGCAGAAATTCAGAGATGAGAACTGATGGTCTGTCAGGGATGAGATGGACAACGAGCGGCCTGAGGGTTCAAGGGACTTCCCTAACAATGATAGTACTATATGACGCATAATGAAGTACGAGACGAGCGGTAATTGAATCGAAAAGGGGGCTTAAAGTCACGGATCTCCTCTAATCCTTTGTGACCGGATTCGCCCCATTTCACCATTATTGAAGATGTCTTCTACAGCTGTGTTACCTCTCATACCCCTAGTCCTCGAGTCTGGTCAACTGTCTACGATTCACAGCCCATTCTAGATAGCTGGACTTTCTGGCCCATTTCTTTTGATGGACAGAATCCAATCAAAGAGTTGCCTTCCTAGTAGAACCACGCTCGTTCAGGCACAGTTCTCTACACAAGTCAGGAAACTCTCCCCCGGGGAAAGAAATTTGTGATACCAACAGTTTCTTCTCACGAAGGGATGCCAGGCAGCCTTGGCGAACACAAATTGGCCACTTTACAGGGATAAATGGAATATGAAGAAGATAACGCCTTGGAGTCCTATGAATGTACGCTCTGGTCAGGGTCGCAGGTGCATGTAGGCTGGAGAGAACGTGAACATGATCTACATACGGAGTATTTCCGTTTCTTTATCTATGCCCAGTCCTACCTTCTCTTCGCGGATCGACCATCTGCAGTCGGGCTCCGATCAGAACCATACATAACATTTTGCAAAGAATCAAGATTTTAAGACGCTACCTGGCTCTTGCGAAACGTGTCGGAGCTCCACGCCAACATGAGCGTAGTGAAGACTCGGACAGCCCGCTCGACAGCTCATTGCGAACGCTGCATACCTCAATCAAAGCTTGCAGCACTCCTTCCTGCGGGAGCGTTTGATCCCAAATAGAAGTCATGCTCTGTTCGCGAAACGGAGGGCGCTTCCTCCCTTCTGTGCTCTAGGAGACACCTCTTGATGGTAGGTCTAGACGTAAGTACCTACATTTGTCTCTGGTGCATGTCAAGCTCACCGCCGTAGGTGCATAGAAGGATTCTGGCGCAATTGTCTCAGCGGAGCATAAAGTGTTCAGAGCCGACTTCTCTGCGATGGCTGCGGTTGAAAGAACATTTTGTCCCATCGCATCAGATCAAGAAAACTTTAAACCCTTGTTCCAATAACGGCAATCATTCTACAGCACATGATTAGTGGAAACCCACCGACCAGATCAATCCCGCCCCTCGGCCATATCGTCTAGGACTTACCCAAGCTTGCGGAGGATTCCAGAACCGCTGGACGCCGCGGTGTATGTATGAAAACCAATGTTTGTGTGTCTCCAAACTGTGCTGACCTTTTCCTATCGACTTGACCAAAATTTCTTTCTCTGAGCAGGAAAAAGGGAGCGGACCTCGAGCTCGCTGAGCATAGAGGCCAACAGCTTCGCACCCCCTCGGATCTGACAAGTTACGGGCACGCATGGTCACCGATGAATCCCGAAGCCCTTGAATAAAATGTCTCTTAACGGGCGACCCAGCAGTGCAATCTAGATCAACAGGCGAACACCTCTACAATCACACAAAATCGCCTCCCCCTCGAAGCATTGCGTGACTTCCAGCCACGGAGATATGAATAAGCCAACGCCCACACGGGGACTTGTACAGCCTGCCTACCATTTCTCGACAGTACATTTTTCCCGCCTCCTCCTAGCGCCGGCCTACATAGGTGGTTCGTCCTGACGGTGTCCGGCCCTAGTTGAGGGGAATGACTGGTGCAGTCCGGGAAAGGCGTTATTTGTCAAAGGCCGGAGATATCGTGGCATCACCTCTTAGCGACGATACCTATAGAGCCGCATCTACCAGAGCATCAGACGTCTAACCCTCGGAAAAGGCCCTGAGTATACGTCGAACCCAACTGCAAAACCCTGAAGTCTCCGGCTCTTGTCTCTTTAAGAGTTAACGCCTTGACATTGGGTCGGCTCCGACGTAGTTCTATGGGTACAAAAGAGGGACAAGACCCTGCCGCATGCGCATGCGAGATGGGAAACACCGGGCCTGAAAAGGGTAAGGAGAATCCCATTCCATCTCGACCACGAGTTTTGCATTCTGCATCCGTGAGGCAGCCAAAGGTCGCTGTCACATTTATCAATTGCGGCGCGAAGTCGTGGCGCCCGACGGAGCATCAATCGCAAGTAGCCCTTTCCCATGCGGCACGTATTTCGCACATACGCCGAAGGTCTCAGGGCCTTGGACAAACAATCTCAGAGGCTAAAGCAGGAACCTTCCTTCGAACCAAATTCCCCTCGAGATGGGAGCAAGGCTCAAACTCGACTACCGCCCACAAGAGAGATAATGATCCTACCCTCACAGACGCGGACAAGAGAGGTTATGATTCTGGCCCCACAGGAGCGGATAAGAGAGATAATGATCCTGCCCTCACAGGCGCGGACAAGAGATGGAAAACGTCTGCTCCTGAAAGTCTCCGTCGACGGCTTGGTAGACGTACATATGATAAAATGGACCAGAAGTCGGCCAATCTCTCCGAGATTGGCTTTGTTTCGGCGCGCAGATTTCTCGACAGCAGCAATCCTTTCGACGTATCAGCACTGCCTTTATCGCCTCGAGACTCGTACTTGATTAAACTCGCACACTCTTTCGGCTTGTTCGGGAGCTTGTTCGTTGGTGGTTCGGCCACTTCAGACAAACATATTGCTCGAGAGATAGCGGAGGGTTGGGTTTCAGATCTTCGACTGTCGTTGTCCAACAAAGCCTTGCTTCATGCTCTCATCGCTCTGGGTGCCTCTATTTGCGCTAGTGGACGCAAAGAACGAAACGAGCCCTACACCGCCTACGCCGCCAAACACAAATTAGTCGCAATTTCGAGCCTTCGCGGTGTTTCGATAGACCAGCTCCGGACATACCATACCCTGATTTTGATCCGGCTCTTGATAGCCTGTGAGTTCTACCTTGAAGATATCGCAGCCGCAGATGTGCACCAGAGAGCTCTATATCATCTCTTCAGCGACATGACGAGAGCAAGCGGGCATTCTCACATATCTACTGGCACAAGCGACATCTGGACAGCAGCAATATTAGGCCAGCGAACTCGATCTGCGGAAGGCGATCACGATCCTGGTCCATGGCGACAATGTTTCTCCACCGCTGCCTTGAGACTAGTGAACGAATATGCATCCGTTTCCGCACAGAATTATTCCCAAACGCATCTAATCGATAGCTCACTCCGTTTCAATGTCAAGCTTTTTGCGATCTTGGAAAGATTTAGGGATGTTGCTTTCATTGACGGGGCTGCCAAAAAGTCGGCATGGACGGATGAAAATCGCGACGTGGAGCATGAAATAAAGAGGTGGTTGCATTTTTACCGTGTGGAGACCTCGAAACTCCTGAACAATGTCGCCGTGGACCACACAGAGGCGCTGTCGTCGCAAAACTTAGGCTCCGAGTTCGTCGGATATCATGCGCTGAGTTGCGCAATGGCGCTAGCTCTACGCTGCCAATGGCTGCTCATCAGCCACATCACTTCGGTTGCCCAGATTCAGCTTGGATACTGGGATTTGAACGCTAATGTGTCGCAACGAAGGCTTTTAAATTCGATCAAAATCCTTGAAAACAGCCCGATCACTCTGGGCCAGGAGAACATGTGGTTTTATGTCCTGTTCATACATACCCTCTTTGTGCAATACCGGAAACATGTCGGTTCGCTCGTCGTGGTGAAAGAGGAGGGGGGCCCGAGAGATAGCGATAACGAGCTCACCGAGGCAATCGAGAGACTCAGACGGGAGAAGCATCGCCGCGGCCTTCACGGAGTGACAGAAACAAAGGGAATCTTACTTGGATTCTGGCCTCATAACTGTTATGACCACCCGTGCTCAGAAGAAATTTGGCAGGTCTTATCGGATGAGATGGATTGACAGTAGACAATAGACGATCCTGAAATCTTCTTGTACGGAGGTAGTGGGGATCAAATGGAAAGGAGAAATTCTAGATCTTATCTCTTAACACCATACCATACCAGTGAGCCTGATTGAGCTATTTAGCCGGTTCGCGGGTTCGATTGCTGAGGTTGGGAAATGCCGGCTCTAATACATCAGGTCCGGGTGCATACGATGACGACCACAAAGCCGCGGTCGAAACGGGGAATTCGAGAACGAGCTGCGTGCTGAAACGGCAGAGCAGGCACAGTGGGAAAGTGGTGCTATCCGCCCATACACGAGCTGTCGGAAATGGCACATTTAGCACCAATCTACAAATGGAAATCCTCCGGGAAAGTAATGGGGAAACTGCATCTATGAGCATAATGTTGATCAGTCTCGTCTATTGTTGATACTTTCCAAGTTCAGCATAGTAGCTCTTCCATAGGCTTCCCTTTCAACCATGCTTTGTATGACTTGGTCTCGGGAGGGTTGCTCAACTGACACGGCGCAATTATTCCCTCCCTTGCCAGAACATAATCGTAACCATGGTCGTTCACAAAATTTATACCATCGAGGAGCTCCCAGGGCAAATTCAACTGCTCGTGCAAATCCTCGGGTTTCATCCTAATAATTTGAACCTCCTTCCCTGTCACCTCTGTCCAGGCCTGCACAATCTCTTCGAACGGTAAGAAGCTGTCTTTGTTGTAGGCAAGGAGCTTAGTGCCGGGCTCTTCGTCCTCAATCAACGCGCGGACAAAAGGTCCCATCACCTCTGAGGGATCCAAGATGGGCATCTTGCAACCGCGGTTTAATGCTGTCACAACGACATATTGTCCACTCTTCGGATCCAGAGTCGGACTGAACATAGGGTTCGTGCTGTACCCGGCGGGGATGACGATAGACATCTTCTTAGCGAGCGCAGGTTCCTCGGCCTCGATGTAGCTCACAATGGCCGCCTTGGACTCGGGATGGTACGACCTGGTGTACTTTCCATTCGAAGCTGCTTTGATGGACGCGAGGGAAGAATAGACGAGTCTCTCCAGCGTTGGGACGCTGGCCGCAGCAATAGCAGCATTCTTGCCGTAGAAGACTTCTTTCTCGTATGCGGCGCGGCTGCATGCTAATGGGGTCAGTCCGGAGCCGGTACCAACGGAGCGATAGGTTTCCCAGAAATCCGTGTTGAGGAATATTGCGTGGGAATTGCCGAACGCTTGGACCAGCGAAGCAATATCAGATAAGTCGGCCCGAACCAGCTCTGCTCCGAGCGCCCTCAGTTCCTCAGCCTTTTGTGACGACGGATTGCGAGCGACCGCGCGGACATGCCAGCCTGGGAGGGAGAGAAATGTTCGAGCCACAGATGAGCCCTGATTGCCGGTGGCACCAACCACAGTAATGACCTTGAGGGAAGAAGAGGCCATGGTTGTAATTTACACAATATGGAGACAACGGATCTTTAATGAGGAAGTGGTTGAAGTAAGACCTTGTTGCTGCTGCGGAAATATAACAGCAACCCAGGTCACCCTGAAGTTGAAAGAAGAGATCCTGCGTCTCCATACGAATTTATATTCGCAAGGAGCTCTCCTAGTCGCTAGAAAGAACAATCAATGCCGGTACATCGTGTATATACTTGGTAGCGTCGTTCTGTTGTGCCCAATCAGCGGCGCGAATGAGGTGGAGTGGTTTATCGACTCCACAAACCGTGATTGGTTTAAAAGCCGTGAGCCACTTGGGAAGATTGTGATTGGACAAAAGCTGGTAAGCCATGCGAGAGGAGGTGGGTCGAATGGGACATTCGGAGTTCAACAAGGATTTCAAGGCTAGGCTGCCGCGCCCACCTTTGGCATCTGCTTCTCCTCATCCTTTACGAAAGGTCGTTGTTCGACAATCACATAGCACCGAAGGTTTGGGTTATTTCATCATGCAACATTCCAAAGGAGCATGCGTTAAGAGTGGCGGGTGTCGTCGGAAACGAGCCATCACAGCAGCACGCAGGGAACAGAACCGAGTGGCGCAGAAAGCGTACCGTAGGTCCTATCAGTCATACCAATGCGCCATGCCCCTGTGCGGTTACAGGCTGATGATAGAGATGTAGGACAGAGGATCAAAGAGGCTCGACAGAGCGCTGTCAAGAAACCTGTTAAGGGCACCCGTCGCCTTAGCGAGCTCAGACCATGTGAACCCCACACGGGCAGGTCTTCACACGGCTTACTGGCCCATGTCTTGGACCAAGGATGCCGGCAGCGGCCAGAATTTGCTATCATGGAGCATGGTGTTCTTGACTGTATGACGTCTCTGGCATCCAAAAGTTCGAATCCGGCAAACAATATCAACAATCTCGGACTCGCATCCAGACAAGTGACAGCAAATCCTCCCAGTGTCACACTTTCTATATCAGACACTCTGGAGCTGGACTTGTTAACGTCGCGATCGCCTGTGCTATCTCCTTCCCGCTTATTGCCGGCACCCATTGATTGGGCCATGCCGTTACATGGCCCCCAAAGTACAGATCTATTTCCCGTGGAAGTGTGTGGCAGTAACACCGAAATTATTCAAGACCCCTCGGAGACATGGAAAACACTGCCAGATCCCATTACTAAAACTATCCAGTTGGCCCCTGTCACGACATTGACAGCCATTATTGACAATGCACTGAGATTACATCTGGACTTGTCCAAAATTCTCACCGCCGACTATATGTCCCCCTTCTACCGACCTGTTGCTCCCCAGGATGACCCTCAGTTCTTGCCGGGGACCGCATCCTACCCCTGGATCCCTGCCGATCTACAGCCGACGCTGGCCCAGATCGTCTACCCTCACCATCCCTTCCTCGACCTCATTCCGTTCCCGCTGATACGGGCGAGGGCCATCATGATGGTGACCTTCATGCCACACGCTTTCAACCTGGCCAACTTCAAAAACGATATCTTCACTAATGGGGCGTTGGTATGCCTCCCGACCAGTTCCAACAGGCAGCCGTGGGACATGCGGAACTGGGAAGCCGCGCCTTGGTTTCTCAGGAAGTGGAAGATGCTTGTGGACGGGGACGGCGGCGAGCTCTGGAAACAGAGCAGCTGGTGGTGGAGTATGAGGGGACTTTCAGAGGATTAGAACTCTCTATCTAAAAAAAAAAACAACACCGCGAAACGCGTATCCCTTTCATGTGTTCAATTACCATATCTCTTTTCCAGATGTTAGCTCGTATCATGCAGCGCCACGACGTCCTCATTACGACAGCGGATACTAGACAGCATGCCTCACTCAATCACAAACTCATACTCTTAAATGCATGGCACCAGCGTTGAGAACATATTCGCGGTGCCTCTGTTCGGTGGCAGCGTGGTGGCCTCTAATTCCAACCGATTATCCCTCTTCCTAGGACTTGGCCTTGCTCATTTGCAACATCTACTTCTCTGCCGACGATACCTCGATCGTCGGCAGTGAGATCAAAGTCTCTGCGCTCAAGGCCATCGGGGCTATTACGAAAACTGGGGCTGACAACCATGGGACATGCTCCGGCAATTAAAGCAAAGCGTACAAAGACAGGGTTGTGAGATCTTTGAGCAGGCACGAATTTGATGTGCTCGTTTGCATACGTCCTGGCAGGAGTCAAGACATCAGCCATGGACAGTAAGTAGAGGCAAGTACTCCAGCACAAGCCGCATGAATACTGGACATGGCGGAGTGCCTTACCAGATGGTGACGTTGAACTTCTGGCCCAGGAGCTTTTTCGTATTACTTGGTCCCTCACATTTTAGGTCTCCCAGTATCTCACCTCGACACGTTTTGCTGAACAACAAGCGACACCAGCACGTGTTGTTAATAGTTTGGTTGTGGTTGTCGTTGCGGATACGGTGCAGAATGGCGACCAGGTCACCTGCAGGGGCATCCCGGGGGCTCGGCTGGGAGCACATGGCTTCTCGGTCTTTGATGGCGGTCGCCTCTTACGCAGTCTCGTGTCAGAGATTGAGGGGATTGAACTCGTGGATTGTCTATAGAAGGTATGGCAGCTTACCCATGTACCGAGCACACAGACGTGGCCGCAGAGAAGAAGAGGTTGGGCATGTTTTTTTGACATTTTGGTCGTAACATTAGCCCAGCATATTTGCGGAGAGGAAGCTGTTTGGAACCTCACTGTGGACGTAGCGAATCAAAAATTTAAGGTCCTCAAATTGCCCAGACACGTCGTTGTGCCAAAACGTGCTCAGATCGGTTCCACCCGCATGTTGAGCAAGTTTGTACCTGCTGCATTGGGATGAAGGTCCTGGCCCCCTTGATGTTATTGGCGACATTGATATCATCTACCGTTTATAAGGGATGTAAATACTGGGCGTTCCGCTGCATTCTTCCTCTCACTTTCGGGGTCATCCTGTTTGCAAGTTTCGAAAACTCCTAACAGCATCCAACGGTGCCGCCATTGACTAGAATAGGACCTAGCTATTATACATCCACCTGAACAAGATGCCAGTGACTTACGACTTACCTCAGCTTCCGTACAGCCTTGATGTGGGTGCTCGACGGATCTAGTTCGAATTCGCACTTTGCCCCTCGCTAACGACTATTTTGGACCGGGAACGGTGTGCTGACCAGGTCTCTTCTCTATTATAGGCGCTGGAACCCTCCATATCAGGGCAAATAATGGATCTTCATTACAACAGACACCACAGAACCTACATCACCAATCTGAATGCGGCGCTAGGCGCACAAGCAGAAGCAACCTCGTCCAACAACCGGGTGAAGCAACTCGAGCTTCAAGCCGCCATTAACTTCAACGCTGGTGGACACATCAACCATACCCTCTTCTGGGAGTCGCTTGCTCCTGCTTCAAGCGGGAACAACAACCTCTCTGCCGTCGCTCCTACCCTCAGCGATGCCATCACCAAACGGTGGGGCAGCTTCGACTCCTTCCAGGCGGCTTTTGAGTCCTCTGCTTTGGCGATACAAGGGTCTGGCTGGCAATGGCTTGTTCAGGATCCGCAGACAAAAGGACTGGAGTTAACCACGAGCAAGGATCAGGACTTGCCCAAAGGAGGAAAGGGAATTGTGCTGGGCGTTGACATGTGGGAGCATGCGTACTATATACAATACTTCAACAACAAGAAGGAATACCTCACTAGGATCTGGGATGTGATTAACTGGCAGACTGCCGAAAAGAGATACAAGGGCGATCCAAGAGCTGCCTTCGGATCGTTGGCCGGATTAGCCGGACATTTGTAGTGCTAGTATATGCTAGATAAGGTCAAGAAAACAACGACTTCATTACCTCGCTCCGTTCTTGTTCGCGGAAATTCATTAGCTAAACTCAGAGCCACCAGACCAGCCACTTCGCTAGCGCTCTGTCCACCAATCTTGTAACCAGTTCGGATTTGTTCAAAAATGTCTCCGTCTCGAAAGCCTCTGCTTCGAAAAAGTCGCCGCTTCAAAAGTCTCCATCAGCAGCTCAGCCTCTCAATGTCGATAAGGAGAATGCATGCATGGTATCCTCTGATATTACCAGCACGTGCTTCTGTGATCCTTCACAGTAAAGTTCGAATCATGGGCACGTATTCCCAAGTGAGGTTACGCCCGGGAACTTTTGTAGCCTTGCAATAGAGAACCTGGGGAATTTCGCCTTGTAAATACGACGTTGAAAGAGACGAGGGTCCTCAATTTTGCCTCGTTAAGAAGAAACTTCAAAGACCTTCATACAGTCTCATCTCTGTATGCCTGGGTAGGCTGTCCATTATTATATACCTGCGAAATCCCGGCTTTGATGTTGGTCGACTTTATCCAAATATCAAGTGAAATCAGCAAAGGCAGTAAGCACTTACAACTCGTCCCGAACTTGAAGCTCAGTTGACATATTACACACGCAAAGAAAATGGATGATATCACAGCGCGCAATCGCGAGCATTTCGAGTATGATTGTGTCTCGGTGAACTCATTGGACAATGGGATGTTCGGCTAAGCCTCGGGTTTTCTAGTCAGGTCGCTTCAACCCACCAGAACAACTTTGCTCTTCTCATACAGGCAGTCATTGAGGAATTGAAGGAGAGAAGATCGTGGATTAGCAGCAAGCTGGGGGATGGCGACGCATCGAAGAATGACAAGAAGCCAGTAAAGCTGCTGGATTATGCTTGTGGCTCTGGCACAGTCTCCAAGGTACGTATTCCATCCGCATCAGGATGACGGAACAGAAAGCGCTGACACAACCTGGCTTGTGCGTATAGGTCCTGGCTCCCTATGTCGATGAAGCATTAGGGCTCGACCTCTCCGAAAACATGGTTGCTGAGTACAATAAATGGGCGGTAGGACAAGGCTTCTCTCATACCAGAGCCCACGCGCTCCAGTTAGATCTGCTCGCAGAGCCACAACCTACCAATCCAGAGCTCTCCGGATTCGACGTCGCAGCCGTCTGTATGGCGCTACACCACGTGGCTAACCCAGAACGACTTCTGTGCAAACTCTCCAAGACGTTGCGACCGGGAGGCGTTTGCGTGGTATTAGACAGGGTTTTCGAAGAAGAGAGGCCTGAGTTGCGACCAGACATACCTGAGGAAGCGAAGAGAGTACTGCGAACCATCAACAAGCACGGGTTCACCGAAGACGATATGCGTAAGTACTTCGAAGGTGCCGGTATGGTCAAAAACTTCGAGTATGTGATTGTAGCACGGCCGTTCAAAGTGACGCTGTACGGCCAGGAGATGGAGCTAAAAGGGTTCATAGCACGAGGTGAGGTACCTTGAGCTTTATGGAGTTGTCTTGGACTTGCTGATGAGGTGGATTTCTCGAAGCATTTCTCAACAACTATCAAATCCACGGCTGGGCGAGTCGCAAGTGAGGTCAGTGCAAGTTTTACCCGTCTTTTAGGCGCCAAGATGGACCCATCGCCGGCCATCAGCATGTCCTCAGATATTAGGAACATGGTATCCATCAATAGGTTGATTGACTGATCGAGAAAATCTACCAAGAGTGACAACAATGGCTTGTAAGGATTTGAATGGGTGCTTGATGTGTAACAAGCCGTCGCAGTGCGAAAACTTATCCAGCTAGCCTAATGAGGCTAGTTCAACACTGCCAATCTTGGGAAGGACACGACGGGCGTAATCCAATACGTGTCTTGTATAGGAGACTCTGTACAGGGTACCGAGCACTGAGTACGTGTTCTCAAAGAATCAGGTTCTGCTCCATACGTGAGATGGGACGTAAAAGTGTATCGGAACTAGTTAAATCTATACGGCCGGGGACGCTGCCTTTATAGCCATAATTACTAGCGTCTTGGCATATTTAGCACGTATGTTAGCCGTACTTGGCCGTATCTAAGCTCCAAGTACCCAGTAGTCTTTAATCATCTTTCGCGGCCTAGAGGTCAAGGATTGAAAGGTGGTGTCAGGTATCTTAATCCGCCACTGGTCACGACCGTCACTTGAGCTAAATGACTTACAAATCGCAATGACCTCTACCGCTTGAACTGGGCATCTCTGACCGAGGAGAATAGAGTCTGCCAAACTCGCTCCCAACTCCGCTCAATCACTCGATCCTGACTTTGACCTCGACCTCGTTCACCAACGCGAGTCTTAATTACGGATACAGTCTGCGGAAAGTTGCTGCGATAAGAGATACTCCAAGCCTCTCTAGGCGCAGCCTCAAGGAAAAGAGAATTCCCTGACCGTAGAGCGAGGAATCAACACCCTCTTGTTGCTGAAGGGCGATTAGCAGATGAGCACGAGGGTCGCTCTCGAGTTGAGTGACAGTCTGAACGCGCATGGTAGAGAGGGAGCATTATTGACCTGAATTGGAGTCTCTTTGGGGCTGCGCGAGAATCGACCGTTTAACGGTGTATACGATTTCAATCAGTCACTCAATCAAGCGGCCGTCACCAGAGGGACAACCAACATCCATCTCACTGTCATCATTGCGGTCTCCTCAACACACTCCTAGGAGATGAGTCGCGCCGCCAAGGGTGCATGCCCCCAATGGCTTTCCTCGTACGTAATTTCTCTCGCAAAATCTACCCGGCTCAACTTTTCAGGGTGTACCACAGCGGCGCCTTCACAGACTTGACGATCACCTGTGCGGGTGAAAATTTTAAAGTGCATACAGTCGTGGTCTGCACCCAATCACCATTTTTCAACACGGCTTGTAGCGGGCCGTGGAAGGTATGTACCTCTGCTGCATGTTTGCGCGAAACGAGACTGTTCCCAGGGTTCAACTGAATGAGTAGGAGTCTCAAAACACCATCGTCGACCTCGCAGAAGACGACATTGAAGTTGTGAGAAGAATGATCGAATTCTTCTATCGAGCGGACTACACAGATTTCAAAGACGAGAAATTCACACGACACGCCCAAGTCTTTGCCATCGCAATCAAGTATGATATCGAAATGCTCTCAGGGCAATCGACAAGTATTGTGAAGCGGCCTTAAAATCTTGGGATCCTTCGGCCTTCTTGAGGTCTATTCATACCGTGTACCTCCACACTCCCGAACAGATGCGCGGTCTGCGTATTATGGTCATAGATCAGGCTCGACGCCATTACGAGAGTTTCAATGATCCAACCAAATGGCCTGGCATCAAACACCTGTGGCGCGAGACCTGTATGTCTGTGCCAGCATTTGCAATTGACATGCTCCAGCGTTTCCAGGATGAACCCATAGTTGGATATTGCTCCAGGTGTTCAAGTGTTACGCCGGTAGAAGCCCTTCAGCTTCGTTGTCTGAGTTGCAAATTAGGCGGCGCATCCATGTACCTACCAAAATAGGCTGGCGATGTCGCGGAATTTCTAGGAATTCGCAAGTTCAGAAAAGAACTAGGACTTGCCCAAGCTCCTTCCGATGCACTACGTCGTTAATCGCCTCCCGTGTCAAAGGCCGACCTGCTGGGTTTCAACACCCCGGTCAAATGACGACTGTTGGCCATGAAGCTCAAATATCACTGTGAGTTCTGACCACCTGGCTTGCTCTTTTCGACTCTCCCGTTCCTCGGTCGCAACAGAGGATTCTTCATCTTTGTCAAGGCTCACAGCAAGTCGTAGTGCTCAAGCAATAACGCGTATGGGAGAGTTTTGCAGGACTGCATAGTCCTCAAGGATTGGAGGACAGCGAGACAAGGGAAGGAGCACTGGAAAAGTATCGATTTCGGCGGACACAAAATAGTGCTTGAACAAGTGCATAGTGTACAGGCTGCACTACCATTCGCAGTACCAAAAAGTCTCAATATTCGTATGGAGTTGGATTATCAAACGGCCCACCGCTCGGATATTCCGCGGAGACATAGCCTACTCTTCAGAATACCAGCGTCCTTTCCTCCAACCGAACTTTTCCAAGACATATCGGGTCCGTTCCCAAGTTTCATCCCAGCCATCCACTCCAAGAAGCCTCCGCGAGTTGACCGCAGGGGTGTCCTCGCCACTCGAAACTACTCCTGGCCAACCCTCAAGCACCCTATTACCCTCTTGCAGTATGGTGTCCAAATCGACGTCGCCGTGTGCTCGTAAGGCGCTCTCGATAGCCGACGGGACAGCCTGAGCACGCCTGCGGCTCCACCAGCACTGTTGCTGAGGAAGGAGTAAGGAGACAGCACGGTAGAAAAGTAATAAAACGAGAAGCGCATACGGATGTTGTTGTCGGACGAGTCGGATGAAACAGTCGGTCGATCGCGTCGGAAAAGCGAAAATGTAGCGCGCGAGGTCCGAAAGTGGCGGGAAAGGGCGAGTGGCAACCTTTTCGAATACACTAGCGGTCCGTCTTGGGCTGTGAGCCAGGTTAGCCTCTATCGAGAGACCCGTGTCAGTGACGAATGACTGCCGTCGGAAGAGCCCCAAGAGAAGCACCAATCGAGCGGTCGCATCTAGGAAGCCGGCCAATTCAAGATCCTCTTCAGGATCTTCATCTGGATGTTCTAGTCCTGTGAACACCTTCTCATGACCCGTGCGCAGGTCAAGAAAGAACCGGATCACCGCATCTAGACACGCAGACTTTGGACAAACAATGACAGGCTTCCCCGAAGCTGCGCGTTGCCTACAGTATGCCTTGGAGATGAGGATTTCCAAGTCCTGCGAAGCCCTAGAGTGTCCAAGGGTAGCCTGTTCAAGGGACTCGCGAGGGCGATGACGGGCTGAGGCAGCAAATATGCTTTCGTTCTCCCAGATGAAATGGTAAGACTTCATGAAGACCATTCGCAGCCCTTGGGACAAAGTAAACAACGGATCCATGCTGAGGTTCAGAGTTGAATCCGGTGATGACACTGCCTCGGCGTCGTCTTGCGCACGGACGACATCGTCATGCGTTGCCCATGCATAATGGACGAGAAGCGTCGAAGTTGCCATAAATGCGTCGGCATTTAGGGCAGATATCGGTTGTGTCAGAGCATGTCGGAACAAACGCAATGTTTCTGAAAGATGCAGCAGAGACGCTGATCGATACATGAAATCACCGGGACTGAGAAAAGACAAATGTTTGGCGCCGATAAGGAGCACAGCGTGCATAAGGAACTCATGCTGGATGAAAACTTTTCAAAAGACCATTCGGCTTTTTCTTCTTGAGAGACGAAACCTTACCTGCAATGCCAAAGCCATCACTTGGTTACGCCAGATGGATGCGTCAAAGATGAGGGTTTCGGCTGTAACGGTATTGAAATGGTGGAGAAGTTTCATCTGCAACATGTTGATATGCGAACAGAGGCTGTTCCCAGGAGCAGGGCCACTACGCGCTTCTTGCGGCAGCAGTGTCTTCCATCTTGAGGCCGGGACCAGGCTCTCAAGGCTGCAGACTTCCTCCCGCCTCTTGCAATTGCCGCATCTCGGACGCCCCTCGTCACACTGTTTGCCGAAGCAAGTACGTTAGCTAAACCGACAGGACACCCAGGACAACAGCACGAACCTTCACTCTCCGTTTCCTGCAGGCGGTGCAGCCCTGCCTTGATTTCGGATGACGACGCCGTTTGCGAATCAGCCTGGCCCCGGGTCCATCTGCAGCCACCACGCTTTCTGGGGACAAGTCGAGAAACTGGAAAACCTCCGGCGACGCCGTTGCAGAGGCCATCTGCGTGTGGTGATGATGCTCCACAATTGGGAAACAAGTTCCGCTATCAAACCAGACATACGACTGCACGTAAGGTCAATGAGGAAGACCAAAGGATGAGCCATCGTATATTCACAGCGGAAGCTTGAATTTGAGCCAAGGTGATTATGCTTGTTGCCTAGAATTTGGCGAGCGAGAAGGTTCGTTTAGAGACTAATGCGATAGGCTGCAGTACGAGGCGGGCCCGTGTCCAGGGAGCTGTGTTAACAATCGCAAAGTGTTAGGGCCCCACACGATCGAAATAAACGGTGTTCACTGTTGAATGAGAACGGCGAACACCATGCATCGATGGAGCTAGGCTGGAGAGTCAGGGGCACGCGATATCCGCCCTCTCAATCTTCACGCAGTACGAGATAAAACGAACTGCACTTGCCCCTCACTACAAGGATACCTTTGTCGTTGAAGGGCCCAGGAGATATTTTGCTCCTTCTCTGAGCAATGGCTGCACCTCGTATAGTGCGCCTGTTGCTCAACTACGTCCCTGGGGGGGACGTGTGACTCCAGCAACCCCTGAGCTGGATTTGGAGCTCGAGGTCGCTTAAAGTCGCAGGTGTTCTTCATGTCCTGCGTGGATCACTTCGAGACCTTCCTTCCTCGTCCACAGAGAGAGAGAGTGTGTGTTGTCATTTTCAATCGATTGAAATTTCGTGGAAATCCGAGTCCTTTCCTCTTGCTTTGGTCCCGGCGATCGACCCACGGCTCGAAGAATTTGGCCATGGCCGAAAAATCTGGACATGGCGTTGAGATACAGAATGACAGTATACAGCGTGACATTCTGAGCTCCCAACTAAGTATGCCGACCGTTAAGGTGTCATACTGGACTCTGTTTCGCTATGCATCCAGACAAGAGCTTTCCATTCTAGGCCTGGCTGCTTCCTGTGCTGCTGTCTCTGGAGCTGTGACACCTCTCATGACTGTAAGAGGACCTAACGGCCTCATTTCAGCCCCTGTCAACAAAAGTGAGAAAGCTGACGAGGCAATAGCTCGTGCTTGGATCCTTGGCTGGACAATTCACTGGCTTTCAAGATGGATCAACGGCAGTATCAGAGTTCAATCAGCGGCTTTCCAGACTCGCTCTTTATTTCGTTTATCTGGGTGAGTGTTCTTGGAGCTTGGAATCGCAAGTACCTTATTGACAATCTCGCGTGCTAGGCATTGGATCCTTCGTTACCGTCTTCATTTCTATCCAAGGCTTCTCCTTTGCTGGGGAAGCAATTACGCAAAGAACTTGTGAAGCATACCTCCAATCTATCATGCGACAAAACATTGCTTTCTTTGACAAGGTCGGGGCTGGGGAGGTGGTCAGTCGTATAACCGGCGACATGAACATGATCCAGGTGACTTTTGTTTTGTCTTTCGGGCGTGAAGAAGATGCTAAGCCAAAACCAAATCAGGACGGAATATCTCAGAAATTGGGCCTCACGGTAGCAGGAGTAACAACCTTTTTCGCAGCCCTCGCCGTGGGCTTTGTTAGGTCCTGGAAGTTAACACTCATCATGCTATCCGTGACCGTTTTGATCATCCTCATTATGGGAGGTGCCGGAAAGGGAATGAAGAAATATCAGATACAAGCAAATGACGCTTATGCTGTCGGGGCCACCGTTGCCGAGGAAGCCTTTACTTCTATTCGAAGCACGACTGCCTTTGGTACGCAGCCATGGCTGGCCAAACAGTTCGGCATGCATCTGGACAACGTCAGGCGTTTCGATTTCAAGAGTAAGGCCTTTTTGGCATTCATGATCGCCGCGATGATGGCCATCCTGAGTTTTCAGTACGGTCTAGCCTTTTGGGAAGGATCGCGGTTGCTACACGACGGCAGCATTTCCGTCTCGAAGATCATCACGGTCATTTTCTCCTCCATGCTGGCTGGAGTCTCCATCGGACATGTAGCCCCACACTTCGGTGCCTTTGCAACGGCGACTGCTGCAGGTCAAAAGATATTTCACGTCATTGACCGGAAGTCACCCCTGGATCCGATGTCAGGGACAGGCAAGAGGCCGGCAAGTGTGGATGGCGAGATCTTCTTTCGGAATGTGCGACACGTTTACCCGTCACGCCCAGACAAGGTAGTCCTCAATGACTTGACTCTTGTTGTTCCTTCTGGCAAAGTCACCGCTGTCGTGGGCGTGTCGGGGTCCGGCAAGTCTACTCTGGTAGGACTGTTGGAGCGGTTCTACCAACCTGTCGGGGGCGAGATCAGTCTCGATGGATGGCCCCTGCAGGAACTGAACCTGCATTGGCTTCGGGGACAGATTGCCATCGTCAGCCAAGAGCCTGTCCTTTTCAACACCACGGTATACGAGAACATTCGCTTCGGACTGTTGGGGACGAACCTTGAGGATGTAAGTCCAGCCGCAACAGTTTTGCCTCCTAATTCTCCGATTGTGGAAGTCGCTAACCAAACTCGATTGCTGCCTGAGTAGGCACCTAAAGAGAAAGTTGCTGGTCTGATTGAAGAGGCCGCCAGAATAGCAAATGCGTTCGACTTTATCTCAAACTTGCCAGGTGGGTTCCAGGCTCGTGTTGGGGAACGCGGAATGCTCCTTTCTGGTGGTCAGAGACAACGAATTGCAATTGCACGGGCGGTGGTGTCGAATCCGAAAATCCTTCTTCTGGATGAGTCTACTGCGTCGTTGGACCCGCAGGCCGAGCGCATTGTGAGAGTCGCACTCGACGCTGCTTCTAAAAATCGAACCACTCTCGTGATCGCCCATCGACTTTCGACCATCAAGCATGCCGACAACATAGCGGTTCTCAATGCGGGGATACTCGTCGAGCAAGGCACTCATGACGAGCTTGTGCGGAATCGAGGGGTCTACCACTCGCTGGTGGAGGCTCAACAAATCGAATCAAATTACCCATCTGAAGGAATCGATTTCCAAGACGGAGGCATTCTGGGTACCGAGAACGCAAAAGAATCAGACTTAATGTCGACTCAAATCTCAGCGGACGGGACATCTCCACAAGACAAGGATCAGCCACATTACAGTCTCTGGGAGCTCATTAAGTTCATATGGTCCCTCAATCAACATGAACAATTATGGATGGCACTTGGACTTACTGTCTCGATGGGCTCGGGTACCGGGTACTCCATAGTCGCCATCTTCTACGGAAATTCAATCATCTCGCTGGTAAACCCCACTGCCAGCACTGGCGGTCACGATATCAATTTCTGGTGTGCGATGTTCCTCATGTTGGGACTGGCCCTATTTCTCCTATACATGGTCCAGGGCATGACCTTTGCCTGGACATCTTCTCGACTGATCCGTCACACCAGAGACTTGACCTTCCGCGCAATACTTCGTCAAGACATGACTTTCTTCGACATGAAGGGAAATGGGTCCGGGGCACTATCGTCCATGCTTTCCACGGAGGCCGCCATGATAGCTGGAATGAGCGGAGCGACGCTTGCCGCTCTCCTCAACTTCATTGTGTCAATCATTTCAGCGATTGCAGTAGCTTGTTCTTTTGGCTGGAAACTCGCTCTTGTTTGCACCTCGACGATGCCGCTTCTTCTGGCTTGTGGGTTCCTCCGAACTTGGGTCATGGCTGATTTGGAGAAACGAACAAGACGCCAGACCGAAGCAGCTGGATTCGCTTGTGAAGCTGCATCCGCCATCCGTACAGTGGCGTCGCTAAGGATGGAACGAGATGTCTGCTCCCGGTACAGCCAGATGTTGAGGCAGCAGACAAAGCAAGATTTTCGGTCATTGCTTTTATCTTCCATGCTTTACGCTACGTCGCAGTCCCTCATATTCTTTGCGAGCGGCCTTGCCTTCTGGTATGGAGGCACCTTGATTGCGAGTGGAGAGTACACAGTGAAACAATTCTTCGTGTGCTTCGTTGCCGTCATCTGGGGTTCTCAAGCGGCTGGGGCTATATTTTCGTATGCCGGGGACATAAGCAACGCGCGCGCAGCGGCCGCTCGAGTGAAGTCTCTCCTCAGTCAAACGCCGAGTATGGATTCGTGGTCAGTCACAGGCAAGGATATACAGGTGGGTCTCAAGGGCCGCATTGAACTCCGCAACGTGTCCTTCTCCTACCCTACGCGTCCAGGTCGACTTGTTCTCAAGAATGTCACCCTCACGGCCGAGCCGGGACAGTTCATCGCGCTCGTGGGAGGAAGTGGCAGCGGCAAGAGCACAGTCGTCTCGTTGCTAGAGAGGTTCTACGATGTCGTGTCTGGAGGGATCTACGTGGACGGTAACGACATCTCGACATACCAGGTCCAGAACTACCGGAGCCAGCTGGCGCTCGTGAGTCAGGAAACGACACTACACATGGGAACCATCAAAGACAATATCCTCGCCGACAAGGAGGATGCGTCCGAGGCTGAGATTATTCAGGCTTGCAAGGACGCCAACATCTACGACTACATCGTAAGTTGGTCGACAAATCATCCTTGCCATGATGGCTACCTGACTGACAACGAAATTTAGCTCTCTCTTCCAGATGGATTGAACACCTCAGTTGGCACCAAAGGCAGTCTGCTCTCCGGTGGGCAACGTCAACGCATTGCCATAGCGAAAGCCTTACTGCGAAATCCCAAAATCCTGTGCGACGGCCCTTGCCCCTCCCCTCACTCTCTCCTCTCTCCGGAGGGCGCTCTTCTCCAACACTCTAGATCTATTGACTGACTCATACTTTCAAAGGCTCCTGGACGAGGCCTCATCTGCGCTTGATTCAGCCTCGGAGGCGGCCATACAGGCGGCTCTTGACCGCGCCGCAAAAGGCCGCACGACAATTGCCGTCGCACATCGATTGAGCACGATCCAGCACGCGGACGCGATCTATGTGTTTGAGCGGGGGACCGTGGTGGAGCGTGGAAACCACGCAGAGTTGATGTCCAAGGGTGGGAGGTATGCTGAGCTGGTGCGCTTGCAGGAGATTAGTCTAGGGTGATTCGACAACACATCCGCTGGGGGTGGCAGCACGCTGCAGAAGGAGAGGGAGAAGAATGCATTCTGGTTGACTGGGGGGAAGGAAAAGGTGAAGGACATGGTTGAGGTTTCGAAGTCGACTGTCTTTGCTGCTCTGTACGCGGTGCCCATTTTCTTGTGATTTCCTCTCTCCAGATTCAGTATCTTGGTGATCGAATAGTACTATGAATTTTGGGCTTTGCAACAAGATCGGCTCGTTGCCAAAGCGGAAGAAATACTTCAGAAGATACCAGTCGACATAAAAGCCGGGACAAATGGTAAACAACCGACACGAGCGTCATCGGAGCTTTCCGCTACATGAGCCCAGGACTTGTCCACGTAGCAGCGGGGCTTTCTGTTACGAAAAGGAACCAAGACAGTTCGCTTCGTCGACTTGTATGGAGAACCTGGTGAGTGAGCGGCAATTGCGTTAAACTATGTTGAATATCAAGCAAGGAACGAAACCTTCATTCTTTTTCTCCCCTCTTTGTTCGTTAATCCAGTGAGCAAGTAATTTCAAATCCCCGAAGCCAACCGGTGCAGCGGTGCTCTGCTCAACGCATTTAATTCTGTTTCCCCTTGGGAATACAGGCGCCAAAAGCAAGAGGGGAGATCCTAAGCAGAAGAACTAGCAGGTCAACACACATTCATGGCGGACTCAACAACTCATCCGGTGGGCGACAACCCCTTCATGAAACGGGCGTACGCCCTCTCGAGCGCGGCCGAGGCGCGCGATCTATACGACACGTGGGCGATGGAATACGACAAGGACCTCGAGGCCGAGGAGTACGCCGCCCCGAAGCTCGCCGCGCAGGCACTAGTCGATGCGCTCGACGGCGAAGAAGGCCACGGCGACCTCGGTCACGCTCACGGTCCCGGTGTTGGTCGGAATGAACGGGACCAGCAGCTCGCAGGGCTCCAGATCCTGGACGCAGGCTGCGGCACGGGCCTGGTTGGGCTACAGCTGGCGCGCTTCGGCGCGCGGGACGTCACAGGCCTGGACATCAGCCCGGGCATGCTTTCTGTCGCGCGCCACACAAACGTCTACGGCGCGCTCGAGCAGGCCGATTTGTCCAAGCCGATCACGAAGCCAGACGAATCCTTCGACGCCGTCGTCTGCGTCGGAACGCTGACGCGCGGACACGTCGGGCCGCAGGTCGTGCGGGAGTTTGTGCGCCTCGTGAGACGCCACCGAGGCCTCGTCGTCGCTACCGTGCTCGACGATATCTTCGAAAGCGCCGGTTTCGGCGCGGAGGTCGAGCGCTTGCGGATTGCCGACGCCGACGACAACGCCAAAATCGAGGTCTTGCGCTCAGATGTGGTCGGGTTGAGATCGTCGACTAATGTCGGCGGGAGGCTGCTTGTGCTGCGAAGGTTGTGAGCTGCTACAGCTAGTCTGTGTAACTTGCTACGAGTTGCGTGGAGTCGTTGTCTACGGTATACACACACCTGCGTCCAGGCATGTTTCGACGTGGCTGCTGCAAGAGAGCCTCCTCGATAGTCTAGTGTTATTGTCGAACCGGATGGGCAGGGCGAGACCTCTCCCATTTTTATCAAGAGCATACATTACAAAGGCGTGGCGCATACACGACACCTGGGTGCATTATTTCGAGACAGCCTCCTTGCAGCTCGCCGTGTGGGATTGTTTGCACACAATTTTGAGAGCTGCGGGTTAACCTTGGGTGGATGTGCGAGTCACGAACGAACCTAGAGCTGCGCAGATTCCTTGAAAGCTGTCATCAATATTGGGCCCTGCCTGCTCTATGTAATGATATCTAGAACAGACATCCGTCTATCCGACACTAGCTTCCCTCTCTTTGCGCTCTGAGAACCTCGTCGTACCGCAGGACGGCGTTCAACAGCACTTGTGTTCCCAATGCACTGCCACACACATTCCAGTCGTTAGCAAAACATAGTATATCTTATACCTCAAGACAACATGGGAGGGAGCTGCGCAAGGAGCAAGGAGCGGCCACCTACCAGTGTTCAGGGGTCGAATACTCGCTCGGGTGGTGCGAGATGCCGCTCCTGGACGGAATAAATACCATCGCCGTGGGACAGATGTACGAAGTGTTGACGCTGTCGTGGCCCGCCCCGGCGGGCAACTCTCTATACCCGTCTTCACCCACCAGCTCAATCGCAGACGCCCGCACGGCGTCGATGCAGTCCTTGTGGAACTCGACCGCTGCGCTCCTCCAGATCTGCTTGATGTCGACCGTGCAGCTATTACCCTGCGCAATAGAGGCGCACGCTTCCCGGACGTTCTGGGCCATTTTGTCCAGCGTCTCGTTGGAGTGGTGTTCGATGTCGACGCTGAAAGTGACGGTTCCCGGGATCGTGCCGGGGGACTGCGGTTCGGAATTGATGACCCCGACGGTGGTCAGGCCCTTGTTCTCCCAAGCGATGGTGTTGATACGTGAAATCATCTGCGCTGCCGCGAGAAGGGCATCGGCTCGTCGATCGATCGGCGTGGTGCCACAGTGTTGGCATCGCCCGTTCACCGTCACCATGAGCCAAGTCATTCCTTGGACTCCGGTCACGACGCCCACGGACTTGGCCTCGTCTTCCAGCAAAGGGCCTTGTTCGATATGGTATTCAAAATGAGCCGAGAGCGGGTTTGCCGTGTGAGTGGCCTTGACGGAGCCAAGGTATCCGATGTTGGCCAGTTCGTCCTTGAAACGCAAGCCATCCGAGTCGGTATGGTTGTAGGCGTCTTCGAGCGACACGTTGCCTGCCCACACAGCGCTGGACAACATACCCGTGTTGAACCGAGCGCCCTCTTCGTTCGTCCAGTCGATCACTGCGATTGGGGCATAGGTGGTATAGTTGTTCTCGTGCAGGACCTTCAGGACTTCGATCCCTGCCTGGACACCCAGGATGCCGTCGTACCTGCCTCCAGCGGGCTGGGTGTCAAGATGTGATCCGATGCCGATGGGAGCAATCTCGCTGTTTTGGCCCGGTCGCACGGCAAAGAGATTGCCCATTTCATCGACCTTGACTGTCGCGCCGTACTGCTGTACCGTATCGACGAACCAGTCGCGGACGGCCTTGTCTTCTTTGGTGAGAGTCAGGCGTCGGACTCCTCCTTCAGGTGTCGCACCCCACTGTGCGGTGTGATGCAGAGTGTCCCATAGTCTCTGCTGGTTGACGGCCAACCTTGAAGCGGAGTAGAGTCGGTTCTTCGTAGTGAATGATCGGACTTGGAGAGCCTTTTGATGGCATCGCCTTCTCGTATATCCCCTGGAAGCATTCCTCGACACCGACACCAGTGTTACGTGGAAATTCGGAAACATTGCCCGTATTGGATTCATTGTCTTCCACTGTTGCTATGCCAGGGATGGGCACATTCGATTCCTCGTGGAAAACGAATACCTCTCCCCCCATGGGGTCTTTATATTATCGGTAGGCCCGATGCCGTAGCATGCACTATGAGCCTCTTCCGAGGTGTAGCAGAAGGACTTACCCGACAGTGGTCAGGGTGATCCGCAAATCCACCTCTCCCAATGAAGTAGGTCTCTGCCCAGCGTGGATTGCATTTCGCCACATCGCCCTTTTCTCCGTATTTTGCATAGCGTCAAGGATATGCAAGGACGTTAGGGCGGTCCGTGGCTAGATGTCCCATGGTTGGCTACAGATACAGTGCCGATGCCCACTTTATTTAGTCTGATGCCGAGTATGGAGTATTCGGAAACTCTCCGAGTACCACCACGACCTTTTCCTCTCCAGTTCTTTCATATACTCTGATCTGTCTCCACCGCCGCCTTCTACCATCATGGTCAACTCCGCCTGACCATTTTCCGTATGGTTGACTGATACAGTGCCGAAATGGAGAAGAGGATCAACATGGGTCCGCTGCCTTGTGACTTGATGCAGGGAGTGGACAGTGACATGATGGCGAGATGGCTCTCCAGCATCCCTACGCGGTCATCGCGTCGCTTGAATACATAGTTCTTCTTCTGTGTATAAAAAGGGAACTTACTCCGTGTCCCTCCAGCTCGTTGCTTGTCATTGTATGACTGCGAGAAAATAAGCCTCGAGATCAACAACAAGTTTACATCGTCTAATAGATACAACAGACCTCAGGATGGAGCTAAAGAGAGCAGACTTGCGCCTGAATCATCCCTTTGTCCAGAATTTGATTGCTGGGTAGGCTTATTCCCTCATTGCCCACTGCAGCACAGACCCGTAGGTCCTCTTGGGCCGAGTTCTAACGTCGTGGTCTAGTTTGATGCTGCTGTGTCTCCCTGGCATCTACCTGGCTTTGACAGGTCTCGGGGCTGGTGGAGGAAAGCCATCTTCTCAGACCGTGGCTGCGAATGTAAACGCCATCTTGTATGGCGTCTTCTTCGTGACCGGATGGTTTGCTGGCTCCGTGATGAATCTTATCGGTCCAAATTATACGGTGTTTCTTGGGTCAATTGGATACAGTCTATACACAGGTGAGGCATCTTGCCCAACACCACTAGTGCTCTTCTCGTTTTGCTAACCACTTACGCTGGCTGCAGGTGGTCTCTGGTACTTCGACCGAACTGGAAACTCCTGGCTGGCGTACATGGGTGGAGGCATCGAAGGAGTATCTGCTGCGCTTTTGTGGGCATCTGCCGGCGCAATTGCGTACTCATACGCCGAAGAGAAGGACAAGGCTCTGTTCATGACAATCCAATGGTGTATGTGTGAAGGTGAGCTGCTGCCTGAGAGTCAATCAGCAAAGATCTTTCTGTTTAATGCGAGATAGGTGGCTCGACAGTCGCTGCCCTGGTTGCCCTCGGCATCAACATGCACAGCGCGCGGCAAGATGCTGGTGCGCCCACTCCGGTCTACGTCGTCTTTGTTGTCATCCAGGTCTTGGCTATGGTTCTAGCCTTGACGCTTCTTGTGCGGCCGGCAAAGGTCGTGCGCAGTGATGGCACCAAGATTGCGATATTCAAACAGCCTTCGTTGAGAAGCGAACTGGTCGGGATCCTCGAGATGATCAAAGACTTCCGGTTCATGATGTTGCTTCCTGCCATATTTGTCGCCGAAATGGCCCTGGCCCTCCAGAGTTCTCTCAACGGCTATTACTTCAACCTCCGGACCCGTTCTCTAAACAACGTCATGTTCAACTTCATCCAGCTGCCGGCGAGCTTTGGGATGACCTACATCCTTGATAATCCTCGATTCGGTCGGCGGAAGACAAGAGCACTGATCGGGATATCTGTCATGAGCGCGATCACCCTTGCCATTTGTGCCGCCGAGGCTGCGTGGCTCGCGGAACATCATCTGAATCGACATGAACCAGGTCCCTCCACCGATTGGACTGATCCTGCATTCGCCGGAGCATTTGTCATATATGTCATATACGGAAGTGTTTACAGGTAAGCCCAAATCTCCAAGCCCAACAGCGCCAACGATCTCGAGGTATGTTCAGAGAGTCCCCCATTGACACGGGTAATTTGTAGCATATACCAAATCGCGACCCAGTACGTGATCTGTGCCCTGACCAACGATCCGGAGCGGCTGGCGCGCCGCGCGTCGTGCTTCCGAGGGACTACTGCCCTCGGCATGATGTTTAGCTTCATCATCGATGGCAACGGAGGGACGTATATCACGCAGCTGTCCTTCCAGTTTGCCTGTTATTTTGTGGGAATCCTCTTTCTTTACACCGTCACCATGTTCTATGTCAGCGACACGAACTATTTCCGCGAGGAAACGGTCATTGTTCCAAAGCACATTGAAGAGGATGCCCGGCTGGAAGGGAGAATTGTCGGGGAGACCGGCAGTGTGGATGGCAGGGAGGTCGTAATTCCCGACAAGAGCATTGCGTAGTTAGTACCGTCTCGGTACGTTACCTAGTGTTGGATCAGGCAGTCCCCAGGAATATGTATGTACCGCCTTGGCCCATCGAAATAAGCACCATGCTGAAGCAGCATTGCACCATGCTTGTGAGCCGGATGTGGCAATGGAGTGAAAGGCATGGCCAGAGAGAGTCGGTGCTGCGTCTTAGAGCAACGGCTTGGAGAGTTTCTCTGACCTGGACAGCCAGGCGTGCATTTTGAATTGCATCGACAATGAATAGCCATGCAATGTGGAGTAGTAGGCGAGATCTTTGCCCTGAGGTGGATCTGCCACCAGACCCACACGGACATCCTTTCGTACGGAGCATGATGGCTATAAAGGAGCGGATCTCACCGCTCCATGGCGATAAGCCTTTGGATAAGGATATCCGGGATGTTCTTCTGACTTCGAGTTCTGCAGACATGATTGCCAGAGAGCTACTACAATTGTTGTGTCAGATCGAAGGATAACGTGCATCAGGACTTGCCTTACTATTATTCCTATCGTTGGAATCCAAAATGCTTCCATACCCACGCCCTCGTCAGCTGCCGGCGTCACGAGGATCCAAACTCGGCTATTACCGTGCCTCAATCGCTTGCGTAGGCTGCCGCAAAAGTAAGACGCGATGTCTCCTCACGCCAAGAAGAGAGCAAGATAGCTGTCTCAATTGTCGGCGGAAGGGTCAGCCCTGCGCCTTTCTGACGGTGGACAAGAAGCCCCCGGATTGGATTTGGTCCAAGGGGAGGAGGAGGCAGACCATCGAATCAGAGTCAGCGTCCTCCTCACAACTCTCTGTATCGCGGTCCTTCACCGACCAGAGGACGATTCGGGACCGTGCTGGCGGTAGCGGCGCGGTCACGCAATCAAATCAGCCGCACGAGCAGTGTAACTTGGCCTGGGACGTGGATGTGCCAGACTTGTCGTTCAAAACACTATTACCTCCAAATCTGGGGCGGCATGTCGACCCCCAAGGCTGGGTCAATGGCAATCCGGAATCGTCCATCTCCCCCGACCGCACCGAAAACACTGATCTGAATCTCACATTACCACATTATTCCGGTCCGAGCCTGGGCCAGGGGTTTGAATGGGACATCAACATCACGCCACTGGGGTATCTGTACTCATGTGGCCAATACCAGCTCCAGACAGGTCAAATTGATCCGACTTTCGATCCTGCTGCCTTGGCCCCATCGACTCCATGCGGCAGTTACGGATACTATTCCCAGGTCTCCGATACAAGCACATAAGTATAAAGGTCCGTAAGGGGACGACGATTTCGAGAACCACCGTAAGCGGAAACAGCCTTTGGCTTTGGACTCGGTGTTGGAGTGACTCGGTATTGGGGCTCGGAAGTTAGGCTCTTTGCGCACTGAGAATTGTTGTCGGTATCTCACATGCATTACCGTAACCACGAGATACCGCCAATACCTCGTATGCAGGGAAGGTACAGTAGCACAGTGTGGCTCTCTTGTTGCGGCTGATGTAGCCTGTTCAAGCGAGCTTACGCCACGGCAGCCCTTAACATTGACTTGAGAAAGTTGCAGTTGTGCTCATCAAAGGGTAGTCCCGCTTCCAGGAAGGACTGTAGCGGGAACTCTCAGGCGTCTTCTGGGGCGATCCGGATGGAGATGCACCATGGTGCAATGAAATGAAATTGTAGGCACCAACGTACTGGAGGAGCAAGGATTGATATTGTTCAAAAGCTTTTTTTTGAAACCGTGGCCTCGCCTGAAGACAGGTGTGGCCGATCACAGGCAGCATGTAATTCTGTATCGATCAATAGGTGCGGACTGCATCACCCCCAGAAAGCCGCCGCTAGGTCGACTAGAACTCCTTGTTCTGCTTCTAGTCCTGGATGACCACCCAGAACTGGATATCCAGGATGACCGCTGGTCAATCCTCTTGATTGGATTGGAGCGAAACCCGGATCCAGACCCACTCCAATCCAACAAGATCACTGTACTATTACCATGCCCATGTATGGTGAGGCTCATGTCGACCTGTATGCCGGAGGATGACTCGAGTGAGAGGGTCTTGGGCTCGAAGGCAGCCGGCCACCACAGCACCGGTGTGGTCGAGCCTTTTAGGGGTAAACTGGACGTCCAGAACTGTCATGCAGAACTTCATATCTGGCCACAGGCGGTTGGAGTGTGAATCGATCTCGCCGTTGACTGAGGCCCGTGACCGAGATGGTGCTCTGTACTTGACAGTCCCCGGACGCTTCCTAGGCCACATGTCTCGGAATTTCCACAGAAGCTGATGAACCACGTCTCTTCTTCAATTCCCTGCTACATATTCGTCCAGAATCAACAGCTGTATGAGCTTCACAAGCCTCGATAGTGCAGGAAGCTTATCCGAAGACATTATGAGATTCGCGGCCGAGAAAGCCCTCACCATGGTTTCTCCTGTCGTAGAGGTTATAGCTCTGACTCGTTTGGCTGGGAAAAGGCCAATAGCTCTTGCTGTGCATTTCACAGGCCGCGAGCTTGTGGCATTCCCAAAAACGCTGCGTCTGTCGAAGTTGCGGCATCCGGGGTGAAAGGAAGCGCTCTTGAACAACCCAGACCGCCGTCGCTAGTGTTAGATAGTGTCGCGCCAATGTTGCAGAAATTGTACTTATAGACCGTTTTCATCAAGGCGCATTCCTTTTCCCAGTCGGCTTCTGAGTCCTGGGTAATGCACAGTGAGTCCATCCAACGGTACCGAATTTTCAATCCCTGGGCGACACTTATGGCATGCTTGAAAGTTTTCGGAATTGGCGGCAGCTCGACCAGGATATCTATATAGTTTGTGATGAGGAGTTTTGTTGGATTCGACCCCTCTAGCGATGTCTGAGAGTGAGATATGCCTCTTAAGACGAGTCATCGCCGTTTCGATGAGCTTCACAGGACCTCTCTTCTGATCAGGCGGGCCATCGTTCAGCAGTCGCGTTGGGTACCGTGCATTTTGGTCTATGTCTTGTTTCAACCTGCCCTCGCAGGATTGATGAGTTTGTTCACAAAGTTCGAGCCATCGGCAAGCGCAGCCCCAGCTCTCGGCAGAGCTCGTTGAGACACCGGGAAGTTCTGGAGATTCTACCCTGTCTTCTATCCAATCTAGATCTCACATTCATCAGTGACTTGTACGAGCCAAAATAGGAGGGCGTTGAAAGGGAGGACATATTTGCCAGAGGTTGGAGTACGAGCGCGCTGACAGTGAACGTGTAGCCCCATCCCTTCAGTTCGGTGTATCAAATGGCCCTATTCCATGGGACGGAATTCAGGACAAGTGGAGACCCAGAGAAGAACCCGTGACACTGGGAGTGGGGAGATAATCTGTCAAGAATTTCAATGAGTTCTTCGGGTCAAAGTACCTTTCACGAGCAGGCACCGCCCTCAACAACGACACTGGCCACCATGTTCATGCATCCGAGATATAACATCCCTCCCTGGCGGCGTCTAACAGGGCTCGGCCACTGCAGTGAGAGGCCCCGCTTATCTTGATCGAGGCAGAGTCGGCGTCTTTCCAATGGCAGAGGAAGATTGCTTCACACATTTTGCGTAGGCTCTGAGAGACGCTCGTTGCCATGAGGCAGAGTCAGCTCTCATTTCGGCTCAAGTGAGCCAACCCAGAGAACAAGATGGAAATGCGAGAAACTATCGGTGCTTCTCCCTTGTCCTCGCTATTGGGAACTCTGTGGTCCCTTCTCTTCTCCCCACCCTTGGCCGTGGCTTGCAAGGGCTCACTTCTCTTGCGTGACGCCGCTCGAACTTCAATATGAGCCCCGTTCCAATTCTATCTGTGGTGTAACGCCTGACGCTCTCTACCTTATTCTCTTTGCCACTCACGTTATCGTGCTCGACCATTGTCACGACCCTTGGTCACACAAAGTGCCTTCTGGAACCTGACCGCATGGATTCGCCAGTTGTTTCTACCCATCCTCCCCAGGGCAGCCTATTCTACCCGATCCTATCACATACCTAGGGAGCAGATGAGGAGGAAGTCAAATTCAGCAAGGTCTACTGTAAATCTGGCGTGGGAAAACAGGGCTATAGGAAGATTAAGTTCTGTAGGTAATAGGCTAGGAGAGATGGCCTCTGTAATTTCTGGGTGGACACACGTTGCATTAATAAGATGCTCTATTAAGAGCTATTTGAAGTGATTAACCTGATGTTTTGGTGGTATCGTGAAGCAGAAAAATGCTGTGTGTATCTATTGGATGTATCGATACACGACGAGGACAATGATTGTTCGACTGAGCGGCCGTGGGAAGCCATAGTTGACAAGAGCAGATAATTCACACGAGGCTGGACGCCACAGAAACTACTCGCATCGAGATCAGTCGAATTCTTTTGCGTGAAGAAAAGCGTCTGAGAGATCAAAATCTACTTAACAAAGTCATTCACAAAATTACGGGTACACCGGTTTCAGCTTTACGGGGTACGCGTTTATCAAATTTCAGCAATAATGACAAGAGGCGGTGGACAGCCGGATGTCATACTAGAAAGAGGAAGATAGAGAGTTCTATCTACTTGGCATCTTTGGTGTTTCTCTGTACCTTAACCATGATGAGAGACATTACGCGTTATCTCAGCTCGAATAGGACATTACTAGGTTTCGCAGAAGTGTTCTATTCATTACGACATGTATGCCGCTCATGGGGTCTTGGCCCTGCTCGATGTGCAGCTCCATCTAACATGAGTGAGAGCTTACCATCTCCAGGTGTGTCGAAAGGGCCCATATGGTATACTCGCTTTTGGTCAGACGTTGGGATTTACCAGCTGGAAGTGAGAGATTTGAGACAAACGGCCGCCGGATCGTGTCCGTTCTTGACTTAGGAGATATAGGTAAGAGTCAATATACCTCTTGAGGTCGTATTAGAAATTCGGTCCGACTACGCGATTCTATTTTCTGACTTCAGGCCACCGATCAACTGATCTTTGAGAGGAGCCTATTGGAGATCGGAAAGAGACTCTAGATTCCCGGCACCGAAGACAAGAAAACCGACATCAGGACACTCGTTAAGCAGCGGCTGAACAATTCATTCTGGGAGTGGCTCTTAATTCTCGACAATGCTGATGACAAGTTGTTAAGGGGGAATCCCTCGGAGAGCCAACGGGGAGCTTCACTTGTCAACTGTCTACCTAAAACAGTAAACGGGGACTATCCGTATCACTACTCATACTATAAGTGTCGCGTCTTTTCTAGCCAGAAAAGAAGTAGTCACCCTAAAACCCCTACTTAAGGATAAAGCTGTCGAGATGTTTCTGGAGAGGTTTGAAGTGACCAAGCCGGCAGCAGACCGAAGAGAAGTGTTGTCGTTGGTGCAGGTATTAACTTCTCTGCCGCCTACGGTTGTTCAGGCAGCTTCATTCATCAACGTCACTCGACAGGCGGTGAAGAGTTACCTTGAGCTTCTGAAAGAATCCGAGTCAGAGGTTATTCAACTTCTTAAGGAGGATTTTGGAGGTCAGATGCGTTATCCGGATGCTAAGAATCCCATTGCCTCTACGTGGCTGCTATCATTTGAGCGTATCCGTCGGCGCTCCCCGCTTGCGGCGAGCTTCCTGTCATATCCTACATAGTTCACCTCGAGTTCTAGTCGCTCTCTCAACTTCTCGACTTCTCGACTGCGAACCGCAGCGGTCAGTCGTAGTCTCACTCATCCTTCTGTCGACAAACACCTCTCTTACAGCCTTCGCAGAATTCTCTCTTGTGCGGCATGCCTCGTTTTGAAGCGTAATTTTGCCGCTCCACTTGCACGCCAGCCCACCTCTGGATTCTGTATGCGACTCGGTCGACATATGATTGCTTATCCAGAACCAGAGCGCCTAGCTTGTTGCAGGTCTTGCAACGTTGATTGAACACTTCAGCATTGTACCCATTCTCGGCGTAACCCCTAATAAGTATCGCCACCTTCTTGCTGCTCCAGCCGTTGCCACATGCATTATTGTTGCAGCTGAACCTGCCCATGACGTGAGTCGCGTATATGTTGTTGGTGCCCTCGTCACTGTTGTTTTGGCAAAACCATGTGGAGGCTATGCTGTGGGAGACTGCGTTCGCGACGTCTTCATGGAGCGCCGGAAACATGAAAGACGTCCTTGTCTTGCCCTTCGGTCTGGAAAACTTCTTCGCCATTTGCAATGCTACAGCGACCTCGTCTGGATTAGATGTAGTTAGGAGGAGTCTGCGGGGTCTAGCGCCAGATGGCGAAAATATATAGTCTTGGTCATAAGGTGAGAGCTCTAGGTCAATGGTAACGTCTCTGGCCGGTCAACATCTGGCTCTTCACTGGTCAATATACCGACATAGTGCATTTCGCAAGCAGTCAAACTGCAGCCTGCACTGCACCGATCACTATGCCTACCAATTGCAAGACGTCACGTCTGCGGTAGGTCTGAGGTGCGACTCTGTCAAGCGCCTCGAGAAGCGTTTCGTTGGAGGACTCTCATCAACCAGCACTGCCTTCCATGATGGCCGAACGTGGCGCGTTTTGATTCGCGCTGCACCATGCACGCTGTTGTGTCGAGGGGTGAACATGCATAATCCACGAGGAAAGTCTTTAAAGCAAGGCAACTCCTGCAGCATTAACTCATACTGGGTAGACCTCGCTCCAATAAAGATTACTATGATCTAAACTGCTCGCTTTAATTTGACGGCGGGCAACTGCAACAACAGAAGGCATCGGACGATAAGGTCTTCAACGAACTCATATCAATGATCTCCCCATATCTCCTTCCAGCCGAATATCCTGGGTGAAATAGCTTCGATGACATGGCTGGGTTGAGTTGTCAGGCCTTGGTAGTCAAGACCAAGTAACGGTAGGATTAGCAAGCGCCTGTGGACAGAGCAACGAAAGGTTTCTCCGTATGCAAGGGTGTATTTTGGTTGACGGCTGTGGAAGAAAGTGGTATGGAACAGAGAAGGAGACGAGGTATTATTAGCGTGAAGCTGAAAGGAAGGGGTGAGTGTTAATAAAAGCGGCGCGACTAGGGAAAGTTGCACGTGAGCTAAGAGCCGGCTCGCCGGTTTTACTCATGTTTTGGCGCCAAGACAAGGCTGCAACTCCGATTGACTTCGCTTTCGCGCTTTCAATTATCTCCTCAGGTTGCTGGTCTGAAGGATGACAACTCGGCTTCAATCCACCGATACAGCTTAAATTCCAGCCACTCTGCTTGCCAACTTACCTTAGAAACATCTCCTGTACCTAGGATTTCCAAACCACCAATCCTCTCGTCGACCCTGCAAGCTTCGGTGCTCACCTTCACATTCCTCAAATTCCGTCAACCATGTCCTACTTCCGCATCACCTTGATCAGATCTGCCATCGGCCTCCCGGCAAAATCAGGCAACGTGCTCAAAGCGCTCGGTCTACGCAAACGCATGGCAACCGTATTCCATCCCGTCACCCCCGCAGTCGCTGGCCAAATCATGAAAGTAAAAGAGCTGGTTGCCGTATCGGAAGTGGATGAACCTTTGACAAAACAAGAAATACACCAGGAACGAGTACCGGATCCAGGCTTCTACGTTGAGTCAAAAGCGCAGGATCTTAGCAAATAGGAGGACTGGGGAGTGATTGAGAGACATTTGTACGATGTTCGACAAGAACAAGCTCTACCGCTTTGACACGCGAGGACATCAAACTGCCCTGCCATTTCGCACCATTTTGGATGGTGAGGGAGGTTGCCGCTTTCGTCAACTATAACGGGACAAACCGAGCCACTGCTTTGCTACGAGCCGCTGCAATATATCCAGCTGAACGCGAAACCTGGCGAATATGGCTTTCTCCTGTCGGCGTGGGAAGTCGCTGTCGGCCGGTGTTTCATTGTGGCGGAGGGTAGGCACGGACTATAGGAGGGATATAAGGTGGGAACGAGAACGGACTGGATCTAGTATCCTTGTCGTTGAGAATATGTCGGCACCGCGTCGAACGTTAGGCAATGCGTCGGGCCTAAGGGAAGTGGAGATCTAGCCTAAGAGCTACCAAACGAAGAGTTGAAGCGAAATCGGCGGAGTTAAGTAGCTGTTGGTAGGCTACAGAGACCTTAACAGAGAGTCAACTCAAGAATCATAACGCAAGGGAATTGATAGCAGGTCTATAGCGGATTCATGGAGGCCTTCTCGTGAGCATGGCTACCAATCGCGACAGTGGACGATTTCCTTGGTCGGAATGGTCGACAGATGATTATTAAAGGGCAGTATCAGTATTTCTTCAGATCGTCACCTGCGCACATATATCCATGATGTACGAGGTATTTTCAGTAGAGTGCAGTATTCAACTGCCCAACCTCGCCAAGTACCTACCAAGTAGTACTCTGGAGCTGAGGTGTTCCACCAATCATGAAGCTCCCTGTTTGGAGTCTGCCGAACGGCAAGACGCTGTCGTCATTCGTCATTCGCTGCTCCAGACCTTCACTCCAACTCACTCAATGGCCGACTGCTCCTCAATACACTTGACCTTGCTGAAAACGCCTCTCTCTCCTATTTAAAGACCTCGGCGCGTGGCAGGGCCTTCTTGTCTACGACCTTATACTCCCAGGAACAGTCGCAGACAGTAAACCACTGGCAGCCATGAAAGCAACCGGTCGTATCCTGCGGGCCACGCGACCGAGCATCCTCCTTCGCCGACAACGTCCCTCTCCTGCTCAACGTTTCGCCATTCCTGCTTCGACTCCTCTCTTCTCCATTTTTCGTCAACGAGCTCCTTTCTCCACCGCCCTCACAAGACCCTTGAAGGGCCTGCACCCAGACAGTAGCAACCCGGATCCGCCCAACACCGAGCCTTCGCATAGCAACTCATCGGGCGCTGCCCAAATCTCAGACCCCGAGTACCATGAGATCGCTGACCAATATTTGAATACCTTGGTGTTGGCCATGGAAGATCTCGCTGAGCGAAGTTCGGAGGGCATCGAGGCGGAATTCTCGGTACGTACGCTATTACCACTGAAAACTCCCTTTCACTTGTCCTTCTGACCAATATAACTTGTCTCAACTTGGACTCTATTCATCCGCACCCCCACGTTCGAGACATGACACTAACTACTTACTCTCCCATTCCCAATTTCCAGGCCGGCGTGCTCACAATTAGCCATCCGAAGCACGGTACCTACGTGATCAACAAGCAACCGCCGAATAAACAGATCTGGCTCTCCTCCCCGATCTCCGGTCCCAAGCGCTACGACTGGGTCGTCCCGGGCGACTCGCAGCACGAGAAAGCCGACTCGACTGTCGACCTCGGAGACGACGGACGGAGCGGCGGCAGGTGGATCTACCTCAGGGATAGGAGCAGTCTCAGCGACTTACTCAGGATGGAGTTGGGCGTCGAGCTTACGCACGGAGGCGACGGAGAGGGGGACGCTCCCGAGGGCAGAGTGAATAGTGCACCATAGGGTGGTAGCATGATGGGATGGTGAGAGACAAGTGAGAGGGAGAGGAGAATGGAGGTGGTTTGAATTTCCCAATTCATCCAATCTCGAAGAAAGTGAAGCGAGTTCTTTCGCGCAGCCTTGACGAGAGCTCCTTATGCGTCGAGCACCAGGGAGGAGTCTTCTGCTCCAAGCGGGCTAGCAGGGGGCCAGGATGGATTATGATGACGACAACACGGGACAAATAAATGGCACTTTTAGCTGCTGGTGGTGGTATGATGTGGATGATGTCCTGACTCAAGATAGGACGTCTCCAACACAAATTAAATGCTTCCTTGCCGTTCATTCAGGCATCTTTCCGCCCACGCCATTACATCAACCCGTCTCTGTCTTTTTTCGCTTTCTCCATCCTTCTGTGTTTTCCTCACTCACTCACTTCCTCTTTCTCGCACTCCCACCGCCGCCGGCCTTGGGCTGCGCCGCAGGAGCCGCGGGCGCGACTCTGGGCGCGGCCGGCTGCTGGGCGTTGCCCGCAGCGGGAACACCCCGACCAGCACCCATCCTCCGGCTCATGATCTGGCGCGAGATGAAGCTGATACCCAGCATCATCATCCACGAGGGCATGGTTCCCAGCGCCCACATGAAGTATCCAAACGGCTGCAGCACGCCGGTCTTGGCGAGCAAGCCGTCGATCGGGTGCAGCACGCCCGTGTACTCGGGGTACTCTTGGTATCGCGACTTGGAGGCGCGTGGCAGGCTGGTGATGTCGGCCACGGTGGTGGTGGAAGTGTTGAGCGGGATGATGTGCAGAGGTGTCTTCGCGCCCGCCGAGGCCGCGGACTGCTTGGGCAGTAAGAAGTGGTAGATGACAGGCACGCCAGACGCCCACGCCGTGCATAGCACCTCATCCTTTTCGCAGTCCAGCAGGCCGAGTATAAGTGGAGGGGAGCCTGCGGGCTGGGGCAACGCGGCTAGCAAGGCGACGGATTCCTAGGGAGCGGGCGAGTCAATAGTCAATCGCCGGGATGTCTCCTTCGTTTCCCTTTGCCTTTTCTTTTTTCTTTTCTTTTTCTTGGGGTTTGGTTTTGAATTTTTGAGGCAGTGTACATACATTCCACACGGCATCCACCGGACCACACCTGCCAAAGCAAGTCTTGTTGCCGCCTGTCAAATAGACCATCCATTCCTCCTCAGTGTCGGGCTTGGGAGATAGTTTGCGCTGCCAATTGCGGATGTTGATTTTCTCGACCTTGTTCTCGGCGACCTTGGCTGCGCTCGACGCGAGCGGATTGGGAGGCACAGGGACTGAGACGGAGGGGGCACCACCACCACCGCCACCACCACTACCGCCGATGGCGCCGGGGATGAATGACTTCGCCTTATCGAACCAGCTCGCAGCCTTGTCTTTCAAGGCCACCTGGTCTGCCTGGACCAGCAGCGGGAGCAGTAGGAGAAGAGACGCGAAGTGCATGGTCGCTTTTCGGCGCGGGTACGTGAGGCGATTGACGACGTTGGCGCTGTTGTTGGTGCTTTCAACACCAGTGGACTTTGGAGAAGCAAGCAGAAAACGAACAACGACGAGGAGAAGGGGAGGTGGAAGTGGAAAAAAGGAATGGAATTGCGCAAAATCACAAAAACCCCGACAAGAGACAAAAAAAGGCCCAAATCAAGTCTCGATGATGACGAAAATCAGGGGAGGAAAGTGTGAAGGATGGGAACAATGGCACGAGTACGTAGGTACAGAAAGTAGTAAGTAGGCACCGTAGCTTCAAGTACTCGGTCCGTACCTGTGTAGGTGCTTGGGTAAGGAATTGTGGTAGTGCATTTCGGCACTCGAGCGAGCGAGGGCGGATTGCGACTTTCTAGTCAGTCATTTTTCCTTAGCTGATAGTTGCCCCTCAACAACCGACTCTTAGACAGGAACCTGAGTGGCTGATAAGAGAAGTTTTTTTCTCCCTGCTGCAATTCAGCCGAATTGGGGCCCCCGCCGGGGGCGCCACGAGGCCACGCCGCCATTCTCCACGTGCTGGCTGCTGGTCTACTGTAATTGCAGGCTTGCGAAACCCGAAAAGGGGGGTGGGGAGGTGATCTGGGAGCGGAGGGAAACATACGGAATCGATCACACACCCGGCTTCTTTTATGGGCGTCTGGTACGTGGACTTGTATGTACCTCGTATATGTACCCCCAATATTGCAGACAACGATCTGATCACGATCACGCTGCCTTCTGGCCAGCCATTTGCTTCAAGAACTCGTCCCAGTCTCCCACCTTGACCTCCCACTGCCAGTCCGGTTTGTCCTCCTGGGACAGATCGAACAGGGCCCGCGCAATATTGTTGGCATTGATAACAGGATCCTCGTCTCTGACCAGCCCGCCAATGTTGACGCCGGCAACATGCACCCCCTTGGCTTCCACCATCTGCTTCAGGCTCAGCATCAGGTTGTACTGTGCGGCCTTCTGCATCGAGAGCGAGGCCAAGTCGGCCAGCGGACGGTCCCACAGACCACTGTTGGTGAACAAGAATGACGGATGAGTCCCTGGTCGCTCGGCGGCGGCAGTCAAATGTGGCAACGCCCATGATGCTGCCACGAAAAGACCAATGTTCATGCTCTGTGCCAAATACGTTAGCGAACAGCCTGGAAGCATCGCGAAACCCCCATCCCACATCCGGTCGGGGTTCTTCTCACTTTAAAGTCTTCCAACACCAAATCCGGACTGGTTCCCCCGATCTTGGACGGCGCAACTCTTGCGGCGTTGAAATATACCACTTCCGGGGGCCCTAGATCTGCGTGGACTTGGGCGAGGGCTAATGCCAGGCCGTTATGGTCTCCAACGTCAACGGGATATGCCTTGACCCTGACACGCGGATTCGCTATCTGCACTCTGATGACATCCTGGCCTAGACGCTCGACATTCCGAGAGAGCAACGCGACGTCGAAGCCCATGGAGGCGAACAGTGCTCCAGTCGAAGCTCCTATGCCAGGTCCGCTCCCCAGGATGACAATGAGTTTGTTGTCCGACATGGCTCCTCAATGGTGATGTATGACGCGTTAGACGAATGCAAACCCCGAATTTGAAGGGCCACAGAGGTGCTTTTATACGGGAACTCCAAGGTAAATGTTTGTTCAAAGTTGAGGTTTAAGTTTATCCTATACCCCTAACCGAAGTGGTGTGATTTTCCCATGACCGAGATGAAAGTTGTACCTAGACTTGGGTTTCGCCTCGGGGAGGGGCATGAAGGAAGAGCCCCTTTTTAAGTGACTTCTCACCTTCCATGACTGCAGGTCAGCTCTGGCCGGGCTGGGCTACGTTGCACACTGAGTGCAAAAGGGCGAAGGCGAATGCAGAAAAGGGTGCGTTGCCACTGTGCGTTGCGCACAAAATATGGAGAGCTGACAAGCTTAGAGTCACCTGATATGGCCTAGGCTACGACGGTACTGTGCTCGTATCTTCCGTCAGGCGGGCCATTGCAACCGTTATTCAACCCAGCTTCCTGGTGCGCTCCTTTGGAAACCTAAAGCGGGCAACACCAAGTAAAGTTTGGGCCTAAACCTTGCCCTGAGCGGTAAATTTCAACACTACGAGTACATGGGGCTCTGGAAAACGGAAAATGCTCTGGCAAGGCTGAAAGATGCTAATGCGGCTAAACTCCTGTGTGCCTAGCTAGGAGATTATGATGGATCGTCAAGCTCCTGTACATAAGCTACACACCTGGGGCCACCAGGGCTGGAACTGTGTGTGATATGTCCAATGCACACTTTGCTGCCGGTTTTAGTCAGGTCTCACGGCTGACAGAGGGATATCTTATGAAAGGCCTCGAGCTTGATGATCCGTTGACTGAGGCACTTCCGCGGACTACGAAATTAGACGTGAGAGAGCAGCAGAATTTTTGTTATTGTCATTCTTAATGAGGCCACCAGGGCCAGGCGATGAAGGTGGTAATCCTCACTCCCAACTAGTTCACTTCAATTGTCGCTCCAAACTTGTCCCCAGATCTTGCCCCCTTCGTTGAGGATCTTGCTGAGAGCTTTCTTGAGAGCTTCTTTCAGCAATTCGTCCGACAAAACCGTGAAGGGTGGGTATATATGTATTACCTTGTATGGGCAGTCTGCACTGCCGGTTGCACGGTAGACACAATCATACGTCAACCTCCACATTGACACCGTCAGACCATTGAGCCTATTTCTCCGCGGCAGCCCGAGGCGTTAGACATCACGTATATGTCTCCATTGTATATATAGCACATGGACATACCAATGGTGCATGACTTCCCTGTCAACCGCCAATGCGCTGTTCTGGTGGGCAAGCCTGTTATTCTCTTCTTCAAGTCTCACGTTGTCGGATGTCATCGCTTCGTTCTTGCGCTCAAGTGCGTTGTTCTTGTCTCGGAGTTGAGCCATGTTGATTGTCATTGTTTCATTCTGTTGTTCTAGCTCGGTATTCGTTTTCATGAGCTGGACCTTGTCGACTGTTAAGGTGCCGTTCTCTTGCTGCAAGTCAGCGTGCGCCTCTCTCAACCTAATAAGCTCTCGCTTAAATCCCAACATGAGAAACTCTAGACGAACACAGTCGTTCTTGTGATCTTCAAGATTCTGACGAACACGGGCCTTTATACTCAATGAGATCACATTCTGAGAGCTTGACAGTCAGTTCGATAGTGTGGGACCGGGAGCTGGCTTGGGAACAAAGTTGTGTTTGTAGTCCACATTGCAGCACAATTGACTGGTCTATGTGCCGCAATGTGCGTGGTCAGAAAAGGAACAGCCGGGCCATCAGAGTCTTTAAATACACACTCTGCACGTCCGTATCCCTTCATGACGGAACTAGCTTGGCCATCGAAGACAAGGGCCTGAATGTTCGGACGGGCCTTCGTTCCAACCATTTCTTGCAGGAAGCCGCTCTAGACATGGGCACAAGTGAGATGTGTGTGAAATGAGGCGTAAAAGTGTATTGGACTATTCTAGATCTATGTGGTCGGGGAGGCTGCTTTTATAGCCATAATTACTAGCGTCTTGGCGTATTTCACATGTGCAAAAGATGTGGTCTGCGCAGACTCGTAGTGCCATTGAGGCCACAGGAGAGGCAGAGGGAGGGAGAAGGAAGGAGGGAGGTAAGAAGAAGAAAGAGACTGTGCCTGCTCAGAAATCTCCCACGGTTTACCTCGTACTTCTGGGCCTTGTAGCCTGGCTCCGTCCTGGTGGCTTTGTGGCGTTGCGCCCCTCATTCCACTGTTACAGCGGCTACTGGGTACATTGGCGAGGGCCTCGTACCCCACGTTTTCAGCCACCAACTGCACCGCACAGAATTGAAGTCTGAATTTCGTGGGGTCTCCGCAGAAACGAACCAACAGACCACCCAGGCACTTCTCCAGCAGGCCACCTGACACTTGACTCCTCACACCGGTCGACCTCCTTCACCCTTTCCGCACTCAATCCATCACTGTAGCACAGCCGTCAACCGCCACCCCTCGATCAAGCCCATTGAATTCTTCCGTCACTCTAGACAAACAACTTAGCGTCCTTCATTTGCTTTAGGCACTCCTCTCTCTCTCTACTTCCTCCTCCTTTCTACATACACCCATCCAGCGCCGGCAAGATGAGTGCGATTCAAGACAGCGAGACCAACGAGCCTATCCAGGTCCTCATCACCATGCACGACAACATGGACCTTCTTGACTTTGCCGGCCCGCTCGAAGTTCTCACTCACGCTCAATACAACGCCAACGACCCAGGTAAAATGCTTTTCCCTTTCCCCCAAGCCCCGCATCACACGACACCGAGCAGGCTGACACGCGAGCACTCCCAGAAAGCAAAGCCTTCGACGTCACCTTCGCCGCGGCCCAGGAAAAAGTCCTGACCGCCCAGGGCGTCACATTGACCGCGCATATCTCCTTCAAAGAAGCGCACAAACGCCTCAAGGAGTTTGACGTCCTCGTCGTCCCCGGCGGCAAGGACAACTGCATGCAGGTGCTCAAGACCCAAGCCGAGCCTACACAGATCATCAAGGCCTTCGCCGACGCCCAGACCGCCGACCCGGGGAGAGAGCGCACCGTGCTGGCCGTGGACACGGCGGCGCTGTTCCTGGCGAGCCAGGGCCTGCTGCAGGGCCTGGCGGCGACCACACACCCGGACTTCTACATCAAGCTTGAGAAGGAGTGCCAGGACGCCGCGGCGCGCGAAATGGGCGAACGCACCGACGTCATGGAGGAGCGCTACGTGGTCAACAACGCGCGCTTCGACCTGGGCGAGAACCTCGACGAAAACCCCTACGTGTTCAAGAAGAACCGCAAGGGCAGCACCGCGCGCAAGGGCTCCCTGGCCAGGCGCGAGAGTAACCTGAAGCACGAGAACCTGGTGCGCAGGCAGAGCATGAAGCTGGGCGGCATGCGCGTCATCACCAGCGGCGGCACCATTAGCGGCATTGACGCGAGCCTGTACCTCGTCAGTGCCCTCGTGAGCCACGAGACCGCGCAGGAGGTCGCCCGGGTCATGGGCTACGAGTGGGTCAAGGGCGTTGTCGTGGACGCCATTGATGTCTAGATTCCATAGAACTGTTTCCCACAAGGAATACCAACCCCCCCCCCAAATCAGGCCGACAGGATGGCGACGACGCACGAATCTCGCGAGACACGGGAAACCTTGCCGGGAGCCATACTAGCCTATGGGGCCAAAGAGAGCAAGAACGAGACGTTGATGATGATAGAAGGGATAAAATGTAACTGACGTTTAGGATGGAACCTATGTTTTTCGACAAAATGGAATTGCTGTATGGCACAAGCAAACTGGACTTCCCCCCCCTCCCCACTGATTGAATAGATGACTTGAAAAGAGACCCTTTGATGAATCAATTACGGATGCTTCTCTACTAGTCCATGTTCAACTACTTTGTCTACCTCACCAAATGTGATGGGAGAAGCGGAACAGTTGTTTCTTGATCGCGAATCCATTGAGTCCTGGGTGTTAGACTCAAAAGTCCAAATGGCCTACTATGGCTAAAGTCAAGGTTGGTCGCCGCTATCTACAATCACATCGGGTGCCTGGCGTCCCCGTCTCTTGCATTTCATTCAATTCATCAACACATCTCAAAGTCTGAACACATTGAACGGTTTATCCCAGATCCCAAGGAGACTTTGGGGGGTTTCCCAAGATGCTGCTAAGCACCACGTCGATTGCCCGTCGACATCAGCGTAATCTTCTTCTTCTTTCCCTTCTTTGTTGAAGGGCCTCCGCCACTTGGGCGCGAGCTCCCATTATTCAAGGTAGCCTCAACCATAGCCACCGCGTCACTCTCATCCAGCAAGTCTTGCTCCCAACCCTGCAGCCAGCCGTCGTCAACTTGTGCGGTCACCGGTTCAGGCGCCGCGATCAACGGTGGGGAGATTGGTGCCACTGCCGCCGTCCCCCAGACTGTTCGAGGTGCGTCAGGACTAGTGCCTGGTGTGGCCAGCGTCGCAAATGCAGACTGAGCCCTGGCGTTACCCCACGGCGGTGTCGTTGCTAGACCAGGCTCGCCTGGCGAAGAGCTAGCATGAGTCGCCGAGTCCACTAATGGTTGAAAATCCGATTCAGTGAAACTCTTTGGCACAGAACTCGGCCTCCGAGGCCGGCGGGTAGCCGCCCATCTTTTGTCGTCCTCTTCCTTTTCGGCCCGGATTCTATCTCTCTCTTCTCTCGCTTCCTTTTCCAGGTTTCTCTTTCGTCGTTTAGTAATGTCATCCTGAAATTGCTCTAGAATGGCCGGGCTAATGACGTCTGTCCAGTCACATTCTAAGAATGTCACTTCACAGCCATATGGCAAATGAGCCATGTACTTGGCCCGTTTGCGCAGATCATCATCTAAGATATGCCCTGTAGATATGTGTTCTACCCGTGGGAGGATGGTCGAAGGAAATGCAGAAAAGTCCCCGAAAGCAGCCTTGAGGATCCGAATATCTAATGGTGAGAGGAAGAAATTTGGTAATGCATGATAGAAATAAAACGGGTGAGACGATGGCCGATGAGGTCCGTGAGCATGCCGCGAGGGGGGTGCTGCAGGTTTCGCCGTAGCGGTGCCTTGACCGAGTGTCATCAGCTTAACAGCCGAAGTCAAGTTGGAAGACCCCTCCTGGTCGACTGAATCCCAAGACTCTGGGATCTCTTGTTGCTTTGTAGATGAGTTTGGCGCTGCCATCGGAGGATTGCCCAGGCCGGACAACTTCTGTTTGGCATCTTCGATAGCCAGCACGGCTTTCCGGGTCCAAGTGTTATCGTCGCCAAACATCAGTTCGTCCTCCTTTTCCTGAGTATCGAGGTCCGCAATCTCCTGGTCGTACTGAGCGATCATGTATTCTTCGCCCCCTTTCATGAACCGAGCATACTCCATCATCCCAGCCACATGAAACCAGGGGATGTCATCAGAGCGACTGCTGCTCTCAGCGGTGTCTCTGGGCAAGGCCAATGTTGTACCAGGCTCACGCTTGAGCAGCCTAAGCAGGATGTCACCACCTTCTCTTAGCATACTGACATCGTTACCCTGGATCCATCTGACCGGTCTGGTATCAGATATATAAATGCTATCCTCGCAAATTGGGCACTTTTTCCACCTTGGTCGCTTCTCGGGAATCGGGTTGGATTCATCTGTTGAATGCATGTAGCGGATGAGGCAGGGCAGACAGAAGATGTGGCCGCACTTGGCCATGCGTGGAGCGACTGGAGTGGACAGGCAGATTGGACAGCTAGCCTCTTGAGTCTCGGCTGAAGCCAGCACTTGTAAAACTGCATCCCAACTGACGTAGACATCTGCATCGACCGTCTGCACATGGTATTCTCGGTCCGGGCGGACGACGAAACGGTAGTTCGCATGAACATAGCGAGCTTTGTCGATAGCATGATATCCGGAGCCGAGGCCCCAAGTAGGATTGCGTCTCTGGTGTCGATGATTGAAGTGATGTTGATAGTGGTGCTGGGGGCGGGGAGGTAAGGAAAAGTTCATAAGGTGGGTGATGGAGGTTTGACCCTTGCGTGAGTTGATGGACCTCATGGCTTGGGTCTCGTGTAGGACATCCTCATCGACGAGACGAGGCTTCTTCTGTTGCTTGTGCTGCTTCTTCAAGGGCTGGTTCCCGCGCGCCTGCGGAACCTGACGCGTTGCAACGGCTGCTCCAGAACCCCCTGAGCTGATAGAGCGCTTAGAAAAGGAATTGTCGGGAGGAGCGAGCGAAAAATTGGACGAATTCGAAGACGGAGGGAGTTTACTTGCGGGCGGAATGGAGGTGGCGCTGGATGACATTGCTGCTACTGGGTTGTCTCCTCGAGTCGGCAGTGAAGCAGACCAGAGTCCTCGACGAGAAAGGAAGATGGACAACTGCAAGATGACCGAAATAAGCCGACTGAGCAATGAATGTAATTGTAAGGGACTACAATCACCCCCAGTGAAGGGGTGGAGGTAGTTGAATGAGGTTGAAACAATCGACGACAGCGCAGGGTGGAAGATTACAGGTATGGCGACTGCAAGTCATGGCGGGGGACTTCATCACGAGCATGACTCTAACTGGCACCACTTACCACTCACCATCTTGCCATCTAACTGCCTATGCCTAGTGGCCAGGAGGCTTACCTAATTTCCAGCACCTAATAGAGAATTGGAGAAGCACCAGAAGGGGCTGGGGGCCACCAGTCTTTTGGGGGGGAGTGGGCGACAAGGGCGAATAGCTGGACATGCAGTGGTTCGTGGTTAGCGCCCACCTGGCACCTGGGTCCAGCCGACTGCGAAATCCGCCGAAGTTGACTTGACTGCAAATGACTGCGCATCAGAGAAAGATCCAACTTGCACCTCTTCTCACAGTTTGCTTGATCATCTCTTCAGCAATCCCCATCCTCCTCTCTCTACTCTTGCTCACCTCTTGCTGAAGACCCTGCGGCAGGCGTCTCACTTTGTTTGTGTCTCTGAGAACAGCTGCCTCAATCAACTTCGACCGACCGCGCTTTCCCTCTCCTTCCTTCATCTTCCCCTGGGCGCAGTCGCCCTCGACACATCGCACTACCTTTCACCTGCAACTGCCTGTCGTCTCCCTGTCCGCCTTTGATCATGGAGCAGCAGAGATCGTTGGCTTAGAAGACCAAAGATCGCGGAGACAAGAGACGCGATTCGTCCCATCATTCGACATCATGTCCTGGCGCAGAAAGTCCTGAACGCGACTTTATCGGAACAATGCAACCAAACCACCCTCCCTACGGGCAACATCCCATGCCCATGCAGCCTCCTCAGAGGCGCGATGGCTCGTACGCGGGCATGGTGCCTCCCATGAGGGCTCATTCGCAATATCAATTTTATCCACATCAGATGGCTCCTATGATGCCCCAATACCCTCAGCACTATCCGCCGAACTGGTATGGCTATCAACCACAACAACACATGCATCCTATGCATGGCAGACAGCCATATTATCCTCATCTCCCTATGCCACCGCCTCAATATCCTCCTACTGCTCCGCCGCCCCATCACGGACCTCTGGTTGTATCCTCCCAACCTCACGTGCAGCCCAGGCCTCGACACGCGCAAGGCCCAGCATCGCTGCCGCCGCAACCGACCTCTGCCGCTCCCTCCATTGCCTCAAATCCCGTTCAAACACCGCCTTCTCCTCCGCTAAGCACCTCAAGCACTGTGAATACAAGAAAGGATAACATCTCCCCCGCCATTTCACCTGCCCCCCAACGAGTACAAAGCCCGGCCCTTGATGCTCCTAGGGAACCTTTTTACCCTCCAGTTCCCTGGCTGTCTGTTGAGGGCGAGCCTTTCCCACCACGTGCTCCTCGACAGAGACGGCGAATTCCTCGTTCACTCCTGGCCGCGGAACCAGTGGTCTACCCCTTGGTCGAACCAGTGCCTCAGGAGCCAGCTGCTTCAGCAACCAACGAAGAAGCAGCGTCACAAGAGCAGTTGGAGGCTGTGTCACAAGAGAAGGATGTTATCGCAGACGCCTCGACAGAACAGCCCATCACACAGGAATCAACACCTCTGCCATCGGATGCGCCGTCTGATGTTGCATCTACCCAACCAACAACCCCATCCTCTGCCGTCCCTGCTCCACTATCAAAACCTCAGCAAACTCCGACTCAGCCAAAGGCTCGACCTGTTGGCCCCGTCTTGCCAGCTGTACCTGTCCTGCCGTCTAGCCCTTCTGCAGCACGCTCGACCCACCGTGATTCAGTCGTCTCGACACAATCAAAGCTATCCGAGTCGGCACAGCCATCTGTAGAAATAACGGAGCCCCGGCCCACCTCCTCTGACGCGTCAGAGGCGAAGCTAACCTCTGAAACTGCCGCGCCTAGTGTTTCGGCTCCGCCTCCGCCAAAATCTTGGGCCAATCTTTTCAAGTCGAATGATTTACGGACTGGTCCGTCTGCGGCCTTGCCTTCCAAGGCGGCCTCGACTATCTCTGGAACCGCAAAGAGTGAAACCCTATCCGATGTGCTGAACGACATGAATTCGATCGTGGAAGCACCGACTCAGATCTCTTTCTTAAAACCGCGCGGTCTTGTCAATACCGGCAACATGTGTTATATGAATTCTGTGTTGCAAGTCCTTGTTTTCTGCCTGCCATTCTACGATTTCATAGCGAAACTGGCTGACAGAGCTCCACATTCATTCAAGAGCGACACTCCCCTGATCGATGCAATGATAATGTTTGTACGAGAGTACCCCAACATCTGCTCTGCGAACTCTGTGGAACAGCTCCGTCTGCGCTTGAAGCCAGATGATTATGAAAACTACGGCGACTCTTTCATTCCTGAGTATGTTTATGCTGCCATAAAAGATTTGCCTCGGTTTCGGGAAATGAGGAGGGGCCATCAGCAGGACGCTCAAGAGTTTCTAGGCTTCCTGCTGGAAGAACTGCATGAAGAATGTGCTCGTGCCATGAGATCTACCACAGCTTCAAGCTCCGGTCGGACTACGCCTGTGGGCAGTGTTTCCAATGCCTCCGAACACGCTGATGCTGAAAATGGTTGGATGGAAGTGGGTCATAAACAGAAGCCCGCTGTCACTCGATCTTCAGGGGTGATTGCTGCGGAATCTCCTGTGACCAGTATCTTTGGCGGAAAGCTTCGGTCCGAGTTGAAGGTTTCCGGCAACAAGTTGTCTGTCACTTTAGAGCCATACTCACCGCTGCAGCTTGATATTGGCTCTCCTCAAGTAAACAACATCATTGATGCTTTGAAAGGGCTTACCAGACCGGAGAGTATGCAAGGTGATTTTTATACCCCAAGAGGAGTCAAGGCCACGGCGACAAAACAAGTCTTTATTGAGACTCTACCTCCTGTCCTGATCCTACACCTCAAACGCTTCCATTATGATAACACCACCAAACGTGCGGAGAAGATCTGGAAAAGAGTCGGCTATCCTCTGGAACTCGAGATCCCGAAGGACGTATTCCCTCTGCAGGTTCGGAACAAGTACACAGCGCACGGCGGGTTACCCAAATACCGCCTCACGGGGGTCATCTATCATCATGGCAAGAACGCCAACGGTGGCCACTATACGGTTGATATCCGCCGCCAAGATGGTCGTGAATGGATCCGTATGGATGACACATTACTGCGTCGCATCAGGGCTGAAGAAGTTGCCGAGGGTGGCAGCGAAGAAGATCCTAAGGTCCTTGCAGCAGCCCTGGAGCGCCACACACCCAGCGGCAACCGATTCGAGCAATTCGATCAAGGAACTGATGAAGATGATACTTCGGACAACACTTGGAGCCAAGTCAATGGGCATTCAAGATCCAAATCGACCATGAGCGCCGTCTTAAACGGATCTTCCACACCAAAAGACTCATCCGGGAAGCAGACGCCAAATCCCAAGTACGTCGTCAAGGACAATAAAGTTGCCTATCTATTGTTCTACCAGCGGATCTCCAATTGAGGCTCGGAATCTCTCCTGCATGAAGTGCACAATGTCCTATGGGCCATGTTCCTTTGGCCAATCTGACCTGGTCACCCACCACGATTTTATCATATCTTCTAGACCACGACGAGCCGTCTCGTCACATTTCGCGATCGTTCTTGAAATTATTGCAGCGCCTTCTTTGTAGATAAAAGCGAGCATTCGCCGAGAGGAGGGGGGAAGATACAAAAGTCAAAGAGGCAAAAAGTTCACAAGCCACTAATGTCAAAAGCGATATGCCATGCATAGCAGCGGAGGGAACCAACGAGAGTAGAAGTGGCCCTAGTTAATGGAATCGAATGCAGACTATCATTCATATCACATCTTCGCCTTTCTACACGACGAGACCTCAAACATCCTTTGGAGCAACGGATTGATCTACAGCGATATACGTACCCGCCTCAGTTATGATTGGAATGTGCCTGTACCAGTCATGCCATCAGGACAGACGAGTTGAGGAACATTTTTTTGGAAGGGATGGAAAGGCGACTTCTGGAGAACCTGGGAGGTAGAGAGAGTTTCCGGTGTGAACTGCGCAGAGATGGAAGAGTGGCAAGACAAAGACTGAAAGCAGTGAGTCAAGAAGCGGATCTTCGACTTCACCATTGTATCCATGTTGTTCTTGCCGGTTAGTTACTACCTCAACCCAGGCAGTGCTTGGGTGTGTTTGGACGCGGGGACGAAGAGTCGAGGGCTGCATCACCTTGGACGGCATGATGGTTGGTCGATGCTTCCGTGGCCTCGAAGCAATAATGTCTCTAGGCTATTTCGACCGGTTGCGGTCGAAGTATAGTGCCATGTTACCTAACTGTAGGGGAGAGCGAATACAGTTTATCTTTGATCCTTTGTCATTCTTATCTCATTCCGCGTTGCTGCCGGTTTGTTGAACAGAAGACAGCTGAGCTACCCAGGAGATCATGCATGTACGAATGAGCGAGTAGTAGCCTAGAATTTATTTTCTTTTTGTTTTCACTTTCTTTCAAGTAATGCCTTTTCCGATTGCAAATGCATAGTACGCGAGAAAATAGATAGAATACACGGCCCAGGCGGAGATTAGGAGTATTGTCTCGGGGCATTTTTTTGTCGATGAGAAGCGCCATGCGTCCGTGATTAATGTCTTGTATGACGCGGACAGGGAACCTTCAACATCACCGACACTGTTATCTTCGCCGTCGTCATTATCATTATCAGTAGTAGTAGTAGTAGCAGCAGCAGCCGCCGCCGCCTTGCTACTTTTGGTTTTTGTTGAAGAAGACGGTTCGCCATTTTCGCTCCTTTTGCTTCGTGCTGGAGAAGTCCGTTCCATCCCTTGGGGTTCGGATGCTTCTGGGGTTTTGTCTTCCTTCTTCGTCGAGGAGAAGGAGGATGGGGCAGAGGATGGGGGGGAGGGCGAGGGCGAGAAGACTGGGTGTTGCTCGTGGTGCTCGTGCTCGTGCTCGTGCCCGTGCTCGTTACGTTTACCGCTACTCTTCTTTTGACGCTGTTTGTTTTCTTCTCCTTGTTCTCCTCGTTCTTCCCCAGCTTTTCGCCCTGCTATTATTAATCCTTCCCCAACCGCTCCTCCCGGTTCTTCGGGTCGTTTGGCTGGTGGGCTTGTTGGCGGCTCTGGTGGTCGAGGTGGCGGTGGCGGCGGACTTTGTGATGGATTTCTTTTTGTTTTGCGTGGTTTCATCGCTCAGCTTATGCTCTCTCTCATCTCTCGCTTTGATTTTTGATTTTGATTGATTTTTTTTTTTTGGCTTTCCGGTAGATCTTACGGACGAGAAGAACAGGATAGGCGTGGATTTTTCCCACAAGCAGCAGGAATAAATCCCATTCGTGTCCCATTCTTCTGCCCCCGATTGAACTGCGGTACACGAACGGGCGCGAAACTTACTCTTCAGCGTCGCTCTTGACGTTCGGTGCATCACTCGGTCCACTATTCAAACTCTCGACTCCCATGTTTGTGTCGATGGTGTCGTCTGTTTCCCGCGAGTTGCCGACCCGCTCGACCGCGCTGAATGCACCGCCGTTGAGAAGTCGGCCCCTGATCCGACTGCCGTCACGGACATCCGGAATGCTGCGTTCTTCAATGTGCCATTGCTGAATCGCGCGGATAATGTCGACGGCCAGTTGTCCGTTGCGCTTGAGAGCCGTCGCCCAGTGTGCGGGGATCTTGTCGCCGATGGTTAATTGGCGCGCGACCGACGACACCATCATTTCGCGCATCTCGTTGTCTTCTTCCGTTTCGGCATAGATGTACTGAACCCTGCGGAGGCCGGGATATGTGGAAGTGCTGTGGTAGTATTCCCTGACTGCTTCGACGGCGTCAATGCTGAGCTGCTTGATTTGCAGTTTCTCCGAAAGCAGATACAAGTCAAGCAAAGGGCCGATGTCCTTCTCTGTCTTTGGTGTGTGGAGGGATTTGGAGTACAACCAGCCCACTAGAAGCTCAAACGGATAGTCGTCCTCCTCGGGGAGGTTATAGGTCTTCTTTTCCCGGGGTGTCTTCTCTTCATTCTTGGCATCTCCGTAAAAGATGGACGAGAAGAACGGAGAGTGGTAGCACAGGAGTCTCTCGTGTAAAGACCAGCGTGTGGAGTCTTGGCCAACACAGATATCTACCAGGGACGAAGTAAGAAGCCTAACGGAGTGTGAGTGACCATGTCGAAGACTCTGAGGCTGCGCGACTGTGGTCTGCTGCCTGCTTGCAACTACTCACTCGTGAAGAGGCTTCTCTTGATGGCCGTTGTTCTCAAGCTTTCCGTTCTCCATAAGTTCAGCCGGCATTCCAATTAGTCAAGGGAATACAGTAAGACAGTGTCAGGAAAGCGGGTGGGCAAGGTGACGAAGCCGCGCATGCGACCACGACAAGGGAAGGAAGAGGAACAGATGCAACAGAACGAAGGAGGCTCGGCGTTTACTCAACAGCTCGAAGGAGAGGAATGATGGAGAGAAATGAGACGGCTGGAAGGAAAAGATGGCTGGCTGTTTTTTCAATCCTCAACCTCCCTCCCGTGTGCCCTCCAGTCGATCAGTCGCAACCTCGCCCAAAGCGAAAGAGAGCACGACGTCAGAAGGCAAGCCACAAATTCCAAAGAACGGGAGCCCATTGGCGCTGAGATGTTAGCCGTGAGTGGACGGAAGAGCAGCAACACGGGCTGTGTCGAGCAGAGGACCCAACTCGCCGAACAAGGGAGTGAGATGCGGAGTTTGCATTTCGCCATCGCCATGTGGATGATGAAGAGAGACTCTGGCGAGAGCAAGAAAAAACCGGTTTGTGGCGGTGGAGATTCAGATCACGTGGCTCGGTGTGGGGGTTAACCGCTTTTGGCATCACGAACTCAATCGTCATCAGTGACGCAAGGACGGGACTCAGGAGCAATGAATCGATGGGCTTCACAAAGCATTGAAAAAAGAGCAAGAGGAGGCATCAACTTGGCGACAGAGATAAGAGAGTGTAGTGTACTTTGTAATTTCTGGCCTCTTTTTTCTATCCTCAAAACCAACGTTCTAAGATGGATGTGTGTGCGTATATATATATATATATATATATACATACATATATACACTACCACGGCCCTGTACACGACTATTGTAGCAAATACCTCTGCAAGGAGCTATCCGTCCTTGCCTAACGCACTCATTGGTGGCCCCATTTGTATCCACATGTTGCTCTATCGTCTATTGAAATTCAAATACCTCGACCCTAAGAACAGCAAGATCAAGTTGCTCGCAATGAAAGCTGCAAAAATCCCTAGATCTCGCCAGCGATGGCCGAAACTCAGCTGCAAGGGCTGGTAAAATTGGTCACCAACTTTGTAAGCGCAGTACTGACACACATCGCTGACGTTGCTGACAATGTAGCCTGGCCCGCCACGTTCGAAGAAGTTGCGCATGTACTCTCCACAATCCTCCCCCGGTGGTGAAGGGAACGGGTTGAGTTCCGACGAGGTACAAACCACGGGTAAGCCGTGCAATTCCGTGGTGACCATCCCTGATACCAAGCGAGTGAACGGGTCAAGCTGGTACAGCCACGCCCGCCAAAACCCGGGGATCTGTGGCTTTGGAATGGTAACACCGCAGAACAATGCGAAGGTGATGACAATAAACGGGTTGATCAGACTGGAGATGAAACTCGACGGCGTTAGTGCGGCAATCATCTGGCCCATTGTCACCGAGAACAACTCGGTAATTAGCACCATGAAGAACTGATATCCCGCCCTCGAACTGGCATTGTTGAACCCGGGCAAGTAGTATATCGGGACGAAAAACCCAACCGTGCACAGAAGGCTGTATGGCATCTCGGCGCAGACCATGGCAAACGCAAACGGGAATTGGCTGTATGCTTTCGCCGCGGACTCCCGGTAGAATATCAGCCGGGAAAGGTCGTACATGGGTTCCACCTGCGCCAAAATCAGGGCAGGGATGACGGTGATCTGAAAGATGACGAAAACTCGGTACTGTAAGCTTGAACGACTGTCGTCGAGCTGCAGGAATGCCAATCCCGAAAGCAACGCGATGGCCACATGGTTGAATAGCCTTGTAAAACCATAGTTGGGTGAACGCCAGAACGCCAAGTGCGTTCGCTTGGACACGACTTTGATTTGATGCCACAGTGGAGAGGCGTATTCTCTTTCATCCAGCTTCGGTTCGCCAGCAACCTGGCGTTGACGTTGGCCTTTCATGCCTATGATTTCGGTCTTGACGGTCGCGAGCTCGTCGCTTTCGCGCCATATGTCGCCCCAGTCCCTGTCACCAATGCGAGGTGCAATGCCTGCCCCGATGGCATCGAGCATCCATTCTGCCGGGTTAGCATCGGGAGGACAATCAGCGCCGTATTTGTGGAAGTACCCCAAAAGGACATGGGCGTCTTTGCCAATGTCCCCGAAGTAGACGGTCTCTCCACCTTTTTGTAGCAAGAGAAGCCGGTCGAAATTCTCGAATAGGGCGCTGTTGGGTTGATGAATGGTGCAGAGAATCGCTTGTCCAGCCGCGGACAGTTTGCGGAGGAAGCGAACAATGTTGAATGCGGATTGTGAATCAAGACCTGAGGTGGGTTCGTCAAGGAAAAGTAACAGTTGAGGCTTTGCGGCAAGTTCCACGCCGATAGTCACTCTTTTGCGCTCTTCAACTGAAAGTCCACTTTCAGGGCTGCCAATGATGGCATCTGCAAGATTTTCGAGTTCGAGTAAGCAGAGAACTTCTTCAACGTAGGCGTACTTTTGCTCTCTAGGCACTTCGTACGGTTGGCGAAGATCGGCGCTGAACCGGAGTGCTTCTCGGACTGTCTGAGTCGATTCGTGGACGTCAAGTTGTTCTGCATATGAGGTACCTCTCTGGAACCCAATGCCAGGCTTTTGACCATCAACCAAGATATCTCCGCCAATAACACCGATATTCTTCCGAGACGCGAGGACATCAAGTAACGTCGTCTTCCCGGCCCCGCTGGCGCCCATCAAAGCGGTCAGTTGTCCTGGACGGACGTATCCAAAGACATCTTTCAGTAGCCGCAGCTGCCCCGAGGGAGTGGGCACATCGTAAGTAAGATTCTCCCAGGTCAAGATAGCTTTGGAAGTGATGTTGAGCTCTGAGCTGTCTCCGGCGTCTTGTTTCGTTTGTCTTCTTCGTTTGCGTTCCTGGAGTTTCTCATTCAATGCTTTTCTTTCTTTGTTTTCCTTGGTGAAGTAAGTGACCGTGCGACCGCCCGCTCCATATTTGATGGTTTCTCCTAGCAGGACGTTGGTGAACAGGAAGAATGCGATCAATACAACGATGATGCCAAAATTTCGCCAGAGGTCCGCTGGGTCGTAGGAAAAGCCCTTCTTAACATATGCAGTCCCCAATACTTCGACCGATCCTGCTTGAGAGCCCGGCAGAGTGCAGACTTGGTGATCAATGTTGTTGTACCCAGGACCAGATGGTATCAGCGACTCGTCGGTACAGCGCATCGTCAGTCTCATGAACTCATTCATCATCATCGCTGCGAAACCTAGACCAAGTGCATTGATGTAAAATATCCACCGTAGCCACACTTGCTGGCTCTGATACTGAATGATATACCCAGAAGTGATCACGTACAAGGTAATAATGACAGCAGCGAACTTGATAGCGTAGTCGAAGTCCGGGCATAGGCAACCAATTGTTCGGAAAAACAATGTCATCGAAAGGTAGCCCGTGATGATGATGAGCACGAACGTAAAGAACGCCCCGGGACTCCGGACCAACCCTGTCATGAAGTACACAATGACACTAAAGACAAAAATCTGGACGGACGCAAATGCCAGGTCGACCAGGATCTGTGCAAGCCATAGAGCGCTAGGTCGGTGGAAAGTATACGCTCGATGCTTGTTCACAATAGGTCGCCCGATCATAGTGGATGCAAGTTCTGAAAATGCCTGGAATGCGTTGAAGAGCAAGGCGATGAAGAGAACGCCGCCGCGAGTGAACGCTCCCGCAGAAGTTTTGGGTTGGTTCAACCAGACGGTACCGACTACAATCGCAATGGTAATGGACGTGATCCAAGAGACTGCTAGAGAGAATTTATCTTGCCATTTGATCAGAAACTGTCGTTGCACCAAGGCCCAGATCTGCAGGTGGAATGGAACCGAGTAGACCGAGTTTTTGGGTGTGTGCTTCCGTTTGGCTTCTCGATGTGCCGCCACGAAATCATCATAAATCTGTTTTTCTTGCTTGATGGATTCTCGATAGTCCCCCATCTCTTTCTCGAGCTTTTCAGCATAGGTGGACTTGTTGAAGGCTTCCACGAAGGAGTCAGGCGTCGAAGGCGCGTTCTCGGGAGATCTGCCCGGTTTATATTCCCGTTCGAACTCGTCGGTACAGCCTGTGAGATAGTCAGGCGTTGTTTGACGTGGTTTCTCCAAAAAACCCAATCCTTCAAAATATCCTCTTGCTTCCTTTGCAGGACCGAAGAAGACTTGTCTGCCTTCATCGATCACCATAACTTTGTCAAATTGGCTGTAGATGTTCTCGGACGCTTGATATAACGAGACGAAAGTGGTGGTTTTGTAGATGTTGGTCATGATTCGAAGTGATTTTGCATAGTCAAGAGCTGTGGAGGCATCGAGACCACGCGTGCTATTATCCCAACAGCAGACTGTGGCTCGAGTCACCATCATCTCGGCAATAGAGACTCTCTTTCTTTCTCCACCAGAGACGCCGCGCATAAAAGGATTACCCACAATGGTATTGATAGTGTGCTCGATGTTGAACATTTTGAGGAGGAGTCGGATAACCCTATTCTTGAACTCGGCTTTGCTGAGGCCCAGCGGACGTTTTCCAGGCGTTTTGGTGTCGAGTGCGAACCCGAGGGTTTGGCCAACAGTTAGTGTGGGATGGTGGACATCGTCCTCTTGGTTGTAGACTGCCTCGCCCCGGTAGAGCTTCTCAAACGTCGCTGCGTCAAAGGGGCCGTAGAGAACCTCTCCGTCTATGCCTGTATATCCATACCGTTGATTGGCAAGCACTTTGAGAAACGTCGTACAACCACTTCCAGGTCGACCCAGGACAAGCACCATCTCACCCGGTTTCGCAACACCACGGAAGCCTTGCAAGATGCTGAATTCTCTGCCCTTTTTGCCTATCCCGAGAATGCTCATAATAGTTCCTGGCACGTTGAAGAAGTCGATGAAGGCATCGGGGAAGACTTTCACAAAGTTCTTGATGCCACCGATGCCGCGGACAGTGAGATTGTCCCAAATCACGCCTGTTGAGCCGGGTTTAGTAAAGATGGAAGCATGCCTCCGCGCCAAACTCACCGATATACTTCGGTTTGATGCCTGCAGCAGTATCTGCCTCCCTCGCGCCGCGTAGAGTGGTTTCCAAGTCGAAGGTATCTTCGGAATTCTCATCGGATGAACTGATTGCCTTCTCCACATCCTTCGCCCTGACATTCGAGGCTTTCGAGTGTGTCCGCGAAATTCGACGGCTGATTGCACTTAGTTCTCTGCTCAATTCTGCAAAATCTTTCTCCGCCTGTTCGACATTGACACCCGAGCTCGTGCGTTGAAGCCCATAAGAGTCGGCTGATATCCGAGGTCTTTCATAGTGCTTTTCACCGGCAAACGCTTCTCTGCCTCGTATCGTGTCGGACTCCTTTTCATCATATTGATGAGCTTTTGCTTGGGAGTTCTGGTTCGCGCCGGCACCATGTTGTTGTGCTGGGTGGTTGAGGCCCAATTCTTTGGAAAGCCCGTCGACCATGATTCTGCGAGCTTGGGACCTTGACAGGTTCCTAAATCCTCGGGTAAATTCAAAAGTTTTTTTTGGGGGGTTCGGCTACGTTCGCCCCTTCCCCCACATTAACCGGGGGCTGGTTGGACCAAGCTTGCCACGCACAGCTCTATACAAGATCGAAGAAAAGGGCTACCGCGTCCAAGGAGACGACCGGCGAAACAGGTCGCGAAGATGATAGCCTGAAAAAAAGATCAACAGAAAAGGGAAATAAATTTGGTCCTAGAAAAAAAGGCGGACATCTGGCCACTGACCGCCAGCCTCCACTTGGGCAAAGGGACGGTTTCGCATGTTAGTGCATAAATCGGCTGAGCGGCTTCCGGATAATGCGCCAGTCAATCATGACTCCAGCCTCCGGTGTTTTTGGAACCCATTCGGGTATCTTGCAGAGTCCATAAGTGAGTGGGGTGTCCTGAATTGCCTGAAACAGCTGGCATCTTCCAAAAGTCCCCTGTATCTCGATGGACGTTGGCAGGGAGTCATGTCAATTCAGAGTCGTTGAACAATGGATGGACATTGAATCATAAGGCACACTGCGGTCAAAGTCCGGAGTCTATTAAGTCTCTGCGGGGTTTGGTATGCTGGGTGCAAGATGCTGACTCTTTGATTGACCAGCAGAGGGTCGCGAAAATCCGTCGCGGATCCAGATAATACGAAGTCCCGCTCGGCGAACTCGTTCAGCTCCAGATATCATCTTTCGTTGAGCCGAAGTTTGGTGCGGAACCCCCAGTTCCATCTGCCCCATCTGGGTCGTAAGCGAAACTCGAGTCAGGGGATGCATTACAAATCAGACTATCTGACTTTTACCACCGGACCGGATTTCAGGGATTCCGGATGGTGACGACTTTTGCAGCGATGTGCGTCCAACTTCCCAGTGTGATACAAGAAAGACGACGTCCCAAAGGCATGCACTTCGTTCCAAGCAGGCCGCCAGAGGCCTGAGCTGTATCTGATTGTTTCCCGTATATGCGGAGGTACATAATCCCTCCTGTTGCCCAGCTGTGCCCAAAAATCCCCGAGCGTTTCATTTGTTCATGAAGCGGGAGCTTACCCGTGACAATTCCTTCATCAAATTGATCTTCGGCAATGGAGGTGTTTCGCCGCCTTCTTCTTCGACGTTGTGCTTGCTCACGATATTGAGAAAGACTTGGTCCAACGTTGCACGGCTGACACTGTAGTATTCAATCTGCAGCTCCGATCTGTTCTTCTCCAGAGCTGTGAACAGAGACGCGATGCCAGACTCGGCGCCAATTTCACCATCTTTGCTCGCGTACAATCCTTTTGTTGGCACCGAAAATCGGATCTGGCCTGCATATACCTTGCTCTCGATATTTGCATCGGGAAAATTCCGCAGGATCCAGTCTCGGATCCGCAGCATGTCTTCATCCGATGCGTGTGGGGCCCTACGATGTACAAGATGTACATAATACGCGTCTCCGTGCTTTCTGCGAAGGTAATCAGTGGTACCAAGCGCCAACATCTTGCCTGCCATGATACCAGCTCTTGTTGCGAGGGCATCTGCCTCCTCCATCGAATGGGTGGTGAGCACCAAAGATCGACCAGGGACCACCGATTCCAGTGTTCTCCACATGACGCGCTTGCTTGCCGCATCCATGCCTGACGAGGGCTCGTCAAGCAAGAGGACGCTGGGATTGCCCATAAGCGCGATTCCGAGGGACAACTTGCGCTTGTTGCCACCGGACAATTTGGCCGCCATCCTATCAGCATATTGCTCCAGGCCAACCGCACGCATCACTGCTTTGACGTTATGGCGAGGGTCGCTAACACCACGGACTCTGGCGTAGAAATGCAGATGCTCAGAGACAGTCATGGTATCCATCGCGTCAAACTGAGGGCAAACTCCGAGGCGAGATCGTGCTTGAGCCCGATGTCGGATCACAGAGATATTATCGACTAAAATATCACCTCCTCGTCGGCTTGGCTGGATGTCACCCCTGATCAGAGATATTATCGTCGACTTGCCGGCTCCATTTGGTCCAAGGAGGGCGAAGACCTCACTCCGAGGCACACCAAATGTTACATTGTTGACAGCGAGTGTTTTCCCGAACCGCTTGGTCAAGTTCAGAACGCGAAGACCATCTTGTGACGAGGACACTCTTGTGAGTTCATTCGAGACTTCCGCCTCAACAGTATCTCTCTCTTCCACCTCCTCTTCCAGTTGCTTTTTGCGAAAACGTCGAAAGAACGGCCCAGAATCCCACCACAGCAATAGCCCAAAGAGCAAAAAGGATTGCAGAATCAAATACAGAATGGGACCGCCAAACGTGGTCATTGATCCAGCATAAGAAGCAAACTCTCGATCCCTGCAGGTGATCGAGAAAACATTGAGAGCGACAAACAGTGCGCGGGTTAGATTTGCTACGGGAGAGATGGCTGCAATTGTGAAATGACAGATATCGACATTCCTGTCGATTTTGTCGATCGGTGAATAGGTGAGAACGGACATGTAAGCGATGAAGTAAAGCAGGAACATCACGGCCTGGCCACCACTTGCGAAAGCAAAAGCTGCCAGTTGCGACCGCGAGAATAGGGATATGACATACGATAATAGTGTCGAGGCCAGGCCATACAAAAAGAACACCACAAAAAGGTATTCAATATGATACCACACGTCGGTGACAGCCCGGAAAATGATAATGGTGATCGAACTGGTGATGACGACAATGACGAAGTCGAAGGCTGTGTACGCAAGCCACAAAGGTGCCGACCGGACGCCATTGCTGTAGTGGAGGCCTCGAACGTTGCGCAGCCGCTCAATCGTCGGATACAGAGCGAAGAAGGATGGGTAGACAGCCATAGCAAGCCCGAAATATGTGATCAACTGCAATGCTTTCCCGACATCTGCACCCCACGGCACGTCGAAGGCTTGGTATTGGCTTGAAATAGAAATGTTGGTCAACAAGGTGTCCATGGCATTCTGAATGATGCACGAGAACGCAATATTTCCATCCCCTCGCCACGCAAAAGTGGGTGGTGAAGTTGAATCTCCCAGGAAAAAGCCACCGGGCGTCACGTTGGCAAACTTGGTGTCGATGTAGTGGTTGAACTCATCGAGGGTATCAACCAGATGGATTGATTCCAACAACTTTGTGGTGTTGGCTGCAATTCCTGCGGCGCCCGTGCTGCCTGCTAGCGTAGAAGCAAAAAGCTGGATAGCATTCTGACCAAGCCGATCTCTCGGTCCCGCTACAATGTCGTAGTCAACCTGCGAGGACAAAGACTCAATGTCGGACACCAGAGCTAATGATGCTGGACTGCAGGTCGTCTTTTGGAAATTGTGGAGGAAGAGGGTGACAAGCCCGGCAGCAATGATTGGAATCAGCAGTGCCGCAAGGTAGGGGAGAGTGTTCCGGCGAAGGACAACCCATCTCTTTGAGAAAAGCACTAGAGCTTGTTGAGGCATGCTGATGCGACGTCCATCTAGGAGCTGAGGAGGTTCTCCTGATGATTCATCTCTGAACATTGCCTTTTCAGCGTTGCCAGGATCAATCTCGGTGCTGCTGTGACTGCCAGTCTCCTGGAGGGTGTGATCGGCGCGCGTCTTTTCAGCTTGTTCCTGCACCAATTTGACCTCCTCGGCAACCTTCAGGAAGACGTCCTCGATTGTAGGACCATTAACCTGATACTCCCCAACGCCTGCACTTTCGATCCGGCGAAGAAAGTCTGCTGCTTTTGCTGAGTCCGTCAATGCGTAAATCGTCTGGTCATCCCGTCGAACATGATTGACATCCTCGTACGTCGGAAGCTGCTGAGACCCGTGGGTATGGTAAATATGGACTCGGTATCCCGAGCCTAGTTTGTGTTTCAGCTCCACCGAGGTTCCCGAAGCTTTCAGAATACCTTTAGACAGGATCACGATATGATCGGCAAGGAGCTCAGCCTCGTCAAGGAAATGTGTCGTCAGAATGATGGACCTTGCCCCCCGCTCAGCAAGCAAAATATCCCAGATCTTTCGCCGGGACAAAGGATCAAGACCGGAGGACACCTCATCCACGCAACATACTCGCGATCCTCCAGTGAACATCATGGCCAGCTGCAACTTCCGCTTCTGGCCCCCGGACAATGTCTTTGAACGGGCACCGGCTTTTCGGTCGATATCGCACGAAGCCAGGAGTTGCAGATTATCCTCTTTCGAAGAGGACTTCCGGCTCTTGATCTTGTTGAAGATGCGGACGTGCTCTTCCACAGTGAGGTCATCCCACAGCACATTTTTCTGAGGACAAAATCCTAGTCCAGTATATGCCTCGGGAAAATTGACGGTGATCTCTCCGGAGGTGATAGAATTGAGGCCGGCAATCGCATCCAAAGTGGTGGACTTCCCACTACCATTGGCGCCGAGTAGCACCACTATTTGACCTCTTGTCGCATCCAAGGTCAGGTTGTTGACGGCAAGTACAGTCGTGAGTCGTTTCCTAGTGAAAATCGCGCGAATCCTCGCTAACCATGAAGGTACATATTCCTTGGTGAACCCTGACATTGAGATGGCTGTAAGATCATCCGAATATGTGGTCTTTCGACTTTGCGACGCTGTGCCATAGAACGTGCGCTCCACATAAGCACCAAGGATAGGGAAAACCAAAATCTGAATTATTGAGAAGATCCACAGAGCAATCCCTGGTAGAGCAGATGTATTCTCTGGCGCTTGCTTCACCAGATTTGTGGCAAGGTCCTGCCTTTCCCAGCGAGCCATGAAGATCGTAAAGTATACATAATTCATTGGTGGGAAAAGGAGAGAGAGTATGGCGACAGATGCTGTTCCTGCTTTGCTGGCGACCTGGGCGATGATGGCGAGTAAGAGGCTTACAATGACAGAGGTAATCCCACTGAGTTGAGCCTTTTTGAAGAATGCGCCACCCAAGATTGAGAATGATGACATCGACAAGCCGGATAAGATATTAAATATGATGACGATAGCTGGTGAAGTGTTGGTGAAGACACCTGCACAAAGTATAATTGCCATGATGATCCAACCGGGGCCGTAGAGTAGATCAAATGCGAGGTGGTTGGCGATAATTCGTGCCATCTGTGGCTGCCACCGCTTCAGATTCGGCATCATACAGTCAAGAAGTTGAGCCATGCCGTTTTCCCTCTCCGAAGCAATCGCTCCGGTAAGCTGATATGTGACGCCTACAACCCCGATGAAGAAGGCGACAGCTAGGATGTCGATGATCCCTCCCATATATCGGGTCCGGATACGCTTCAAACGCTCCTGTTTCGTCAAGGAAGTGTAAGGATATTCATCTGCTGTATCGGGAAGTATTGTCGCCCCGTGGTTGCCGGTTTCGACTTGAGAGATGGCACGGTCAATAGCATGTTGGAGGGGAAGCAAGTAGATCTCGACGTCGTTCTTGGAGGAGTCCGTCACGATCTTAGACTGAAGCCCGCCGTCTGCACGGATGGTGTAATTCCACCGAGCAGCGTCTCCTTCCGAGGGAGAGGAGAAAAAGACGGCACCCGCTATGCATGACGACGTTCCCCTGATTGAGTTTCGGCAGACGGTCAACAGCTCCTCCTCTTGGGACAGTATCTCGACTCGGCCACCAAATGACCCAGTATCATTCACCACTCTGTCAATGACGGATTGAATTGCGCCATCCGAGAACCCGCTGTTGACAAAAACGAGCTTGTCTCTACCGCCAGAGACCAGGTCAAGCGCTTCAGATAGACTTCGAACCGGGGTTGGGTCACCAATGCCATATACGCTGGGAGGAATGAACAGAAAGCGCGCGTAAGATCTGGACAGATTAGGAGCTGTTACCAAAAGATAGGTGTAGACATAACGCACAGAAAGCCGACGAAGATGCAAGGCAAGAGGAATGCTCGAATAGTGGTCGAGAACCAGCGCCGGACAAAAGCAACCAGGAGATTCTTGAGGGTCAGAGTAAGGACCTGGCGCAGGAAGAGAGCCATGGTGCAATGGGAGCGATACAGATGTGAGGATTCTCGGTCCTTGGAGCACAACGTCTCTCAGAGCGGTCGATATTCTGTGCCTGGCATTTGCATTGATAAATTCTGTACGGGCAGGAATCGTGGAGGGGCAAAGTGACAATCAATATTCACACGAATCGAAGCTGGCGAACCAGGAGAGATATGTACAGTGGCGAAATGAAAGACATGGTGCGAGACCAAAGAGCAAAAGAGCACCCTCCCGGGGCAATGGTGGTGAAGCGAAGAAACAGTGTTGCCTGGAGGGAGAGTGGCTGAAGTGGTTGACTGAGAAGGGGCAGCTTGGTAGCTTGTCTTGATCCCGCTGCCGCCGCAGTTCCATGACACCACGACTAGACTTGACCCCGGGAAAATCAACGTCGACCCCCTCATCCAGGCTTAGAGCTTGCTTGTGCCATGAGGTTCGTATCGGTGCGTATTGTAAGCGAGAAGCCACGCGATGACGATCCAATGAGGGCGGGCCTCGGCCGGCGAGTCGCCTGTCCAATTGAACCACTTCTTGGCCACTTCTGGTGTTGGCTGGAGGTGTCTTGGTGGTGGTTGTCTCTCCTAGTGGGCATGACACCGACTGGACATGCTGAAACCAGTATAAATAATCATCCAAAGCCAGATGCGGGCTGATATCGGGCTGATTATCAATACGGTAAGTCCTTTCGACCAGTTTGACCGAGATTCGGGTCAATCGACCCAACCCATCTCCGCCAGCGCCATAGCAGACGGGGCACAAACATTTGTCTCGATGGCGAATGGCGGCATCTATCAGCGACTCAAACACGGCCACATTCGGGCCAGCCTTGTATCTATACGACTGAGACGACCAGAGAAAGTCTGTTCACACGGTCATCAGAGTTGAAGCCTCCGCCTTCTTTCAACCTTCGTGTCAGCATATCGAAACGACCTACCGACCAACGACCCCGACACCTGGATGACGGACGTTGCGTTACCGGTGAAAAGGGTCTCATGTATAAATGCCGTTTCCTATGGCCAGGCTCGCTTAGTTGTCAGACGAACTTGTCGCTATGGCTGCACAAGGACAGCAGTGATGTCTCAGGCGACCTATGGGTGCACAGAAACATGCTTTTTGTCAGGTGCGAGAACCAAAATCGGTGAACGCGACTTTCTGGGGGCATTTCAGACAGGCATCTGGGCGGGCTGAGTGAGAATGTGTCCACCCTTGAAAACCGAAGACTGCAGGAGTATACATAAAGTTCGCTCTTTGCCTCCTCGAGCTGGTGAGACTGATAGTCAAGTACCTCTTTTGTTTTCCATCCCCTCCCTTGCGAGAACAGTTTTCGAACAAGCCGAATATAACTCCAAGCCATGGGAAGACTATCAGTTCTCTCAGTCACCGACACAAAGCCAGTCACAGGCGCCTACTTCATACTCACCCCCGTCTGTGTTGCCTTTCTCTACCTTGGCTACCGTAGGCTCCTTCCCCGACCCATTCCAGGCATCCCATACAATGAGTCGGCCACCCATTCTCTCTTTGGCGATATACCTGAGATGATGAACTATATGGCTAGAACCGAAGAAGTCTGGCCGTGGATCGCTGACCAAGTAACGAAGCACCAATCACCTATTGTCCAAGTCTTTGCTAGGCCTTTCGCCCGGCCTTGGGTCATTATTTCCGATCACCGCGAAAGTTGCGACGTCCTCCTCCGAAGAACGAAAGAATTCGACCGGTCTAATTTTACAGCTGATGTCTTCACAGGCCTGGTGCCAGACATGCATATCAGTTTCAAATCCACAGAGGAACAATTCAAACTTCATCGGAACCTGTTGAAGGACCTCATGACTCCTGCCTTTCTCCATGCAGTCACAGGCCCTCAGATATACGCCAACACCGAGACTTTCGTCAAGCTTTGGGACTTTAAGACTCAAGTGGCGCAGGGACATGCGTTTGAGGCCAGCGAGGACATCTACAACGTGGCGCTTGATGTCATCTTTGCGGCGGCATTCGGGCTGGAAATCCAGGATAGCAACACGTTCGCGCAGCTGCAGCAGCTTTCGTCAGCGAAAAATCTGGACCGTCCGCAGTCTCTCAGTGACCCAATGCCATTCCCTCAGTTCCACCGTCCGGCAACTTTCGAGGCCATTGCAACACTCACAGAGTCTCTCGAAGTCTCAATCAAGGCTCCTTTCCCTCGTTTCGCCCACTGGGTCTTACGCCAACTGCCTTACATGCGAAAAGCCAGAGCCGCCAAGGAGAAGCTCTTCTCCGATATGGTGGAGGAGTCTCTCAGCAAGCTGTCTTCCGGGACCAAAGTAAAGAGATCCGCCCTTGACGACATCTTACAGCGAGAGACTGCGGCCGCAAAGAAAGAGAATCGAAGCCCAGTCTATCATTCGCGAGCAATTTATGACGAGGTGAGTTGCTATCCACAAAGTCTACTTAGTCGACACATACAGGGCCTTTTTTATAAAAAAATAAAAAAAAAAATATAGGAACATGATGCACTAACTCTTCTACTAGCTCTTTGGTTTCCTCATTGGCGGTCACGACACAACGAGTACGACGCTCACATGGACTGTCAAATATCTTACTGGTGCCCAATCCGTCCAGACTATCCTCCGCTCTCGCCTTCGATCCGCCTATGCCGCAGCGACAGCGGAACAACGTAACCCAACAATGGAAGAGATTATCAAGATTCCGATTCCATACCTTGACGCCACCATTGAGGAGATGAACCGAACAGCACAACTCTTCAATGGGTCAATTCGTACAACCACCGTGGACACCACACTGCTAGGCTACAACATCCCCAAGGGCACAGACGTATTTTTCATGCAGAACGGGCCAGGATATCTCTCGCCTCCTCTGCCCGTCGACGATTCGACGCGCAGCGCATCCAGCTTGAACGCCAAAAACCAAGCCGGACAGTGGACACCGGACGAAGAGGACATGAAGACGTTCCGACCCGAGCGCTGGCTTGTTCAGAATTCGGAAGCTGGGAAGGAGGTCTTCGACGCGCAGGCTGGACCACACCTGGCGTTCGGACTCGGACCCCGGGCGTGCTTTGGTCGGCGAATGGCCTATCTGCAAATGCGAATCATCCTGGTCATGATGCTCTGGAACTTCGAGCTAAGGAAGACTCCCGCCAAAGTGAGCAGCTCGGCGGCTGCGAACAAACTGGCGCGCCATCCGCGAATGTGCTATGTGAGACTGGAGAAGGCAAAATTCTAGATGCCGTCGGACAGAAAGAGACTTGATTAGTATAGGACATGCACACAGATCCCGTCACAGCGCTAGCATATTCCGTCGCAAATGCAAAGCTATTCAAGCTCATTCAAGCACGGCACCTAAAGCATCACTTCCGCGGGCCGGCACCGCCTCCGCAGCAGTACAGCAGGGTAGTCCAACCAACTCACGGCCATTACTCGTAATTCCAGGTCTGGTCTCCTTGGACCTTACCTCAGGAGTCCGAATACAAAGAACCAAGCAGCCGCGTATGCTGCTGGAGACACGGCCTGAATCCTGACGACTCCGCGCAGATTTCGGGGTGTTCGCAAGTTATGCCCTCGTTTTGGACATCATCCACAAGGCGCAGGAGACAGGCAGATGACTCAGCGGATGCGGACGCTCACCGGCGCCATTATGTACGGCATGGACGGTCGAAGAAAAAAAAAAAGGCAGGGAGGTTCTGCCCTGTCAGGCGAGCGGCAGCGCCGACCTGTCCGTCCGGACTCGTGCTCCATAGGTGCTGAGGGCCCACTCGCGCAACGGCTCGGTATAATAGTAATATGAATACTACCGGACTCGGTACTACTTGATAATAATAATGCGTGAGAAAAAGGCCGAAAACGGCAAGAGCAAAACGTCATTATGATATCAATAAAAATAAAAATAAAAATGGATATGTTTGCGTTATAGTCCTTCGGCCGCTGACTACCCAGATCTCCCGCGAACAAAAAAACTGCTCTCCACATACATGGTGTTCGATTCTAGGGGATGAGTGAAGGCCACTTCAGCCTAGTGATAGGTTGATGAGTCCAGAAAGACACGCATTCAGCGGGGGGGGAGGGGTGTTCGACATTGCCCCAGTAGTTATGTGTCTCATTAATTCACCGCTCCTTGTTGTCGTCAGGGTGTTCCATCTACTGCTGCATCATTGCTCATATATTATTATCGTCCGTTTTTAACCATACTGACTGTGGAGATTTCAAATAGACCGTAGACGTCAACAGCCCCAGCATATGAAATTTAAAAGGCCCACTCAATCTTAGTCTTAGAGCTCAAGCATAATGTTTGCGAGTCGGCGATGAGGTCCTGCTTCTGCCCTCCACTAATGAGCTGTCTAACTGCTTGAAATGCTCTCGGTGGTAAGAGCCCGAAGTCGAACGCCGATGAAGAAGGTCGTAGTGTCTGGATGCTATGAATGCCGTGGAATTTTCGGGAGGAATGAACGGATAAATAGGTCGTAAGCTAACGCGGTATCATTTGGAAGACGTTGCAGGTGGTGAAATACGCAGGTACCTGGATAAGAGAAGTGTCTAATATTTTCAACTGAGCTTCAGCCCTGACCAAGACAGACGCAGACCATCACACCCACGGCTCCATCCAGCCGGTGAAGACATTTGTGGAACAACCTAAGCTTCGCGAGCAGAATTCGAAAACAACTGGCGAGCAATCATTTGCACTCAGGCACCCTCGATCCTTCTTCTCTTGACGTCGATCCGCTTGCTGTCTTCGACTCCCTCTCGGTACGCACAATGGTCTCTGACCGTGCGTTCTCTGCGTCTACCCTTGCTGAGCTTCGTTTTCTGCGCCTTCAAGTACTCATCTGCAACTTTCTCGGCAGACTGACGGAATCGCACCAGAGCCTGGCTTGAATTCCAGGGATTGACCGTGAGTTGACCTTCGCTTTCATGATCACCAACAGTAGCAGAGGTTGCGGGAGCATGACTAGGAACCATCTCGTGAAGTTGTTCGTCAAAGTCAGCGTCCAGGTCCAGTGGCTTCTCTTCCTCTTCCTTAAAAGTCACTTCAGCTTCAACTTCATCCTCGTCGCTGAGGTATCCTTGATTTTCTGGGCGCGCTAATTTCTGGTCTTCACCGTCCTCCGGCTTCATAGTTCGTTTCTTCTCGTCCTCATCTTCCTCCTCCTTAAATATCATTTGATCTTCGACGTCACTATCGTCGGTCGTATTTCCCTGCTCTCTTACATTGTCACTATCCTCCAGCTTGAGTGACGGCTTCTCATGGTTCTCGAGGCATGGGGAGATCCCGGGATTTAGCGATGAGCGTGCGGTTGCATTCTGGTCATCATTGGAGTCCTCGGTAGAATGGTAAATATGCCCATCTTGCTGACATTGCTCACGTCGTCTTTCCATCTCTTCCGCACGTTTTTTCTCATCTCTCTTCTCTTTTCGAGCAATATTCTCCAGGCCAATACCAATGCCTAGGCAATAGCTATGTTTTGCGTTTTTGCCAGCTTTGCTCCTGGCCCATTCGAGGGTCAGATTATGAGCCATTTCGAAGGCCATCGCAGCGGCGACCGTGTTCGCAGCAATCCCGTAGAAGGTCCATTCAATGGAAGCCAGACACTGCGTGGAATAAGTCTGGCAGTCGAAGAAGATGGTCATCGCCGCGGCAATGTCGTGAACCCAAGTTTGGGAAATGACTTTTGCTCCACTTCCGTTAGTGCTGGTGATGGCCACCACCGACTGCCCTCCTAGGGCGGCGTAGTCGTCATCGTTGGTAGCCCGATCTAGAAGATCGGCATGTGTGACATTGTGTTGAGTCATCAGGCGGCTTGCCATACGCATTGCGGCTTGGGCTTCCGACTCTGGAGTGTTTGGATGTTGAGCCCGTTGGAGACATTTCTTGATGCGGTCCAGTATCCGCTGCTCAAGGTTCGACTTTCTGTCATTTTCCTCTTGCACCTGAACCGCCAGCTCTTGTACTTTCGCAGTTTGTAGGGGAGGAGGGTTGAGCTTGCCTTTAGAATTGCATGTGCTTGACATGTTGCGCACTGTTGTTGGGGGAGTCCCCTGTGCAGTTCGCCAGTCGCGCAGTGGGAAAAAGAGGGTAAGACAGTCAGTGTTATTTAGATTGACGCAGGCACCGAGCAGGCAGCAGCATGGGAGCATCAAAATGCTGCATGTCCATTGTCATGTGATTTGTGTCCCTGCGCAGGTGTTGAAGTTTAATCAAACCACCCAACTCTTCTGATGGAGAGGGCCGAGAGGGTCACAGACAGCCTCGCTATCTTTGACCTACATGGCATCGGGTTCCTAGCTCTTCGGTTGAGATCCCTTCAGGAACAAATTATTCGAAGATGCTGGTTAGCTTGCTTGCGTCGGTCCGCTGCCACGCATTGCACTTCTGCGTCTGCCTGAATGTCCCGTGATCTGACTCTCGCCGCCTATCTGGCTGAACGATGTTCTGAGGCTTTTTCTCTGTGCTGCCGCATGCTCGACTAGCCATTTTGGACCTTTATCATGAGCCCCGGGCTCTCGCGGGCTCTCGCCTGTACGTCCGGGTTCGTGCATCGTTTGACGATCAGAGAGGAAGGATTGGCAAACCCAAATGTGAGGATGCCTAGAGGGACAACAATGAGGTGCAGCCAATTTCTCTGGAAAGTCCAAGTGACAGATAGTTCGACCTGTTCCCCAAGTCGCCATGACAATGAAGAATGAAGAAAGAAAGATGGGAGGATGGGAGGATGGGAGGATGGGAGGATGGCTAGCGAAGAGCTACGGACGACCCGCATTCTAAACTTTATTAACAGAGGTCTTCAATCCGCCAGAAAGCTAAAACACCACAACATCCCCCTCCCTCAACACCAGCCGTCTTGAATCGACCTGTTGTTCCTGACCTTAAGCTACTAGCACCTTTTCTGTCCGTCTCGGTTGATTACGCCCCGGTATTGTCTCATATATGGTCACCAACAGCTTGTTACCATGCATGTTAATTTCCAACCCACCGTACAGGTGTAGGATCGGCACCCATGGTTCTGGACATTGCATCTCCGTTAGGATTGAGATCTGAGGAAGACGGAAAAGTAGGCTTGCGAATGTACTCGCCCGCCTTTTCGTGCATGAATGGTGCAGTTGCCGCCCGAGTGACACGATGGTCTCACTCGATAGTGCGTGCATAATATTAGCTCTTCATGTGCGGCCCGTTCCCCCTCATCAGCTGGAGGATGCCTGTGCAAGGCAAACTCGTAAAGGAAAGTAGAGTCAAATCTCTTAGGTTGGTGGGTGATTGTGTGATTGAATTATATTTCCCCACATCTTGACTTGATACCCAGAAACATCGCAACACAATACCTTGGAAGCTCGAGTACCGAGCATCGCCAAGATTCGAGAGCCGCAGGTTATAGAGGTCGATGGTGACAAGCTCAACAAGCCCAACAGCAGCGGTGAGCACGGCATCTGACGCACTATGCTGTCTGAGTGCTTGGAAAAATAGATAGGGGCGATCTGGGCTCGGATTGCGGTTAAGATCTTAGAAGAGTCTTTAGGACGGAAGCGTATGTTGGTCGCGTGGTGCTCATGTTGTTAGCGGCCGTCGGAGGAGAATGTAAATGGTGTTATTGATTCGTCAGAAGGAACTCGAACTGTCGAGTTAAGGCTTTACGTGGTGTTAAGAGAGCATGTGTCCTCACAGGCTGTCTACCGTCTACCCTCTTTTTATCTTTATCCTTTGTAGATTTCGAGTGTGGTTTTAGCATGCAGGCTCTGTGACGGCGCTGCGCGAAATGCCGAGCTATCCTCATCAAGCTGCAGCGCTGTCAAGCTCAAGCTTCGGTCGTTGTTGCCGTGCTTCAATATCCTTCTCGACGTGTTGATGATGGATGAGGGGGAGGGAAAATGAACTTGCGTGCTTGCTTCCAAAGGGGGTTATGATCACCTTCTCCCCAGTCTAAGTACCGGGATCCACGCTGACACGGTGGCTGCTGCTTTTCTCTCCTGAACACGTTTATACGGTCGAGTCCAGTTCTTGCCCGTCCTGGGATTTCTTGGGGAGCAATAGATCTATTTTCCGTGATTTAATCCATGGACGAGCTGATGATGTGCTGGTACGCTAAATGTAAGCAGCGACATAGGCGGGAGCTGAAGCAAATCGAATCAATCTGTATACTTTTCAACGCGAGCACAACTGGCCTAGTCGCTGAGTAGTGGGAGACTATACAGTTTACGCAGTTTGAGTGTCCGTACCGCCATCGTCGGAACTAGGATATTTCTGAGCGGCTGCACGAGCTTCTCTGAGACCGTTTGAAAGGGGGACGAAGTCCCTCTATCGCGGGCGTTTTCGTACCTCAAGCCACTTACCCCTGGCACAGAAATGAACGGGTAAAGAGGACAAAATGGCTGTCCTGCGCAGCGCGAATCGCAAGTAGAGAAGTTAGTTAGAGAGCCCTGGGGGGATGGTTGCCAGAAAATAGGGGACCACAGCCTGATCATCAGCCTATCCATATTAACTAGTAGCTACTGTGCGGCAACAGCCTTCTTCACCCTGTGGCGTGGGGCCCAGCGAGCATAACTTATATCGATGTCGATCACCGGTTTTTTCGTCTGATCCGTGTCTTGGTCGGGGATAAGAGAGGGAAAAAAGGAGTTCGATCCCCGTCCATGATGTCGTGTTGGCGTCTTGGAGGGGTTGCCAGGAAGGGGGAGGGCCAAGACTCCTGAATTCCTGGAAAGCGACATGGCGGAACGCGACTGAGACGAGTATTACAACACCTTGATAGCATGTCTAGATAAAAGATCTGAAACCCGGGGAACTTTTCTTTCTTTGTCACGGAGATAACGGAAATTCAAGGCCGGCGGAAAATGCCTCGCGGAACTTTTCAAGACGAATTTTGATGAAACTTTGAAGATTTTGGTGCAAAGAATCTATACAATATACATACACGAAGTTGCGGCCCCATTCCAATCTCGAAACGCCGACGCTGGATTTTTTTTGAATGTTCCAATGCTCATTCACGTTTTGAAATCATCATCTCCTTGCCGCACCAGGACCAACATGTCTCTGATGCTCCTCGTTCACAGGCAACTCGGCAATAATCTGTGGTTTCGGCGACAACCCATGTAATTCCGACCGAGAATTGTCGTCTACCTCAAACATTGGTTGTGATGCAGCTTCGAGCTGGGGCTTGAAGTCGGCTTCTTTGTCCGCCGCGGCAGCTTCTGCATACCGGGCCTGCCGCTTTCGTCGTACTGCCAGCCAGTACCACAGCCCAAGAATGGCCGAGAGCAGTGCAACGCCTCCGATGACACCGCCGGCTATCGGACCGGCGTTGCTGCTTGATGATGATGATGATGATGACGACGACGATGAGGAGGAGGAATCACCTGTAGAGGTGTCTGGGGAACTGCTGGAACCTCCTGAGCCCCCTGAAGAAGTAGAATTGTCGGACGAGGAGTTCGTGGGTGGAGTGAAAGCTGGAGACGGCCAGTCAGAAATGTTCTAAAATTTAGTATCAGGAAGAGCGAAGAGAACATACCGAAAATCGTGGCCAGTGTCGGGTCACTCCAGTCTGGCTCTTTATAACTTTCAGAGTAATACTGCTTGACCACGTCAGGCGATTCATATGGAAGTGCAGCTGCGTCGTAGTGATCCACCCATTCAAAGCTCGTCATGTCAAACACCCCCAGCCCGCTTGCCCATGGATCTTGTTCGGCACCCAGCGCTTGCAAGGAACTAGGCAATCTGCCGCCAATCGACACCATTTGTCTCTTGCCGATGACAGTGCAGGCATGGCAAGCTCGACGCACAGGCGTAGTTGATTTTGACTTGAACCATTGAAACGCGGGAAGAGAGAGGGTGTAGACGTTAAGGTAGCCCTCGTCGGAACCGTGGTTCAGATCGAATGTAGTATTTGTGGAACCACCGTAAACGAACCTGGAATGAGTATGGTTAGTAAAGCAGAGGGCAGATACTGCAAGTTGGGGGTAGATTCTTACAGTTCGAAATTCTTTCCGTCGCTGGATGCTGCCCCAACGGCGCAGAATTCTGATCTTGGAGGCGGAATGTCTCCCGTTGCTGTTTGCGTAAACCAATCCCCGGTTTCAATATCGTACAGAGTGATTGTTGACATATCAACCATGAATGATCCAGTCTCGTAGATAGATGCTTCTGTGGGTGGTGCCTCTCCGCCCACAATCACAAGAAACCCTTGCCCCCCAAAATTAGGCGCGTGGACCATGCGAGCCTGAGTCCGATATTTGCTCTGGTTTGGTATAATGACTGTGGAGTTTGTCCAAGATTGAGCCACAAAGTCTCGTGTGACAAGGCCGGATAGAACCGTCATGTTGGGAAGGGAGCCCACGACATCCCCACCAAAGTTGTAATAAGTAGAATTCGTGAAGGCATTTGCGGAAGCGAATGGCCCTGGTGAATCTGCTGAAAGGCCATCTGTTGAAGGTGCTGTCTCATTCTTCCACGTAACGTCGGCTGATCCTGCCTCGAAGGACCACAGCAATGACGGAAAGTCGGCTGTTTCGTACGGCCATCCACCATATCGACTTATTTTGTTCCGCGTCTTGTCATAAAAAACCATCGGTTGTCGAACATAGATCATTCCATCAGGGTCTGCTACTGAAGCAGTAGAACCAACTGTCTGATTCGTCCAAGACTGCGTGAGGTCGACCACGAGTGTATTGCCCTCTGAATGTGGTCAGAACACAGCTCTCGGCGATGCGGGGGTATTCATCTCTCACGGTAGTACATTGTCACCACATCGTTGACCGTCTCGTAGAATTCCCCTCCCGTAATATACCAGTAGTTGCCGTCAACCACCGCTAAGAAAATTAGCAACAAGGACAGAGAGGTATCGCAAAGAAGGGGGGATGTCCGTACTAGAAAGCCAGAACCATTCCGAGATGGTGTCACGGATGAGCGCTGCTTGGGATGCATGAACGGCAGCGAGGCCGAGCGCAACCAATGCGCCCAGCATGATGTCGACGTCGACCACGATGGCAGCAGCAGCAGCGACAGCGACAGAAAATTGGTGCAGAGGACGAGGGCGGGAAATTCAGACGCAGGCGCCCATTTTGGTCTTCGAAACATGAACTGCCCCATATTTGCAAAGGTAGCCCACCCATGCCTGGGCCCTGGGGCTGGTGTGTGCAACAGCGCTTAGTTTCTTGTATTGTTTTCGGAACCCAGTCAGGCGAAATTGGGCCTGGGCAGGCCTGTGTCTTTCGACCTTGGGAGCCTCATTTCAGACAAAGGAACTCGCTAGCCACGCGGCCGCTTGTCGCGAGAGATGGCTGAACACACTATCGATGCTCTGTGCGAAGATAAGTCAGCGAGCGGAAATGTGATTCTCACTACAGTCCATGGCAAGCCTCTGTAGATTCATGACTTGCGCGCCCCTTCAGACTCTCTGCCTGGCTTGATTGTATCAGTACCTCCAACAGTGGGTCGGTGGACGCCTTAATCAGGCCTTTGCCAATCAACATGTCGACCGATGGCCCCCAAAGGCTCAAGCAGTAACACCAAGTACTAGCACTGGTACAGAGTCCAAGTAAAGAGCCCTCGACGGCGCGTTCTGGGCGACTATTGGATTGCATAGAGTGCATTTGTTTGCTCCGCTGGTGGCAGAATTCAGCATTTGTCAACGGGAAGCCCGGCTCATGCTGGAACTCGCGAATCATCAATCCGTCTGGCTAGGCTCCTTCCGGCCTTGAAATTGGTGATGAGGCTGAATTCGCGGACTCAGTACTGGGTACAAGGTATCGAGCCCAGAGACGGGGAAGGCTTGTCTCGGTGGCTGTGCCAGCCTAGGACCTCGTACCTCCATATTCGTACTCGGTAGGATTCCCAAGGCTGCCGCCTCCCCCGCAATTTGGACGCTCTTGTGGCCCTTCTCTGGAGGGATCTATACTACCGAGTCGTCCATTTTTCAATCCATTTATTGCTTGCCTCTGCAACATCCTTCGACATCAGAGACCACTGACCGTTTCCTTCTGACGTGTGGCCACGTAAGTCGCCATTACATTCTCATCATAAAAGTACGGTTGACGGTTTCTTACGTCTTTCGAAAAGTGGTGGCCACTTGCCATCCTCAGGTCTCTGAAGCCCCGTCAACAACATTGTGAGCGACTACCTGGGTCAGACTACTGCTAGCATTGCCCCCCGAAAGAGGATACATAGTACTATAGTGGCGATTTTCCTGCATGAACGCTGCCGGAATCTCTGTACCAACCTGTTGTCTTGGTCTTGAGAATTTTTTCCGAAAAGCCGCCCCTTTCCCACCCTTTTCTTCTTTTCCACCTCATATCGCATCTCAAGAAACCTATGCTGCGACTCATTTGAAGGTCTCGACATGCTCGATCGTGGTATTCTTTGTCTTTATGTCGTCCTCGATCTCAAGGTCATGGTCAATGTCGCCGCGCAAACCGAGCTCCTTTTCCTCCTTTTGTATGTTTTCGATCGCACCAGCGCGCTTGATCACCTCGAAATGACTGCCCAATCTCTCAGGGCCACACGCACAAACTATGATCGCCGCGGCAAACAGGACGCACATGAAGATGGTCATCACTTGGTTGTAGTTCGGTTTCCCATTTCTGATCCAGTCGCTGGCCGCCGCGGTTTGTGATTGAGCGGCTGGGGCGGCGAACATGTTGCCTAATTGATAAACTGTACCAGGGAACACGGCGCGGAATTGTGGGGGGCTATACTCGTTGAGCAAGATGGGCATGATTCCCCACGACCCGTTAACAAAGACCAAGAGGAAAAATGTCCCTGCCATGATTGCACTGTAACCGTTGGGAAGCGTGAAGAGCGGAATGAACGCCCAGGCCACGATGATACAGACAATGGATGTCAGGCGTCTTCCGAAGAACTGAGAGTAGTAACCTGCCGTGGAGCCACCGATGATGGCGCCACATTGACCAAGGATCGCAGCAAGGCTAGCTTGGCGCGGTGTGAATCCCTTCTGAACTTTCAAGTAGGACGGGAAGATATCCTGACAGGCGTGAATCATCCAGTTGTAAATCGATGTAAATAGAACACAGAACAGAAACATCTTCCAGTATTGGCGAGCCACGAGGGTGGCGTCCCGCCAAAAGAGTGAGATTCTCTTTCTAGGGTTTATTCCGGTTGTCATCCCATCGATGCCCTCATCGGGCTGTGTGGAGAATATGGCCGACTCAGGGATGCACATGATGATGATGGCGACGGTGGCGGTGAAACCCGCTCCAGCATAGAAGACGACTCTGTAACCATGAATTGTGTCCGGCATACCCACGATCGAGACCATGGCCGCAAGGACGTATCCCATGGCGTACCCGTTCTGGAAGATGCCCGAAAACAGTCCTCGGGCTTCCACCGGCATGTTTTCCATAGCTATCGCGGCAGCTGGACCGTAGATTCCGCCCATGCATACCCCAAATATAGTCCTGCAAATGACAAAGGGCCCAAAGGATTTGACCAAAGCAGTACCGATTTGAAGCGCCGCGAGGAACCAGAGGTCCAGAGCCATCACCCATTTACGCCCAAACATATCAGCTAAGATGCCGAAGATGATGGCGCCAAAGGCACGGCAGATAAGCGTCAGGGTAATAGATAGTGTGATGTTGGTCAGGTCCTCGCCGTAGGCCTTTGACAATTCTGTGGCTACGAGATTGACAGAATTGTAATCGTATCCATCGGCAACCCAAGCCACCCTGTTGGCTGTTAGCATGCAGAGTATTGACAATAATATCAAGGTGCAATACTCGGTACTTACAGTCCAACAAAGAAAAACATCCAGGCTCGTCCTGAAAGAAGACAAACAAGCTTCCAAGGGGGGATAGGAATGGTCCTCTTCGCAATACTCGACTGTTCGACTCCATTTTCGTCGATGTATGTGATGTGGTTTTCCCATAACTTCAAGTTCTGCTTGACACCCATCGTTTATCTGCTTGGTGTAAAGTCCAGTCCAGAATGCAGGAAAAGGCCTTGCTTCTCAGGGAGCACGAGAGCTATGGAAGGCAGGGAAATGAATGCGGGGAAAGTAGCTCGTGTTCCAGCACATTTGCCTGTCTGTACAGCATGCTCGTCCATTATATCCTGACTGGCAACAGAGAGAAACGGACATCCAGCCATTCAGCAGGCCATACCCATAGGTAGCTAGACCAGGGTGACCATCGCCCTCGTCTCCATATGAAGACTCTGACCACGGCACCATGATTCCGACCTTGGACGTGAAGGCATTGTGTAAAGATGGAAGACCGAAGTCTGGTGCTCATAGGCTAAGGACGAACAGAGTTTAGTTAGTACTGGTGACATTCTCCAATTCCGGATCAGGCAAACTTTGTGGGTGATCGTGCACCGGGAGCTCTCAAGGTCAGGCTATGTTATAGCCTGTGGGCGACCTCCGGCTACTCGCCGGTGACGGCGCCTCACCTGCTACAAATACCACTGCTCGGGTGAGTCGTTGTATTTTGGGGTATGCACGACGACATCGGGAGACTTGGCCGCTTGTGAGATTCCGGGGACGATCAATGGCTGAACAACGTATCGCATTGCCAAAGGGTGCCTGGGATAGTCATGTACACATCATAGACGAAGTCTGTGACCAAGCGTCCCAACCACTTACCTATTCATCAAGACAAGTGCTAACTTGTCTATTGTGGCGTTCAGGACCATTGGAAAATCAACGATGATGCGCCCTTCCATCCCAAGCAAGCAAATTTAGACCAGCTTCTCGCATTTGAGAGAAGCATTGGCATAGACCATGTGTGCATCGTGGCCATGTCAGTGTACATGACAGACAGCGCCTGCAATTTCGATGGTCTCCGCCGCCTCAGAGGCAAAGGCTGCGGGGTTGCCATCATCGACCCGGACACTGTCACCGACGAGGAACTGGATGAAATGCATTCTGTCGGTTTCCGCGGCGTGCGCATCAACTTGCGGACGAGATCACAGAGCTACGGGTCCGAAGTCTGGCGCGAGGTCCTGCCAAAGTATGCCGCCAGGCTGAAAAGATTAGACTGGGTGATCCAGATCTTCGTCTCGATGGACCAGATCACACATATCGCTCCCATTGTACCCAGTCTCGGGCTCAGAGTTGTCTTTGATCATGTAGGTCACCCAGAAGCAGGGCGATCTCCAATGGCTCAGCCGGGCTGCAACGAACTCTATCAGCTGCTGGTGCAAAACCGTAATGTCTATGTCAAGCTCAGTGGATTGTATCGTCTCATTGACGTGCCAGATCTTGACGCTCACGTACGAAAGCTGCTCCAAATTGCGCCGGATCAGATCGTTTGGGCAAGCGACTGGCCTCATACGGGTGGTCCAGAACTGAATCCCGGCGGTGATCCGAAAGCAATCCAAGATTTTCTGGTCGTTGACATTCCCGAGTTCATCAGACAATGTGCAGAGTGGTGCAAAGGAGATGAAGAGCTTCTCCACAAGATATGGGTAGAAAATCCGAGGAGGCTGTGGGACTACCATGAGATGGATTGACTGGTGTGTGCGAAAGAGAAAAGTTCGCAATTCTTACGCTTTGATTGTGAGAAATCGATCTTTCGAGTGGTGCGAGGCTGAGTCCATGACAAGAAGGTTAAGCGGTCAAATGAAACAGCTTCGTTAGAGACAAGGCTGCGGTCCAGTGCGGTCACCGATTTTCCCACCACTGCCACCCCTTCCGCCACTTCTGTTATTCTGTCGTGATCAATCATGTTTCCTTAGCTAAGCATCGATATATCTTCGGCGGCTCAAACGATGAGAAATCCGCCCGGACCTTATCTGCTTCTCACATTTTACTCAGCACATCGTCGACTGCTATATTTCTTTTCGCCAGTCCCTCCCATCACTTGTTCTTACTGTGACAGCCAGAAATTGAACCACTGAACGATCGCTCTCAGGCTCTCTTCTTTCGCATAACCTGTCAACTGTTAAGTCACGCGCCTAAGCGAAGAGGTTAGCACCTCGCTGATTTGAACATCCACATACGTTCATAGGGGTTGTCCAGGTTGCAACGAAGCGCGAACCCGTGTTCAACACCCGAAAACAACTGCAAATTGTACGGCTTCCTGCCTTCCTGGAGGATCTTGACCGCTTCGTTGCGTGCTTCCGTGCCAAAGGTGTGATCTGTCTCGGCACAAGACAGGAACAAAGGTTCTTGAATAGCATGTTAGTGGATCAGAAGCGGAGCGAAGTCGAGCCTTTTCTTACTTTTCAGCAGCCGGAAATGCGTCTCCTTCAGGAATGCTGGGTGTGCGAATGCGCCTGCAGTACAGATATCTCTGGCCAACTCGTTGCAGACATATGGGGCCCCGAAACAGTACCTGGCACAGGAAGTCACAAATCGAGTCGACGCACTTATACCACCAGTGGTGGACCTACCCTACACACGCATATTTCGTTGTTGGTGAGCCAAACTGAGCCTTGACAGCCTCAACCCAGCCCGGAACGACCTCGTCTGCGAACGCGATATGTTTCTTCTTCCACGCCTCGTAATTAAACCCTGGGGCTGGGTCATCGCGATTCTTACGATGTTTCCACACAGGGTCCTACGCATTCACATGAGTTATCGAGGCTTTAAATCAGCCGCGATCGAAAACTTACCCCTCGGAAATAATCCAACCCTATACAGGTATAGCCAGCATCCGCAAATCCATCCATGACCAGGAACCCGTTGTTGAAGAAGCCCCATACATCAGGGAAGTAGAGCACGATGTTGCCATTGTTCTTGCCCTGCGGAGTGGAGATGTACGTCTCGACGCCGGCGACCGTCTCGGTGCGGCCTCTGGGCTTCCCCTCGTGAAGTGAGCCTTTCAAGCAGCAGTCGCCTGATGGCTTTGCGAGATAGCCTTCTTTGTCCGCCATGAGCACTGTGAGTCCGCCGTCGCGGGATTCTGTGCGATCTTCAGGAATGACAGCGTCGTGGTTGGTTTCTCTCTCACTTTGACTCTGTTGTTTCTTGTGTGATGGCTGGAAGGCGCAATGTTTCCGTCGGCTATTTTCCTGCCTCATATGCACCCGTCTCCAATTGTTGTATCTTCTCCAACCCGGTCAACAAGCCGGTGATCCAATCAGAGGCACAAAACCTCCGTTCAAAAGAACATTCATACAAGCTTTTGGGGACATGCCCCCGCAAACGGGCATCAACCGTAACCGCGTACGATCCTTCGAGGCTACATATAACACCCAGTCATGTGCTTGCGTTGCCCAGAATGTCAAAAGCTTCAAAACCCCCTAATAAGAGGTAGGTAGGCAGTTTAAGTATTACCGCGTTTCTGCACACCAGAGTACCTGCTAAACACGTTTGATATCGATTTGTTATACATTACTCTGTAAGGGGTACTGACTCGGGAGAGAACAATGGCTTCAAACCCGCCCCACCAACCCTTCCGTTTCGACGACGAAGTCGCCATCGTCTCCGGGGCAGGTTCTCGAATGACCGGTGAGTTCGACTCCCCGCCTCGACCACCCTTTCATTTCATGCTAAACTGAATATCTAGGTGAAATTGGCAACGGCCGTGCGACAGCCATTCTGCTCGCCCGCCAAGGCGCCAAAGTCGCCCTCCTGGACATCAACGCCTCCTGGGCTGAGGAGACCAAGCGCATGATCGACGCGGAAGGCGGCATCTCAGCTGTTATTCATGCGGATGTCACGGACGAGGCTTCATGTAAGAACGCTGTGGCCAAGACGATCGAGCTCTTCGGCACCGTGAGTATCCTAGTGAACATCGTCGGCGTAGGCGGCGCGATGGGCGACGCGACGACGGTAGACCTCGCGGCTTGGGAGCGCGATATGCGCATCAACGTCACGAGCATGGTCTTAATGGTCCGACACGTCGTCCCAGAGATGCGCAGGATCGGCCGCGGCGCGATCGTCAATCTATCCTCGGTGTCTGGCTTACAAGGTGGCAATCCGAGCCTGTTGTACCCAACCAGCAAGGGCGCAATTATTCAAATGACGAGGGCGATGGCCTCGCAGCATGGAACGGAGAATATCAGGGTTAATTGCGTGTGTCCAGGCATGGCGTTCACGCCGGTAAGTGTCGGCTTTTCAATATTTCCTGAGTTTCTTGCCCCTACTGTTAAGTTTCGTTGATCTTTTGGAGGCGACGTGATATCGCCCAGGACATTGTGTTCTCCAAGTCTCAGCGACGATACTAATTCGCCGGCTATCAAAGATGGTGAGGAGTCGAGGTATCAGTGACGAAATGAGGCAGGCAAGGGTGAACCAGAACCTGTTGAAGCAAGAGGGCACTGGATGGGACGTGGGCTACGGTATATAATACCCCTTGTCCTTCGTCCTGCGGTGTGTGGCGGTGGCGGTGCCTGATGCTGACCTGGCTCCACGATAGCTATTCTGTTCTTGTGCAGCAAAGAGGCGAAATGGATCACTGGCCTTATCATGCCCGTCGATGGCGGCACCACAGCAGGCAAGTCAGTCAGCGACAGGCCCGCGCTTGCGGCCGATGTGTTGGCGGAGCAGATGACGGGCATACCCAACAAGGCAGAGCATTAAGTCGCTGTTACCTAACCGCCCTTTCCAGCTTCTAGCAGGGGGACGCTGCAGGTACAGCAGTGTATAAAATCGCATAGCCAAGAAGATACCCTTTTTGCGTGGGAGAATTCCTTCACTTTGAAGCTCAGGCCTTCGTGCTGTGATTGACAGGTGTGTCAGGAAACGAAGGGGGTCGAGAGACGGCACAATGGGCCAAGGCAAGGGCAGAATCTCACCCCTTTTTTTTGGTTGGAGGCGATTACCGAATCGTTTACGTGCGGGCTTAGGACTGAGATGTGTGGCAGCTGAGCTTATGTGTCGTCTTACTGTGGCGGGAAGAGGGTCCTGTGCCGAACACGAACAGATTTGGCTTGAAAGGAAAGAAAATGCAAGAAAAAGAATTGTGGATCGCTTTCGATTGCTTTTCGTGTCAATTCTCACTCATCAATACGAGAGAGCAGAGACACGCATCCTGCACACTCACACTCCCGGCAAAAGTCTTTCAAGGTAGTCATCACAAAACAGACATGTATCATTTTGTTTTCCAGCATCCCAAGCCTCAGTCATCGGCTGATCGACGGCTCGCCGAGCTGCAAGATTCGGATGCCCGGTCTCATGCAGCTAAAATCGCATATCTAAAGAAAAAGGCGCAACAGCGGATCGAGCAAATTGATCATGATAACTTGATCGAGTCGACGCCTGAGGCTGAATGGGCCTGGTTGACTGTTCTCGAAGATGCAGATTCTCCCGAATCAGACTCCTCGGAGTGGCACCGTCTCCTCGAGAAGAAGACGCAAAAAGACACCCTACATCGTCGGCAATTGCACCCTCTGGCAAGAGGCACTAGAGTTCTCCCCCGAACTAAATTGTCTGCCCGGTCTCCTCTGTCGCAGACGAGCAGAGATCCGTTTGACTCTTACCCAGAGCGTAGATTGCCCGAGAATGTAGAGAAAGTTGTACAATATGGTGAGTATCTTCAGGGTCGATGGCGACAAGAAGTGCGGTCCGCTGCGGACCCTCATAGGCAGCAGTCTGCTCTATGGGTGTGCGCCCTTGTCCAAGGCTCGCTGCTGACAAGGTACAGCGTTTGAGAGAATATGGCCAGACATGCTCTGTTCGGTGCGCGGCGAGAGCCTGGCAATTGCCAAGCAGGAATGGAGACATCATGGCCTGGACGATGAGTTGCTGTTCCATGTTCAGGTGGCCCTCGCCTGCGGCCTGAATCTGGCACTCCAGAATGTCCCAAAAGTCTCGGAGGGTCTCGCTCTCGCCCGTTTGTCTCACTTCTCCAAGGCTATCCGGCTGCTGAAGCAACGGATCGAGAGTCTCGATGGGCCGGCCTCGGAGGACCTCATGATGAGCGTTTTGATATTGGGTGTCAACGCGGATGTTGAATCATCAACGCCGGAATTTCACCCTCAATCCCCGCTGGCCACATCTCAATATATGCATCTCTATGGAAGACTGACGCTCATGCCGAGCTACGCCAAGGCGCTGGAACAACTGGTGAAGGATCGTGGAGGCATCTTTGCTCTGAGGCACCTTGCTTTGCCGGATTGGCTTCTCCTGTGAGTAACCGCAGCTTCCAAAAACAGATGATATATTCACACTGGTCCAAGAGCCGACCTACATCACGCCTCTCGGACCGGCGACAGGCTCCTGTACCCTCGGATCCGGCCATATATATCAATCGTGAGCAGTCGCAAGCACGTTCCTGACGCAAAAGCCATCTTGCTCTCCGAGAAACTCGGCCACGGCTTCCACGGCATTGACAAGGCTCTGACTGCTGGCGTCTGCGAAGCGGTAGGAAGGGGCGTGGAGGCCACAGTGGCGCTAGACCACTACCATCGCCACGAAAACTGCCAACCACGCCTGGTGGACGTTATGCTCGCAGCAAACGAGGCGCAGCGATCGTTCCTGGAACTCAACTCAAAAGAGGGGTTTGGTCTGGAGCAACTGGTACATAGCTGCTGTCGTTTGGGCTCATTGGTAAGTTGATCTTGCATCACATACCTTCCCGCCCTTCCCTTCCAGCATTGAATTGCAGAGAAAAAAAAAAAGTCTCTCCGAGCATCATTCTGCCGCTGAGGCCGCATATCTCTAGAGCTTAAACGTGGTTGAACTGACCTTGAATGATGTACAGATCTACAGCGATATGGTCCTTTTTCCGATGCCGAGTTGTACCAAGATAAAGCCACGCCTAGCTCAAGAGTTGAGGCAATTTTTGGAAGAATCTCAAGAGATGCAAGTGATAATAGAAGAAGGCAAAGATTCGATCTCCGACATGATTCTGTGGGTGTTGGTCATGGGCGGAATTGCTGCAGCCTTCACCGAAAACCGGCAGTGGTTCCAAACCAGATTAAGAAGAAGGATTAAATCCGACGCGAAGTTCAAGTCGGGAACTTGGGCAGAGTTCAAGTGGCACGTTTCCAAGTTTCTTTGGTGGGATCCTGTGGTGGACGGGCCTGCGATGAAGCTCTGGAACGAGGTTACAAATAAGCTGCGAGCGGCAAGCAATGAGAACAAAGGCTAGAAGGTCGAGCAGCGCAGGCGATTTAAGGGGGGGATACATACTCAGGACTCACAAGCAGCTCAAGAGATTCACACGGTGTGTTCGTCAGCTTTGCGACCGTGGTGAGTAAGAGAATCAAGAGAATACCAAGTAACCAGTACCATATGCAGCATCCATGGCGGAATTATCGGGTTTAAGATTCTTAGGGAGGCACCTTGGCGCGGGGCGGACAGGGAACAACCATTCCGCCGTATGACGAAACTTCCATCCTGCGGAGAACATGACCGCGTGAAGCTCGATACATCTCATGTTGGTATTGAGTGTGGCTTTCTTCATGCTGATTTAATCGTAGATTCAGCCTGCGGTAAAGTATACTTCCTTTGGCCTCTTCTCTTATGACCATGTCATCATGCTGTATGCCCTGACTTCTGGAGCAGAAGCACGGCATCTCCTTTGTCACACCATCCTCCAGGACAGTTACCATCCGCGTTCCGCCCTGCAAGTGATCCCTCCATGCCGAAAACTGTCTTCCTCCTCAAGCGCTTGGCTTGCGCTCCTCTGAAACGAAGACCACCGATCTTAACTGTCTCTAGAAGTTTCAGCGAAGGCCTGCGGCTGTCGTCCACAGCCCCCAACCCTAAGAAGGATCAAGATGGCTCAACGTCCTCGCAGGAGAATGCTCCCCCTAAATCCCCGTCAATGGGGGACCTTCTAGCCAATACAAATCCTCAAGACAATTCTCTGCTTGCCCCCATACATATAGCAGAAGATGCAAATGCTATCCTCAAGTCTGATCATCCCTCCGTCGACATCCTATCGCAGTCAGGCATTGTCGTCCAACGGCAACTCGAGATGATGAATATATTTCTCGGCTTCGAGCAGGCCAATCGATATGTTATACTTGATCCACACGGGAATCACATTGGGTACATGGCTGAGCACGAAGGCGGCATTGGGCACACAATGAGGAGGCAATTCTTCACAACACATCGTGCATTTACTACCCACGTCTTCAATCGTCAATCGAGGGAGGTGTTGAGATTCCATCGCCCGTTTTCGTGGATCAACACTCGCATCCGGGTCTACGATCCCTGGGATACCCCTTCAGAGACTCAAAAGTCGACTTCCACTATGCTCGCCCCACAAAGCAATACCGATCCCATAGGCCAGCCGCAAATATCTCCTCTTCCACTGGAAGCAATGCGCGTAATTGGTGAGACGCATTCACAATGGGCACCACTGCGCCGTAAATACGATCTCTTTCTTTCCCATGACCTCGCCTTGAATGAAGCTGACCCCAACCCAATGTCAAGGAAGAGAAGTGAAGGGCTGTCGAGTTTGCAGCAGAGCCAGATCGCAGAAAATAACAGATCTAGTTCGACCACAGACTTTACCCAATTCGCCGCGGTAAATGAGCCCTTCTTGTCTTGGGATTTCTCACTGTTGGATCAAAACAATCGCAAGATTGGATCGGTCAACCGGGAATTTCGAGGGTTTGGACGAGAGCTATTCACAGATACTGGAAGCTACGTCTTACGGATGGACGCGGCTGGGATGGAAGATCAAGGAGATAAGCATGGTGACCGTGCCTACGCAGAGGCATTGGGAGGGCGAGAGAGCAACTATGGGATGACCCTTGATCAAAGAGCAGTGATGCTTGCCACCGCCGTGACGATCGATTATGACTATTTCTCTCGCCATAGCGGAGGACACGGTTTCTTCCCAATTTGGCTTGGAGGTGGTGGCGGAGAGGCTGCCGGCGGGGCAGTCGGAGCTGGGGCCGCCGGCGCCGGAGAGGCTGCAGGAGCTGTTGGAGCTGCTGGTGCCGCTGAAGCTGGTGGTGCTGTTGTTGGAGGAGCTGGTCGGGCCGTTGGATCAGCTGCCGGAGGAGCTGCGGGGATTGGTGAGGGTGCTATGGCTGGTGCCGGAACCATGGCAGGCTACGAAGCAATGCAAAGGGGAATGGGCCGAAGATCCGAAGCCGCAGAGGATAGCAACAGTCCTCAGCAGCAGCAGCCGCCGCCGCCGTCTCCAGAGCAGCCTCATGGCCAACCCGACGATACTCAATCTCCACAAAGTGGTTTTGGCGAGCCGCATCAAGGTGAAGATATCTGGGGTTCCGAAGATTCGGAACCTTTCAAAGATGGAGCTCAAGGAGGAGGTGAAGGCGGGGGAGGCGGCTGGTTTTCAGATTTGTGGGATTCTTTTTGGAATAACTAAGATTTGAGGGTTTGCCCCGGCAGGCCATCTCTGCTCGGCGCGATGACAAGATTTGGAGCAGCGGAAGCGGACTTAGGGAAAACAAAATGCTTTCAGGTACGTAAAAGCGGATACAGGCCACCCGTTTTGTATGACTACAGGATGTGTATTAAGGTCAAATGTACGTCGAGCAGCACCAACAACGCACTCGACTCACCCGAAGAATAATATTATTACCAATCTATCCTACAAATTGAGCTCTCGACACCCAGCCATGGTGCTGCAACAGGCCCGAACCCTACTTTTGAAGAGGCTCAGGTGGACGAAACCTGCTTGATAGTCACTGGCGGCTGCAGACATTGGAGCCTCGGAATATCAGGGAGTTTCTTGATCGATGGCAAATGCTCAGAGCACGACAAAGTATTTCCACCGAATTGAACGATTCCTGGAAGAGACAGATATGTCTTGGAGAAAACGAACTACGTTCGGTACCGAATTCTCGAACGAGCAGCATCCTCATCTCACGAGACGCCTAGAGCCAGGGTCTTGAAGCCCTTTATTTTCTCTTCTCATAGCAGATCTAGCAGGTGTCTGGTCATCTATCGCTGTGGAAGCCAGACAAGCTCTTTTGCGGAAACTACGCCGTCCCTAGTGCTTCTTACCGCCACCTCCAGGACCTGGTGGATCTGGGTTGGGCTTTATCACCGTCTATGGCGCATTCAACCGGCGCTATCCGAACCTGTTCCGCCAGTGCTGCCACAATGTCACATTCTTCATCGCTATTGTGAAACTGAGATCCTTCTACAAGGCAGAAACACCCGATCTCTTATCTTTTCTTGGGGCATAAGAGTTCTGGGCATTTCCTTGGGTCTCATTGCTGAATATTTGGCGAGGGAGCCAAGATCCCGAAACCCTGCAGATCCTCTTGGTTTGCTCCAGTTGCGCACGTCTACTGGAGCGGGATCCCGCCTATTGCGCGGATACTTGGACAGCGAATATACTTGGCCGAGCCTCATCCCTGGTCACCAAGATAATGTGACATAGTGCAAGCTCCATTCCCTGCAACGTCAGATCAATCGCAGACCTGACCTGCCGTTCGAAAGATCAGCCTGACTTCGGTTGCCGGGCGATGCGTCAAAATGATAAGTATCGAGTTGTCTTTCATAATTTAGTCACTACTTCTACCTTTCTTCCCACCTCTGTGAAGCGAGAAAGCAGATAGGTCGGGTTACCTTTCGCGTCCCTCGCTTCTCTTCCAATCGTCGTTTGATTGTTCCACATAATGGATCCGCACAAAGGATATTCCCTTTCATCCCCAGACGCAGACGTCGCGGAGAAGCAGATTAGGGAGCAGACAATCTCTCCCATAGAGAGTCAACGAGGTATTCATGGCATCGAGTATGATGAAGGCTCTCGACTTCATCGTGGCCTCAAGGCTCGCCACATCACTATGATCGCCATAGGAGGTGCTATCGGTTGGTCACAGGTGCAACTAGGCAAATGTTATACTTCCTGACTTGGAAACAACAGGTACTGGGCTGATCATCGGAACTGGCAAAGCTTTGGCGCAAGCAGGCCCTGGCTCTGTCTTCATCTCATACACCATCGTCGGTTTCCTTGTCTACCTTGTCATGTGTGCTCTGGGAGAAATGGCTGCTTGGTTGCCCTTGTCGTCCGGATTCACTGGTTATGCCGCCCGATTCTGCGATCCTGCACTGGGATTTGCTCTCGGCTATACGTGAGTCTTCCCACTCTCAAGGTTCGTTCCGGTTGGAAGGGCTGAGGCCGGCAGGTATTGGTTCAAATATATCATTGTGACACCCAATCAATTGACCGCTGGGGCACTGATCATCCAATACTGGGTGGACCGAGACCGCGTCAATCCTGGAGTGTTCATCGCCGTCTTCTGGGTTGCGATCGTCTGTATCAATTATTTCGGGATTCGCTTCTTCGGCGAATTCGAGTTCTGGCTGTCCACGATCAAAGTGATCGTTATCATCGGCGTCATCATCTTATCCCTCGTCCTCGCCCTTGGCGGTGGCCCGGACCACGATCGCAAGGGGTTTCGCTACTGGAAAGACCCAGGCGCATTTGCAGAATATATTGAAGATGGTGCCACTGGACGTTTCCTCGCGTTCTGGTCCACCATGGTGACGGCCACATTCGCCTACTTGGGGACCGAACTGGTGGGTGTTACAGTGGGCGAGGCGCAGAATCCTCGCAAAACCATCCCGCGCGCCATCAAGCTCACCTTTTATCGCATCTTGTTCTTCTATTGTCTCAGCGTTCTGCTCCTGGGAATGCTCGTTCCGTACGACAGTGAAGAACTCGCCTTCGCCAACAAGGCATCGTCGTCGGCCTCGGCGTCCCCCTTCGTGGTGGCCATAAAATTGGCAGGCATCAACGCGCTGCCAGGCATTCTGAACGGGTGCATCCTCCTGTTCGTCTTCTCAGCGTCCAACTCGGACCTGTACATCGCGTCGCGCACCATCTACGGGCTTGCAAGCGAAGGCAAGGCCCCGCATATCTTCAAACGCACCGACTCGCGCGGCGTGCCAGTCTACGCGCTCGGTGCGTCCGCGGCGTTCGCGCTGCTCGCCTTTATGAACGTGTCGGACGACTCCAAGACCGTGTTCGGCTACTTTGTCAACCTGGTCACTATTTTTGGGTTGTTGACTTGGATCTCGATCCTGGTGGCGCACATCTGCTTCGTGCGCGCGCGCCGCGCCCAGGCCGTGCCCGACACGGCCCTCGCGTACACGGCGCCCCTGGGCGTCGCGGGCTCGTATGGGGCGCTGGCGCTGTGCATCCTAATCGCGCTGACCAAGAACTTTCCCGTCTTCGTCGGCGGCTTCGACTACAAGAACTTCATCACGGGGTACCTCGGCATCCCCCTCTACCTGATCATGATCTTTGGCTACAAGTGGTGGACGGGCTGTCGCGGCGTGCGTCCCGCTGAGGCGGACCTGTGGAGCGGCAAGGACGCCATCGATCGCGAGGAAGAGGAGTTCTTGGCCAACAAGGCCAGGAGGGAGGCCGCGAGCAAGGGACGTCGGAGCTGGTTCTATAGAACCTTCGTCGCGTGGCTGTTTTGATCCAAGTTTGATTACGGCTACATTCTGTCACCATATATATATGTATATGTGTGTGTGTATGTCTGTGTTGAGTGGGGCTCGCTTCCTGCTTCCCTCCTTCATCCTCAACGACTTCTACCATCGATCAATATATATATATATATAGCAATTACTTCGCCAATTTCCTTGAGCCGTGAGGTTCACTATCCATCCTTATGGCCCTGTGAAGGATGTAGGTATATTCAGCTTATCGTACCCAGGTGACTCAAAAGTATATACATTTGTCGACTGGTGAGATATAGCTTAGAGCTATCGCATCGCTCATTCATCCACAACGCTATATTATGCCTTGGTAGTCACGACCGCAGCTCACTCAAAAGCCGGACAGACTCGCGCCAATCCCAGATAGCCCTTGAGACGACGTCCTCGGTATCCTCATGAGCAGTCATAAGCAAAGCTCCGGCAAAATATTTCCTAGCTTGCCGCTTTCGCAATACGTCGCCCGCTCTCTTCAGGATAATATCTGAGGAAGAGCTCACGAAGGAGGATTGAATCTTTTCATCATAGAAAAGAATCATCCTTCGCTGTGGCTGTCGTGGCTGCAGCTGATACCCTGGGTCTTCGGCGTGACGTGCGATGCGGTGGCATTTCTTTTCGGTTTCGCGATATCTCTTGTACTCTTTCGAAATTGTCCTTGCGGTTTCGTATGTGGTGTTGCGGACCAGCTTCGAGGACACGCTATCAACAAGCTGGACATAGACCACTGTCACCCAGTTCACAGACTTGATGTCCTGCGGCGAAAGTGCGGAAGACGACATTACCTTCAGGATAACAAGGTCCAAGCCGTGAGCCGATCCGGCCGAAGCTTGGCTTTCGTGACTCGTAGAAGTACTGTTTCCCATTTTACTTGTGGAACTCTTGTTTCTAACGTGTTCATCGACAGTCTTAGCAGTACCCATCTCCCCGTGATCACCAGACTCAGCTTGAGTAGAAGTGAGCTTCTCTAGCCCACGTTTTGTACTGACATTGTTCAGTTCACGAAGAGGCTTTCGTTGTTGAGAAATAGGAGACGTAGAAGGGCTCTGTTCTATAGTTTTAGTTGGGGATCGAAATACAGCCGGCGGCTCATAGGGATGGACAGGATAGGTCTTGTTCTGGAGGGAGGACTGCAGAGGAATAACAAGCCTCTTAAAGCTATTCTTCCTCAGTCTCTTGTTGGCCACTGTTGACAAATTCGACTCTTCATGTTTGCGCTTAACACCCTTCCCAGGACTAAGGACATGATTGATTGGTGGTGGCAGTGCCGCGGATTCATCTAGGCGCTGAGCACGATTCGCTGGTAGTGCCAGAGGGGATGATTGACAGGTGCTAGCAGTCTTCGGACTTGGTGTGGCGTCAGGCTTAACAGCAACTGCATAATTACTTAGAGCTGGTTGTGGCTGGTGTGTTCCCACATGATCAACGCGGCTGGCAGTCAATGGAGACGACATACATGTGCTGACGCTTGCAGTCGATACACGCGAGGGACTCGGCGTACCTGCGGCATGGAGGTCGACACACTGGTTTTGCTTTCCATCAGCCTCAGTCAGACGTAGGATCCAATTGACGTCCTCCTGCTCTTCAGAGTCCACAGGCGTGAGGCTTTCTCTCGCCATCTCTTGGAGCTCCTCAAAACTATGGGTCTCCGTCAAAGGTCGATCGAAGTGCAGTTTGATATCGCGAGGAAACCGCAGAGCGTAATAAGCGACGTCCGCAGGCTTAGTAAAGGCTGCTCCAGTGACTTCGACAACGAAGGGCTTTGTGAACAAGACAGTGGGAGGTAGAAGCATAATACCCGGTTGTTCAATATTGACATCCATCTGCTCCGTCGAGCCAGAAAATGGCACACAGAAACCCAGGCCACGCTGGTTCAGTTCCCGGAACGTACCTTCTGACATGGTCTGACGTGTAAGGATGTCAAGAATCAGAAACTTCGGTTTCGTTCCAAATCTTTGAATGACTTCCTTGTTCTGGAGGCAGGCGACATAGAAGGTCGTCCAGTTGAGAGACCCACCATATTTCTCTGCTTCTAGCGGGTCTTTGCGTCCGCCAATAATGCAGAGATCAGCCGCGTCCCCGAGGCCCTTGATATAGTCCTTCTTCAGCTTGATCGCATTGGTGTGCCAGCCGATCGATAGATAGGGATCGCGGCAACCCTTCAGGACGAATCCTTCCCATCTCTGTTCAATTGCATATCCGAAGAACTTTCGGAGTTCCGCCTTCGCACTTTCCGAGCCAAATCTGATTTCCCGCCGGTCGCCAAGCTGGGCTAGACCTTCAGTGACACTGACAATTTCCTCCAAGCGCTGCCTCCGTACATGATGAGGCTCGTTGACCAAATTCTGGTTGTCGTGCCATAGGCAGTCATAGAAGATGATCATCAATTGTTCATCGGACGATCGTGGGGAATCAGCACCCGCGCCTATGGTTCTGCCACCGTATTGAGTGTATTTCCGAATCTTCTCAAATGGTAGGATGGCTTGTCGCGAACGGCTCCAGACCAGCATTTCGCCTTCAAAAATGCAATTTTGAGTGATAGCACATGCTGGGTCACCAAGGCGTAGGCCGGCCTCGAGTGCTCCGTGAAGTCGGATGAAGGGCTTCGTGGAGTCTTTACCGCGTTTGGAGAATATCTGTATACACTCTTTTCCCTTTGACTTGTCAATATGGATCTGGCAGTACCAGCCGTCGTACTTCCTCTCCACACTCATTGTCCTTAGGTTTGCCATTTGACAGCAGTGCCTAATACTTCTTGCCTTGAAATACTCCAGGCGCTTGACCATGACACCAAGCTTTGGTGTTAAGTGCCGGGCGCATTCTTGGCGGTATTCCTGTTGAAGAGCGCTTGGTGGGTCGTGAGGGATGGAGATCAGGTCGGGCTTCCCCAGTACTTCGACTGCTTCGTCGATAGAGTTCTGAAGAGAGAGAATATCAGGTAGTAAGAAGTGGAAGCATCCCAGGACCAGGGATTCCGGAATCTGAACGGGACCATAAGATCTCTGAATCATCCGCACGAACCATTTTGCCTCTCTACTATGCAGCCGGGATAGAATGGATCGCAGGGGAATTTCGGACTTGACGCCATCTCTATGCCTTCTCATTTCGGGGGAAGCGAACTTGGAATTCGCAGCAAGCTGTCTCAAGACAGCATCAATATCCTCCAGCGTTACCTCTTTGTGGGCAGGCGGTGGGTCGTTCTCTGCCAGAGCCATGACATGCTTCTCGAGGCAGGTTGCGAAGTCGAGGCCTGTCACTTCCCATTCATGCAACTGGCGGCCACGGGAGGTGTTCTCTATGAACAGTGCTTTGCATAAGACACTGGCTAACGATTTCTCCTGTAAGCCATAGACGCGGTTTGGCACTCGGTCCAGCAACATGCAAGACAGGAAGGCCACAGCGGAGGGTCCATGTCGGATAATATCAGACTCATGGCGACTGAACCATTTGATGATGATTTCGTCTGCAGGCGTAGAGTGACGCGTTGAGAGAGACTGTGCTTGTTTTCGTGCCCTATTGAGATCTTCAAGGAGTTGCACCAGGTGCTTGAATTTGAATGGCATTAGGCTTGTTTCCTCGCCGTGGAATGGACGTTGAAGAGCTGGTGGAGGTGAGCGTTTGGTATGGAGTGATTGGTTGTGGTGGCAGGTTGCAGACGCGCCGACGCGTTTTCGCGCTAAGACGCGATCTCACGTGAGCGAATTCCTCTCGTAAGATCCAGTACTCGTGCTTCTTTTTCTCTGTTCATGAACCGAGCTGCAGTCATCAGTATATATTGATACGGTGATTGTCGCAGAATGGCCGCCCTATTTGCCGTCGGATGCCGTGGGTTTGAAGCCTTCTATCCGCCTTGCCATGCCTACATCAGCCTCCTTTGCAGTCCACATATTTGCCTCATAAAGACAATCTTGCTAATACTCCAGAATGGAGATTGCACCTGTCGCTGTGCACATAAAGCGACTCACACAATGGAGTAAGCAGCAGATATATGCAGGAACCTGGATTGCACAGGCATTCTACATCTCCAAGGCATGCGCAAGGGGCGAACAAAGGATGAAAGAACTCCCTTCTTGATCTGTGACAGCCTCTCAACAGCGGCCAACCTTCCATGACAATCACAGAAAAACCGGCAGCGTCCCCTGAAAGTTTCAGGTATGGTCCTAGGACAGAGCCATATATATATATATTTCAAGTATTCTGTAGGTGGCTTTCAATCCGCGGTGCAGTCTGATGCTTCAGCTCCACGGCAATCAAACGACCTTCTGCATATATTCGCTGTCAGACAGTCCAAAACCACAACTTTACCTTCCGACAAGCTTTTCAACGTCGCGAAGACCCTGCAGGTAAGAATGCTTGGGGCCAATCAGCATACTAACTCCGTGGATATTGCAACAGCACAAACACCGCCGCTTGAGCATTCGGATCACAATGACCCCTATCACAGACCGTCCACTAATCCTCAGTCCTTTTCCCGAGCCAATGAGTAGCTATCCTCACAGGAGCTGACACGTAGGCTTTAAGGCCATATAATCGATATCTGAGAGAACTGGCGATCAGCATAACCTATTGGACCCCCGCACGGTAATGCAAGGACAACTCATTGAGAAGTGGGGTATCACTTCATGTCGCGATAAACAAAGATAGGTAGGGGGAGATTCTGATGTATTCTGTAGTATATCAGTGCAGTCGAAAGCGCCCTGCCTTTTCGGAAACTAAGCAGACCAACCACTACAGATAACAACATGTCGTCCTTCACTGCCCTACGCTTCCACGGCCAGTCAGATATTCGGCTTGAACAAGTCCCTTCTCTGCCATGTGGTCCGGACGAGATTCGCATCCGCCCCGGCTTCTGCGGGATATGTGGCACCGATCTGAAAGAATTCACCTCTGGTCCCATCCTGTGTCCACAGCCTGGCTCATCACACGAACAGACTGGTGCTCGACTCCCTGTCATCCTCGGACATGAGTTCTCGGGCACAGTGGCTGAACTCGGCTCCAGCATCTCCAATGTCAAAGTTGGAGATCGTGTCGCTGTAATGCCTAATCTGGGAGATGCACAATTTGGACTGTCCAAGTGTGCGATGTGCGAGATTGGCAAGATCAATCTGTGCACCAAGACTGCCTATTACGGTCTTGACGCTTTGAGTGGAGGTTTCTCTGAAGAAGCAGTCATCAAGGCTGCCAATGTATTCACTCTACCTGCCTCTGTGCCTCTAGATCTAGGTGCATTGGTTGAGCCTCTGTCAGTGGCGTGGCACATGGTCCGCATATCGGGATTCCAAGCAGGGCAAGACGCGCTGGTTCAAGGGGCAGGTCCCATAGGACTTAGCCTCCTCCTCGTCCTCAAAGTCGTTGGTGCGAGACACGTTGTGGTGAGCGAAGTCCTCAAGAAACGAGCAGTTCGGGCTCAAGAGTTCGGCGCCGATGCCGTCATTGATCCCACGTTGTCTAGTTCTAGTGACAAGAATGGCGACCCTAACCCCGTGGTGGCAGCATGTCGCCAACTGACCCCAGGAAACCTCGGCGTACACGTCGCCTTCGACGCCTCGGGGCTGCAGTCGACCCTCAACACCGCCATCGCGGCAACCCGACCAGGCGGAACGATGTTCAATGTGGCGATCCACAGCAAACCGCTCCAGATCAACCCGAATGACCTCGTGGTCTTGGAGAAGAGATACATAGGCGGCATAGGTTACACTGCGGACGATTTTCGAGCTGTGATCTCAGCGCTGGACAAGAACGCGGACTTTGCGGGCAACGCGAAGAAGATGATTTCGGGGATCGTGCCGCTTGAGGACGTGGTCGAGAAGGCCTTCAAGGGCTTGTTGGAGAATAAAGAGGACCATGTCAAGATCTTGGTCCAGGGAAGCCAGAGTCAGAGCTGAAGACTGGAGCGAAATAGTACGGAGCAGAAGAAACGAGCACGAACTGGACGGTCTTACATACACAAGTCAGGCCAGCAGCCGGTTCGTTATTAGGGGCAAAAATTTGGGCTTCACCGTCGCGAATTGTTTAACGAGACTTCCTGCACCGAGGTCGCAAGTCACGATGGACTTTATAGGGAGGAGCAAGGCATGGGCAAATGAGAATGGGAAAGCGGAATGGAAAGGGAAATGGAAATGGGACTTGAGCAGAGGATCACACTCCTGGACGGTCGTTTGAGCCTGGGACAGAAAGTCTCGAAGAAAATTAAATGTCTGATCTACCTATATCTCAAATGGCGTCGTGCTTGTTCGCTTTGACGCCTCCTTCCTGCATGGCGCGCTGTTCGACCTCTCCGTCAGCTCACCCGGTCAGTCGCTTGGCCACTCAGTCACACCGTCCGTCAACCACTCTGTCTGTCAGTCCATGTCTCCGATTTCCCCTTTACCTGCCCAATCCAGCCCATTCCAATCCAATCTCGTTTTCACGGGGGCACTGTCCTGCGCCCCAGCCCACACGTTCGACGCACCTTGGGGGTTCGGAAGTGCACTTGGATTACGTACATGTGTACGGTAATACCGTCTCGCGAGACACAGAGGGAACGGGAGGAAAGAGTGTCATTAATATTACGTCTATAAGACGTCATTGAATCAAAGGGAGGAAGTCGATTTCGAACAGCTGCGCCCAGGCTACCCGACCTTTCTTTCCGGCTGCCGTCCTGTCCTGTCCTGTGAACTGTCCCGGGTATCATTTAAGTCATCCCGCCCCCCCAACCAAAATAAGGACAAAAAGAGAGATACAACAGTGACACTGGGGCTGCTTGACAACGGCAAAGGGGGAGCAATATAGAATGGAAGAGTCTCAGCCAGACGAATGTGTGTAGGAAAAAAACAAATTGGGGAATCCGAGACACAGCACATGTAACAGCCTTGAGCACAACCACAAGCCCATTTGAACATCCATCAGACGCCCTGGAGAACAGGGATTGGAAAAAAAAAAAAGAAAAATAAAGAATAAAAAATCAAGCTTTACGAGCAACAACTCCAGAACTCAGCTTGGTTACAGTATCATCGAGCTGGTCTGACACCGTCTTTGCCTGTCCTCTTATGTCTTTATGTACTCCGCATCGAGGAATTCGCGAACCACAAACCCAGTCCAATCTCCTTCCTGTTATTATGATGTGGAAGTTGGAAAACATCAATCTCGCGCTGATCCGGTGGTGGTACATCGCACCGCACCGAAGAAGAAGCCATATTTTCATACAGGTCATTGTTGTTGTTGTCGTTTGCGATGATGCTGCTGTTCTTGTGGTGGTTCCATTGTCCGCCACTCACGACCCGTTCGAGTTGCTGTACCAGATGTGAGTTTTCCGTTTCAACTCCCCCCACCATATAAGGTACATGATGAGGGACAAGGTACTGCCTGTCGTTGCGTTGTTGTGCGTCGAAGAAATCGTCGCCAACACCGCGCCGAGCTTGGAATGTCGAGGCTGATGGATAATACCGTTGCCGGTTGTTATGGTCTGCCTTGGGCCGCAGGGCCAGTGGAGCCACATAGACTTCGGGCTCGGGGCTCTCGCCGCGCACGCTGACGTCTTCCCAGATCGAGCCGCCGCCGACGGACATGACGGATGGTGATACGCACATGACTGGCGCTGGCAGGTCTAGGGCCCCATGCAATGATGTCCGTCCGTCTGTCGTCCCTATCGGAGGGGCCCTGGTCGAATTCGAGGTTGAATGAGCCAAAGGACTCGAGCCGCGACTGGCTTGCTGTGTCTCCACCGATACAGAACGAGGGGTGCTCGCTGTGGACGATGTACCGCTTGTATTGCGGAGACCCATGACTCGTTTATTCATCGGCGGAGACGGCATTGCGAAGATTTCTGGACTGTCAGATTTTACCGCGCCAATGTTAGAGAGCATGGTGCGCTGCTGGTCGAGCAGGCGACCCTCGGAGTTCATGCTTCGCAACATCATGACTGACTTCCGAAGCGCGAAATCTCCCGACCCGCTACACTCCCTAGCCTTTGTGATCCGGTAGTTGGGCCCATTTTTGTTTTGCAGGGGGCGTTTAGCAGCCGGATGGCTGCTTTGACCCGAGTTTCGAGGGTTGCGTGGGCCTTTAACGAGGGACTTGCGAGGATATAGGGAAGCCGAGTTCAGCGCCGGAGAAGGTAAAATGGGTGATTCGAATGGAATTCGATCCGACGGCTGCGCTGATGGTGGTGTCTCCCTTAAAAGAACGTTGGGCTTCGAGCATGGCGAGAGTGGCCATTGGCGGGGCGTTGTGCTGCGATGGCCCGACACTTGCACGGGTATGTGGTCGGAATTGAAGACCTCTGAATCTGGTCTCGGTGTCCCTGAGACTGCACTGTCGGGGCGTTGTATGTACTGTTTCCGCACTGGGCGAGGTGTGGGTGTCAAGATGGGCGCATTTCTGAACGGAGACGGTATTGGAGTGGATGATTTGATATCTGACTCTGATTCTCTCGGCTTGAACATCGGTCGTGGTTGCCGGATCTCAAATCCATGAAACGACTTGTCTGCCTCAAGTGTGCGGGCTACCTGTTGCTGCTCCTCTCTGAGCTCTGGCAGCCTCATCATGTCGTGTGCTCTCAGATCTAGATAGGGCAGATTAGTTATGCGGACGCAATTCTGCCGTCTGTGCCCGCGTCTCGGTCCATCCAAAGATGACAGAGAATGTCGCTTTGTTGCAAAGCTGCCTCGTCGGTCCCACTGTAACGGGTTCCCAATCGCCACTGAATTGGGTCTCTGAGGAGCCTCCAGGACAGAAAATACATCTTCATCAGCAAGCAGGCTTGTCGCAGAGTCACTGGCGGCTCGGTATTGTGCGGTTCTCGACTGCTCGATCAATGAATGTCGATTAGGCCGGTCCGATGGAGGCCTTATTTTCCCGACTTTCAGTGTCGGCAAATCCCAATTACTTGCGTCGATAATCTTGAACGATTCCTCCTGAATAACGATGGTTGGAAACGGGGGAGCATTCGAGATATTTCTGGTACTTCCAGGGCTTATCTCGTCCGTGTCGACCGTTGGATGAAGAGAGCGAATGCTCGGTTTGCCTGTGCAAAGGCCATGGATTGTTTGTTTCACCGGGAGCGCTTGAAGCTTTGGAGTCGAGAACACCTGCCCAAGTCCCAATCTAGGGGTAGGGGATTGCTCGTTCGATTCGAGATTAGAAGCACTAAGTTCTGTGGCATCATTTGCAGGAGAACCCGCGAAGGCCCCCAAGACCGAGCTGCCCACTGTATCCAGACTAGCATTCGAGGCTCTGGCCATAATATTCCTTGGAAAATGAATTGTCGGCAAGGGCGGTAAGGGATCGTCAGGTGCCAAAGAAGCCATGCTAGCTGAACTGATGGATCGAGGGACCGATGCAGACTGCGGAGCTGTTGGTTGACTATGTTTCCCACCTCCCTTCCTCATTAGGACACTTTCTCGGACTGCTATCGACATGATTTCGGTGAGAACGATATCAGATGCTCTCGTGCTTGCAGTTACCAAGGGCCATTGCGTGGAAGTATGCTTTTCTGGTTTCATCATGGCCGTTTCATGCATGGCAATTGTCTCAGACTCTGCTGGAAATTCAGGAGCGATTGGTGATACGCCCGTCGACGGATCACTGAACTCGGTAATCGCAGAGAGAGGAGACTTTTGTATCCGATCCAAGGGGACAGCCTTCCTAAGCTTCCCTTGCCGGCGCGTCTTTGGAATATAAAGCGGGTGACCGGAGAAAGATTGCCGTATGCTCCTTTTACTTCTCGGTCGCAGCACTTCAACATAATCATCGGCGTGTCCAGTCGCGGTGTTTAGCTGTCTCTCTTCATCCTCGCCAGCACTATCAACCCCGACAGAGACGACTCCGAAGGGGAGCTGCACACTTCGTCTTAAAGGGGTAGTCGGATGCGTAATATGCGAGTAGTTGTGTTCGCAGGCACTGAGCTTTGGGCGGTGATATTTGCTGAGGTTCCGCGTTAACCCATGATCGTGCATGATATGGCGATGCCGTCGTCGCTCCAGAGTGATTGCAAGCAAGATACCTGTACAGGTGAGAACTGCAGCGCCCACCACCGCAATCACAATGATAAGCCATAAGGGCCACATCTTTCGCGTTCTGTTGTCTCTTACTCACCCGCCTCGCAACAACCCGAAACATGGTGGAGAAGGCGAGTTTCGCAGATGCTGGTTGCACAAGGGCGTCGACACCCATGACTGGAATGTGGAAGATTGGAGAGCCGAGAGCTTCGCTGCAAGGGATGAAATCTCCTCGAGTCTGGAATGCGGAGGATGTAGCATTGAAGAACACGTGGACATAATCACTTGATAATTGTGCGCGAATCTAGCCCTCTCTATACGCAGGCTCTATTATTGGCCGTGGTGTATGATACCCGGATCATAACACAAGAGTAAGAGTGAAGGATTTGAGAATGAAAGGTGCTGTCATTAAATTATGCGACAACTAAATGCAACCTTGCCCGAGTCCATTCTGTTTCTAGCCCGAAAGCGCACACCATTTCACCTGATGTATGGCGATGCGATTTTCGAGTCGTGGCTGTGTAGGACAAGAAATACGCAAATCTCACTCTGGAGAAGTGAGAGGCAGAAGTCTGGTGAGCTTATCTCGGCCAAAGGAATCAATTGGCAATACTCACGGCGAGGGTTTCTTGCCTGACAACGTTTTCGTAACTACAAGAATCACTCTTACTTCCTCTTGCTCCTCTGCACACCACGCCTTTTGCCACCGCTAGATAACAACAGCAACGTGGTCGTCCATATACTTCTCAATATTGCCCAGGAATGCGGAGCAGATGATCGCCACTCCTCCAAAAGCGATCGAAACTAGATACACCCAACGGTAGCTCTCGGAGTAGGCCACTTGCCCGGCCGTAAGAACCATCTGGTACGCTGTCTCGTTCCCAGCAATGCCGGGAATCAGTTTGAGTTGGTCCACAAGCGAAAGTCCGGTGAGGGTGATGGCGTCCACGATGTACGTTTCGTTTGTGATTCCGAGCTGGCCAACCATGACCCCTCCGACGTATTCAACGATCTTGACCTTGAATTTGTTGACAAAGACATTGTAGTAGGTCGTATAGCCAATGCAGCCACCAATCACACGAATCGAGAGTGTAAGGGCCGTAACCGTGGCGATAATGTCGTCAGGGCAAATGATGGTTGTGATGATGGAGGCGGGGACAACAATTCCTCCAATTCCGAGGCCAGCTACCACGAGGATACCGTAGACTGCATGTATATTGTTGAGATCTGCAGCTGCAAGTGCGCCACAGCCCGCTGTCATGAGGATGGAAGACACCATAAGTAGTTCACGGATATGTCCTCGCAATAGGGATAGGAAAACCAAGATGATGCAGCAACCACCAAGGATAGAAAAGCCGATCGGGAGAGTTCTGATTCCCACACCTGTAGAGAGTTAACGAGAAGCTCGCGAAATGAAGTCATTTGGCCGTCATACCAACTGGGTCGTGGCCATAGACGTTGAAAGCTTGCGTAGGCCAAAACATCAAGATCGAGAAAAAGTTTGCGCCTGATATCGCAGTAATCACCAAGGTTAGGGAAAGCACCTTTGCGTCTTTCTTCATCCGAGACGGAAACATTGGATATTTCGCGAATTTGATCTCCCAAATTGGGAAGGCGACGAAGAGGAGGAGGAACCCCAGGATGAGCGGGACTAAGACGTGAGCGGACTCCCATGTATACTGATAGCCTCCCCATTGGAGACCGGCAAGGAAGATGATCATCCCTGTAATGCTGAGGAAGCCGCCGAAGAAATCGATCTCGTCGATGATCTGTTTCTTGGTCAAGCCTCGAGAATTAGGCCGCGGAGGAGGGAAGTAGAATATCAAGACGCCGACGGCTCCAATCAGGGCCCACATTCCAGAGATAAAGGCGCACCATCTCCAGGTCGAGTAGCCAGCAATGAGCCAGGCATAGAGAGCGGACGGGCAGAATGGTATAATGGTCAAGACCAAGGCCGCAACGTAGAGGCCACGCTTGCGTGTTGGTGCAAGTTCGGATGTCCCAGCCAGACAAGTCAGTTCGCAAATACCGGCTCCAACGCCAGAGATGCCCATTCCAGCTGGTAAACGTTAGTGATAGAGTTTCAGCCTGACGAGAGTGTCGTACCAATAAATTGGTTCATATTGTGCGCCGTGCCGGCAATGATCATGGCAACGATGAGAAGGCCTGATCCCAGCAGCGCTACATACCTCCGGCCGATCAGGTCGGACAAGGAGCCGACAAAGGGGCAGACGGCTGCGAGGGAAAGAAGGTATGCCAACACGAACCAGACCCATCTGTCATAGCCTCCGATCTCAGAGTAAATCAGAGGGGCGATGCCTCCAAGGAGGTAGGCGGGAATCTGGGAGCCGGTCCAGAGGAAAGCCATGGCGACAAGGCTCATGACTCTTTTGGTTGTCCACTGTGGCCGAGTTTAGCATGTCTCCCCAAACAGCCACACCGCACACCTACTGGAGGCTCATGATCATGATCCTGATCGTCGCCATATGTTCGGAGGCCATCCTTTTCATAGTAGCCGGGATGGCCTTCGACCTTTTCAAAAGTTCTGACTTGCTCGATGTGGGCGCCGCCGGATTCTTTCTCTGACGGGGTAGACGACTCTCTGGCCTCGATCTCGTTGGGTAGATGAGTATTGTCGTCCGCCATGATGAATTTTTGTGATGGATAACTCGGTGTGACAATCCAAACAACACAACTCTAGGGAATACAAGTTGGGCCGAGGAGGGAAGTGCCAGTGCGACAGTGCCCGGAAAATCGACCTTATGTACACCGTATGTAGCAGCAGAATCCAGCCTCCTCCACTTCTCTCTGGTCGAAAACATGGGGAATGGGGTAGCAGGTCGTAAGCTTGAGCGTTTCCAGCATAGTCGGTCGTGGCGTACATGTTCGCCACGTTCTGGGCCCGCCAAAAGCGCGGAGGTGCAGTGTGCCCAGCAGCCTGATTGGATCCGTGTCGTACCACCAAATCCTGGGGAAAATGAAGCCATGTCCAATGTGGTGACAACTCTCCGGTGGCCGTGCTTTTTCGCTTTTCGCTTTTCCACAAGCTTGCCCTGCCATCACTTATCTGCGGGGTTTGCCCTGCAATTGGCGGACTTCGATGCCCATCCTCCTTGGCACTCTGCTGAATCACCTGCTCGTTGTGCTGAGAAGGTGCAGAACAGTCGCCAGGTGGTAACAGCACACAGGATTAAATGCGCTTGATTCGAGCCCAAACCTCGAGGCACCGTGGAATTGGAACCGAGATCCTCGGTATGGTTGCGAGGTAGCCGAACATCTTGCAGGTTTGAGATCCAGTTTTCCCCGCAAAGGAGTCCTGGTCCCTGTGGAAGGAGACTGTCCATATTGTTAACAGTGATCGACGACCTAACTAGGGGGGTGGCGGATGACTTTGCAGGCGTTGCAAGAGGTAAGAATCGCGGCAGTCTCGCTCGGACAAGCTTCCTGATCAAGTTAGGACAACACTCAGAAAGCAACCTCACCCAGCGCCCCTGCAAGAGCAGTCGATGTTCGATGCCTCCAGGCTGGTTGGGCTGCCAAGGGACCTTCTTGATGCCTGGCATGAAAGGCAACTAATGGCGACCCGAAGGTCCTGTGATCGCTGTTACAAAAAGAAGGAGAGATGTACCTTCGAGCCTCACGCTGGAAAGTGTACCCAGTGCGTGCACTCTAACTCTCCATGTACCAGTCTACGATCTCGTAATCGACCAGGGCGGAAGCCAAAAGCCACGGCATTTGGGGAGCATGGATCACTTCACGTCTGGGACGCGGTCGGTGGATCGAATACACAAAGCCACAAACTTCAAACGCCTTCGTCAACGTCCTCACTAACGCCCTCACTAACGCCCTCACTAACGCCCTCGCAAACGTCCCCCTATGAGGCTGACAACGAGGCTGAGACCAGTCATACGTTTGAGGGAGGAGAACTTGTGACAAGTCCTAGGCACTACCAACGAGAGGAAGGGTTTTCGATTCTCTGGAGACGAGAGCTGGGCGTTTCCTTCGAGCAGTTATACGATCTCCAAAACTCCAGTCTCGAGTTCTTCTATGTTACCAACGATATCTTCATGTTGGGCCCCGGGTTCGCCGATCAGTTTCTGACCACGCTTCGACAATGTTATGAATTTGCACCAGGCTTCCTTCGAGACACTTATCAGGCAATGTTCACTGCCCTCATCTGGGCCCGCCATCAAGCAACTTCGTTCGATCAAGTTGACATTAGCAGAGGCGCTTTGTCACTGCGAAGATTGAGGACTTTCAGCGTTTGTAACCTCCGAGATGCTGTTGCGGCTGTCAGCCTCGGGCCAACGCTGGCGGCATTTGACGTGCTCACCAGATGTGTTGGTTCCGTCATAATATTGCGTCATTCTCTGTCAATGGTCCAGGAATGGTATCCAACACTTTCAAACAGTCCAGGACTGGATCCGATCATTATTGCACCCATATTCTGGGATACCGCGCACTGTCTGATACTACGCGAGATCCCCGTCATTCGATACCAAGTCCGCGACCCTCACACAGTAGACCGCGTGGCTGGAATGTGCACGACTCTACTGCCTATCCTGTATGACCTGTGCGTGGCTAGCAACAAATGGAGGCGCTCGGGAGAAGTTCAGCATGTCAGAACCATAAGGGAAGTTGAAAACAAGATCATCGCGTGGCGGCCAGACTTCGGCCCTGAACTCCACAGGTCATTTTCAAAGCGGGAGATCCTCGCCATGACTGCCCAGGCGTCCATGTACCGTGCAGCAGCATTGTTGACTATTCACCGTCTTTTCAACCTAATTGGGACAGCAGACGACATTGCCAAAGCCTACGCCACCGAGATCGTAGCCAACCTCCACGAGTTTCTCGTCTCGCTCGGCCAGGAAGAGAAGCTCCAGCACACAGCGCTGCCGATGTTCCTTGCCGCCCTTGAGCTCCCAAACCTGGCACAAGAGACCTGGACACGGCTATCTCTGCTTAAAGCCCCGTCGATCTGCCTGAAGAAACTTGCAGCGGTCGTCGAATTTGTATGGGAGCAAAGATCAAGTGGCTTCTCGGGGTCTTTGTTTGACTTGCTTGAAGCCGGGCCGGAATTTGTCATTATCCCTTGAGTGTCGGATCAGGCTGGCTATCAAGGTATCATCGACACAGGTTCGGACATCACCTCTAAAACAATTCTTGTATATTTCAGATTGCGTGCCACGCTGCAACTGTTGTTGAGAAATGCGCCAGGTCCCATGCATAGGGAAAAATCAGTCTGTTATTTACATCACGCTGTACGGCTAAGCAGACTGCGCAGATCATTCGAGGTTGCGGTCGAGCCCTCGTCTACGCATATTATTGACATAGTTCACAGAGTCAGTGAACTTACTGGGTGGCAAGATGCTGTGTCCTGGAGATGCCTGCTATTCCACATCAATTTGTCCAAGGACGTGTGCTTTCCAACGGCTAATGGGCTGACAAGTGGCACCTCCCCGCCTTTCAATGTCGGTCAATTGGAGGCCAAAGTTAACTCTCGCTTCTGGTACACTTTCAGGAGAAGCGTGGAGGAGACCCTGAGCTCCCACAAGCTTTACCTTGATGCAATGTTCGTCCATTGCTTAATGTCCTGAAAATCCATGACGCGATTGGCGCCGTCGGGTCCAAATCTGCCTTGCAACGCTTTCCAATCTCTGCCTTTGGCTGTCTCGGGCCTCCATCGAAAGCTCTGCTTCAGCTTGTCGTCAAGTTTCTCTTCCATGGCATCGGCAATGAAGCTTCCAATTGCCGGGATATGGCAAAACCCGTGTCCAGAGCCACCCACCCCCAGCACCAGGGATGCATAATCTGGGTGCTTAGAGATCAGGAATGCTCGGTTCGGGGTGTCTGCACACCAGCATATCCGCGCAAAAGAGAACGGTCGGTCCGCAAGGTGTGGCATGGTCTCGCGCAAAAATGCCCGGCAGCGACCTTCACTTTCGAGTGGGATCTGGTGTTTTGCAAAAGGAGAACTGATCTGGCGGGCATCTTCAGAAGAGGCGTCGGGCACCCAGTTGCAATACCCAGGATGTTCGTCACACATCTTAAGCTCATGGTTATCTTCGTCGGGCTCCATGAAGAAGCCACGCTCGATATTGAACAAGACGGGAAGGTCTTTGTACAGCTTGGCTTCCTCTGGAGTCATCTTAATGTGGGCCAGTGTCCAGGCCGTGGGTCGAAGTTGATCTTTCATGTCAAAGAGAGCCGCGGCGCCGGCGCCCGCACAGAGAATGGTGCGGTCTGCGAAGTGGCGTGTGCCGTCAGCCGTTATGGCGCCTTGGACGTCGGAGGACTCATAGATCAGACTCGTTACACGGCCAGCTTGTTCACCGGCGATGAATTTAACCCCCAGCCGGACAGCTTCTCTGGCGGCACTCTCCATACTCTTGCGGGCGTGAACCCAGCCTGCTCCTTTCTGCATCCACCACCCTTGCCAACCGGGGAACTCGCCCGTCAGAACGCCGTCGGGCATGGTAGCTTGGAAGTCTTCTTTGGTTCTGAGTGGAATCCACCCACCTGCTTCACTCGGCCCGTCGCGCGTATTCATGTGGCTGCGAGCCTCATCAGAGGTGGCTGCCAGGATACAGCCGGTCTCGTGGAAGTGAGGTTTGAACACAGGGTCATTGCGCCATCCTTCAGTGGCCGCTTCCAGCAGCTTGTTAGATACATAGCGTTCGTCAGCATCGTCTCCGGCGAAAGAGCCCAGCTCCAATATCTTGTTTAGGTCGGTGCCAGCGGAGATGGGTGACGGCACAGGATAGGGGTCGAGGACGGTCACGTATTTATAGCCTCGACGACCCAGATGGAGGGCGGTGCTGCAGCCCCACGTGCCAGCGCCGACAATAAGGATTTTGGATTCGGTACTCAGCGGTGATGGCATGGCGATGGCGGTATTCAGTCAGCTAGTGAGCGAAATCAGCATCAAGACACGAACAACAGCCGGGGACAGCCAAAGGACTTAAATAGTCGTGCCATCTGAAGGTAGTGGACAAATTGTCGATCCGTTGAAATTGGGCCATAGTGGTATCCCCAGTAGCCGAAGAGTGGCACTGGACATGATCGCAGGCGTCGAGGAGGGCGGAGATGGACTACCCAGTACTCGGTATAGTGCGAGGGGAGCGGGAAACAGGGAGAGAGGGAGAAGGTCCAGGCGAGAAGGGACCGTGAATCAGTGAGCATCGAGCCCACCAGCCCCGCCACTATCACCACCATCCATCGCCATTATCTCTTCGCACTTCCATCTCTCGACTCGCAACCACCACGTTCCTGAAATCCACTCCATCCCGCTCAGACCTAGTCCTCCATGCCACTGCTCTGACCACCTCGAGCTTCGGGTTCCTGGCATGTGTCCTTCCCAATGCCCCGGCCGCGGAAGTCGACCAATGTGCACGTCAAGCGGCGCACGCGGACCGGATGTCGAACCTGTCGAGCTCGAAAGCTCAAATGTGGGGAAGAGAAGCCCGTCTGTCATCAATGCTCACTCAAAGGCCTGAACTGTGACACAACCACTGCCCTCAAGTGGGAAACCGACTATATCGCCAAGGGCCTCAAGTTTGGGAGAGTCGGTGTTTGGTCCAAGGACCCATACAAGTACAAAACAGCCTCGCTTTCCCCGACTTCGGACTGGTCCACTCATGAGACTCCAGCTCTGTGGTGGTGTCCTGTTCCAGACATTTACCCCTACAGCTTTGTGAATGCCACGGTGGATACTCTGCGCGAATTGGACTATTGTGAATTCGGAACAGAAGAGAGCACCCGCCATCGAGTCGCGGCTTCGGGAACATCAGAAGGAGATGCCGCTGTCACATCATCTCTCAGCCCCTGGCCAACAACTCAGAGCCTGGCATGGTCCTCGAAAACCCGGATTGTTGCGTCCCTAAGTATCTTACCGCAATGGCAAACTCCGGAACACTCTTCACTGCTTTCTTACTACGTCGAAAGAATTTGCAGAATGACCGTCTCGAGCTTGACATCCGACTCCCCTTTCGCAACCCTACTCCTTCCTTTCGCCATCAGCACCTCGTCTCTGACTATGCACTCTATGTTGGCACTTGCCGCCTGCCATCGGTCGCGAACGGATTCACATTACAAAGCGATAGCATTGGAGCTCAGCCACCAAGCTCTCCAAGCCCTTCGGACCAAGTTAAGCGACTGCGACTCAAAAATGGTCGTAATGGTTCCAGAAACATTGGTCGTCATGCTTCTCCTTTGTATGTTTGAGATCGTGAACGAATGTGACAGTCGATGGGTGGTCCATCTGAAAGGAGCCCGCGAGTTGATCCGCGTTCGCAGACGGCACCAAGAAGCCCCCACATATGAGACGGATGCTAGCATCCTCGTTCAATTCTGTGAACGTTTCTTTGCCTTTCAGGACATCATGGGCCGCACTGCCTGTGGCGAAGATCCTGTTTTTGGAAGCGACTTTTGGGCGAATGACCAGACCGACTGCGAACCTTGGCTCGGGTGCTCTCCCCAGCTGGTCTCCATCTTGAGCAGAATCACCGAGTTAGGACGACAGGGCCCGACAAGTCGCAAAACCGCCGCATTCCATGCAGCCGCCGGAGCTCTTGAAAGACAACTGGACATGTTGAGGCAAACAGTCGACGATACCAGTGACGATATCCTAAATCAGGCTGGTGAACTCAAGCGGCTCGCGGCCGAGGTCTATCTGCAGTGCGCATTGAACGGAGCCGGCCCTTCCACACCGTGGGTATCTCAGCAAGTGTCCGAAATCCTACGTTTTGTCAGTATTTTGCTGGAGTCTGGATTGTTTTCGGGCATCTGCTGGCCCCTGTTCATTGCAGCTGTTGAGTTACATCCGGACCAGGATCCTCTACTGTGCTGGGAGGCCGGCAACGCCCCAAAGTATGCACGAATTTTCATCCTCAATGCCCTGGAAAAGCTCACAGGCTCAATGGTGAACACCATCCGAATCCGCACGGTCATTGAAATGGTTTGGCAAGCGCGAGAGTTGCGTGGAGTCCCAGCCGGCGCGACCGCTTCCCCGGAAAGTGACTGGGAACAGTTTGTGGCGCCGTTTTGCGGAAACATGTCTCTGGCGTGATCGACCTGCTACTGCTGGGTTAGCAGATGTTGCTCCTGGTCGAGCCGCAGTTCCTCACAGAGATGACCCCATCCATAGGCCGGTACAGCGATCCGGACAGCCAATGGTTACCTTCCCAACGGTCGATATCGCTCTTCTCCGCATCAAGTTGTGAGCCCACGCGGGTGCAAGTCCGGCTCCACACAAGTGCGTGAAGGTACAAGCGCAACAAATGAAGCCATGGGTAGACAACTCCACTACGGGACCCTGCCCATGATCATCCATCGCCCTCCTCCAATTCGTCCGCTTGGACCTTTCTTTCGATAGAGGTCTCCGCACAATCCAAGTATCAATGGCTGAGTGGGGAGAGAGCAGTATCGTGAAGGGTCGAAACGACGGCAAGTGCTCGTAAGAGTCGTATAAAGTGCCGTCTGCAAATGTTTTCCACAACTCCATTCCTCACTCTCACAACTCGCCAGAGTGCATTCCAGATCCTTTACGACAATTTCTGGGAAACATGGCAGACGATATCTACGAACTCGACGTTCCTGGCACGGACCAACTTGTTGATGGTCAGTACATGTTCTTCGAAAATACAATTTTGCTCGCTGCAGAATCTAACTTTGGCTCTCAGTGCATCACACATTACAAGCAGCACACGCTGGCGGGACTAGTGACATCGTCCTTATTCCTCAGCCTACAGGTGCCGGTGGCGACCCTCTACGATGGCATCGCTGGAAGAAGTACTACCAACTTTTCCTCCTGGCGTTGTATGCGTGCGCCTTTTCTTTTGGTGAAAATACCCTCGGAGCTGCTTGGACAACAGTCTCTGAAGACACGGGGGTTAGCTTGACTAACATGAACGGTGGAAGCGCCCTTAACTATCTCCTTTTGGGATTTGTAAACATCTTTTGGATCCCCATGGCTATGAAAGTCGGCCGACGGCCGGTCTTTCTAGCTACCACCGCCATCTGTATGGTTGCCGGTGTCTGGCTCGGGAAATTCAACGGGACCGCATCGTGGATGTTGGCTATGACGGTCAACGGAATCGGCACCTCTGCCTACCAAGCCGTCATCCAGCTGAGTGTGTTTGACATGTTCTTTGTTCATCAGCGAGGCAGGATGTTGTCCGTATACCTCTTCGGCCAGCAACTGGGCAGCATCCTCGGGCTCATCAGCGGTGGTAGCATTGCAGATGGTCCTGGTTGGCGATGGTCTCAATACATTGTTGCGATCATTGATGCCAGTGTGCTCGTACTCCTCCTTCTGACTTTCGAGGAGACTTTGTTCCCTCGGTTCTTGTTCAGCAAAGTCAGTGGCGCTGTTCCCGTCGGCCAGACAGTGATCTTCCAACAAGGCTCCGACAGCAAAGCCCCGGGTGATACATTGACCCGCAGCCAAAGCTCAAGTGAGGTCGAATATGACACCGCACTGGAAGCACAGTTTCCCAAGCGAACATATCTCGAAAAGCTGAAGCTCTCGGTGTACTACCCGCAAGACCGAACCTCTTACTGGCAATACTTCCGAAGACCTTTCATCCTGTTCACCTTTCCAAATGTGGTCATCGCAGGGGTCATTTTCGCCTTTGGATGCACTGCCGGCATCGTCAGCTTCAATACTATCTCCGAGATCCTCACTGATCCACCTTACAGTTGGTCCACGACCTCGACGGGCTTGATCTTCTTTGCCGCCTTGGTCGGGAACTTTGTCGGCTGGGCCACTGGCGTTTTAGGCGATCACGTGGTGATTTTTTTCGCACGACGGAATTCTGGCGTAAAGGAGCCCGAAATGAGACTTTGGACTCTATGCCTATCCTTTGTCTACGCAGCCGCCGGCTATCAACTGTACGGTTGGGGTGCCGAGTTTGGACTCCATTGGATGACAATCGCTTTTGGGGTGGGCTGCATGATTGCTCACCAAGTATCTGCCTGTTCGATTGCCACGGCGTACGCCATGGAATGTTTCCCAGGGGTGAGTGGAAGCAGTTTGACACTTCTTTTCTATCGTGTGAGCACTAACTCAAACACAGATCGCCGGAGAACTCGTGGTTGTGTTGGCCATCTGTTCATCTTGCATCAACTTTGCCATCTCCTACTCGGTCCAACCATTCATTATTGCGGCAGGATACGGATACACATTTCTCTTCTTTGGATTGTGTGTTTTGGCCTCCATGGTTGCGGCTGTACCGACCTACATCTATGGAAAGGCATGGCGACGGAGGAGGGCACCGCGTTGGCGGAAGTGGTTGGCGGAGAGGGAATCTTGATGAGGGTACTCGGTAGTCTGCAGACCGCGATGGACGGAGCATTTTGCCATCCATCATGCTCAGAAACATACATCTACCTCGGTGACGGGGCAACAACAAAATCTCCAGGCGCGACATTTGGACTTGTCTTGTTTACGGTTATGCAAAGAAAGGGGCGTCTCCATCTACTTGATCTGTCTGTTCAGCGGATTGAATAGTTCCTCTGTACGTGTCCCATATTAGGAGTGCGTACGTACCACATACATTATATTAGGTTATGAGATGAGAAAATCAGTAGCAGAAGCAGAAGTAGAGATCACCATCTCCTGCGTCATGTCTCCTGGCCAGCCCGCTCTTCTAGTGTCTACAGGTAGTGATGTGTTTTTACATTGATATCTTCTCGCCTGCCTGATTCCTTCCCTCCTTCCTTCTCGCTTCCCACCTTCGCGTTCCCCTCCTTCATTCACCCGTCCACCCATCCGTCGATCTAGCGATCTGTCGATCCATCCTCGAGACCTCTCTCCTCCCCGGTCTACTCGTTACAGCTGCACGCAACTCCCGCCCCAGCCCCTGCCTGACTTCCATGCTCGCTTTGCACTCGAGCCGATCATCACTCTTTGGAGGGGAGAATTGCCTTGATCTGTGTGACGAAGGGCAACTGAGTTCCTTGAGTTTAGTCTGGCAAGGAAGGTCAACTCAGCTCAACCCATTCCATCCAAACAGGTAACCCCCCCTCCCTCCCTCCCTCCTCCGTTCTTCCTCATCTATAAAAAATCGTTGTATCGGCCGTCAGAGTAGTATTGAAAACAGCGATCAATCGATCGGATGGATCGTAACTTTTGTCTTCTCTTTCCGGTCCTTTTCATGCCAAGGCAGTCTGTGTTTGTTGTTCTTTCGGTGACGTGATGCTGTATGGTGATGTCGCGCCGTAGTTCCAATCAATCAATCGAATGACAAACGTGAAAAATAGATGCGGAAAAGCCTGTACACCCGTCCGTCCACAAGCAGAAAGATCCAGACGCCGAATCCACGTCGCTATGCAGTTGGGAACCACCAAAACTGTTCAATCCAGTCGTTGATTCTTCAAGCCCGTTCCCACGGCAGAAGCATCCAGATCAATATCAACAATGAAGAAAACGAAATGTGACCCTCGTAACCCGAATAACATCAGTCTACCAAGTAGGGCCACATTCACCTCTCCGTACTTTTCACCCTTTCCACCCTCAAACAGCTGGCCATCTGACCCTCAAACCTTCACACCATCTCTCAAATAGCGCGTCCGCAAGTTGTCTTGTATGCTCTAACCCACCTACTAACCCGCTCATCATCTCCTCCGTTTGGCTTTCAGCCTCCAACATACCTGTTTTGTTGATACTTGTGTTTTTCAGCGGACTGGTGAAAATTTGGCTCGTGTCATGGGATTTCACTATCGCTGCCTGTGCACTCTGTCTACGTCGATGACTCTTGAGATGCGGATTGTTTTGCGCAAGAACCAGTTTCGCGGCCACAGCTCCTTTTCCCGTGGGTGTGCTAGGGGTAACTTGCCTGCTCTCGTTGGCACCAATGGGCTGCGGTGATGCCATTGGCAGGTGTGATGTTTGTGAAGGGTCCGAGCACTTCTGTGGTCGCTGAAGCATCTCCTTCGATGGTGAGACGGTCGATGGCGAGATCGTCAGCGGTTGCTGTGGTAACATACCCTTCAAAGTCTCGTCTTGCTTCATCCTCGAAATGATCGACTGCATGATATGATACATGCCATCTGGGTCCACGCTTTCCAGATCTGAAAACGCCTCGGCTAGTCGTGCAACAGCCTCGCGTTTGATTTCGTCGGCGGTGTCGTTGAGCACGTCTTGACATGATATGCCAATGGCGTTTGAGTAGAGTCTGCGGCCGAGATTCGCCTCCTTCGTCTCGATTGCGATTGTCGTCGCGGTCGAGGAGAATCTCGACGCTTTGTCTGGCTTTGAGAGCAATGAAGTCTCAATGTCCACCAGAGCGGCCAGCCCAGGTTTGGCCTTGGATGGAGTCCGAATGACACTAGAATTTGGATCCTCATTTTCCGTATTGGGGCTCGTGTTCCCATTTGGGGATACCCGTCTGAATTGCCGAACTGTACTCGGGCTGTTGCCAAACGACATGTTCACTCCCAGTGGTTGCCGTACTTGAGCACTCGATAGTCTCTTCCTGTTTGTTCTCTTGCCTGACAACGAATCCGTAGACTCCCTTCGGTATTGTTGCTGCTTCGAGTCTGACACCTTTCGCATTGTCAGCTTGGTCGGACTTTGTTGGTGTTCTGAAGGCCGTTCAAGAGCCAAATCCCCCATCATCTGCGTCGCGCTATGCTCCGAGTCATCCCCCAGGACATCAACAGATGTTCTCTCAACTTTTCTCTTTCGCTGAGTTTGAAAGTCCTTAAAATTCATGGTGGGCACAGCTTTGACGGTCTCAAACACCCAGTCATCGTCATTCCGGCTCTGCGACAGATTCCTGAGAGTTTCGGCGTAGTACTTCAAATTTCGGTCTCCTCCTTTACTGGCTTCCCAGTCTTGCTTCCGAACGATCAACTCCTGAAGGCCTTCAATCTTTCCCGCCGATCGGATGAACCGATGGTTGAGCAATTCCTTCGCACTTTTCCTCTTCTCGACATCCTTGGTTAAACAGCAAGCAACAAAATCCTTGAAATCTTTGGACCAACTGGAGCCGTCTAGTTTTGGCGCAGGCTGTTTTGGTATCAGAAATAGAACTTTCATGGGATGAACATTCGCATGGGGAGGTTCGCCGTTTGCCAGTTCCATAGCCGTGATGCCCAAACTCCAGACGTCAGCTTTGGCGTCATGGCCCTCCTGCTGAATGACCTCGGGTGCCATCCAGAAAGGTGTTCCAACAAAAGTATTCCTCATGCTCTTCAGTCCGACCAGCTGCGCGGCGACACCGAAGTCGGCCAGCTTCACCCGACCATCCATGCCGAGCAGGACATTTGCGGCCTTTATATCGCGGTGCAATTTTCCCTCGCCATGTAAGTATGCCAGACCAAGGAGCAGCTCTCGACATATAATTGCGATGTGGCTTTCCGACAAATGATGTGGAGGGGGTTTGAGGAGATCGGCGCATGATCCGCCTCCTAGGTATTCCATGACAATCCACAGGGTCTGTCGACGCAGAAACGCAAGGCGGTATTTCGTGACGTGCGGGCTCGAGCATGATGAGAGGACAGATAGCTCAGAAAGAATATCGGAGAGATCTTCTTCGGAGGATTCGAGGTCCACCTATACCTGACATTAGCTGAACACTTCCGGGCATCGTGTGTCTCTTCCCTACATGTTTGATTGCGACAATTTCACCTGTGGCCTTCTCGATTGCCTTGTAAACGACGCCAAACGAGCCACTACCTAGTTCTTCCAGCATCTGATATCTGTCCGCAAGTGTATCGCCGTACGCAGAATCATCCTGAATCTCAAAGTAGCTCTGAGTCGTCGCTCTTGCTTGGTGAGGCGCTTCCGAGTAGGGGGAAATCATGGCCATGGCCGCCTGCTGTTGATTGGCGCTGCCTCTCTCTCCCTCTCTTTTTGTTTTCAGTCTTGGGGGTGTGGCAGTGTAGTTTTCTGTTTCAATATCACGAATGGACTTCGGGGTCACCGAGAGCTGTTCATTGGCTGTGCCCGGGAGTAATGGACAGTTCGGAATTGCGCACAAATTGGATAATGTGTCTAGGCGGGAAATGTAGAATGCAATAACTTGCGCCGGGAAGAAAAAATGCAAGACGTATGCCTGGGCGTAGTGTTACAGAGCATGAATGTGAAGATAACGGTAAAAGCGAGGTGGTTGCGGGGGCTGATGCACAGAGGATATATCTTGTACGACGTGGATCATAAAAGGGGGTCTCGCGGAGAGCACTCTGGATCAAGCCTCAAGACTAAGGGTCCCGAAAGTCAGTCATGGAAGGATACAGGACACACGGTAGTGAGAAGAGAAGAACGTGGACGGGTAGAATTGGAGGTGACAGACTTCGATGTTGACGTTAGTGCTGCCGTGGCAACGAACCGCCGCATGGGGAATAGTGTGACAGCCAAAGATGCACTAATGCAGCGAAGGTTCGACGCTAATGCAGGGGCCCGTTTCTCTTCCGCTTCCGTCATTTCTGTTCTCTACAAGTACTTGGACCTCGTAGGTATTAGGTAATGCTAGTATCAATCAGTCCTGCTGCCCACACTTTTCCCTCTTGATCATGGTTCTCCAGCTCGAGCTGAACCAAACTTCCAGCCTTTCCAGTCCCAGCCCCAGACTCTCCCTGCCGAGCTCGTCCCGAAATAATCAAACTCCCGCTTGAAGGGCTTGAAATGGATCCAGGCCCTCGGGTTCCAGTGGGCCAAGAAGGGAGGTCGGGGTCAGATGGCCTTCCAGAATTGTTCGAACCAACTTGTGTTGCTAGGGCGATATCCTACATATTGTGATCCGCTCAAAAGTATATGGAGGTGAAGTAATTTGCGCTGCTCCGCGATCACATAGAATAAGGTCGTTGCAGTCAAACCGCGAATAATAAAGTGACAAACATGAAAATCGCTCAACCAGGTCCAGCTCGCCGAATACCTGTAGAACCTGAAAGGGGTTGACACTGGTAATTATTACGGCATCTGTCTCATGAGTACCTCGTACTAGGTATTGACGGTCACATCGGCATCATCCATGACCCCCATAGCTGCGAAACAGATCCAACGCTGTGTTCATCGTATCTCCGATCTCATATGTCCAATATCACATATGTGGACTGTCGAGTATATGCATCTGCCCATTTTCCAGTCCATTTGTTTTAACTGGGTCGTCTTGATTTGAATCCCACTCCTTCATCAGATCGCTCACTGTGCGGGTGAGCTTGCTCGGAGTAATCCTCTCAAGTTCCGGCCAAGGAAGACCGGATTCTACGTCTTCTGGCTTTTGTCTCATCTCCCCCATCCCGACAATTGGTGGTTCTCGGTTGCTCATTGGCGAGTCCCACGCATCCCATCCATCTTCGACCTCGTCGTTGTCGTTCAAATCTGGCAACAGACTGGGCGTGTTCGAGGAGTCGGTACTACTTTTTTGCTGAACATGTCCATTAGACTTCTCCGCCGCCATTGGTCGAGTCGAACTCTTCTGCGGTGTATCTAGCCCAAACTCTCTCCAGAATGACGGCTCCATCGAACGAGAATTGGGGTTTTCAGTATTGTCCTTTGAGTTGGGTTTGGCTGGCTTGTCCGAGGATTTTCTTCGAACTTTTCTCTGACTCGACCTCACGGGGCGCTGCTGAGCTGCAGTCCCATTGATGCCCTCTTCTCCAACGGTGGCTTGGCGAATATCTTCAAAGAAGGTCCATAGGCCCTCTCTTACTCCATCATATACCTGCTTTCCCTGCTTCACCAGTAGATCCGCGGCCACTGGGGGCAGGGATCTCCGATGTGCTGCTAGCTCTTTGTATGTCTTCCCAAATCCAAGGTGAAGGGCATCGCCAGATATCAAACTGTCAAGAGTTGCCATCCTTGAGAGCGAAGGTCTGCTGGCTTGCTCGGAATCGGCTTCCGTCATGCCATCCTTGGTGCCTTTCGCCTCTTCTGCGTGTTTTAGCACGCCTTTTGTAGATGTCGGACTGAGTAGACTCAAGGTTCTCGTATGTCGGCCTCCTTCAAAGACTCGCTTTGACCCCTTCCTAACCAAACCAATAGATCCGGTGTTGTTCGCCGAAGCTGCTTGATTCGTGTAGTTTCTCTCCACCAGAGCACGCTTTCGCCTTCGTTCTTCATCGAGGTCTTCCTCTGCGACGGCGCCTTCGCCGCCAACGACGTCATCCAATGCCACGGGCTGGAGCTTCTTTACTTGTCTCACTTCATCTCTCTTCTTGTTTGCTTCATAGGCTGCCCATTGCTTCTTCAGCACCAACAAGTCCGCTTCTGCCCGTTGTAGTTCTTCCTTCAACTCTAGAACCCTCCTTTCCTGCGCAGCCAGCAGAGTCAAGAATTCTGCGCTCCCCCTCGTCTTGGTTTTCTCCTGTGGTTCGGCCGCAGGATCGGGGCTTTTGAAAGGGGCGCCACGTGTACGGGGCGACGATCTGGCTGATTCGACCGGGCTCTGTACTCCAGACCCGATAGTCGGAGAAAGCGAGGTTGACACATTGGTAGGCACCAGAATGGGGAAATTTAGGGACAGTCCCTTTGTATGTCTCCTCGGGGCTGTGGTGTTCGTTGTTGGTGCTAGGGTCGGATTGGGGGGAATATGAGAGTCATTGCCGACCCGTTCTAATGCATCGCTCGAAGATAGGTGCGGAGAAGACACGATCTCCATCACTGTTGGCAGCTCTGAACATGCAGTGAAACTCGTGCTTGGCAGGTCGTGATCGGGTCTCCTGTTGGATTTCACAGATGGAAGGGAGATTTGAGCGAAGGCCAGAAGAGAAAGAGATCTATATCGTGGTCTCGTAAATCGAAACAGCAACTTGTTGTCAACAACTCAGCCCTAGTAAAGATAGCTGTTCCACATCATCATAGTCTTCATCATGCGTAGAAGGGAGAATTGTTTAGAAAGGCGAAGGGTGGAAGATTGTTGACTCGCCGGAAACGGTGAGTCGGTAATTAACTGCCCTGAGCGGGTTTCTTCCCCACGCGGCCGTGGCGGCGCGACGGGTCCCAGTCTCCCAGCAGGGCCTGGTGGCTCGGTGGGCTCAGCCTCATCAGCTGGCAGCCAGCCTCGAGTAGCCTGGTTACTTACGTACTAGAACGACATCAGTCAATTCTTCTCCTGGGTCAGATGATTGGGGAAACTCGTGTCTTCTGGCTCCATAGTAGCGATACCACACGAAACCCTCAAAGTAGACTTTTGTCTCCCCACCAATACACAAAATCCCTCTCTATATACTCCTTGGACCTGCTTAGATCAAAAACAAAGAACTCCAAGCTGCCCTCGTATTCCTACACAGGTGCTACATAATAATCCAAGCACTCCCTCCAACGATGATGCCAATACACAATACCGTCAGGATACCAGCGCCAGCCCGATCCGCCGTGGTAATAGGAGAGTACTGAACAGGATTGGCATCGGCATCAGTCCCAGCGTTGGGGTCACTTTCCGATGTGCCTCCAGTCACAGCAGTTTTAGGCACAATTGCTGGATGTATCGTTGATCCTCCGATGACAGCCAGTGCTTGCATCTGAAATTTGAGTCAGCAAGTGCGTCGGAATGTTGCTTTAACCTGGGGTGACATACCTGTTGTCCCACGCCAGTTGAGCCGTCAAAGCTTGAATACCACCGCCGCCCACACATTCGCCCATTATCCCCTCCGTTGCATTGCTGAGCCGCGGCTGCTGCACTGGCCTGCAATTTTGGCATGATCAGATCATATGTACTTGGCACAATTAGTGCCGTAACAGCCATCCAACGAGACAGGTAAGCTTTGAAACTGCTTTGGTCGTTGTTGCAGACCATAGTCGGTTCACATTGGAACTCAGTCATGATGTTGCCGCCGTATTCCGCGGGGAAAAACAGGTTGAATGCCCCTTGCAAGATCTGGTTGACACGAGTTCCCCAGGGTTCTGCACCGTTAGTAAAGTTGTACATGGCGGCAGCACCCATCAGCATCGTGCCGTAGTTGTAGGTCCAGGCGTAGTGAGCGACATCTGTGCAGTTACTGTTTGCATCGGTGTTGTCCCAGATGTAGAGGACATTATCCTGATATTGAAACAGCGGGCTAGCCTCCATCCAATCCCACATCTGGCTTGCCCAATCCGCATAGGTTTGGTTCCCAGTGTATCTCGCCAGACGCGCTGCCAGTTGAAAGTTGCCGCCATTCGAGATAGTATTCTTCAGGTTGTAGCCCGCATTGAAGGAGTAGACTTGCCATCTCATCCCCCCACCGCATGTGGCAGCATCCCAGAGTGTTGATTGAAAATTGAAAACGGCCTGAACCAAAGCCAGCCAAGAAGGAGCATCACCGCCAACGTCGGGCAAGCCAGCCTCAGCAGCATCCATGGCCGCAAACGCCCAGAATGCCTGATCATCCACACCCATATTCTTGCTTTGATTGGGAGGATTGAAATTCTCCTCGGGCCCGACCTGAAACTGTAAAGCTTGCGTAACGACGGGGTTATAGCTGTCATCGCCGGTATACTGCCAGTAATGGATAAGAGCTCCAAACATCGCGCCTGCTTCCCACCAATAATAACAAGCCGTTGACTCACACGGGCCGGGTAGTAGACCTGGAACTTGTCCGGACTGATTTCCAGAATAGTAGGTCATCATGTCATACGCCAAAGTAGAGGTAACAGACTTGATCGAATCAAAGCTGTTCATGTCGAGAGTGAGTGCATTGGTTAAGGAAAGTAAGCCGGCCAGCGGCATCAGTATGCAACTCATTCGCGACTTCATGATGTTTTCGTGGGTTAAGTATGGAACCACAGGATAGAGCTGATCAATGGGTGTTGCGACGGAATTCGTTAGAACCACCGCTCAGTACTGAAAAGACACCTCAGGAGCGGGAGCGGAGGGCGGAAAATGAATTTCGAGTCAAGCGAGCGACAGGGGAATCCAATGATGGTGGCACCCAGTCCGGCGGAGGTGGCGGGATTTGGAGGACGTGAGTTGCCGGGTCGTGTCTTCAAGGGAAAGATAGAGGAGAGGAGAAGAGCTGTTCATTCATGGCGGAGCTGGAAAGAAATGAGAACAATGGGAAGCGTGGAACAACACAAAGGAAAGGAGACAGGAGAGGGTGAGGCAGTGCAAGAAGTGGAAGCGAGCCAAGGTCTGTACGAGGTAGAAACAACAGAGTGTCTCACGGCCACTACAGTATGGGCTGCCACATCTTCAATACCAAAAAGGGAGGACAGCCCGTCCATCCGCTTGTTGTGCCAGACAGCGGTTCCCAACCTCGAACGGGGGCGCCTGTGAAACTTCGTCTCCTTGGCAAGGGGACGGGCAGCCAATTGGGCCCAACGCCGGGGCTCCTCCGCCCCGAAAACTGGAGATGGAGCGGCGGACAGTGCACGTCCTTTGTCTTGGCTTGCTTGGCACAATTTTGCAAGAAGGTGACGCTGAGTCCCTGAGGATCCTTCACGGCGGGGCTCTCTCAAAGATCTGGTGATCAAATTCCCCGGCCTGTTTAAACCATTTATGTACTTGTACACCGTACTTCGGGAATGCCCTCGATTTTCACCTGTGATGGACAAAGTGATGATGTCCATACGAGGTACACATCCATGCTCTGAACCATATTTTTTCGTTCTGCGGTAGTCTTCGAAACATGCAGGCTAAATCTGTACTCAACAATATGTTGTTAGCAGGTTGATGTTGCCAATGCAAGGTCGCCCACAATTGTAAGGCTCCTATCAAATAAGTACTCCTCTTCGCCGTTGCTCAAATGCATCGATGTCGTTGGAATCGTCATTTCAATACGAATACATTTTGTGTTGTCAAGTTGTCCAGGATGGACGCTCTTCATCCATTCACTCCCGAAGCTTTTCCTCCTTGATGGCCTCGACGCCAGACGCCAGCTTGAACATACCAATGCCTATACCACGCCGTGCACTATGCGGTTCGCTGTGCATTTGATGATCCGTTGAACTTCCTGTTCTGTGGTGCGATCTGTTGGTATTGGCTCGAGGACGTAGGAACTCTGAACCCTCGTCGATGTCTCGCAACCCCGAAGACAGACCTGTCTCAGGCCGGAATTGTCGTCCTTCAATGTTCCCATCGACGGCTGACATCATTGACTGTGCTCCTAGGGACGATCTCCGACGTTGCACCCGAGACATAACCCTTTCTGCTTCCTTCGCTTCTTTCGCCTGCAGGCTCTCGGATGGTAAGAGAATGGCCCGATCGAGCTCGTAAGGCAGTCCACGATGCCTCCCACGGATTTGCATGGCAATTATCACCAATTTGGATAGGGTATGGAACTCGGCCGAAAAGGAAGCGTTGATGGTCGGGTAGCCCAAAGAAAGACCCACCGTACCATATGCCGAGACAATTTCGAAGAGGACGGAGAAAAGGGTAAATGCGGATTCATTGATATTCTCCAATCGGCTACCTTCCACAATGGCAATGATGAACATGCCTAGGAAGATGTACCACAGGTCAAAGGAAAGTTGTCTTCGCAAATGGGCACCGACATAACTTGGCTCGCCCTCATCTTCGTTCTCTTCGGACGGAGTACCATAAATCCCAAGACTCTTCTCCTCGTACACGTTGGTTCTCCGCATGGAGATGGCGATCGGAAAGACGGAAATGTACATCATGATGAGATAGCTGACCTGAATAGCAGGGTGCAGGTCGGCAAGATTGACCACGGACAACCCCGCTGTTCGAGTCGAGGCGGCTTGGAAGAGGCCGTCGAGAAACCGTATCCCAGCGGGTAAGGAGGTGACAGTGGGATCATTTAGATCGAGAATGATGAAGAAGATGAGATCCAACCCATTGAGGATGACAAGAATGGCAAACAGCCACCAAGTCGCCTCTCGAGGAAACAGGAGGGTGAAACAGCGGCGAGGATGATCCAGAAGAAACTGGAGTTCCTCCCACAAGGGACTGCCTTCTCGGACGAATTTGGATGTGGCCCAGATAATGAGCCTCAGCATGCACGGAAATCCCGTGTTGCCAATGATGATCAGAAAGGTCATCAACAGCAGGGGGAAGATAGCGCGCTGAAACGAGATCATAGAATTGTTCGTAAGGGTGAAGCCGAGGTCGTTGAACGAAGAAGCACTGGTGAAGATGCCCCACCAGACTCTTCCCTGCCCCTGTTCCGTCACATACTTTCCGTAAGTACCTGAGCGCAGAATCCACGGGATCAGACAAATAGCGCCCAGGACATGGAAACAGAAGAAGTAAAGGACAAGAATCAGGGCCAAGGCCTTGAGTGCCCGATATTCTATCCCGCCCAGCTCTTCCCGCTGTTCCTCTGTCAGACCAATGAAAAACGAGTTCCTCCCGATGGTGGGTTGCCAGCTCAGGTACGGGGCGAGTTCCTGTGTTCGCGGAGTATTGACGCGGTGCAGGGATCGGAAGGTATTTGAACCCCTCCGACGAAGGTTAGAACTGGGCTCAGGGGCATCGTAGGTATGTGACGGTAGTGTGGATTGTCTGGTGTTGAGCCGGGGAAAGGTAGCGGTTCGGTCCTGTCGGTCTCGCAAGAACTGTGGTTCATCGATGGTGATATGGGTAGGAGGGACAGCGTCATCTGCCGGTACCACCTCGGCTCGTCTCTCGTCGCGGGTGGAGAGATCTGGCTCACTCGTGACCGGACGCAGTATATTGTGGTCAAAGCTGGTACTGACATTTTGAGGTCGGCCCCCAAGCTCGAACTCGCGAGGGCTGGGGATTCGCAAAGCCGTCGTATCACTAGGGTTCCGCTGATTCTCAAGAAAGCGGATGTGTTGTTCTGGGCTCAATCGCTGGGGAACACGCACGTCATCGATAGACTGAGATGTCTGGAGATGTGGACGGTGCTCGGGAGGCTGTCCCCTGGACTCCTCACGCTCCTCCCGAGACGTGTCGGATGAGTCCACTGCCTTTCCATTACTGTCCTCGAGCTTCTCTGCATCCGCATGGCTTTGACTGCGTCCGGTGTTTCGCAATATCCGAATCGCTCTCCCTGCCGCGCCCGGCAGACCTTGTTCCACGTCCTCTCTCGGCATGGTGTTGGTGCGCTGCTTGGACTTTGTTCGACGCAGGGCACTGGAGGCCTTGACCACGGCCTCGAATCGTTTTTCAAACCAATATAGTCGCACAAAGACGACCGTCGAGTGGATGACAATGGGGTTACAAAGCATGGCCAGGAAGTAGAGCATGAATTGTTGTCCAGTGCGCATGAGGTTGATGTCGACCGTGTTCAAGCCGCTCTGTGTGCAAGCTCCGGAGGCAAAAAAGAGGGAGTCAATGTAATGAATACCACCAATGCCATATATGATGACGGAGCCCAGGAGGGTCATTCCAAGCATGTACAAATAGTGTATGGTGATGAAGTTCAACCTCCTCTTGATGAAGACATCGGGAATGACATTTCTCTTGCAGAACTCCCAGAACTTCCTGGCCCACTCTGACGGAATACCCATTGTTTCGAGGCTCGGCGAAGGTCGGGGGCAGAGGCGTTCACAATCCTCCTTTTCTCGCTTGAAGACCACGTTTCTTGTGGGTGCTGAGAGTCGGACGTCGGGGACAGAAGAGGATTCAAGCTATCAAGGCAGGACCACAGGAGCGGGAATGAGGACCTGCATGACAGCGAGAGCTTTGAGAGGAGACGGTGTTTGTTGATCGACCAGTGAAAACGACATTGTGCAGAAGGAAAATGAGGTCTGGAACTTCAAGATGGCATCTGCCGACGGTGCAGCGAAGGGTGAGGAAACACAAAGGCAATGACGCCAAGTTGAAGAGAATCTTGCAACTTAGAAATCCGCAAGGGAGGATGTCGAGGGCGCCGTCCACAATGCCGGGACCCCGCGAGCCCGCCAACAAACTAGCCACATACCCGGTACTGGGTACTGTACTTGTACTAGCAGTTCCTTAATACTTCATATTGCTTGTTTTTCCCTTTTCCCTTTGTCACCCCACAGGGACACTTTCTTCATTTTGCACCTACATAAGCTTCCACACAGATCGACATTGATTTAGCCCTCGACCCCATTCACCGCCACTTCGTCTGAATGCCCTCGAATCCCTCGTTCCAGCACGTGGGAATGTGCCCTTTGTACCTATGTTCCAGCCGTCGAGAAAGCCGCCACCTCTCCGATTGGCGCCGTGATTCTCTCCAGAATCCTTCTCACTCACTCTTACTCATCCTGGTGCATATCTTGCTTCCTTCTTCATTCCCCTTCAAGAACCCTCTACCCCAGAAATGAAATGGTCCCGCAATCTGGAGGCACCTGTCGACTCGCCTACAAGGAAGCTGGCGGCTGGGTGATCTTTGGGAGATGATCACCATTTAGATTCTTGATCAACTTGCCAATTCCCGCATGGCTGTAGTCCTTGGAGTTCCACATATCCTTGTGATACCGCACTTTTCCGGAATCGTCGAGTGACAATGAGACCAGAGAGTCCACTTCCTTGGGAGTGTTGAGCACCTTGGGAGTGTACTCCTGTCTGAGTTTGAACACGATGTCCGTTGGTGTGTCCTTGACCACTTCGATCTTCTTGGTTTCTAGCTTGCTGAAGACCTCAGGGAGCCCATACCACTGACCAGCAATCTTATATCGGGTGTCGCAATATGAAAGTGGATCATCGTATATGGCCTTCTCTGAGTACACGGACAGGTCTTTCTCGCTGCAGCTGCCAGAATAGAGGCTGGTGATTGACTTGATGATGGTTTCATGCTCTGCAGATATTTGTAACGAGTGTTTAGGATGAGGTTCATAATCAACACCACGACCATCATGACCAGTCAGTTGCTGGGCGTCTGGATGAGGTTCGTACTTTGTATGGAGGTCATGTGTCGTTTCTTCCATGATAGCTCTCCTGGATGCAAAGCAAGGTCTACCAGATACCTTATCCGCGCGGATCTTGGAATGTCTTCGAGCAAAATGGTTTGTCTTCAAATCTCCCCTGCCCTGATGAACAACCCAGATCATGACGACACGACTCTTGGAAAACCTTGTAAAGGGACTGCGTCAACGGTGCCGTCGTCACTTTGCCAATATCTCGACATGGCATGGCTTTTGCAACTTTCCTTTATGTTAGAGATCGGTGGTGTCGCAAGGCCTTCACCAAAGCGTTCGGTGACCTCGTCCGGAATGGAAGAATAGATGGTGTGAAGTACAATGTTCAGCCTCAACGAGCGGTGCTTCTGCGCGTTTTGCTGTCTTCGCCATCTCTACTCTGCTACGTTATAACCGGCAGATGCATCGCGTTTTGTTGCATCTCGACATGCGCTTTCTGGCTGAGCGAACTTTGGATATTTTTGTCCCTTTCACATTGTTGGACTGTGCAAAGGAGCCGGAGTTTTCGGCATTGTGGAGTCATCACCCACACCTTGCCCACACCTGAGTCACTCCAACTGATTATATAAACATCTTGTGCGTTGGGGCACTCAGTGGGCACTGCAGGGCACGGAAAGAAGGGGGGGTCCTGCATCCGCATACGGATACGCACTTGTCGCGAGCTCCCTTCGAACCATGACCGATATGAGGCTCTGGAATTCTAGATCGACGGGCTTATGAGCGAGCTTATCACCGCTCTTTTGCAGAGCAAGCCGGGGCTGCTGTGACCGCATACATAACAAGTACAAGTACATACCCGGGTGAGAGCAAAATTGGTGAAGGGGAAAAAAAGCATGCCACGATCACACCGCAGTTGGGCGGGTTTTTAATTTTATCATTCTCGGTTGCGAGACACAAACCCAGATCTTCGGGGCTGGACTAACACGCCACGAGGAACGAGAATTCGATGGAGGAAAAGATGGTTAACCCCGTCAAGCAAGGCAAAGAGCAAGTCCAAATGCCCTTGTGCGTCGAGCACAAGCAGTCTATGCCTCCTTTATGCATGGCTTATGATGTAACATCGACAATCGGAGACGTTACTAGCGAGCCGGCACAAGGCTAGTTCCCCGCTTCAACCAATTGTAAGGGGCTTCAGCCTGCGTCGCCCTGCCCTCTGCGGTTATCACGGCAGTCGCCCATCTTGACCAGATTCCTCTTGACAAGATGGCGAGACGCATCCGAGGCCTTTCTCTGCTGCGGCGTACGCAAGTGTCCCCTGTCTGACCCAAAACCAAGACTCAACCTTCGAGAGGGCTTCGTCATCCGACGCCGGACGAGCACCCAAATATGGCCGAACCAGAGCCAGATCGATGGACAATCTCAACAGGATGGGTGGTGATGGGGACTGGTCCCTGGCAATGCACGATCTGCCACCATGGCGGAGATATGGTTGTCTCGGCATAGCGCGGTGCTGTTTCGATGCACGTCGTAATGAATCTATGATCTGTTTAAAGACCATCCTCCTCTCCCGTGCGTCTCTCGTGAAATCCCCCGTCACAGCGAAAACACGCAACACCTCTTTCAGAGCAGGCTGAAGCACCTGACCTCACCTACCATGTCCAACTCACCTACCAACTCATCCACCTCGACCCTCACAAACGATGTCGAGAGCCAGAAACACGCCCCTTCGAGCACTAAGGTGCCTCACTGGCGCCTCGTTGTCAGCCAATCACTCGTCACAGAAGAAGTCTTGAACCACCGATACAGGGGCTCGGGGACAGACGAAGACCCGTACATCGTTGAATTCATCCCTTCCGACCCTCGCAATCCCATGAATTTTCCAGACTGGAAGAAATGGGCTCTCACCTTGTCCGTGGCCTTTGCGACCCTGGCTGTTGCCTTTGTCTCAACAGCCTACACCGCCAGCACCAAGCAGATCATTGAGGCGTTTGGTTGCAGTCAAGAGGTCGCGACGCTTGGTGTATCTCTGTTCGTCCTCGGGTTCGCTATCGGACCGCTTCTCTGGGCACCGCTGTCGGAGCTGTATGGCCGTCAAGTCCTCTTCTTCGGCACCTATGCCGTTCTTACCGCGTTCAACGCCGGCGCGGCTGGTGCGAACTCGATCGCCAGTCTGATCGTGATGCGATTCCTTGCCGGCACCTTTGGCGCATCGCCTCTGACCAACGCCGGGGGCGTCATTGCGGACATGTTTCCCGCCAATCAACGGGGCCTGGGCATGAGCATCTTCGCCGCTGCTCCCTTCCTTGGCCCGACCATCGGTCCGGTTGTTGGAGGGTTTATCGCCGAGTCGGTCGGATGGCGCTGGGTCGAAGGCGTTATGGCCATCTTCACGGGCTGCCTTTGGATCTTCGGCGCCCTGGTCATTCCAGAGACGTATGCTCCCGTCATCCTGTCTCGCCGGGCCAAGGCTCTCACCAAGCGAACGGGCAAGGTCTACCTCTCTGCCATTGAGAGACGCCAAGGCAAAGTGACACCGCAAGCTGCTTTTTCTCAGGCCCTCTCGAGACCATGGGCGCTGCTGTTCCTCGAGCCTATCGTCCTCCTTATCTCCGTGTACATGGCCATTTTGTACGGTACGCTGTACATGCTCTTTGGGGCCTTCCCGATCGTCTTCGAAGAGCAACGAGGCTGGTCCCAGGGTATCGGCGGTCTTGCCTTCTCCGGCGTCGCCGTCGGCATGATCTCTGGCGTCATCTACGCCATCTTCGATAACAAACGATACTCGCGCATCGAAGCGGAAAACGGCGGCGAGGCGCCCCCCGAGGCGCGTCTTCCTCCCGCGGCGGTGGGCGCCGTCGCCATCCCGATCGGCATGTTCTGGTTCGCGTGGACAAATTACCCGTCCATCCACTGGATCGTGTGCATCATCGCGTCTGCGCCCTTCGGGTTCGGGATGGTCAACGTCTTCCTCGCGTGCATGAACTATCTCATCGACGCATACACCATCTACGCCGCCTCGGTACTGGCTGCCAACTCTGTGCTGCGCTCCCTGTTCGGCGCCGTATTTCCCCTCTTCACCGTGCAAATGTTCCACAACCTGGGCATCCACTGGGCCAGTTCGATCCCTGCGTTCCTGGCGCTGGCGTGCGCCCCGTTCCCGTTCGTCTTCTACCGATACGGCGAGAGCATCAGGATGAAGTGCAAGTATGCCGCCCAGGCCCACGAGGTGATGCAGCAGATGAGGTCCCAGACGCGGGATGTCGAAGTGACCGACGAGGAGGACGAACAAGAGACAGCGGCCGAGAAAAAGGCCGAAGCTCAGACGTAGTAGTGTTTAGCATATCTGCTGTTAGGAGGGGATATTTGTTTGGGAGATCCATGTCGCCTTTTTTTTCTCTCTCTCTCTCCATTAGCCGGGGGTCCCCTCATGCTCATTCATCAATCGGTCAGTCGATCGAAGTCTTCTCGATCCGCTACCGTGTCATACTTTTCAGCGATGGCGTTAGGGAGTGGAGGTTTTTGCAGGATTCGTGATGGAATACAACATGTATCGACAACTTGAGTGCGCTCTGCGGCCTTTTTTGGGGCGTGCACCGGCGAGGCGTCCTTTTTCTTCGTATTGCAGACTCAGGGGTATCGCATTGGACACGAAACGTACCGGGTATACGGACATACACATAGAACACGACTCTAGAGGGCTAGCAATAGAGGAAAGGCGCGAAGCAGAGTACCCCAAAAGAATAATAGAGCATGTCACGAGCCACGCACTCCTGGTTGGTAAGGAGAAAAAGCACCTTAAGAAAGGAAGAAAGCGGAGAAGGAGCAGGAGAAGAAGAATCAACAGTCAAAGTTTCGAAGAGGCGTTTGTGCTTATCTTCTCATCCCCGTCAAGTGGTGGCGCGTACATATTATGTAGTACGTATGAAGACACTTGAGGAGGACGAAGTGCATTAGGAGGAGCAGTTGGATCAGGCATCCCATCAGCTCAGCGGGTCCCGTACATGTATTTTCCTGACGGCCCCACGAGGCTACGGGCCTCCTTGCTCATCTATGGACTCCGTTCGCACGTATAAATGTATGTATTCGCGACCCTTAACGCGTCAAGATCGTTGGTCACGTCATCAATGCGTGTATACATCGGTGGTGGAACGATCGATTATCCATCGAGCGTTCACAGTCAATAGCCTCAATAGTTACAGTTTAGGAGAAGTATCGGCGCTCTTGCCCTTTTCGCCGTCAGCATCGTTATCTCCACTTTCGATGTCCTTCAGATCCTTGTGTAGAATCGCCCATGGTCGTCTCTCGTCGTCGTCGTCGCCTCCTGATGGTGGATCGATCCCGCCGACCACGTCTTGGAGGTACTTCAGCACCGCGCTGCGCATGTCCACAAGGCGTGCTCTTCGAGTCTCTTTTGACGAGCCCGAGATGTCGTGCACCGCGTGAGGTATGATGAGAGAGTGTGGGGAGAGAGCTGCATCGGCCGTCGATTCAAGTGCCGCTTTCCACCGCGAGAGGAGCAGGGCTTTGTCGACGGACGGAGGGATGCTGTGATCGTTCGCGCCTTGGAGTATTAAAATACTCTTTTCCCCGAGGTGGCCTGACGGTTGAAGATGCGCAGCAGAGCCCATTCTGCCGAAAGTCTCTCGGAGTCTCTGATCAGACAAGTCGCTGGAGTAATAGTCATCCATTGCTGGGCTCTCTGGCGAATCCGGCGAGGCCAAGCTAAGGAAGCGGAAAACAGTCACTGGTACAGGGCCGAACAGAGGCTTCATGATGTCCATGGGCAGAATTGTCGTCTTATGTTTCTCCTTTGGTGTAGAAGAGGCGATTTGCAAGAGCGATTCGTAGGCGGCCTTTGCAGCAGAGGATTCGGAGACCGCATTCAGGATGGCTTCGCGGTCGGAGACGGGCGCTTGTAGAATGGCGCCTGAGATGGTCGGACGGGAAGATGATGTCGGCATCGGAGAGATAAGGTAGTGCATGAGGTCTTGACAGCCCGTTGAATGACCCATCAAGACCACGGGTGTGGAAGGAGACCGGGTTATAGTGTCTCTGATATATGTGATGGCGGCAGCAATTTCCGCGACCTACATTGATGCGTTCAATCAATATCGTTTCTTCACGTCAACAGGTCATGCTTTGTAAGAAATGCAGAACGCTTCGAGATTCCATGAGGGAATATTTAGAGGTTCATATGCTGCATTGACGGCACCCCGTTTCGTGGAGACCACTGCACCAAAAAAAAGGCCGCAATTCGTGCAGACTTACATCACGATCCAGATCAAACAGCCCCCAGCTCCTCCCATTGCTTGAGAGCTGGACGTGCATTACCCTCCATGTCTGGTCAGGCACGTCGCGCGGGAACAGAGCTGCCAGGTCATCGACGTAGCGTGGCGACCGGAAGTTGTCGAAGAGTCCACCGACGAAGAGAAGAACGTTCGGGGGAGACGATGTTGGTTGACGGGAGGCCTTGTCACTGATGTTTACGTATTCCAGAAGGAGAAGGGGCCGCTTAGGATCGTAGATGTGAATGATCGTCTCCATTGTCGATTGAAAGCAGCATTGATACGGGATATTAGGGTCAGTGTTGGTGGCTGCCTGAAGGATTTTTGATATCGAATGGTTGGCAGTTGCCGGTTAAATCCCGGTATCGGAGGATACGACAATTGGAACACAAGCCAAACAGCCTCCTGAGTCCTCTTGCTATCTTTCCCATCTTCCCATTCCCTCCCGCCGCACTTCTCTCAATATATGCTGAGTACGCACGGGGTTTGCTGCACAATATCGTGTTGCCATGTCATTCAAAGCTTCGTTGATGCGCTTCCAAAGGACGATTAACCATATTTTATGTCAAAGTGACGACAGGCTTTGCCCACCGACCTGCTAACAGACTGTTGCCTCATCCGTTCTATGAGCGATGGCCGCCAACAGGACGATTCCCAGCAACAGCTGCGGTACCGCTAGCTAACAAAGCGAATAACTGTGCAGGAGCCTATACCTAAGCAACCAAGTCCTTGGGCTTGTAGACCCTTGGTGCGCTGAATCTTAGCGTCGAGACCACCTTTAGTGCGGCTCGTAGGCAAGCACCTAGTTGTTTGCACATTCCACTGCAGTTTAAGGATAAGTCTCAGCACAGCGAACGCGCTGGATACTGGTCCAACAGTCGAGGCTTGTGGCAGGCTCGAGGTTTGTACGAGGAACTCGATACCTAGCCATGGCAATGCGTCTTAAGCGAGACTAATAGGCAGTGGTTTCGACCTCCCTTGAATTGCTAGCTCAGGAGAGGGGTGTTCTGGCCCTCCTGAGAAGCGAACACAGCCCGCGTTGGTACTTATTCAACAGCCCTCCGCCTTTCCCCGACGCCTGAAGGAGCAAGAAGATAAACCTGGACGGCAGGGGTTTAGTGCAAGAAGATTAGGGTTTCTTCCGACTTCCGAGCTCGCTGGGTAGGTCCTTGGGCAGAACACAACTGGAGGGCCGAGTTGCTGCGTGCTGGCTAGCAATTCGAATCCCTGCTGATCCACTCACATTGACCACGCAAAATATGCAATACCTTGTGTCTCTGGTTCTGTCAAACGACGCGTGGAAGATGGTATTATTCATGGAGTGATTGATACAGGTAAGTATGATACTCGGGAAATTCCCAGCCTGGGCAGCTGTGCCACGAAGCTAACCCCCGCCATGCACCAGGACTGCGGGAGCGAGAACTAAGCTATCATGCACGTGGAGGAGAGGACCTGCCCTAATTGATACGGTTGACTAAATCATTCGCTTCAAATTGTGTCTGATGAAGGCCCCCAAACAACTTACAACGCGGCTTAAAGGTACTAAATGCTCCTTAACTTCAGCCACTTGTTTTAGCAAAAGTTTGGCTCATCTACTCCCAATCGTTCGAGCTCACTGAGTAGCTACGAATACCGGAAAACTCGCTCCGACATTAGACATCTCCTTTATCACTAGGGGCTCGTATTCACAAGTTACTTGCGAGATTATTCACGCTCAGGCAAGACCTGCACCATGAGTCGGCCAACACTGACTTGGTGCACGAACCCCAAGCCCATTCCGACTCCTCAACAGTGCCAACATCTGGTGACAGACCTGGGGCGGTAAGAGATGTCAATCCAACGACAATTTCCCGCTGTCTGCGCAAAATATAGCCAGGCCTTCTAAGCATATATCTCAAGACAATCAGGCTGGAGACCATACTGGGTACAGCAGACCGGCTCAGTTATGTAAATAAGCGAATGCGGCCCACCGCGATATGCGAACGTTGTCCCACCAAGAGCCTGGACCTTTACTTGAGGTTCAAATTGTTAGCGTTACTAGGTATGGAGAACAAGCATCTTGCATTTAGCTCAGACCTTAAGCCAGAGAAAACTTACCGCTCGAGAGAACCAGCACTCGACGCCCTACGTACATCATCGTTCGGGTATGACGGATATCAATCACCGCTCCCCTGAGCCATGGCTTCCTGATACAGCATCATGGCTCTGTCGTCTCTCTTTGCCAAAAGTGGGCAACATCGGAGAAGCTAAGAGAAAGTCGGCCCTGCAGCCACCAGTCCTAGTAATTTAGGCACAGGTTTAGTTCTCCCATTGCAGCACCCTACCTCCGGTTGGTAGAACCGGGCCAGCGGTGTTCTTGTTTCAAATGCAGAGTCCAAATCACCAAAGGTATTTGGTTGCTTGAAGAGCCGTGTGCCTGGCGGGGATTCTAGAAACATCCCTAGCGACAGGGCTAACTTATGCCCATGATCCATGTCCCAGCCTCACTCGCTGTCTCGAGTCAGTCCACTTCAGAATACTCCAGAGAGTTTCTTCCTTGACCGCGTCAATGGGACGACCGTTTGTGGCAACTGATCAGGGGTACGTGAAAGCAGCCAGGTTTCGCTACTTGGTCTAGGTCCGCCTAGGACGCGGCACAAAAAACGCGAGGCTTGAAAACCTGGCCATGGCCTTTCCACACACAAACCTCGTATTCGAGTATCATATATTGAGGTAACCGGTACTTCCGCTCCCTCCCGATGGATTTGCTCCTTCCACCAGCGTTTCCCAGGTTCCCGGGCCCTCGAGCTCCCAGTACTCGAAAATATGACGATGGGAGCAATACTGTTCAAACGAGATGCCGTTGATGACGGTGTGCCCAACCCCAGAGGTGACACTGTGGTCACCGTTAATATCGCGCTGGTGGTTGTTGCAGCTCTTCTGGTCATTGCACGGTTCTGGACGCGTATTGCAATCAATCATATGCTTGGTTCGGACGACTGGTGTGTCTTCGTGGCCCTGGTAAGTAGTTTGACGTTAGATGGACTTCTTGGCAATTTTCCATTTCTGACTGGGCTTCAACAGCTTATTGCGATCACTATGACCGGGTTGTTCTACGGCGGTACGTCTGATTTGTTGGCGATCAATACTTTGAATGGAATGTTGAAACTTACGGACAACTATTACAGAAACAAAGAATGGATTTGGACTCCACCAAGCCACAGTCAGCCAGGAGCATTTCTTGCAAGCTTGGAAGGTGAGTCGTACCCATTTGTTACTCTGGTCTGGATAAACCAGTTCAAGAACGGAAAAGGTCGTATACTAACTGCTCAAACAGTACTTCCTGGCCTGCCAAGTGTTATACAAGGCTGCCGCTCTCTTCGCCAAACTTTCCATGCTTTTCTTATACCTACGGATCTTCTCCTCTCGCAACTTCCGAATCGCCGCTTATTTTGTCATGTTTATATGCGTCGGTACGGCCATTGGGACTATAGTTCCCACGATTTTCGCATGTCACCCTATCCAGAAGGCCTGGACCCCGACCATGCCTGGCAAATGTATTTGGACACCGGGAATCTGGTACTCCAGCTCCTCAATCAACATAGCCACAGACGTGATGATCATAGCACTACCAATTGCTCAAATCCGACCTCTCAAACTACCCAAGGCACAGAAATTTGGGTTGGCTGTCCTGTTCAGTCTGGGTTTCTTGTAAGCACTTAGCGCCCACTTTTGTCGGCTTCCGGATACCGTGCTTATTACTGATACGCCTTCAGCATTATTGCAACTTGCGTGGTTCGTATCGCCACACTTGGCCCAGCAGCTACAGCGAAGGATAGCACATGTAAGCGGTAGCATCATCCTAGAACACACTCCTTGATTCGATATGATCTAAACTTGGATTGACAGGACTAATCGTTTTGTGTAGACTACCAGGCTCAGAATAACTTGTGGCTCGGCGTCGAGGTGAACACATCCATCATTTGCACCTGCATTCCGCCCTTGAAAGCAACGATTACCAGATTCTTCCCGCGAATCTTCCGCGGATCCTCCTACAATCGCCCGACAACGAATTACCGGTCTCGCTCGGGAGCCTACCCTCTTTCTGATAGCTATCATGGATCCTCTATCAAAGGGGGAGGCTCGGCTTTTCCGAACCCTATCTCTCCCACTAAAGGTTTCTCCACGACTGTCATCACAAGTGGCGCGTCCAAATCGTATCCCATTAGCGAATCGAACAGCGACGAAGTTGTCATGCTAGAAGATATGGCCAAGACGGGAGCGGAGAGAGAAAGACCCAAGCACAGAGAAGATATCATGAAACAGACCGATGTCGAGATCTCCTATCTGGAGGTCCCGTAGAGGGCGCTCTGATAGCTGGGCTTCCCGGATCCGTGTGAGTTCGGTAGCTTGTCTACGGAGCACATCCTCAGCCAGATGCCAGATGCACGATTTTGATTTTAAAGACTCAGGACTGTAATCGGGCGGATTTTGCCATTTTGTTCATTGGACTGTTTTGGGGGGAGGGAGAAAGACATCAGATGTCAAGGGTTGAGGTCCATGATGATGAAGACATGTATAAAAGAGAAGAGGAAGCAACAACGCGGATATTATCTGATATGAATGACCGAAGCAGGCATATAATCGCAGGATGTCTGTGTACGCCGCGCAGTCCTAGGAGAAGATGCCTCTTTCACTCGCGAACGAAAACCTATTCACCAAATTAAGTACGGTTTGATCCTAGAGAGCGAGCGAAGGCCGCTTTTATCTGAGCCTCCACGGAACCTTTGGTTGAGCACCACTGCGCAACTTGTGATTAGTACACTGAGCCACGAAGGGGGCCAATATCTAGCAAGGGAGCTTCCTGGGGCCATATTTGGCCCCCCAGCGACTAGCTAAACCTGCATCTCACCTAGGTATCCCGGTTTAGATTACCCTCAGTACACCAGGCAAACCCCTAGTCAAGTTGGCGCCTGACTTTCTCATTTTCCAGCAGGCAGAAGTCATTACTCCCAAGACGACTGATTCTGATGTTACATCGACATGCAGCTTTCCGGGCTCGAAATTCTGAAGAAGATCGTCGACTCCACTGCGCCTCATGGGCGAGTTTGAAGAGTTTTCAATTGAAGCTCCGCCCAGGAGATAACACACCGTCGTGAGGTTTCATCTTCAGCCTCGTCTCCATTCATTCAAATTCAAGCACAGCTCTGCCTCTTGTTTCAACTTAGTCTCCCTGCACGCGATTTTCTTGTATTTGGCTTCAAGCGTTGACGTTACTGCAGATCGATGTGAACTGCCATTCAGCATGGGTGGTAAACGTCATATTGCGAAGCCCGAACGATTTTGGGCAATAGACGTAAAGAGAAAATGTGTCTGTGCCTTGCCACCAGCATCAAGATACATTACCCTAAATTATTGCTGGACACGTGGAGAGACTCTGAAACTAATCAAGGCCAATGCGGTTGGCCTTCTTCGAACTGGATCTCTTGAGAAGGTGATGCAAGAGCTCCCGCGGACGATCCAAGATGCCATAGAGTTCGTCTTTGACTTCGGAGAAGCATATCTCTGGGTTGATGCCCTTTGCATCCTACAAGACTGCAACGACGAAAAGCAGTTCCAGCTCTCGCAGATGGACAGGGTTTATGGCTCAGCATGATTGACCCTTGTATCGGCACCACTCTCTACGGATCTTACAAACCCACAGCTTGGTCTTCCTCGCCATCGCGAAACCACTCAATGGAGGGATCAGGAAGTCTTCCTTTGTCCAAAATCTTCGCCTTCTAGTCCCGTTTGAATCACTTATCAGCACGATCGATCACTCTCGATGGAGCACTCGCGCATGGACATATCAGGAATGTTGATTTGTCAAGACGGATGCTATTCTTCACGAATAGTCAAGTGTACTTCCAATGTTCTTGCAATGTTTTCTGCGAGGATGCTGAGGTGAGGGCGTTCTGCCCTCTTCGTATATTACTCCAGTTGGCAATCTTTGGAATCTGGGAGCCCCTAATGCTTCTGACGCTGCTGGTCGGCAATTTGGATCATTCCACCTGAGTCGACAACTGCATATCTCTGTTGAATACGCCACTCGCGAATATGAAAGGATTGTCTGCTCTTACAGAACTCGAAATCTATCGTTCCCCCAGGATGTCCTCAACGCTCTCAGAGGGATACAGAATATCCTTCAGGAGTCCATGGATACAAATTTCTGGTATGGAATGCCAGAAAGGTGTTTGGATAAGGTACTATTGTGGGCGCTGGACGGCCCGCTTGAGCGGCTGCTCACATCCACGGGTGAGTCTGAGCAAAGAAAGTTCCTGTTTCCAAGTTGGTCCTGGGCAGGATGGAATAGCGGAATGGCAATTGGCTCCTATTTCGCCGATGCGGGCATTTATGGTGAGACGCTCTGGTTCCTAATCAACCGAAAAGGGGAGGCAATATTGATGGAGACGGAAGATGTTGGCGGAATATCCGAGTTCCCTTAGAATGGCAACTGCGACGTTCAGCCAACGCAAATTCCAAGAGAGACACTCGAACTCAATGTCAGGCCGAAGTCCGAAATCGACGTCACTGGCGAGGACCGGGCAAAATCCGGATTATCTCGCCTGTAGCAGCACACTGGCCAGCTTTTTATTTGACAGGCAAGGTCGCTTCATTAGGCGAACATGGAAGGCAGTGGCCAGATGGAGACAACCTGGAAATATCCAACACTGATGGGGTGTGGGTAGGATCGATCATGATGGGCCGGAGATGGGTGGCTACTCACGTCTAACATACAACTTCTGAGTTACGAGTTCATGCTGATGTCAAGATCTGAGGATATTTCCCTGCCCTCGTGCCCTCGGCCTGAACACTTCGACAAGGACGCCTTCACAAAGAGACCGTGGTGTCTGCTAGACGTCTTGTTGATTAAGCGAGAAAAGAGCACCGCCACGCGGCTTTGGGGTTGGAGTCATCCATGAAGATGCGTGGTTAGCTGCAAGCCCAAGCCCGATGTTAGCCAAGCTGGAATAATCAACAGACTGGCGAAAGCCTTGCAGATAGGAGGAAGGACGAGGGGGCATCGATAGGGGAGAGTTCACCAGCGGCGTGGGGTCTTGTGGAATAGACTTCAAAGTTGCTGCTTTAATACCAAATGGCGTGCACCTTAAAAGCGGCATGATATGCTTTCTGCTTCCCACGGCCAACACGGCTCAACGGTTTGCGCTTTGTTTCTCTTCTGTTTGCTTGATCCTTGACTTGACAACCATTGAGCTTTGCTACGAGACTGGAGAACCATGGCAGTCCTTCTCTTGCCGCTACTGATTCTCTACTTCTTTCTCAACCCTGTGCTGGCTGCCTCGCTCCGGGTCTCGGTTCTGCCATCCAATATTCTTCCCAATCCCAACATTCTGCCAGCCTCGACCTATGCTGTTTTGACTTCAGGCTCGGGACAACCCATCAAGGCTGTTCTGCGGAAGGGCAACTACTTCGAATTCCCGGAAATCTCAACTGTCGGATCGCATCTCCTCGACATCTACAGTCACGATTATGTCTTTGCACCATACCGAATCGATATCTCCCCGTCCTCCTCCGACTCTGCCGGGACTGTCATCGCAGGAGCTTGGGAAACATACCGTGGAACACGATGGGATGATCGAGGGGTTGCTCTTGTAGCCACCCCTACAGAGCAGTTGGGCATGTCGGCCAAGATTCTGTCGAGGAAGAACTTCTATGAGCAGCGCCAGGGCTTCAACCCGTTGAGTCTCCTGAAGAATCCTATGATCCTCATGGCGGTCGTCGCTCTTGCATTTACATTTGGGATGCCGAAGTTGTTGGAGAACATGGATCCCGAAATGCGCGCCGAGTACGAAGAAATGCAGAAGAAGAGCCCCATGGGCGGTCTCACGCGTGCCATGCAAGGTGGAGGCGCCAGCTCTGCCGCCGAGAACTTTGATCTCGCCGGCTACCTGGCGGGAACTGGCAAAGGTACCGGGAGCGATCGAAGCCAGGACAGCATCCGTGAAAGGAAGCGATAGACAATCCTTTGTTAGCCGCTTCAGATTTTCAACCTTCGTCGAAATGTCATTGTGGGGGTTCCTTGTACATGAAAAATGAATACGGTCTCAAAATCACCAGAATAATTCCGCAGGCCGTGGAAATGCAAACCCCAGATGCCGTGGCCAGCCTTCAATCCAGCTTCCCTGGGCAATAACCCTATGGGGATTAGTCGAATGCTCAAAAGGACCAAGAGAGACCAAGGCTGCGAAGGATTCGTTAGCGGGCCTCTCATCGAAAGCGCACTTTGACCGCCAAAGCATCGATCAAGGAGCGTTTACAGCGTATTTCGGTTCGGTCCTGTTGTTGATCCGGTCAGCAGCGGGACATCGCCATAGGCTATCATGAATCTCGCTTCTGCACTGCTCCATAACCCCAATACGACCCCGCCCTAAGCGATCTGGCCTGACAACCTACTCGCGACAGAACCGCATGTATTAGATACCAGAAGCAGACATACTGCTGTCGAACAGTAATACCACGCTTCGAACGCAGGCCGTACGACGGTGCCCTGTCAAATCAGCCTAATCAATGCATCAGCGCGTAACCCCGCTGATGATGAGACGCGTGGCAGGGACACTGGATGTATAACATTCGCTAAGAGAAGTTGCGAGACATGATTGTGAAGCCGCCTAACGATCTGCGGGTCATAACGACGATCCAGCAAGAGGAAACGAATACACTATCAACCCTCAATGGGATGGCTTGTGTTCTGCGGTTAAGGCTACTTGTATCATCCGGTCCTGAGTATCCACCTGGTGTCTATTTGACCACCATATTATAAGGCTTCCCACTTGACGTATTCAGCCGTTGGAGTCCCGGCGCCGACGAGGCATAGGGCAATCTTGCATTTTTGGCAGCGTCCAGCAAACAGGGCCAGCTTTTATACGATGGGAGTTTTCTACTTGGGGGGCCCGGCAACATCTGACACCAGGGAACCTTGTACCTTGTTGCACCACCACCGCGAGTTGTCAGACATCGTTCGCTTGATTCGGCCGACACATTAGACATATAACTTGGACAAGGACTGTTGGCGCACGACCTAAGATAAGTATCAGGTCATCCCGCTACTCTCTGCCGTCGCCTTTTGTTCTTCCATTCCTCCATTACCCCTCGGTTCTCCTCACTCTTCGGTACTTCCCCGATTCAGTAATTGACCCTAATCAAACTCTCCCTGTGGAGCCTCGGCCGAACCTCAAGTGCTACAATCGCAGACGTCGGGCGAGCTGCAGAAGCTCTCCTGTTAGCTCCTCTGACAGCGTACCCATTTCTCCCTGCCACCTGAAGGCACTGACAATAGCCAAAGTCAACACCATGGAGGCCAAGCTGAAATCAATGTTGGAGGCTGCTGTCAAGGACAAAAAAGTCCCGGGTATTGGATGCTTCATCATCGACTCCAAGGGCAACTTCCTGCTTAAGGAGACCTTTGGAACTACGCATCTCCAAGATCCCAATGCCGCCCCATACGACGCCGACACTACAATGGCAATTTTCTCATGCACTAAACTTATTACCACGATCGCTGCCCTGCAACTGGTCGAACAAGGCAAGCTCTCCCTCTCGGACCCCGTGGAGAAATACGTACCTCGAATCTCCAATATCAAGGTGCTTGAATCCGTCAAGACGGGTGCAGATGGCAAACCTGAGCCTGTCTTGCGCTCACCAGCATCAAAACCCACCATTCTTCAGCTCATGACGCACACGGCTGGGTTTACATACGATTTTTTTGAGCACGGAACCCTCGCATACCGCATGGCCACAGGTCGTGCTCCGATGCAATATCACACGGTTGGTGGCTGGGAAGATTTTGAGACACCCTTGCTGGCCGACCCAGGCACCAAATATATCTACGGCGTCAACAGCGACTGGCTTGGTTTCGTCATTCAGGAGGTCTCTGGCCAAACCCTCCCGGACTACATCACTGAACACGTCTGCAAGCCACTAGGCATGAACGACACAGGCGGTAAGCTGCCAGTAGGGAAGAAAAACACTTTCCTCGTTCATTTCGACACGCCCGACAGTGCAGAACCTGTAGGGAACCCGAACATGAAGCATAACGAATCCCCCACCGTCTGGGGCGGCGGAGGCTTCATCTACTCGACAATGAACGACTATGCGAAGTTACTCGCGACGTTACTCAACAACGGTACATCACCTACCACTGGCAACTCGATCCTGAAGCCTGAGACCGTCAAAGATCTCCTTTTCACGGACCTGCTCGGTCCGGAAGTGGACAAGTCCCTTCTCGGCGAAATCGGTGCAAGCATTCCGCAAGCCTCCCTCGAGGGCTCTTTCTTCCCGTCTTTGCCGGTCGAGAAACGGGGCTGGTCCGCCGCGTTGCTCCTCAACCACGACGATTTACCGTATGGTCGCAAATCCGGCTCCGGTGCATGGGCAGGCCTGGGCAATTTGTACTACTGGATCGATCCGAAGACCGGTATTGCCGGGATGATCTGCACGAACGTTCTGCCCTTTTTGAACCTCACGGTCATGAGGCTGTTTGATGAGTTAGAGCGTGTCGCCTATGGGCACGATGTGAGCGGCGATGGAGTCGATCCGGACAAGAGGAATTATAAACCCAAGCTCTGAGCGGCTTGAAATTTTCGGGGGAATTTCATCGTCCGGAGCCATCGGTCAGGGAGTTGAGGCGGCACCCTACTTGGGTTTTCTTTCTCTCCAGCTTTTTTTCCCCTCACACAGACTCAGAAAGGGCTGCGCCTTACGTACGTCGCTGCTATTGAGCTCCTGCCTGACCCGGAGATCGGAGGACAAGTATGGTTCAACAAACGTGGACGGATCACGTTTGTCACATGACGTATACGAATGACGATGGCAAAAGAGACAAGAGCCAAAAGAACAGCAACGTGTTGATTTATTTTCCTGCAAAAAATGCAGCCCTTCTAAATGACTTCTATGCTGGAAACTTGATGCTGATGCTGATTCTCAATGCTCTTCTCTTTTCTCCACGGGAAAACATGAATGTCTAGTAAAGTCGGATCAACGGAATACAATAGCCTTCGTCCCACCGCGCCCTGGATCTTCCTATACCGCGTATGCCTCCGATGAGGCGATGAATAAACGAGTCGAAGAGTAAAATGACTCGATGGCGGCAGCATGCTTCTTCCAACGACCTTTCCAATATCCATAGCATCTGAATTACTATCTACCCGGCCCATGGCGTCGCGTTGCATTGGTTTGCACAGCGCAGTCGTCTTCTGCGCCAAATGACTTCATGCGCTATGATTTCCGTAGCCTGCATGTCCGTCCTGTCTGTCCTCCGTCGGCATCTTGAGCCTGACTGGCCAGCCGGGTAGAGAAGCGGGCTTCTGGACGAAAGGGTGTCGTCACGCGGCCTGGTTGCAGGACGAGCGCCGCGCGCATGAGCCTTGAAAGTTGTGCGAGAGAGAGATCCTGCTTTAGCTTCGCACTGATGATGGAGGAGGTCCAGTAGGTCAGGGATGTGAGAAGGAAGCGCCATTTTGAGCACTTCCCCCGGACCAGGGAGAATCGAGCATCGCTGTGTAATATATTAACTTCACGGCTCGACGTCTAGTCGACTCTAGAACGTTTGAGCTCGGGCGGGTTGTAGTTCAATGATAATCATGCCCATGAATTGTGTCCAGGTAATAGCGCTATTATTCTCCTCCTTTTGGCTCCGTTGCTAAGAACGTTCGCCCTGTGTCGGAGGACTCGAACCGCCGCACGGGATTTCTCCATTGGCTTTTTGCTGCAGGACTGGCTTGCTTCGACCTCTCGGCACCCCATCTGAACTCCTTGAAAGTCGACCCCGGCGTAGGTAGGTTGGTCTCTGGAATAATGGCTACAGCAAACCTGCCTCTGCGATACCAAGAAACCGGCTGGCAATGGGCGCCGTGAAACTTCCGTCGTATATGTCGCTTGACTAGGATTTCCCAACACATATCTTGAGACAGACTAGTTGATTGATACACAGAAGTATCATGGCTTAATCGTGGTATTCACTATTAATCGAGCTAGCAAACAAGGCAGTGTCCGTGAAATCTGAGAAGATCTCAGGGAACAGTTCCTCAATGGACCCTTGACCTTGCATGGTGAAAGGATCTTCCGGCAGCGGATCACCAAGCATGTGCTCATCCATATAGCCACGCGTGTCAGTTGGTTCGGCGCGCATCGATACAGTAGGCAAATTGGGCGTCCCGGCAATCGGCGTTTTGGGCAGCGAGTCTTCGATCCGTTTCAGCACCGTCTCGCTTTGTGATAGTGCCGTCTCTGCAAGATCCCATTGATGCTCGTCATGGTATTTCCTCAGGCAGTCAACGAGTGTTCGGGCGCTTCCCATGCACTGCGTCCGGACATTCGAGTAACTTGTCTGAAGCGCGCACCGGAGAAGCAGTGTCACCGCAGAAGTGAAATGATGAGCATTGTAGGGCAACCAAAAGCCCATCAAGTCTTGCTTGTGTAATGCGCAGACAAATCGAACGATATCCTCTGCAGCTGCCTGGCAGCCGAGCAGCCATGACGAGGCAGGATCGCTCTCTCGTTGGCTGATCTCGTGCCACGCTATGCGTCGGAGAAGCATGCGTACGGAGAGATACGAAAGCTGCAGGTTAACCAAACCCGGCACTTGGGGCCGATTGTTGAAATCGTTCAAATTCAGCCAACTCGGACGGCTTTCCATCCAACGGTTGAGCTCAATTTCTGATCTCGAGGTTTGTTCAGCGGCAATACTGTCGTTGCCTGACCGTATATGATAGATCAGTGGAAGGACATCTCCGACGATTTCCGTTAACCGACATAGATGGATGTAAACTTCGGCTGCGCGGACATGTTTAACAGAACCTCCTCTACCTTGCGTGAGCAGCTCAACCGTCGGAAGTGGAACGTCATAATGGCCCTTTGAGATATAGGGGGGTGTTCCCTGAGCGAAATTAAACCACCTATCCTGTATGACCACTCCCCACCAAGCCTTCCATCGGATTTTCTTCTCAATGTCACCTATCTTCCACTCGCTACAGTCGTGATTCAGGCCGATGGCATGCGACAAGGCGACGGCCCTAGCAACTTCTGCTACATTCTTTACCAGGCACCGCGACGGTCGCCCGGAGATGTCGATGCAAGTTGATATGATGGTAGCCAAGTCGCCCTTTTGCATGTCGGCGATATTTGCCGCGACTGCCGTTTGCCAGGCAAAATCCTGATCAGGCCTGGCATAGCCCGCCAATGCAGGTGAAGTATCCCAATAAAACAGCGCATAGGCTATTATGTTGATGAGGAATGTCTGAGGCAGCTGAGTTCTGTCCTTGAGGCGCGACATGACACATTCTTCCTCGGTCACTGGATAGCAGGGATGAAAATGTTCGTAATAGTTGGCCAACAATTTATCGAGAAAAGGCTCGACTTGTTCAATCAATTCACTCGGCATATTCCTGGTGCAATTACAGTCTGCTGGGCTGGGTCTCCTGGGGGGAATAGGTACATGGTAGATTGCCTTCTGCGACTCCCGTCTCCCAAGGCTCGGCTGGATAGGAACATGGCCCGGGGTGCCATTTGACTGGGGCAGATATTGGTCCAAAACCTGGGTGTCGCGTGCGATGACGGGGCCGACAATATGAGAAAAGCCTTCCATAGACTTGTCGTCGGCAATCAGAGAACGATGGACAAAGCCAACCTTGGGAGTAACACGGTCATCCTTCTTGGCTGTGGCAGAAGAGCAAGGCACACCGTGCATACGACACAGTAAGCATGCCTGTCCGGGGATTTCGATGGTGCATCGAGACCGACGTTTGTGACAACGAGCACAAGCTGGATATTTGTGGGAGCGATAGGGACGGGCGGTTTTCATGGCGAAGGACGGGTTGCTGGTGTTGTCCTGTGTGATAGCCTCGGCCAGTAGCAGGATTGATGTTGACGAGGTGCTAGGGACAACGGGACTCGTCGTGGGAGAAGGGGAGGTGGACTCGGTAGGCGTCAGCGTTGCTGTTGTGCCTGAAGTGGCTGACGATGGAGGTTCACTAGATCGAGGAGGCGAAGCAGCGAGGCACGATGCGGGCCGGTCACGTGTGTCACGTGTACCTCTGGCCGAGTCGTCGACACGTGACTCGGCCTTGCGCTTGCTTCCTCCACCGCCGCCGATGCTGATGGAGGAGCTGCCAGAGCTGCTACTAGACTTGATCTGGGCCATGGTGCTGACTGACGACCGGGACTAGTCCTTTGAGCTGTTATTCTTGGGGGGCAGAGGATATTCGTCTGCATCCCCCATGGCAGTGGGCGCCGTCATATATCAAGGGAAGGGTGCTCCTCCATCTCCCTGGGGCTTCACTACTCAACAAGGCTATCCTGTCATGCGGGAAACTCGTTCTGGTCTAAGCTCCCCCCTCTAGATTGCAGATCGCCACCGGATTTTTGATCCCCCCTTTCCTCATGAGTGGCCAATGCTACTCTGTCATTCTGAAATCGTTCATCCTGTACCGTGGTCCTCGCTCCGGGCGACCTCTTACCGACCAGAACACTTATCAGACCTTTTGACACCGTTCCTTCAGCTCCGCAAAGCCTACACGAACGCTCAAATGAGCGATAAAGTTTCACGATGATGAGGTAGGCTACCTCCAATCATGGCTTGATCTTCCCGAACCGCTCTTCCCATCCAGGTATAGACCAGGTTCTGGCCAGACCAGGAACAACTCGAGTTTCCCGACGGGAGACCCATGTCCCCGTGGTATATCAGCTCTCTGTAACCTGTTCGAAGTTTCCCGGTCGAGAGAGTTTTGTATGACTCCGAGCCCCATCATATCAACGGAAACTGGTCAGCCCCATTTCTGCAATCTTTGTCAGTATTTTCGGGCGTTGAGCGATCAGCTGCGCCGTAAGAACAAACCTTATAGGAAACCATGGCTCCAATGATCGACGACGGCGTCCACTTACCCCCTAACAACCCCATCTTGGCCAAATCCGGGGATAAACCCAACATCTACAACGATGTCAAGGAAGATGAACTCCAGGAAACGGCAAAGGCCTGCTTGGCCAACTATGGCACCAAGTTTGAGAAGGACATCATCACCGGCAGTAAAGGATTATACGTCTATACTGCCAGCGGCCATCGAGTCATGGACTGGACGTCCGGCCAAATGTCCTGTCTGGTAGGGCATGGACACCCCGAGATCGTCTCCACCATCCATGACCACGCTGCCAATTTGGATCATTTATTCTCCGGTATGCTCTCGCCGCCAGTCATCAACCTGGCCCAACGGCTCACGTCAGTTCTGCCAAAGGGGTTAGATAAAGCCTTCTTCCTCTCCACCGGCGGTGAGTCCAACGAGGCTGCCATCAAGATGGCTAAAGTCTATACCGGCAAGTTTGAAGTCGTCGGCCTTGGAGCGAGTTGGCACGGTGTCACTGCACAAGCACTAGGCACTCAATACCATTTTGGGCGCAAAGGCCAAGGGCCCTTGATGCCAGGGATGCATATGCTTCCTCCTCCTAATGCCTTTCGCTCCATTTTCCGCAACCCCGACGGCTCGTATGATTGGGAAACCGAGCTCAACTACGGATGGGACCTGATTGACCGGGCCTCTTGTGGCGCCCTGGCGGCGTGTATCGTCGAATGCATCCAGTCCTCGGCAGGCATGCATGTGCTCCCAACAGGATACCTGAAGGCGCTGAAGAAGCACTGCGAGAGGCGCGGCATGTTGCTCATCGTGGACGAGGCTCAAACAGGCGTGGGCCGCTGCGGTGACCTGTTCGCCATCGACCACGAAGGCGTCGTCCCGGACATCTTGACGCTCAGTAAGACACTGGGGAACGGGCTCCCTCTGAGCGCCGTGGTCACGAGCTTCGAGATCGAGCGCGTGTGCACCGAGCGCGATTACTGCTTCTACACCACACACGTGAACGACCCGCTCCCTGCTGCCGTGGGCGACAAAGTCCTCGAGATCGTCCTGCGCGACAATCTTGTCAACAACTCCCGCGCCATGGGCCTCCACCTCCAAGCCGGGCTGCAGCGACTCAAGTCCCGCTACGGATGCATAGGCGACGTGCGCGGACGTGGGCTAATGGCCGGTGTCGAGATCGTGGGCGATCGCGAGACCAAAACCCCCTCGATCGAGCTGGCAAGAAACATTTCGCGCAAGATGTACGAGCTGGGTCTGTGGGCGAACCTGAGCAGCCACTCGAGCTTTGGGGGTGTGTTCAGGATCGCGCCGCCCATTGTCATCACGAAAGAACAGCTTGATCACGGCCTCGAGATCATGGAGAAAGCCTTCCAGAGCACCGAGGGGACGATGCCCCTGTACTAAGAATGATCGATGATAGCGAGTTTAGAAGGTAAAAAAGGGTATCTAAACCAGCCCCGCTCTCTCTCGTAGCTAGCTACGAAACCTTCCCCCCTCCCCCCCAAATATATCGGTAACGTTTGGTAATCGGCAGCGCGCATCAGGTATTGAAAAACCAGAGCCCAGAGTGGAAACAGAAACCCAAGCCAAGCCAAACGCTAATATGTAAATTGCTTGACGAGATAGATACCTTAGATAGAACAAGGACGTGCATACACAGGATAGACCACTAGGAAGAACCCAGGAAGGCAAGGGCCAACCAAACTCAAGAGAGAAAGCAAGGTATTTCCCTATGCCGATAAAATGCGTCAAAAACCAAGTTCCAAAATGAAGTGAGATAGATGAATTGGGATTGCAAGTGGAATTGACAGCATGTAATAGTAAATTGTCCGGAAGCCCACCTTCCTAGTTCCGTAGGTATGTATGTATCATTGTTATAGTACGGAGCACATACATATCCATCCCAACTCACACCGCCTTTCTTTCGCAGCGGCAGTGTTTGTATGCATGTGTGTGTGTATGTACCTCTTGCTGTACGCTTTGCCCGATGTGCTTGCTTGCTTGTTGGTTTGTTTGCGGTGGCAGGGGCGCGGGGGGAGACAAGGCAGGGCATTTCCTTTCGAAGGACAAATCTCGTGGGACTTCCCGACTGCCTCTTCCGGCGCCGTTGTGTTGTGGATGTATGTAGCCACCCTCGCCACTCCCTAGTCGGACGAGGATTTCGGAGGATCCAGGGCATTCTAATGACGCCGGCCGACCAACAAGGCTGAAGCAGCACAGCACAGCACAGCACAGCACAGGCCAGCACAGCACAGGCCAGCGGGCTGGGTGTCCAAACCTCTGATCCATCCATATCCATGATAGACCCAATCTTATTCCTGCCCATCATGCCACGCCGCGCGACGCCAATAAAGACCCTTCATAGGTTCAAGGAATACGAAATGGAGAATGGAGGAGGGAGGAAGGAGGAGGCACGGACAAGACTCTCTTCATCATGACTAATCCCGATCCCGACCCGAAAAGGGTTTCCCCAGGTTTCTTGGTTTCTCTCTCGTCAGGCTGCGTCAGTGGGGCGGAGGTGGATGGGTGCAGTTCGCGTGCATGCGTTGGAGATGGATTCCAATCCTGGTCATGGAGTGTTTGTGTTTTTTGTGTGTATGTGTTTCTCTTCCGAGTGCCAGTTTTTCATCGGTACTATTATTGGGCAAAAAATGTGTTTCTTCGGTCCACCAAACTTCCCTCAGCTTTTTCTCCTGAGCCGCCATTGTCAAGGGACGAAGACTCCACAGGCCACTATCCCGTTTCGGACTGCTTTTTGGTACAACCTCCAATATGGCAAGCAAACCTCGTTAGGCAAGAAAGCCCAACTCATCCTTGTGACAAGCGACGGAAAGGCTAACCGTAGTCGTACGAAGTATCATGAGGGACAGAGGGAACCCGCCTTGCTCCACAAATCAAGAGCCGTCAAACTTCTGAGTCAGCCTCGTCAGCTCCCTCGCCCGCCAATAGCAGCGCGGGAAGACCTCTTTCGGAATCAAGAATCCCCGTTCGAACGCACTCGCCTAGAATTCCCCGGCTGAGGAAATGATAGACACTGGGCGGGCTTCGGGGACCAGAAGGATTTCTCGGGCTTCTGGGAGATCGCAACAGTTGTTTGGTCGCATTCGCAAATGCATCAGGTGAGAAAGATCCCGTCGGTTGACGTGTGTAACCCCCTTTCCTAAGACGGAACTTGGGGGGATTTCTCTCCTCCGGGGGCTCATGTGGGGTTCCATTTTGCTTCCTGAAAGGCTTGGGGAATGCACCTTCAGGCACCCTTTGCGGTCGTCGAGGCCAAACGATGTGGTGGATGACTTGATTCAAGCGTAGAGGCCATTAGGCGTGCAAGAAGAGGTGACAAATACACTGCATCAGGGCTGCGCTTGGAAGAAATTCGTGACTGATCTTCGACTTGCGTGGAGCTGGGTCTGGCATTTGTCCTCTGGGATCCAGCTCCCACAAGGCTGCCACTGGTTCCTGGTCGATTAATCATCGAGAAATTTGAACCCCCGCTAGCATCATTCTGATTTCTCTCTTGGCCTGTGGGCAAACTTTTCTGGCCACAAATGGTCATTCCAGCAGCCAAGACGGCACCTGAGACGAGGGAATGGCATGATAAGCACATGATCAAATTGCTCGACATTGATGTCCGAGTAAAGACCACATGGGCGAGGAGCTTGGACCCTACCATCCAGGGCGTCTGATACACCACCAAAGTCACTGAAGCAACTCAGGACTCCGGATTGGGAGAGTCGATCGCCACACAGCTCTTCGTCGATCGGGAGTGAACCTTGAGCTTCAAGGTTCCCAGAAGGGTTGTCGAAATGATTACGTTTTGTCAGGAAGTCAAGAGTCTGACGAGAATGATCAGTCAGTGTCGCTCGCCAAGGTCATGCGGCGAAATAAAGTTGCATCGAAGTAGGATGGGCGTTGGGGGTCTCTGACAATCCCAGGAGGATTGACATGGCTTTCAATAGAAAATAGTTCCAGATGACTTCGCGATCCTGATTCTTGCAGCTGCGTCGTTGAGAGGTGGTGGTGGAGTACAGCTCTCGGGTATGAGCAAGAACCCTCCTTTCTCACAAACTTCAGTCAGCCTCCGTTTCAAAGCTGGGATAGGGTATAACAACAGCACCGACTGGTTGAGCCAATGTTGCATGCTCCGGACGAACCACAAACCGCGGATCAGAATGAATAATAGTATTGTGGATTTGGTAGTTGGGCAAAAGCGTCCAGAATAACAAGTTGGCGACTGCTTGCCTTTCATTGTAAGGTTCGAGGACCTAAACAACTGCATCGCTGTCGTGCACTCCAAGACCGACTGCCATCCTTCTTGTAACGCTTAGAGTCCGTGACGCCAATTGTAGGTCTCTGAGAAACTGATGTTTGAACAGCATCATGCCATGTCAGCGAGAGAATTGACCACAGGCTGACTTGTGCTTGACTCGCCAGGCTGTGACTTGCAACAAGAGACCACAATGCCATGTTTTTGACGGTGGGCAATGGAGCAGTTATTGCCCATCCGACATCTTCCGCGTCCACTTCCGTGCCACAAGCCACTATTAGCTTCGCAACGGCAACGTCATTCTCCTCCGCTCATGGAGTTTGAATAAATGTATCTTGGGGGCCGTCGGGCACATCCGAGGCCTCTTTCAGCAGTTCATTTGGTCGCAACAGCAAACCATCAAGATCAACAGGAGCGAAGTAGACGCCAATTTCCCAACTTGTATACTGTGACTGCTGTCATGACCTTGTAACGAGAGATGGTGAAAAGAGAGTCTTCCCTCTGCAAGGGGATTTTCTTCGAACACTGATGGATCCGTCCTCTTGTAAGCGCCAGGGAAAACGGTGAGGCCAGGCCTGCTACGTCTGCTTTTGCTGACCAGGGATGACATATGGAACACAGTATAAAGCTGCCAGCGAATTTGTGACACGGGAGTCAGTGCGAAACCGATGTCCCAAACGCTGAGCCGTTGAGAAAGGTGGGCTTTTCATTGATGTGCCCTGCAATCCTCGCCTCGAGAAATCATCAGTTTGCACTCTCCATGCCCATTCATCGATGCTTTTAACCCACCAAGCAAGCGGCTAACTTCTACGCCTTCGTCGGCTGCGACATTGCGTGGTCGAGCTGTTGGAAGGAGCTGCCATATCATTCATTTTCGGTGTACTGCAGATGATACAGAGTATCTTTGGATCCCTCCATTTGGTGACGACGGGAGAGCGGCCTGCCTGCTGTCTTGAGGCCCAATGTCGTTGTCGATGCTCACATCCGTCGACTGTCACTCTTAGAAGACGTTCCTCGATGTCATGGGTCATGATGTGCGATGCGGCGGGCTTTTGCCGGCATCATTGTTTGGGCATATATCTCATTGGCCTTTGACTCACTCGTCTTGGCTCTTACTACGCTGTTAAGGCGCATTTGACGACTCTGGAGACTTCTGAAATCCCATGTAGGCTAACGGTTCGTGTCCTTTGGAACCATCGAGCTAAAATGAAAAAAAAAAAAAATATTAAAGGGCGAGGTTAGACAATGCAGACAGCCTCGGTTGCCAACTAGAAGCCAACCGCTCCTAGATTACAGCTGGGCTTTTTTTTTTTGTAGTGAGCATGCCGTTTACCTTTTTAAACAGCGGCCACTATATCGTCGGTAAGCTGAGCATCCATCAGGGTACATTAGAGACGGCGTATAGATCTAGCATATCAAATTATAACTTATGGTTCAATAAAATCGGCTCGCCATCTAAGAAATTCGCCTATGCCTTGGTTCAGCGCCCCGCTTTACCCAGAACTCATTCCACTTGACAATCTTGAAATGTATTCCTCTTCGTCTTCAGCGCCGGGCTGCGTCACATAACTCGTATTTTCATTCAATCATGGGTACACTCGGCGTCTGAGGGGCAACTCCTCGCTCATGACAGCCATACTTGAAACTCCAGCTATCACTCTTTCTTATTCCACTTGCACCGGCATCGGCCTTTTAAAAGTCTCCGCCACCATCAAAATCACCACCACCGCCATCCGCTCCATCGTCGTAACCCTGCTGATAGGCACCCTGCTCCGAATCGTTGAAGGCATCAGCTAGCAGTGCACCGCCAAGGAGACCACCACCTAGACCTAGTGCTGCCGCGCCACCTGCGCCGAGACCACCAGATCGTTTGGGTGGTGCTTGTGCATATCCTCCATAGCCGCCGTATCCTGGACCGGGTGGGTATCCGCCATAACCCTGCGGTGGCCCATAGCCGCCATATCCAGGCCCAGGAGGACCATAACCTGGACCTCCAAAGCCTGGACCCGGAGGGCCGGCTGGGTAGCCTTGGTTATAGCCTGCAGGTTGGGGAGGGTAGCCAGCACCGGGGCGTGCTTGTTGCACATATGGCGAGGAGCTGCCGCTCGACTTTCCAAGCAACTTGCCCAAAAAGCCTTTCGATTTGCCAGAACTGTCTGGTCGTGGAGGGAGCGGGTTCGAGGGAGATGAGGGAGCGCCGGGGTAACCACCTTGAATGCCAGGAGGATTAGGACCACTGCTACTGCCTGAGTTGTAGTACGACTCGGCCGCGCCGCGCGTGTTCTCTTCATTTTGAAGCCGTCGAGCCATCTCCTCGTCCGTCTCCTGAGAGCCTCTGTTGTATGGGTTGTTTGATTCTAATGGGCGCTTGGCATCGGAAACTTGAGGGGCGTTGTGACCAGAGTAGGACGGAGGAGGCCCTCCAGGCGGGGCATCTGCATCTGTGCCAGGGGTCGGCGCAGTAGGCTTCTCCCACGTCGATTCTTTGGTATGGAGGTTGACATAGAACCTGAAGGAGACAGACAATGTTAGTAAGATTCATGGATGGATAAACGATGAGACGCTCGGCAAATCGGTCAAAGCTTGCGGACTTCATACCATTCTTTGTATTGATCATTCCAGACAGCCTTCCAGCCTTCCGGGACCTTCGGTGGAGGTGGCCCGGAAGGCGGCGCGAAATCTGACATTGGCGGGGAGATGGTATCGGACAACAAAAAAGATCACAACTTGAAGGAAGGATATGAGGAAGATAGAGAAGGATGAGGAATATGAATGCGTTGTTGATATAGGTGGGCGGCAAATGGAAGTCGAAGATGAGGGAATAACGATGAGGGGCGCAGTATTGGGGTTTGGTTGGCTAGCATCGGCGGGAGCGGGACGATGTTGGTGATATTGAGGCGCAGTCAGTCATCGACCAACAGACTGAGCAACATTCCCCGAGATTGAAACAAGCGCCACCAGCGTCTCGTGACAAATCATGTTGGGGCTGTGAAGACACCTACCTGTACAAGTACAAGTAGAAGAGGAGCTTTTTCTTTGACTGGGCTTTGGGCCTGATATTTTGAAAGGTCGTCGACGTAGAAGTCCCAGATATCAAGGTGCTGGACCACCAGCTCCCACCATCTATGTAGCTGCCCAATATGCGATAATCATCACAGATAGACGATCGCTTTCCAATATACCACACGAGTAGCATAGCCCGGGGCTTTCACTCCCGTTATACAAGGCTCACACATGGAAAGAATGGTCCCTGTGTCTTGCGGAAAGCCGAAGGACATGGCGAGCCCAGGCGACCTGTTTCTGACCAGTTTGCTGGTCAAATTGATTCCTTTCAGCTCCTGCGCCGTCACCATATCACTTCCTCGTCAAATCCCAACATCAATCATCATTTCATCCGGCTGTTATGAGCCGCCTAGCTTCCTGCTCGCCCACACCCAGCACCGTGATCAGATAGGCGACACTCACCTTTTCCGCCATGCGTCTGCGGGCCTCGGTGAATTTCTCAAAGCAATCCTCCTTGACTTTCGCCCGCTTTTGTGCATCGATGGTCTTCACAGTTAGTCTGAACACCCCACTGACAGGACGGTGATCGCTCGTTCGCACCTCATGGCGCCGGTATTCGAGTTGCTCTATCCGTCCGGGACCTCGATAGAGTAACCGGTCACACCATGCGGGAGCGCGCTTCTTCTCCGAGCTGTCGTACTCATCTGTTCCAACGTCATATTTGTAAGTTGGAGCAAAAGTAATGGGTAACTCGACGAACTGGGCCAGACGGAATCCTGATACACGGCGACGCGAAACCATAATCTGGTCTTGTTTGAGGAGTTTGTCTAATTCATTGCGCTTGATCATGTTGATGACGGCGTCTCGCGGGATGGCGTCAATGCGGTAATTCAAGTCCCCGTTGAGGATGCATATTTCGTGGTCGAGGATCTGAGTGCCGTCCCCGCCTCCGATATAAATCGAGCTGCGCACTTCTGGATCACGTTCAGGGTCTAAGGCTTCGGCCTCTAGGATGGTCGCTACATCGTTGTTTCGGTGTGAGGTGTGTGTCTGCCCAGCGGCCAAGTGGCAATTGATGAAACATATGGAGCTGTCGTCCAATATAAAACGCGTGACGAGCGCTCCTTTATTTCCATAGCGGCCTTTCAAGCCGAGTTTGACACTTGCAGCTTGCAAGTTTCGGATATTCTGCCGCTCCCCTTGCCTGACAAACACACATTGAAATAGCCCGATCAAGCTAGAGAGCTGGAGTTCCGAGTATGCATAATGAGCATTGGTTGATCGGCTGATGACTTTGCTGAGATAGTCTCGCCATTCTCGGTAGACACGGCTATGGTGTTGTTCTGTCTTGACCGTATCTTTCTTCTTGCCGAATCCAAAAATACTCTTTGCGGTCACAGTACGATCTTCCAGATCAACAACTTCTTGGAACCCAAATATCAGAATCTCAGGTGGATCGTTCGGGTGAATTGCATCAGTGATGAAGTCTTCTCGCAGGTCGGCGGGCGTAGACGCACCGACATTCCAGGTCACAACGGCGGCTCGAACGTCGCGAAACACACAATACTCGGCACTGCGCCGCTGCATCTCCATTTCAATCCAATCGTCTTCGAGAGCCGCATCCCAGAGCCTTACAAAATTATCATGTCCGATAGTGACAACTTGCAACTGTTGAAGGGTCCAAACACTGCTGGGATCGAATAGCAGTTGAGTGACGGGACCTTCGTGGGCCTTCCAATCCTTTTGGGTCTTCCAGGGCGAACTGGAAGTGTCATAGACGTATACCATTCCTGTTTTGAACGCCGCCCACAATTTACCTCCAACAAAAGCCAGGCTATTGATCTTGTAGTCGCTGGCTTTGATGTTTGCAACAGTGGAATAGTCCTTGGTCGAGTATATCGACACACGTCCATCAATGTGGCCAAAATATGCTCTTCCTTTGTCTTCATTGGAGTGCGTTCCACAGGTAACATCTCCATTTCCATGTTGAGACAGTGGCAGTGTCAAAACCGTAAATGAGCTTTCATTGCCCGGTTTGTATACTCGCAGTTCCTTGCCTGAAGCGTACCAAAGTTTGCCGTCGATTGCCACTGAGAATGTATGTCCCTTTGGGACTTTGTGAGAAATATGACTATATTTCAGATTGGGAACGCCTGTCTCATCGGCCTTCCACACAAAAAGCTTCCCTTCATCATCGATTGTCCATAAGTCTCTCCTGTTCCGCAGTATGCGCACAATCTCTCGACGATTATGGGACGAATTGGTGGTGATAACTGTATGGGTTGCAACGTCGACCTCCATTAACTCGCCTGTATTCAGGCCCAGCCAGAGTCTGGTGCCCTCATTTGCAAGATCTACTGCAGGCTTGAATGCCACAGCTGTTACCTTCACGGTCTCGCCGTGGTTGATGCTCATGATCTGCTCGCCTGATGACATATCAAATACCCGAGTCACGTAGCCGGCTGTACACAGATATTGTCCACAGATTTCAGCAAGTCTTGAATCTGACTTCGTGCTGATCTCCCACAGACTGCTTTTACTAAACGGAGGCCGCCGATTTGTATGAGTAGCGTCCGGATACTCAGATCGGGAGGTGGTAGGCTCTTCGACCGGCTCCTCTACGTCATCAGAGTCTTCGGCATTTACATTTGCAAACGCCCGCCTCGTGAAATCACCAGCAAATATCTGTGACCTGTGTGTTGGCGTCGGTTGGTGAAGCACCCGCTCATCGACGCTTGCACGCTTCGGTGGTGGAGGGAAATGCTGTTCCATAGGCAGGGTGGGCGCCCGTGAGACTTGCTGAGCAGATGAAGGCTTCTTAGAACGGTCCGGGGTCGCGACATGGCTTGGAGGTTGCACAGGCCGTGTCGTGTTCTTAGACTCATTAGACGGGCGCGGAGGAGGTTCAACGTTTCTTCGTGGAGGAAGACTAGGGTGTGGTTCTTCTGCTATCTTCTCCACCACTGATGACTGGGCACTAGAGAAGCCAAGCAGACGAGCATCTCGCAGAGGATTTGCCGGTGGAGGCTGTGAAGGAGCGCCCGGAGGCGGTGGAGGTGTGTGCCGGATAGTCTCTGAGACGTGGCGCTGTGTTGGTTTCCCGTTCGCCAAGCCCAGCTCACGAGGATCTCTCGTCGGCTTTTCTGAGACGGTATTGGCTCTCGATGGTAAATTCGATCCGCGGCTGGGCGGTCGTGGCTCAGGGGCCGTAAACCCCAAGGTCCTGGGATCTTTCCTTTCTGGGGCCGACGGCGTGCTTGAGAATCCAAACATTCGCGCATCCTTTGACCGTGCAGGGAGCGCCTCAGGAGGGGGAACTTGAGACGGAATAGCTCTGGTCGGGACTGGTGCGGGCCCAGAGGACTTGGTCGAGGATGAGGGAGGCACCGTCTCCGGGCTTCGGGTTGGCGAGCTTTCATCGCTGCTGGGGGGTGTGCTAAAAGGTGATATTCGTGCTTCAAATGAAGGTCTTCGAGCCTCTGGGTTCAATACATTACCACCAGCCATAGCAATCACAGGTGGCTTAGCAGGAATCTTGGGCTTGTCTGCTCGATTGACTGGCGGTGGCCCGGCTTTCGGCTTTTCATCTTGTGTTTCATTCCCAGGATGTGTATTATTCAACGTCTTCGTCATATCGGAACGATCTGCGCTCGGGGCTCTAGGTGCTGGGGTTGAAGAGCGACTTGAGTGCTGGGAGATGAGTTCGCGCACCTTCCCAAACGGAGTATTGTCCACCCGTTCAGGAGACCTTGACGAACTCCGCTCAAAGAATGTGCGCGGAGGTGATCGCGGCGAATCTATCTTGACCGAGGGAGTAAGCTGAGGAGAAGACTGCAAGAGCATGGACATGGGCCGTCTGTGGCCAGGCTTCGGGGGTGAATCGGTGCCCTTGATGGGAGTTTGTGGCCCTGCATAGTTGGGATGTCCTCCTCCTCCTCCAACACCCGTCCATGGCGATGTTGGTCTCGATAGGTCAAAAGAGGCCCTTTGGGGTGGCACGGGACTGGGCCTGTCGATCGGCTTCAATGCTTGTGGAGAAGTAGGTATACTTCCGCGAGTGTCGGGCTGCGGCTGGTTGACTTTGAGACCCTCGAAGTGAGATCTTAGGGACGAGACAGGTTTAATCGAGGCGGCATCTGTTCCTTGTTCCATATTCTCGGCCGAGGTCATTGCTGGTGGTACATTCTTCAAAGTCCGAGTGCGCAGGTAGATGAGTGGTGAGCAGGGTCCAGTCTTGAATTTCCCTCGTCACCCAGGCAGTGACATTCTGGGACTTCGGCAGACTTGGGCTCAGACCGGCACTGCCTCTAGGATCGGGTAGGAAGATAGACTGCGGTAGGACTCGTAAGTCGAGGGTACCGAATAGTTAGTCACCAGCGGAGAGGTCAGATGGTAAGACGCTCGCAGGCAGGATGCGGAAGGAAATGGGCTGGGAATGTGTTGGACGAATCTAGTTGGAAGTCCTATTGAGATGCAACAGTATCGATGGTTGATGGCTGTCAATAAGATGGATGGAACGAGCGAGAGAATAGTTTCCCAACCATGAGGCTGTCGTGTCAGAATGAGAGTCAGTGTTTGGCGCAGTTGTTGATTTCTTGGGGTCTTTGGATTTCGATGTTGATGTCTACGTAGCCCTGCCACTCACCCGCATCAGCCCAAGCCACTATTGATAATGCGCCTAGTGGCCGCGATGTGCCCCAATACGACCCAGTGCGGCCCTGAAAACGCGAGTTCGCAGCTGTCCGCCGAGCCTCCCAAGCCTTCGTTCCTGCACCATCCGCCCCTCCAATGGCTGCCGAGCCACCGAGCCACCGAGCCACTCTGAGCAGACATCACGTGCAACCCGGTCAAAGCCTGCAGTCACCGCCGGCCAGCGTCGCGCTGCCTGCTGAATGAACAGCAATGAGAAATGAGCGCATTGGCCTTGTCGCACCTGGCTCCGCAAAACCCACGGCGGTCGCCTTAGTGATTTCAATCATTGACTCAACCCATCCATGGTGCCTTTCTCTGAGAAGTTTTTGGGCTCGGGCAGTAGATGCCACGAGAAAAGAAACTTCCTGTATGGCGGGGCTTGACAAGATAAACATTAACAAGACGACTGTCTAATAGAACCTCTCGGCCCAACAAGCATTCCATGCATTGAAAATCCCTTGCTACGGAACCACTCTCCGGCAAATGATTACTTCACTGACCTCAAAGAGGCTACGGCAGGGGGTCTCCCTTGGACTTCCTTCCGCATCACAAGTACGTGATGTCATGATGAAAACATCGTCGTGTGAACAAATGCCCAGATTCTGGCTGTGATGAATGTATGGATATATTCAAACCAACTGCGCCCTTTTGAGCCTTCCCTTGCTCCTACCAAAATCTCGCTGACAATATTGGACAAACACTGATAACACTCCCACATCGTTGCTATGGCTCTCTCTCAAGCAGCTGCCGTAATCGAAAAGATCATTGGCCACACGGGCGATGCCGATACCGAACAGAACCTGAGCAACCCATCCAAAGATGCTGAAAGATATGCGGACCCTTCTGGTGAGAAGATGAAAGCGCTGGTGTGGAACGGCAAGAACAGCGTCAAAGTCGTCGAGACCTTCAAACCCGCCAAGATTGAAGACACGGACGTCATTGTCAAAGTAACCGGGTCAACAGTCTGCGGCTCGGATCTTCATCTTTACCACGGTACGGTGGTTGAGCTTCAGAAGGGCGATATCCTAGGCCACGAGTTCTGTGGTGTTGTGGACAGTGTCGGCTCTAAAATCAACAAAGTTAAGCTGGGCGACCGTGTAGTGTGCAGCTTCCAAATCGCTTGTGGAAACTGCATGTACTGCAAGCGCAAATTGAGCAGCCAATGCGAGAAGACCAACGACAATAGGATCGAAAACATCATGTACGGCGGTCGCACCGCGGGTATGCTAGGCTACTCGCACTTCACCGGTGGTTATGCTGGCGGTCAAGCCGAGTATGTCCGTGTTGCATATGGTGATGTCAACCTCCTGAGACTCCCCGACGACGTGCCAGATGAAAAAGGTCTCTACCTATCCGATGTCTTAAGTACGTCATGGAACGCTGTCGTGGACACAGGTGTCAAGGAAGGCGATGTAGTTGCCATCTGGGGCGCAGGCCCCATCGGCCAGATGTGCGCAGCCATGTCGTTTATGTGCGGCGCGAAGCGAGTAATCATCATTGATGGTGGTGATGCCGCGTGGCGTCTGGACTTTGTGAAGTCCAAACTGCCCAAAGTCGAAACGATAAACTTCACAGATCTTCCCAAGGGCGAAAACATCGTTTCAACCCTGAAAAAGATGGAACACGGGGGACCCGATGTCGCAATTGAATGTGCGGCGGGCGAGTATGCGAAAGGCTGGGCTCATTACTTTGAGCTGCTCCTGGGTGCTGAAACAGACACTTCAGAACTCGTCAATGAGATGATCATGAGTGTCAAGAATTTCGGCCGCTGCGGCATCACAGGCGTTTATGTTGGCTACACGAATCACTTCAACATCGGATCCCTCATGGAACGCGGCATACGGTTAATCGGTAATGGCCAAGCACCTGTGCATTTGTACTGGGAAGATCTGCTCAAGAAGATACAAGACGGCAATTTAGACGTCTTACAGATGGTCAGCCATCGAGTGTTGTTGGAGGAACTGGAGGAAGTCTACAAAAGATACGACGCTCGTGAAAAGGGCCTCCAGAAGGTCTTTGTTCAGACAAAGTTCAGCTCTCCACCGAGCGAAGGATCGCCTCAGTTGACAAAGTTTAGTACTGCATAATGGGCACACAGCGCGAACGGCTATATGGCATCGCCGCAGCGATATCGAACATGCCGTGAATTGACTCTCAGTTCAGGTTAAAGCTCCTAGTTCGATGTACCCTTTGTCGCCCAGCTGAACCTCAATCCTCCAATTCGTAAAATGATCAGACATCCATAACCACAAAATGCAGAACAAGGACGTACAGCCTCATTGAAGCTTCAACCTCAATTTGAAGACATGCCGCCGCGAAAGAATAGGGATCGAGTCACTATGACGTCTAGAATTGCAGCATTAGCTTCAATTCGCGATTATATGCGTGTTTACCCCAAAAGAAGTAGACACTAAAGGTCAGCCTGCTGACCATACGTACTAGTATGCAGGTATGTTCCGGGTACATATGTACCTGTTGGTACCTGATGATTAGCAGATTAGCGCTAGCCTAATTGGGATAGGGCAAATGGGTCTTGGCATCGAGACATCCTGTCTCACCGTCCTCTTTTCAAACCCTCGCTGTCACTCCAGGGCGATACAAAAATTAAACAATCAATCTATCGACTCTCAGATTGGCTCAGCAGCTCCTGGAGGAATCGGCAAGTTGCATTCTCTATATATCTGTCTATACATTTCATGCTACTGTTTGTATCGTGGTCGGTGTCACATGCGACTCGGCAACAATCTTCTCATTCTTTTCAATGTCCCGGCTTTCCCTATATTCCGTCGGTGTTGTGCTCTCACTGGCCGGCGCCAGCCCGTCGATGAGATATAACTTGCCGTAGTCCTCTTCTCCGTCATCGGGTCTGACGGGGACAGGCGACAGGCTGGTGCAGATGAAATACACTAAGCCGGAGAAGACGACGACCAGAACATAATTCCACGAGTACATATTGAGAATGCCTCGGTTGTGGATCGGCACACCCATCGAGTACAGCATCCCTGGGAAGAGCGGAGCGATGGCCGCAAACCAAGCGACGAATGCGCGCCAGTTACAGCCGAAGTTGTACCAGTATATGCCGTGTGGTTTGAATAGGTGCGAAATGTTGATCCCGTATCCCCGGCGTACCCAGAAGTAATCCATCATGATTACTCCTGTAGTTGCGCCGAGGAACAGCGTATAGGCACCTAAGAAAGCCAAAAAAGTCGTCGCCTTTGCTTGGATCTCCCAGGGGCAGATGGCGAACGATATCACGGCACAGATGAACTGTCCGCGGCGAATGTTGATGTACTTGGGAAACAATCCTGTCAAGTCGTTGGCTAGCGGCACCGAGTTGCCCGTGACATTCGTCATAATGTTGAAAAAGATAAAACAAGCTCCAGCAAAGAACTTTCCGGGCCGGTTTTCAAAGTTGTTGATCACCACCAATGGATTCCATTGGACTTCGCCATATACGACGGACGAGGCCACTGCCATAGTACAGCCAAGAAACTCTGTCAAGGTCACCAACACAGGCAAAGCGAATAGCTGTGTGGCCCATGCCGCCCTGTCGTTCTTCGAGTGACGCGAGATATCCATGATGTTGACCGCGAATGTGGCGTTGCCGGAAATCGCTGCATTGACGCATATACCGAACAGATAGCCTACAGACCATCCGTCAAGGGGCTTGCTCGGTGCCCTCCAGACCTCAGGCCACCCCCGAGCGGCAGTGACGGACCATGTGAACATCGCCGTCCAAAACAGAGGTACCAGAATGCTCTTGACAATGAATAGGTATCGCAACGTTTTGATCGGGAGATACAGGAACGGCAACGATATCAACCAGAAGATTGAGAAGCACAGAATCTGTTGTGCCGTCACATTGGCCGAGGCTGGGATTGCGTTGACTTCCCAGTGAGCGAAAGATGGCCATATGGCAGTGGTGCAAGCTTGGACTGCTTGACCAGCGAGACTGACTTGGATGCCATAGTAGATGATACACGGCACACCTCTCACGATCATGGCCCATTTGGAGCCTAGCATGCCGAACGATGCTCTGACCGTACCAGGGAAGTTCGTACCAAGCTTGCTACCCAGGTATCCGGATGCAGCACAAGGGATAGAGACGATAATGTTGCCAATCAAGCAAGCCACAACACAAAGCCCTGGGTTCAGTCCAAGCGAGAAGGCTGAACTCGATACTTCCAGCTGCGCAGCGTTGAAGCCTTCGGCGATCCAGAACAATCCCATCTGGTACCATTCGTAAGTCCGATCTTTTCTTTTGATAGGGTCCATGTCCTCGTTGGTGTATTTGATTGCGTCAGGGTCATCAGCCCCAAATGAGCCTGGATGGGGTTTGAGTACGACATGCTCGTCCCAAAAATGTCTGAACCCCATGGTTGTTAAGCGAACACGACTCGTATGGGGGATTATGTGGTGAATCAGTCTTCTCCTCGAGGCTGGGTTCGGCGTTCTGCCATATATGGATCTCGTGCCTTATATAGGATCTACACGAAGGGCTTTTATGAAGGAGTCTACGGGCAACTTATCTTCTTCGGCCAACACAGGCAGGGGCAAGGGAGGCTACAGTTTGTGGACCTTATCGCGAAAAAGTTGATAAGTGCCGCGTTATGATCACCGTACACGCCGGAACACACTGGACATTGAGTGTTTCCAAAACTAATTTCTCACGCGTCAAAGCTTTCGACTTGATAGAGGCGCGCAACTCGGCACTTACAGTAGCAAGGCTGGGCAGATCTGTCCCTTACCTTCCTGAATGGGCAACTATCTTGACGGTTTGTTGTATGGAGTCCCACGTGCGAACCGAAATTCCATGCTGGAGCCGGATGGTCATGTCCGCGATAACTGTGACTATCCAATGACACTACACCATCAGTGGAGTGCAAGTTACTTCTTGTTTCTAACAACGAAAGATGGCTGCGGAGGTATGCGCACAGCTCGCGGAGTATGGCCGATCAACCGCCCCGGCGACCTTCCGGATCAGATATGAGCCCTCACATTGGCCAATCACCAAGGTCTGTCAGGTACCAAGCATATGGGTTTGGAACTTGAATTGCACATTGATTCAGGGAATATCTAGTGGCCTTAGTCGGCATTTCCGAAGATTGGCGGTAAATCCAATGGCGCAAACCGAACCGTACACTGGCTGTGCGAAAAACAAAATTGACATCTCGGTATTCGGCGTCATTGGTGCGAGCGACGGAGCTCTTCGTTTCCAAAAGTCGTCAAATTTGCCATTCACAACAGCCAACATCATCAGGAAATCAAGCATTTTATCTTCAGCTCTGATACAGCATCCAAAATGGGTAGCTACGCACCCGCAGCCCTGGCGTGCGATCTCTTGATAACGAACGGCATCATTGTAGGTCGTCAAATGTCTTACAAAACGCCTCAATACTCATAGTGACTTACAGGTCTCTTCAAGTGACTTGATCTATCCACCGGCATCTGATATTGCCGTGAAGGATGGCAAGATTGTATGCATCGGCGCTCTTCAAGGGCTCTTCTCGGCACAGCGAGTTATCGACGCTGATGGAGCGTACGTAACACCGGGGGGTGTCGATACCCATGTCCACTTAGATCAGCATATCAATGGCGCATTGGGGGACAACTTTGAGAACGGAACTAGGAGTGCTATCGCTGGTGGCACGACCACCGTGGTAGCGTTCGCTTTCCAGCAAAAGACTGACGAAAGCGTACTGCCCGTTGTCGAAGCCTACCACAAGAAGGTAAGTGTCAACTCTCTGTTCCTTACACATTGTGTTCTGATCTGAGGTCCAAAAAAAAGGCAGCAGGGCTCTCCTACTGTGACTATAGCTTCCACATGATACTGACGAACCCGACCAAAACCATTGTCGAGGAGGAGCTCCCCACTCTTGTGGAACAGGGCATAACCTCTGTAAAGCTGTACATGACTTATGACCCTCTGAAGCTCCGTGATCGTCAAATTCTAGACGTCATGCTCGCAACTCGAGCCTTGGGCATGACCACTATGATGCATGCTGAGAATTCGGATATGATCGAGATGATCATCGAACAGCTCTACGAACAGAAGAAGGGCGATCCCTACTATCACGCCGTCTCGCGACCAAAAGTTGCTGAGGACGAAGCGACGTATCGTGCCATCTCGCTCGCCCGACTAATGGACACACCCATCCTCCTAGTACACATCTCTTCCGCGGTTGCCGCGCGACACATCCGTGACGCACAGACGAAACTCCTTCCCATCCACGCTGAGACGTGTCCGCAGTACCTATATCTGCTCAACGACCGCCTGCGGGGCGAAAACTTCGCAGGCGCAAAGTTCGTGTGCAGCCCGCCCCTGCGAGACAGTCACGACGACCTCAACGCGCTGTGGGAGGGGATCGCCAACGGGACATTCACAACAGTTTCGTCGGATCATTGCCCGTTCTCGTTCCAACACCCGTTGGGTAAACAGTTGGGGCTTAAGGATGGAGTTTCTCGATTCACAGATATCCCCAATGGTCTTCCGGGAGTGGAGACGCGCTGTCCGCTGGTTTTCAAGGGCGTGCAGGACGGCCGGATCAGTATCCAAAAGTACGTCGAAGTCACATCCACCAATCCTGCACGATTATACGGCTTGAGCGCCAAGGGTACGTTAGCTGCTGGATATGACGCGGACATTACAATTTGGTATAACGAGAGTAAACCTGGCTCGTCATTCAAACCGTTTGACTTGACAAACGAGATGCTGCATCATACGTGCGACTATACGCCATTCGAGGGCGTGCGGTTCGGGAATTGGCCGAGATACACTATTGTGAGAGGTGAAGTGGTCTGGGCCAGGGATGAGGGTGGTGTGGTCGGCGAAAAGAGCCTTGGGAGGTTTGTAAAGCGAGTGGAAAACAGCCTGAGGCAGCCGAGGGGCAGGTTTGAGAATGAGTGGATTCCGCAGTACAAAGGAAGGATTCCGGAGAAGGCAATGGAGGTCAAAGGCCAAAAAGTGCTGGTAATGGAGAATAGCTCCTGAGAGGAGAGAATAGACTCTCTATTACCCAAATATCACTCGCCGCCGAGAGACCGATTTTTCCAGATCACAACCCAACTAAAATCTCCAGGACCGTGCTCACCAAGTTTACAAGAATGGTCCTACCCAGCACAACTGCCATCTTTACGGGAAAAGCTTTTCACACTTCTTTCCTAAAATAATACCTCTGAAGGAAAATTACGTGGGGAAGATTTCTTGAAGAAGAAGCAGAAGAAGAAGAAGAAGCAGAAGAAGGAGAAGAAGCAGAAGAAGAAGAAGAAGAAGAAGAAGAAGAAGAAGAAGAAGGAGAGGATGTGCGTCAGAATAACTGCTGGAGGCGTGTCACAATCGTTGAGACCTTCGGTAGCAATGACCGCCCTTCTGCTTTAGCAAGGCTGTAGGAAGGCAAGGGGGATATCCAAGATATATTTAAGACGCGATTGGAGTAGCGATCAGTAGCGGGAGCTATCAAGCATCTAGCGAGCTTGGCCTCAATAGTGCTTTTCTCAGAGACCCAAGCTATGCCATAAGCCGTTAGTCAAATAATGTTTGACGAAGCTAACCGTCGCTTAACCTACTGTATCAGACTTTATGCGGAAAATATTTCCCCATCCCCTCACACAATCATCCTTCCCCCGCATCTTCTCAATAAAAAATCCAAAACAGTCCCAAAATAATAACAAAAGGTAAAATGGCCGATCTGGCCTCGGAAGAGGACATTCTCCTCGCAAGACGCATAATTTCGGCTGCAGCGCGCCACGACGTGGCGGCTCTCGAGATCCTTCTCAAACAGGGTTCGGCGAACGCGCAGGATGCCAAAGCGCCCGTGGCGTCGTCGCCGCTGCACGCCGCGATCGTAGCGTCAGGTAAGGCCGTGGATGGAAAAGAGGCTGGCGATGATGCGGTCCGGACGGTGGAGCTGTTGCTGGAGAACGGCGCGATCTGGAACGATTTGAACGGCGAGGATGAGACGCCTGGGTGCATTGCGTTGCGGCTCGGACAGAAGAAGATCTACGACATGATGGTTGATGCCGGTGTGCGTGCCGAACTTCTCTTTTCCAAGATGGAGACCCTTGGGCTAGACGAAGATGAGGATGAGGACAGCGGTGACGACAACGACGAAGAGAATGACGACCACGAAACAGGCGACAAACAGCCGGCACCCAAGAGACAGAAACTTTCCAACGAAGTCCAAGGGATGCAGCCGGTAGGCGAAGAGAAAGCCCTCGACGACGTCTCGCTAGACAATCGAGCATACTTGAAGAGTCGACTGCGGTACAAGCCCGGAATACTGCTCGACGAAAGCGACAACGCTGTGATGATGGACTGGGAGACACAGATAATGCAACGGCACGCCGAAACCCTGATACCCAAGGCCGGCCTCAAGGTGATGAACGTGGGCCACGGCATGGGCATAGTCGACACGGCGATCCAGACACACGACCCCGCCGAACACCACATTGTCGAAGCACATCCGCAAGTGCTCCAGCGACTGCGCGACCAAGGCTGGTACGACAAACCCAACGTCACCATCCACGAAGGGAGATGGCAGGACGTCCTCCCGAAACTGGTCGAGAAGGGCACGGTGCAGCTCGACGCGATCTACTACGACACCTTCGCTGAAGACTACAAAGCGCTGAGGGAGTTCTTTTCAGAATACGTCGTCCAGCTCCTCAGCCCCGGAGGACGGTTCGGCTGGTACAACGGACTCGGCGCGGACCGGCAGATTTGCTACGACGTATACACAAAGGTACGTTATCACATGCATGGTACATTTTTTTTGGCGACTTCGCAAAGGGCGTTGGGAAGAAGAAAAGAACGAATACGAGGCTGACGATTGAAATACATATATAGGTCGCGGAGATCGATCTCCACCAGGCGGGATTCGAAACTCGGTGGGAAGACATCACCGTCCCCGCAGACCTGCATGGAAGCAAGCAGTGGGAGGGCACGAGGCGGCCGTACTGGACGATTGACGTATATCGGTTGCCAGTAAACACGTTCGCCAAGTGAGGCAGCACACCTTACATAGGACGGGCAAAACGGACAAAAGAGTTAGCCCCCTACCTGATAAACCTGTCGTGGCTGGGTTAGACATTTTGAATGGCAGATCTGTGAATGGTTGTATTGTCGCGGTCATTTTATAGGCGCATCCGACGAGCGCGGGTTTTCTCCCAGGACACTTAGCGAGCTGCGCAGAGGAAAAAATATTTCGAGACAATTGATTGTGAGCACTACTCGATTTTTGTATGTAAAACAACAGCAAACACATCTGGTACTGATGGACAGGCTTGTGCAATGAGGAGCATCCATTCGCGGTCTCTTTCAGAGCTCGTGGCCTTGTACGGCTCCCTCCTGCCTTCTACTATGAGAAGACATTAGCCGGTAACCAGAAGGAGGGGGGACGAGGGCATTGTCATCAGCTCAATTTTGGGAACTCCTTCGGCGGGTTCGTGCCGAATCTCGATTGCGTGAACCAAATACTCCCACATTATAGACGTCGGAGACACCGCCCACGAGGCCTATCCCACGCTATCTTGAGCCTTGAGTCTTGACTCGAATATCCTCCCATCCCTAAACACCGGTCCTGTCGTCCCTGACCGCGGCGTAGTGACTTAATCTCCTACTATGCCATCTCCATGCCCTTGCCACGGACTATGGCGACCGACGCGTAACAACATTGCGCAGATTCCTTACTGATAGGTCATCTCTCTCCAAGCATCATAACACGGCGTGCCTTTATTCTCACGACGAGTCTCAGGATCAACATCGACCTCGGAGGTGCCACATTCAAGATATACTGGGGAGAATGCTGCCACCCGCATAGGCTTCCAGACTTCGACCACCCATTCATGGATCCTGAACACCCAAAGCCCCAGGCATTTAGGGGTTTGGAGTACATCTCGGGAATCGAGTCTCGACACAAGATATCCACCATCGGTAGCTCGCTCAGTCACGTAAATATGGAATACGCCAGTTCGACGCACAATGATCACATAATGACGCAGACCGCTCCATTGTTGGTCATCGCGGTGCATCGACTCGAGCACTTTGACGTGAGAAGGTACAACGCAAGATGAGATCAAATCACCTCGTGCCTCAACTTCTTCAGAAGGCTCATTTCCCGCCAAATAGTTAGGTGGGGGAACATTACCCTACCATCAAGCACGCCGGATAGGTTTTGCGCGATGTGTTTTGGATAGGTGAGCCAGAACGTGGTATGTAGCAGGGGGCTATTGAGCAACATATCCAGCTGAGCAGGGATGTCCGGGAGGGATAGCCCACCAGTGGAGAGAGATACATCGATCATTTTCTAGTAGGGATTGCTCGGCCACTGGATAGGAAAGAAGACTTGTTCTATCAGCGGATAGGCACCGCCACTATTTATGTCGAATGGTGGTCCCCCAAGTCGATCTTCTTTGATAGCATACGTCTCGAAGTTTTGAATGAGAGGCAGAAGGCTCAATGGAGCACCAACTTTGTCGAAGTGCTGGTTCGCGGTCATGGTCCTACACTTATCCCCGCTGATGTCGTTGATCCGTAGATAATGTGAGAGTGACCTTGGTGGCATAGTTTGCGACAGCAGGGAAGAAGACAGCGAATGTAGCTCGCCTGTCTCCGTTCCGGGGTTGATGCAGTCACAGAAGTCGCGTACCTCTTGCCAAAGTTGCTGGATTGCGACGTCTTCGGCTCGACCGCCTCCACGTTTCAAGAGGATTGGGTTTTTGAGCGAGGAGAGAGGATTGGAGGTCATGGACAAGCAAATTAGCATCGTGAACAGCTCTGAACAGCGAGGCTTTCTGGGTGAGAGACGGTTAGTGTTACGAGGAAGCCGTTTCATTGTTTTGGAAGAGTAAGGTGGAGCCACAGTGACTTTGCCGTACTGGCGCGACAGGTTGCAAGACTTACGCTCCTCAGTATCCATAGCTGTGAATGATTATCCGTAGCGCCACACCAGCGCCCAACGCCTTGAACTCCACAAAACGCGCCCGAAAGTTGGGTTCGACGACGATATTTATGTGCATGTGGATAAGCGAGGCTGTTTACATAATGCTGTTATCGATAAGAACTGACGTCATTATTAGTACGGTAGAGTGCACAGACTGCGTGTGTGCATTCTCCCGCTCACAGCCGATGCCAATTTGTCTTCTTACTTGACCATGCAAGATCGGTATGCATTGTGCATTTAGGCTTGAAGGAAAGATAAATCGAAATCCTCCTGGAAGTCGATAAAGACTGGGTGCATGGTTCACGTCCAGGCCGAGTCTGCCGAGCACGCAAATCCTATATCAAATACACAACGGGCACGCAATCGAGGGGTTTATTATCCCCTGCACAACACACAGGCAGAGAGAGCCTACGAGGACTAGCATCATGTCCAGATCAGGCTATGGAGCCTCCAGAAACTGACTTGGCACAGACTTTGATTTGACAAATGGTGGCATAACTAATCAGGGCGAGTGAGGACACCAAGGAGGTGAGAAGCAAAAAAGCCGTCAAGCTGAGCAGGCCAAACTGACTAAGCCTGTGCATGAACCCGAGCGAGTTAGGGATACGAGAAGCAGGACAAGACATCTTCTCGTCCAATGGCGGTAAAATGGCGGAGCTGAGAATGGTAATAGTCCTGTCCTCACTGGTCCATCCCATCATGCTTGCTGACTGATGCCCGCTGGGTATTTGACATTCCGGGAACGCAATGTGCCTGTTTAGCTTGAGCGCTGAAAGGAAAACCCCTCAGGATATGGTATATAAGCATGTGGAAACATTCGAAGGAAGGTGGGAGAAAGAACACATTGCAAGCCAGAAACCGAAGAAGAAAAAGAAGCCGCCGTCCTTCGTGAGCCTCATCTACCCCGAGCCATCGAACAGATCAAAATCCATCCATATTCAACATGCCTCTCTCCACCAATGACAAGACCAATGAGACCGCTGCCGCCTTGGTCAAGACATTACAAGGGGCATTCCACACACCACCAGGCTTTCGACCAGCCCATGCAAGAGGGATTCTCCTCAATGGCACATTTACACCCACCCCAGAAGCGGGGTCTCTAAGCTCAGCACCTCACTTCAACGCAAGTTCAACACCCATCGTCGTACGCTTCTCAAACTCGACCGGTATTCCCCAAATTCCCGATAATGCCGGCGACGCGAACCCGCGAGGCATCGCGGTGCGTTTCGTCCTGCCTGAGAAGAACGGGCGTCGTCAACACACCGACATCATCGCACACTCAACGCCATTTTTCCCAGTCCGCACGGGCGAAGACTTTCTCGAACTATTGGGGGCAATCGGCGCGTCTGCGGCACCGGACGCGCCCAAACCCTCGCCGATTGAAGTATACCTGGGGAAGACGCCCTCAGCGGCCGCATTCGTCGGCGCCCCTAAACCCACGCCGGCGAGCTTCGCGACGGAAAAGTATTTCGGGGTCAATGCATTCAAACTCGTCTCGTCGGACAGCAAGGGTACGTTCGTGCGGTACCGGATCACGCCGGACGCGGGGGAATCGCACCTGACGGACGAGGAAGCGAAGTTGAAAGACCCGGCCTTCTTGCACAACGAGATCCAGACGCGCATCATCGACGGCGGCGCGTCGTTTACCCTGTGGGCCCAGGTGGCCGAGGAGGGCGATCCGACGAACGACGCGACGATCCACTGGCCCGAGTCGCGCAAGCTGGTCAAGTTGGGCTCCATTAAGCTCGAGACCGTGGCTGACGACAACGACGAGAAACAGCGCACCATCATCTTCGACCCCGTGCCCCGCGTCGAAGGCGTGGAGGCAAGCGACGACCCCATCATCGACATGAGAGCCAGCGTCTATCTGATCTCTGGCCGCGAGCGGAGGGCAGCTGGGCCTCACCAGTAACTGGCCCAGAAAAGGGAGAGATGTGAAGCTCGTTATAGGGCATCCGTGTACAGGGAGGGCGGGCTGTGATGTGATGCGATGTGAAGAAGGCAACGCGCGATACTTTGTCTTGACTTGAACATCTCTCGTCAGAGCCCACCCGAGGCAGCACTGTCTCCCTGCATACATTTATTTATATATTCAACTAACTAACCACATACATACCTATCTACATAGGCTATAATTAGGTAGTACATCCCCATAATACCCCGGCGGGAATGAAGCAAATTATGTCAAATCAAAGCAGAGTAAAATAAAGAAAGCATTACGGTCTGAGAAGAAATAAGTGCCTTGATATCCCGAAAATCTAGATTTGCGCTCACTTATGCTGCAGCCCATGCATACTACAGTAGTCCCCACCTCAGTATACATACAAGTAAGCAAGCAAGAAAGAAGCAAGCAAGAAGCAGCCATCCAAGCGAGCCGGCAAAGTGAACTAAAGGCAAAGTAGGTTATATTACTCCGTACGCACTCACTCACTCACTCACTCACTCGCGCAGTAGTGGACCGAGTATAGTCCCTTCATTGTTTTCTTTTCAGATTTCTCATTCAACCCTGGTGGTGACCCTCGGAACAGTCTTCTATATATCAGTAGCCGCACAGCTACAGTGCTACATGTCTACTCTTCCAAAGCAAGCCCGCCTGATCACGTATCCAATAAATAACCACCAAGAACCATCCCATTTCTGTCTCATCTCTGTCTCATCTCATTTCGTCGCCTCCACCATCACGTCGCAGCCATCGAAGCACGGGCCTCCCAAAATTCCACCCCTCCATCTCTGCTCCGTATTTTCTTCCCAGCAGTGACGAGGAAATGGGATGGTTACATTTGGGCCTTCCTCAACTTGTCTTGCTTGACGTAGTAGACGCAGACCTGTCGTGTTTCGTTCAAGGAATACCTATCGCACAGTCCCGGTCCGCAGTGTTCCTCCCTTCGTTCCTTCAGCGGCACATACGTTCATTCGTTTCCGTTCCTGGCCAGCTAGCACTCTGCCCGGAGAGAAAATCACAACCAATTCTGGCCTCGCGTTCTCCTGCCCTCCTTCTCTCCTTTATACATACCTTTCTTACTGGTCGGGATCCCCATGCCAATCAGACTATTCATCATCATGACGCCGGCCTCGACACTGTCAATGACATTCACGGTGCGTCGTCCGTCCTCGTCCCTGACCGCGTCCTTGGCCGCGCGCACCATATCCGTCATGCCTGCGCAGCCCAACAGGATGGTGTCGGCGCCCTTGATGACCAACGCGCGGGCACAGTGTGCAACGCGTTTGGCGACCTCCTCCTTCGGGCGGGAGTCAAGCTCGAGCACACTGAGGTGGGTGGCCTCGCTCCCGACGTAGAAGTGCGAGAGGCCGTAAGCAGCGATGTCGTCGTCCTGCTTGATCTTGGAGCGTTGCGCCGTGGCGACGATGCCGAATCGTCCACCCAGCATGCGTGCCACGTAGACACTCGCTTCCATGATGCCGACGATGGGCACGTCATAAGACTCTCGTAGAGCGTCGATAAGCGGGTGCTTGCTGAAGCAGGCCACAATCATGCCATCGTAGTTCTGGACGGTCTCGCCGTTCGAGGCCGCGTGTTTGGCAAGGTCTCGTAGCACCGCTTCTGTGGACATGATTGCATCTGTCGTGGATTCGATGGCTGTGGGTGCCGGGTAAGGGGCGGTGTAGCCTGTCACCTCGACTCCCTGGGGAATGACGGGTCGCAAGGACTGGAGCATAGCCTCGGTCATGGAGCGCGTGGAGTTTGGGTTGATTAGGAGGATCTGATGGGGACGGTTGCGTGGCGGGGAGGTGATGGGTGGCGAGAAGGGCGACTTTGCACTGGTGGGGCGTGTGCTGGGACCACTCCCTCCGCTACCAGTGGGCATTGATGGCATGGATCCGCCCATTGAGCCGGGACCACCTCCAGGGGCGGAGCGGGAGACTGGGCGGGACGAAGACCCCGCGTGGCCGCTGTGCTGGGCAAAGAGCGGTTGAATGGATTGCTGGGGTGGTGACGTTGGCATGGGCGGCGCGACGGCGATTGGGTAGTTCTGGCCGATGGTGCTGCTTCGAGAGCGCGAACCTGCAGGCCCATCGGCGAAAGGGTTGGCAGAAGACGTGGCCTGCTCGTTGGTAGGCGACTGGGGTGGGAAGTACTGGCTGGGGAACCGCGCGCTGGCGTACATGGCCGACGATGATGATGATGGCAGAGGCGGTGATTGAGGAGCAGGAGCTCCAAAGCTGCCCGGTCCGGCGCCTGATGGGATGCGCTGATAAGACGACATGGCGGGATCGGTCTCGAGCTGCTCGTAGCTGGAGAGAAGAGGCTGTTGCGGCTGAGGAGAGCCAGATCTCGATCCGCCGGGCCGCAGGGAGAGAGGATGAGGATGGCCTTCTTGCTGAGGTTGGAGGATAGTGGGAGGTGATTGGGTTTGTTGTTGTTGTTGTTGTTGTTGTTGTTGTAAATCGGCCATGGTTTCGCCCTCTTTTCTAATTTTTTTTTTTCTCCTCCCCCTTCCTTGGTAGGTCCGAAAAGAAGCGAGACTCGACTGCTCGGAATCTGCTAAGCGAGTTTGCCTGTTGTTGGTGATGGCCCCCTCGCCTCGTGGTCTTGGGCTCGAGCTTTTTGGGCTTTGGCTGTGGACTAGGAGCAAGCCTGTTTTATCCTCCGGCACGCCAATGGGAGACCAAGAATGGCGTGCTTGATACGAACGGGCGGGTGGCTGTGTGGCTCCCGGGGGCTGCCTGGAATCTTGGTATATGTAGGTGTCGGGATGTAGGGGGTACGGATTTAGGGAATCCGGGACACGATGAAGAAGAGGAGAAGATGGATGGCGATCAAGGTAATAACAATAATAGACAAAATAGACAACAGAGGTCCAACTTAGCTTTTCTCGTCTAACTTCTCGGGCCTCCAGCGAGGCAACAGCTGGGCTGACACGCGTGCGAGTGATTGAACGCGATCAACATGGGGGAGAGCTCAAGCCTCAAACCCAGGAGTGGCAGAATAGCTTAGGTAGTCCCGTTCTCGGTACTGGGTACTGTAGACGGAGAGGCTGTCGGACATTCCCAGGCTATATTTGGGTGTCGCTTATCATCGACGCAGAAAGGCGTCACCCGCCTGTGGAAACTAGCCCAAGCCAAGTCTCCGACGTTCCAAGGGTTAGTTAGTTAAGACTAGTGCCTGGGTAGCTCCATTTAGGCACTTGGACACCCCCAGGGGCATCCACAAGCGCCCCAGTCCTCCCTATAGCACCCCCGTACCCCTATTTTAAATCTGCTTCTATAACTGCCTCACTGTCTGCCGTCCACACACACCCATACAACAACAATGTCCGTCTCTACCAGAATTCACAACAGATCCGGTTCGACCACGCCCGTCTGTTCTACAATCCGCCCGTAATGCTCGGTCCGCCGGTGTCTCTCAAAGGCAAACACCTTCTCTTTCCCACGCCGGCACATGCCCAGGTCAATCTCGGCCACAATGAGCTCGTCGTCCTCAGTCTGTGCCTCGACCACCACCTCACCGTCGCAGTCGACGATGCAGCTGCCTCCGATCAGCGGGTACTTGCTGTCCTCCAGGCCGCACTTGGCCACGTTGATGCTGAAGCAGGCGTTGGCGTAGCTGTTGTACGTGATGCACAGCTTGTTGTGGAACAGAGCCTCTTGCTTGGCCTTGTCCTGGGTCGAGATCTTCTTGTTCGTCCCAAGCAGTTCCGGCGCCCAGGCTGTCGTGTTATAGCCACACAGCACTAGCTCGGCGCCTTGCAGGCCGTACGGCCTCCACGCCTCTGGCCAGCGTCGGTCGTTGCAGATGAGCATGCCGATGATGGCATCACCCTTGCCCAGGTTGTCGGGCTCGTTGGCCTTTGCGCCTGATTTCTTACTGACGGCATCGGGAATCAAGCCCGGTGCTCGAAATGCTTCAAACCCCAGATTTCCAGGCCGAAAGTACCGCTTCTCCAGCTGGTTCGTTGCGTCTTTCCGCTCGTACGGCTCAAAGGTGCCCGGGAGGTGAACCTTGCGGTACTTGGAGATGACTTTGTCTGCTGCTCCCGAGTAATAAACAGCGGTGTTGTAATGGACGTGTTCGGCCTCGCTCGACTCGGCAGCGTGTTCGGCATAGCCGAGATACATGTCCATCTTGTACTCTCGCGCCCTGTCAAAGAGAGGCTTCAGGTTCGGCAGCTTCGTCGCATCCCCGTCAACCTCCTGCTCAAAGTACTGTTCCAGCTCCTCTCCCTCTAGGATATGACGAGGGAAGAAGGTCACTGGCGCGATTTCGGGGTACACAATCAATTTGGCGTGTTGCCGGTGTGCGTCGTCCATCAACTTGAGCATTCGGCTGATCCCCTCTGACCGCGGCGTATCGACATTGATCGGTCCCAGCTGGGCCCCGGCGACGATGATCTTGCGGCTGGACTCTGCAGTGTGCCCGGCACTGGTGTCCTGGATGGAACCCATGACGGTGCCTTTTCAGTCCACTTGCTTGCTTGAGTCTCGAGCACAGCCAAGGGGAGCGGAGTGATTGCAACTGAGCGGACCTAAGCAAGTCTGCTACAAGCGTACCAAGTAAGTTTGTCAAACCACTTTGCAAAAACTCAGATCTCTTTCCCTTGTTTTTCCTGCCCCGCGAGCCTGAAGTTGCGTCGGGTCTATTTCCTACATGTATGTTTTTGACTTTCCCTGACACCCCCCCTCCAGTGCCATCGCCGCTGCGTTATCAAGAACCTCCCCCATCAGTCGCCGTGCACGCTGTTGTCCGTCTCGCAGAGCCCATTACAAGGACATCCACGCTCTGTCGTTACCCACCAGTAGCAAGTCCCTGCGGCCATCAGCGCGCATCAATGGGCTGGTGGCCTACGTGTCCGGGCTTCAGCACGTCTTGTAAAACACGGTTCGCCTGTGATGAAAAGGCTGGACGCGGGCGATGCATATGACTCTTAAAACGAAAAAACATTTCCCTCGAATATAATTGTTTCCCTCACCCGCCTCCGCATCCTTGGTTTGTGTGTTTCCGTGCACCCTATAGAAATAGATCTCATTCATCTTTTTTTTTTTTTTTTTAAAATTCTAGGGGCGGTTAGACATCATGGCTCTATACAGCGTTGGTGGCGCGTTGGTGTCTGCTCTGCTCTCGCACGCATTCCTCGTCACTCTTCTCTTCCCACTCGTTTGGCTCGTCCTGCGCTCCCTCTACCGCATCTCCCCATTGCATCCGCTCTCCCACGTCCCCGGCCCTCTTCTCCCTCGCATTTCCTCGCTGTGGCTGACCTACCACGCGTGGATCGGCGACGAGGCGTCGGTCGTCGAGGCTCTGCACCGGCAATACGGCCCAGTAGTCCGCAATGGGCCGAACAGCGTCGACATCTCTGACGGTGCGGCATTGGCCACGATATACACCGAACGAGGAGGCTTTGTCAAGCCGGCCTTTTACGAAAACTTTGCGCTCCCGGACGCCACGCAGGTCCATAACTCGATCTTCTCCGAGGTTGACCCTTCCATACGGGCCCCTCGGGCGAAGGCGGTTGCCGTCCTGTTCTCGACCTCGAACCTGCGACAAAGCCAGGACGTCATCTACAAATGCGTAGACAGGTTCGTAGAGCGGCTAGCCGGGGGGAAGAAGGCGAGCCAACAGGGCGGAGAACCATTGAACGTCTTGAACTTGACGCGAGGACTGGCCGTCGACGCCGTGACGTCGTATCTCTTTGGAACCAGCTACGGCGGCCTTAACGAGAGGAAGTCACAGCGGGAGCACGAGAAAGTGGCCGTGCAGCGCGAACTGGCCGAGCCGATGAGCGCCACCGGCATGGTCGATTCATTCGTCGCGGTCGGCAGGTTCTGGTACCTGCCAAAATGGGCGTTCAATATCGTCGAGTCGTTGGACGCATGGTGGAATGCAGACGAGCAATTGTCGCAGAGTCTGGCCCAGGTGGACGAATTCGTCGCGAGCGTCGTGCGCGATGCCGAGGAAGCCATCAGAGCTTCCACGTCCACCGCCACTAGTGATGAAAAGACTACCGCTGTCTCGAGCCGGCACCCGTTGACATCGTACCCTGCGCGTCTCCTTCAGGCCGGCTTCACACCGTCCGAGACGCGGGCGCAGTGCAAGGACCTCATATTCGCCGGCACCGACAGCACGGGGATGAACCTGGCGACGATCCTGTTCATGCTCGTCCGCCGCCCGGAGTGCCATGCTCGGCTGCGTGAAGAAATGCTGGGGCTGGCGCACAGGCCCGGGTTCGACGAGCTGCAGTCTCTGCCGTATCTGCGGGGCGTCGTGAAAGAAGGACTGCGCCTGTCCATGGCCAATCCGTCGCGACTGCCGCGCGTGGTGCCAAAGGGAGGCTGGACGTTCAAGAATAACATGTCCAACAACACGGACTATTACTTCCCCGCCGGCACAGAGGTCAGCTGCACGCCGTACTCTTTGCACCTGAATGAGCGCGTCTTCCGTGACCCGCGCTCCTTCGTGCCTGAGCGCTGGCTCGAGCCTTCGGACGAGATGTTGCGGGACGCCATCCCCTTTGGGCTCGGCAGCCGGCAGTGCATCGCGAGGAACCTGGCCACGGTGGAGCTGTTCTGCGCCGTCGCGCGTGTTGTTGAGGCAAATGTCCTCCATGGGGCGAGCACCGTGAAGTCGAGCATCGACATTCTCGAGTGGTTCAATAGCAAGGTCGTCGGGGAGCGTATAGATTTGGTCTGGGGATAGAGAGCGAGCCCAAGGCAGGACACGACAGGAGAGGGCAGGACAGGGCAGGACAGGGCAAGACCAGGCAAGGCAAAGCAAAGGCAAGGACACAAGCTCCGGAGCAGCTAATTAGGGCGTTGACAGCTCGACTGTATCCAATCCTACACAGGGTTTGAGTACCTAGTACTCGTAGTCACCTCGATATCCGTCCCAGCTTTCGGCCGCTAGCAATTTGCTTTAATGTGGTCCGCTCTTCAACAAGCAAAAGCAGAGCCTGAGCAGACTTGCCTGACGTATACCGGCCAACGGGCAGCTTAACGTTTCCAAGGCCAGCGTCTCATTTCTTTTGCAAATCTGGCCATCATATATTCAGACACCGTCAACTACCTAGCGTAATCCCCAGGCGGTGAACACCTTCCTCCGTGCTGCTCATCTGGTCTTCTACTAGGCCGAAGCGCCTCTTAAGACGCCGGGTCATTCGTGACCAAGCCAGAGTCGCTCTTGTCCTTCCTTGCAAAGCAACTTCTCCAAAACCCACTGTCTTTAGTGCCCTTTCGGCACATCCTAGTCGAGTCCCGTATCGAGATGAGGCTAAAGGGACCCAAATCCATCAAACAGCGGCGTTGATGCCGCAATGTGATGGAAGTGCATCCATTCAATGGGCTCGATTGTGCTACGTTGGCGTTGCGGGAACATAAATTCATTCTGAGGCCCGCCAGACTGTGAGGTCTCGGACCCAGCCCCAAATCATGGTTCACGGGTTCTCTTTGTTGGACGGAAGGATAACTCACCATCCTGCTGTTCCGCTAGTCATGATTCACGTATCAAACCCTTTGACTGGTGTCAGAAAGTCGAGATCACTATCCGCCCCATTTTCAAACCCAGGATCTTCCGCAACCTCGCTCTTTCCCGAGAGAATGTTCGTTATGAATCCCCAGGCACTCACTATTTGGTCCCCTGGTCTTACAAGCTCGTACATTCGGGTCCCCCATTCGTCTGAATCGATGATGAATTGCTCGGGCTCTGGTATGGCCGATATGGTATTGTGATGAATGAAGGAGAAAGGTGGCTGAAGAGGGGCAATGAGATCCTCAAACGAGGTCCACAAGGCGGTATTCCGGGAAAGGTCTCCGGGTTGAGAAGAGGAGGAAACTTTTCGGCCTATCCTCTGCTGTATCGCTGCGCTTGAGATCTTGTCCACAAAAGTCCCAATCACCTCGATACGCTGATTTGCCGAGCCTTTGAGCAGACTCAGTTTACTCAACTCAGGGATGCCGCCGAGCACAATGAATTGTACAAGATCTGCTTCGCTGGGTGGCTTGCGAGATCGGATTATCGTACCAGCCGAAGGGGCGCGACTCAAAGCGCGAAGATGTTGTCGACAGAGTTCGTAGAAATGATAGGCAGGTATGATTCCAGTCCCAGGGTATGTGCGCAAGAGATCTTTGACAGACTGTGAACAAGAAGGGCAGGTTCTGTTGGACTCGTGTTGTCCGGCATCTGCTGACTCGAGCTTTGCATGGCTGGGATGCTCTGTGACAAGCATTGTCCGATAACTCTCCAGAAAATGATACATGGTCCACGTTGCCAGATGGAGCCGCCTCATGAGCTTGAATTTGTACGGGTTGAAATTATCACACCGTTTAAACTTAGGAATGACATAGACCTTCATTTGGATCCAGTTGGTCATGACCTGCAACATCCTTTGAACTTGGCCTTGTCGTTTCAACATCTGCAGCAAATAGTCGAACGAGTTGCACGGCTGTGGTGGAGGGTATAAAGTATGGAGGTAGTTGTAGAGGTATTCCGCCTTCTCATTGTTCATGTTGCCCTCATAGTCACTTGTCCGCTCGTAGGCATTTTGAAGCAGCAGAGATCGCGTGATCGGGCCGGCGTGAGACCGCAGATATATGTAGACGGAGCGAGACGTCGAACGGAGGCTCAAGAAGTCGGACACGGACAGATAGCAGAGAATCTGAGCCGTGATTTCATCCGGCAATGAGAGGATGGCGTCCCATAATTTTTGCCTGTCCGGTCACATATAAGCATCGCAATCTTCTCAAGTGCCAACCTCTCTCTTGATGTACTCACGCAGAGTCGGCGTCGGACTCGATTCCCGTTGACAAATGTGACCTCTTGGACCATGAGGAGAGCCTCAGCGACAGGGCTGCAAAACTGGGCCGTCGAGGAGCATACAGGTCGGTGGCCGAGGGTCTTCTCGAGGACTCGCCGCTCGAGCTCCCATTGTCAAAGAAATTGGCAGCACTCGCCCGCCGAAGGACGCTTGTGACGGTCACCATCTTTTGGTAGCAAATGAGCCAGTGCTCGGCGCGGAGGCGATGGAGTAGAAGAATCTCGAAAAGGTCGCTGCCGCCCAACAAGCCGCCACGAAAGCCGCGAGGGAAAAGGCCGCGAGCGAGCAAGGAGATGGTCGGCCTGGTTCGGCGGCTGGGACAGGACCAGGTGCAGAATGTGGCCATCACAATCACCCCATCCTGCCCCATCCTCCTCGGCCGACCTTCCTTACCTTTTCCTCTATTTAGGTCGCATAAGAGGCCTGCTTCGTAACGAAAGTCGTTGTCTACTTCTATTTCCCCTCTTCACCTGAAGTTTTGGTTACCGTCCTCCCCAGTTTCATATCTGAAGACATGGTCTTGACTGTCTGCAAGCCAGCTATCTAGTCACCAACTATGTCGTGGCCACCTCCCCAAGACCGCCTGCTGAGTTTGCTTGAGCCAGGATATCTCCTCTATTCGAGTGCTTATGATAAGGTTTCTTAACCCGTTGATACCCTTTGTGAGAAAAGAAGACATGATCTTATAGTATCATCCCTCTGAGAAAATCCTCCGGCCTTTGTCACTACCACATTCCAGTTTTATATCCTGCAGCTCAGTATTCCCTCGGCGTCAAACCTCAAGAAAATCCGGGACAGCATCCAGCGACAGGAGTGTCGATGTGCCAGGCTAACCATCCATCTCTTTACTCAACCTTCTCCTTCTCGCCGTCCCTCTCATGACTTGTGCATAGTCAGTTGCCATTTCAAGAACTCGCCAGACACAAGAACGCGCTGAGGTGCGTTGGTCCCAAACTAGTTATACGCCAACGCACATTAGGCAACTTAAGCGGATACTTAGCAATGCCTTGCAATGCCTTTCGGCCCGCCGATCCCAGATCTGTACCGGGTACCCAGTACTGTAGGTAACCATGCCCAATCAGCCATAAGCGAGATCTTCGGATGGGTCAAATAGTTAGAGTAGTCTTGACCAGTACTTACTCCGTATTACTTTAGCCCTTGGTCAAGTTGCCCCAGCATCATGAGGAGCTTGAAATAGTACATGAGTATAGACAGACAAACACTTGAATGCCAGGCAAACAGAGTCGCAGAATCCTATATTGTCGGCTAACCTGCTAGAAACAAATCGTCCGATGTCTATAACGTCACTGTTGACATCAAACTATTTTCATTCAGGCTGCTGTATTCGGTTCTTGATCTTGCGAAGCGATTTGTCCTTCCTTCCTTTTCCCGCGCCCCCGGATCAAGCAGACGAAGCTCGGACATATTTGAAAGATTGCTTGGCCGGCAAGTACTTTTATGTCTTAGAGGAGCCCCGCGACTTCATTTTACCCGAGTCGTCTTTGAACCGGCTGCTTAAAGACCGTGGCTTCCGGTCTGACAGGAAACAGAGAGCTCGCCGCGTGTGTGTGAGTGATCTCTAGCGAACCATGTGCTAAAATCACTGGTAGACTCGGGCTCAAGATCTCGTCCGATGCCCACAAGTCAATCCTCATTCTCTCCCCAATGCCTGGCCCGAGACAGGGTTACATCCTCGAGTGGCTCAATGGCCTCGTCGAACAGCAATTGGATGTGTCGGCTCGAAGAAAAAAAAAACCTCTACATGGTGCGTGGTGAAGACTGGAACGAATTCGGGGGAACTTGGGGAGGGTCAATAAGACAGCCAGACTTGGGTATTGCATGAATCGAAGACGTCCTTGTACCTAAGTTTCGTACCGTTGCCGAAGTTGGTGTTTCCCAATCTCGAGAGCGTCTACTCAGTACTCGACGTTCGAGATCTCTATCTGAAGAGAACACCCGAAGTCTCCAGGTTCGTCTTGATCAGTGTTATCACGACCCCCAAGTATCCAGATCTGAAGGAAGTTTATCGAGGAAGTCAGGGTCATTTCGAACGCAAATTTGCAGTTGGAGTCAGACCAAGGACCACTTTGGTACAAAGGTATTCAATGGGTAGGGGAACCCTACCGTTTTCCTAAGAAGTTTGGGAAGGACACCCGGACAGTGGAGAGCCAAAGCAGATGTTTCAAGCAACTCTCGATCCCTATGACAGCGAAACCTAACTTTTAATCTGCGAAATACCTGCTACGATCGCTTCCAATGTTGAGGCTGTTACAGTCAAGCCAGCGGATATCATCAAGCTTTGGTATCATGGCTGGAAACATGCGACCGCGGCCGAGACGTTGTTACGGGTCGAAAGTATGCGCGGATTATGGATGAAGGTCGAAAGCATACAGCAGAATGTGGCAGAGCAAACGAACGAAGCTGCCAAGAAGAAACAAAAGGCCAATGAAGAACGTACAGGGCGCTAGAAGCGTCGATCACAACATTGATTCGTCGGCAAGAACAGAGCAGAGCAGATAGACCAATTCCTGAATGGATGAATCCGGGAGAGACATTAGCATTTGCCATTGAGAGACTGATAGGGAGAGACTGCAGAGGCTAGGCTGTATCATACAGGGGCACCGACCCTTTGAACTTCCTCAGGTCCATTCTCTTGCTACGTGCTAAATGGGTTGAGAGGAATTCCAGGCATATACCCGTAGTGCATCGGCATCAAGCTAGCAGCGACTGTAACTAGTATCGTTAAGCATGGACCACCACTTTTGAGGCGCCATATAAAAGAAGGCCTGACCCAGTCACCAAGTAGTCAGTCAACCAGCAAAGCACTCTCTCCTCTTAAATCAGAGATATATATGCCCGTCGAGCGCCGCCGCCGCCGCCGTCGTCGTCGTCGTCGTCGTCATCGTCATCGTCATCGTCATCGTCGCCAACACTTTTGTTCCACCAAGGTTTGTTGACGCAATACTCGGTAGGCGATGAGCCAGTAAGACATGCGTTCATGATCGACCGTAGAGACCGTATCACGTGTCTATGGCTGACCGTACCGGGTGGAAACTGCGATATGTCACAAAACCAAAAATCACAAGCAATCAATGCCCCTCCAAAAGGTGCACATGCCAGGTCCTGGACTCATGGATCCCCGTGGCCATCACAGCAAAAGCAGCATGCATGTTCATGATGACACCTCCACAGCCTGACTTATCTTTTGCTTTTCTGTTTTTTTACTTTTTGGCTTTTTCCCTCCCAACAAAATCGCGGCGTGAGAAAAGAAGCATGAAGGCCAGCGCACGCGCGAGCGGGATGCACGAGAGCGTATTGATTTCTCTGAAGCTACAGTAGTAGAGGAAGATCGAATCGAGCACGGCGTGCCAACGCGCAGGCGCAGGCGCAGGCGAAGGCGAAATAATAAACATGTCAATCAATGCCAAGGCGCCCAAAAGATAGAAACTAGCTGGCTTCTCCCCAACACAAGCAAGCAAGCCTTGTCCACCAACCGCAAGACAACAAACAAACAGACAGGGCGAAGGAAGACGTCAGTAATAATCTTCTTGCGAGACGTGGCGCAGAGTTATAGATGTCGATCAACGGGCAATTTACTAGAGGGTCGCTTTGCTGGTGGGGTGGGAGGGGGGGGGTTGCGCCGTCGCCGTCGTACTTGGTCGGACGAACACATGGAGGAAATGCTGCCGCGTGAGAGGGTTGCTAGATGGGCGACATATCCCACCCGACGATCCCGCCCATGCACGAGCCCTGCTAGCTACTGATAGGCGTGCTACAGTAGGGGCAGTAAGGGGCCTAGGTACATATGCCCAGGTATGCCCTGATAGGCTTCGATCGGCATCGTTTGCAGCCAGCCCCAATCAAGAGATCGCGCCGAAAACCAGCCTGGTGGTTATATCAATAATAGTCTGGCATCAGTCTCGCCTCCCGCTTCAAAGAGGCCATACCCGTCCGGTGACGGAGATGGCAATACTATTGTCGACAACTGTTCTGTAATGCTAGAATTGTACACACTGCTTTTCATGGCGCCTCTGCTATTTCCTGTTTGCGCGATGCTGTTCTATATGCACTTCGGTCCACCTAAAGCTCCACTGGCATGTCCCGCTGTATGTCACGTCGGAAAATAGGTACAAGAAGATGGAATTGTCGCCCAGTGATTCCATGTCCTTGTTGCAACGCAGCTAGTATTTCGTGCGCGAGGGCAACAGCTTCATTTGGTCCATTATGTTCCCTTCCAGTCCAAGCACTCCGTAAATCCACTTCAAGATGATGAAGAAACTGTCCGGTTCCTGTTCGCCTGCGTCAGCTCCGAGCAGTCAAGGCACATACCATAAATGAAAAGGAGGGGGGCGAGGGGCTGTTTGGAGAGGCTGTGACCGTGCTCTGGGGTAACTTACTCCCATATGTTTCTTGCCCTTGACCATTCTCGCCAGCTTCGGTCCGCCGTGTTCCAGAGCAACAAACATGTCATCGATCGGGAATATTTCGTCGTCGTTACCGTTGACCAGCAGTACCTTGGTACACGGTTTCTCCAGGGTGCCGTCGTTCAATAACGAAAACTTGGCTGCATCTTGGATGAAGGATTCCAAGTCAGGATAGCCGAATTTGTAGGTCAAGGTGTTGGCGAGATCGAAAGGATACTCGAGCTTGTTCACGTTTTCAAGCCACTCCCTGTCAAACATCTGGAACCTAAGTCAGCCTCGCGTAAAGGCCGCGATAACACTGGGGAATTAGAAACACCATGGCCTACATGGTGGCATCCGCCGCCTAAGCTGATGCAAGCGAAGACCCGGTCATTGTGCGTGTGGGCTAGTCTGAGTGCATAATAGCCACCTGTTGAGAAGCCCCAGACAATGATTTTCTTGTTGTCGATCTCTTTTTGCGTGTCAATCCAGTCCAGAACGCTGGACCACTGACGGTCTGGGCTTGTGGGATCTTGACGAAGGGCCGGGGAATCGCCAGTGCCTGGGATCTCGGCGATGACGGTGGCCACCCCCTTTTGAAGCCAGCCCTGTTGCCACACTGCCAGTTCGGTTCGGTAGCCGTCGAGTCCGGTGATGATGAGGACGCAAGGAGCGGGAGATTGTGGGGAGGCATTCGGAGGGACGAGAAAGTTGACCGGAACAACATCGCCGTCGCCCTGGATTGCATGCTTGTGAGGGATTCGAACTTCTTTTATAGGGTGCTCCATCAAACTGGGTGGTTCCACTCTCGGTCAGCCCGTTGTCACCAAACTGCGCACTGGGAGAAACCACTGACGCTGCACCCTTGTAGAAGACCTCTTTCCCCTTTGTCCACGCATATTTTTGCTTCTCTGACCGCGGGGTTGGAAAACGCGAGATACGGTAGACGGCAGAGCTGCGCAGGTAGTACTCCGAGGCCTTCTCTCTCTCGCCCGCCTTCTCCGCCTCTTCGGCAATTTTGCTGAGTTCTTCGGCCTTGGGGAAATACATCTGAGCGTACTCATCCCAGTCGTAAGGTTCCTTCAAGCCTTTCTGCAGAAGGATTCAGCGGAGGCATAGGGGAGAGGGAGTTGCAACGGGCACCTTGATGATTTCTTCCGCAATGGGCTCAAAGTCTTTGATGCTGCCAAACATGAATGGATAGACACCCATCGCGCACTATCCATTGATTGATCAGTCTTTGCCAGTCGGCCTCACTGAGGACTTGGACGTACAGGTGCCTTCCATTTGGTTTCCCATAGTTTTTCATACGACTCGTGGTGGATTGCAGGTTTCGTGATTGCGTCTTTGATGTAGTATTTTTCCGATGCGGACACCATGGCGGGCAGAGGTGGGATGAAATTGATGTACAGGCAATTGAGAGTGTACCTTCTGTCGGTGAGGGCAGGCCGCGCTGGCAATATATTCTCCTTATATCTTCAGAAATCTCGGTGAGAGAAACGGTCAACAACGACAACACGGCCTAAACAAACCCGAAGCCGAGTGCCGGCTGGTTCCTCTTGTTGTACGATGGTTAGTGTGGCTGACGAGGGGCTTCAATGGCTCCCTCACTAGTGGGAGGGCAACCCAAATGCAGAGGAGATTCAACTGCTAGTATCACACAGCACGAGTGTCCCAGAAACATCGGTAGGCCCCTTAACTTCGCGGCTTTTGATCATTTTTTCAATCATGTAGCAAGAAGCTAAATGCTACGGAGTAGGGTGCACCGAACGGACAAGATACAACTCGGGGTCGAGACGTCAAGGATTGCGGAGATGCCAGATGAAGTGAGTCGTGTGCATCTTGCAGAAAAGGCACAGCGAAATGGGTCGCTGGCGGGAAGAATACGCAGTTCGGAGTACCGAGTCCTACTACGGAGGACAAATCAGGGAGGGGCACGCACAACTAACTGCTGCAGACATTTGGGGGTCCCAGGGTCCGAGGGTCCCAGGGCAGCCCCAGGGTCCAAGGGCTAGGGGGCCAGAACCACGCAAGAGGCGCCCAGGGGGGACTGATGGACTGAGTATTAACTGAGGGGACTTGAGGCTCCTTTGGGTTCCCTAGGCTCCTTAGGCTCCCTCCCGGAAACATTCCAGAGGCCACTAAGACGGTTTGAGACATCAGGTGCTGCACCTGCTGCTAAATTCAGGTCGCCTTAGTGCTCCGTCTGATTAGCAACGGGTTCTGCAAGAACACGACGCACAATGCTGTAATCAGGCTTCCAAAGTCTGTCGGTTTAGGCCCGGGCTCTGGATGGACGGCCCCGCCACTCACAGTCCGCCATCTCACCAAAGGACCCATCTCAATCTGGCCCGGCCTGGCGAATCTCTCGTCGACCAAGACAGACGTCCCTTCTCCATATCGCACGCCTTGTGGCTCTGTCGTTTCAAACTCTGCACCGAGTCATGTCATCACGTCCAATGTTTCGAAAGGACACTCGATCTGGTCGTCGTACGCATTCAACGCTAGGTCGCATGTCCGGCCTCCATGCATTCTCGTAGTGCAGGAGATGACCCATCGTCGCCAACAAGCAACCCAACTTTCAACGGCCGCGCATATACTTCGTAGACCATCACGCAAGAAACTCACAGCCCGCTGCATCGCCAAAGCCTCCAGCTAGACCGAGACCGTAGTAAACAAATCTTCCCTTCCCAAAAACATGCAGTCATGTGCTGTGAACACCCAAATCCCGAATGGGGCCCGACTGGGGATCTCCCTTTCTACCCAAAAACCAATGCAACCGATACAAGGGTATGTAAGACCAGTCAAGGTCGACAGCGTAACCATCCAATCGACACCGTCATGAAAATTCGTAACAGTCGTGTCCTTGTTTTTCCTTTTGTTTTGTCTTGGAATCCCAAGTTTTTCGTCCGCGTTAAGCCTGCAGTCGAGTAGGACTCGTTCGAGAAATCCAAATATATTTGGCGGCGTTGCCACCCCGGCCCAACCGGTAAACCATCGGTGGGATCGCAGAATCGCTCGTTGCGTCGCCTTTGAGAATTGTTTTGAGGTGCATCCTGGCACGATTCGTAAATGGGTGTTCAGGTCCGAACGCATCCCGACAAACATCAACCACATGTTGCATCGTCTCGTTGGCTTCTTCTTTTCGGCCCAGCTTATTCGAGATCTCGGCCAGCCCTCTCAAACACCGGACGTAGATCTCGCGTTCCTCTGGTCGTGGTAAGGTCTGTGATCGCTCCAGTGCCGCCTTGATGGCTTGAAGCGCCTGCATATATTCGTCCATGTGGAAAAAGGCTTCAGACGTAGACCGCAAGGCGTAACAGACCTCGTAGCATTGTTTATTTACGGTGGTTTCAAAAGCGTCCACCAGTTGCTGGAATCGGACGGCGGCCTCGGCAAAACGTTCTCGATTTAAAAGACCACTTGCAAAGGTCTGGAGTAAGGCGATGGTCTCGGGATGGAAGTACCCTATACTATCTTGGAAGAAGTCGAGGAGCCTGCGCAAGGTGGACTCGGCCAACCAGGCTCGCGATGCAGTGGCATCGTGCATGTGTATGGCAATCATATAGATGGGATGCTCTTCGGACTCGAAGACGGTTTTGACCATGTCGGCGAGGTGTTGTAGAAGCATGAGTAACGGTTCTTCATACCCGGTCCCATCATGTCGGATGATCAGGTCAAAGATGTAGATCATGAAGCCCACGTGGTCGTCCTTCAGAAGACCTTCGATGAGCGCAAAAGCTTTGTAAAAATTGTCAAACGCTCGATCTCGCTGGCCATTCCATAGAAATGAATAGCCATGGTACATGGAATAGTAAAACCTATCAGCCAGAGCATCGTCCGAGGTAGCAGTCCACGTCCCGGTAGTGTTGCGGATGGAGAGGTTTCGCGCCGTGAACAAGTTCATGTAGTGATTTTGCATGTTTTGAAAGATGACGTCCTGATATCGTTGGTCTTCGGCCGAAACTGTGACTTGTGCAACTGATGATTCGACCGAAAGCGTTCGGAATGGAGGCATCGGTGGGAGCTCGGGTATATTCAAGGCGTGCTGTAAAGCCGCTAGGCGATCGGCGGCGACGTCGGAAGTCCTCAGTCTCAAGGCGAGTGTGGGCTTTTCTTGTTCGCTCATCTCCATGGGACTTCTGGTCATTTCAAAGTCGGATACGTCCTGGGTGGTGTTGAGCACGTCGTCGTTGGATGACAGAGGTGTCTTGACGTCGGCATCTTCGGGAGATGACAGGTCGCCAGATACTGATCTCTGAGGCTCCAGGAGGCTTGACGGGTCTTTAATACCCTTGCGGTTGAAGTAGTGCAAGGCGTCGGCAAGGGTCACTTGCCTTCCTCTCACCAAGAAGACTTTGTCCTTGTCGTCGCCCTTTTGCTGGAGGCCTTGGCGCACCAGATCGAGCATTTCGTGCTCCTTCTTTTTCTTATCCAGGCCCCATGTATGGAGTCGACTTTTATACATGCGCTCACTTTCGGATCGGAAGCAGTTAGCGGGCTGAAAAGAACAAGGAGAAGAAGAAGAAGCAGAAAAGTATAAAAACAAAAACAACAAAAGAAGCTAAAAGGGCACATACGTGGGAGCAAAGTCATATTCCCTCTTCAAGTATTCAGCCACATCCTTGAGGGTCCGGCCTTCCTCGAAGTATAACTGGGTGATTAAAGGTCGGTGCCTCCGCCACTCGTCCGAGGTGTATGAATTGGAGGAGCGCTTTGAGATTTTGCTTTTCCGATCGACAGGCGAGCCGTCGGCAGAAGCCATGGCGGAAAGTGGATTTTAACTGTCAAGGGCGATTTGGCGAAATGGGCGAAAATAATAATCAGCGCATTATATCGAGTGATTTGATGGACAAGGCATTTTGGGATGATAGGGATGTCTCCGGTTGACGGCTGTTTGGAGGGGGGCTGTGCGGGCGTGGACGGTGGTTGGCCGAAATTTGCAACGCGTATGAGGGCTGATGAACAGAGAGCCACTCGGGAGATGCCCAAGAGCTGCCAGTCATGCGTCGGGTGGTAGAACCGGTGAAGAGTCGAGACAGAAGGTGAGGCTGAAATCCAAAGAAATCGAGGCGCAAGAGTTGGAGGTCGAGAGAGAGGCAAGGTTGAAGTTCCATCCACCAAGCCACCAGGAAGAGAAGTTGATGGTGAGTAGTTAAAAAAAGTTTAAACTTGCGAGTTTGAGTTGCCTTGACGAATTGCCTGGAAGTCGCTGAGGGAGGGGGGTTGGTTTTGGCTGTCCTGCTCGTCCGTCCCTTGTCCTTTTTAAACTGCTTGGCTGTCTGGGAATCGGGTTTAGCTTGGTGCCTGTAGGCCGGCTGCGTGGTTGAAGGTGGACACTGGAGGGCCTCTTGGCGAGGTGGATGTTCTGGAAGGACTTCCAGGGTTCGGGAGTACCAAGTAGGTACTTAGGTAAGTAGTGCAGGGTAGTGCTAACGGGCAGTTGATGCAAGCTGGGGTGGCTTGGGAACGAAAGGGTCTGGGTTTGCCTGGATCCAGGGTCAGCGTCTTAGCCATTATTTAGAGGACTGGGGAGGGGGGAGGAGGCGTGTTGGGCGTGCCTGAATGATCCTAACACGCCAAAGATGGTGGGGGGCTCGTGGGTGTCGAGTCATGTACGGTACCCAGTGCCTCCTACCTGGGCATGTACGGAGTACCGTGACTTTCCCAGCTTGGCCCAGCTTGTCGCAGCTTGTCCTCTTTCTTAGCAACAGCTAGATCAGAGGTCAGGAGGGACTGAGCGACTGAGGGTCAGAGGGTCGAGGGACCAATGGGACCTGGCTATGGTGGGTTGGTGAAGCACCAGGGATGTACCGTACTCGTAAGTACGGAGGAAGTAGGGTGGGGTTTCCGCCTCGCCTCCCGTCAAAAGCAAGCAAATGCTCACTTGAACACGAATTGCCCTGAAGAGAAAGTGGGCGAGGTTTGTGGGAGAGTGCGAGTGAATGAGAGAGAGGGGGAGACTTGAGAGGATGGAGAGAGGTGAGAGAGCGTGAGAGGACTATGTAAAAGTGTGCGTGTGTGAGAGTGGTCGAGGTGAGTGGGTGGTGAATGGGTGGTGAATGGGTGGTGAATGGGTGGTGAATGGGTGAGTGCACCAGTGAGCTGCGCATGCGAAGCCCAGGAACAAGAGAGTCAAGCAATCCAATACCTCGTACTTACGGAGCCCCAAGTTGGTCTCCGCGTACCTTTGCAACAGCAAAAGGACATGAATTCTTGCCGCTTTGGCACCAAAAATGACCTGTCACTATGGGCCATGTAGGCAGGGTTCCAAACTAAGAGGTACAGTTGGTCGCGGAATATGTACCTCAGAAGTACTCAGCAACGTCAAAGCGACCGCCATGGAACATAATGAACCGTCAGGATGAATGACAGAACACACAGGGCCACTGTTTGCCAGGAGACCTAGTAAACGGAATACGGATGCTCATACTCATTCCCAGCCAACCCCTCCTGGTCCAACAGCGACGTATTTTTAAATCCGGCTGGCATGGTACCTCCCTAGAGCGCGTAGCACCGAAGATTTAGCGGTTGTGACTTGTGGTTGTGGCAACAAGCAGCACTACAAAAGTACCTTTCCTTCAGCTCTGTCTAGTTGCTTCTTGCTACGTCAGAGATCAACCAACGCAGTGCCGCCATCGTCCATCGTGCATTTACGCGGGTGGCCAACATGGACCTGGGCTGGATGATGGATACTGAGTAGTACATGCAACCTTGGCCTTGCATAGGTAAGGCACCATTTCTCCCTCCTCTTGTACCTCGTATGTACCCATCTTCAGAGAGACTGCTATTACCACGACCCAGTGCTCCGTCCTTACTCCGTCCTGTCAGACCATCCATTCCTGCCACCGGCCACCACCAGCTCCTGCTACTGACCGTCTCACTAGTCCTTCTCTCCTGGGATCCCGAGCACTTTCCTAAGCCGTCCATCTTCGCGCCTGTGGTGATTCGCGTCACTGATCACTTGCCTTTGTCAGTGCTGCATCTGACCGGCCCGGCGAAGCTCCATCAATCCACCCATCCTTAGTGTTCTTTGTCACAGACCACTTGTGAACAGGAAAGGGGTAGGGCTTAGGCCATGACTACGGCCTCCGATCAAATCCCTTGCTCATGTCCTGCCCAGGTAGCTAACTGGTCCAGGGAAAGTGCGCCACCTCGTCTCATCTGGTGCAAGATACAGTAGCTGGTCATCTTATCCTCCTTCACCATGTCATCATTGTCACAGTCGACTCGGCCGTCGACCGATACGATCCCGATATCACGTCAACCATGCTGTTCCCAACTGCCGGGAACTACATACTTCCGCCTCTGACAGTTGCCAAGGCTTTGCTACCTACTCTATCTGCAATGCGCTCTTCCTGCTGGCTTGTGCGTTGCGCTTGTAAGGATGGAGTAAAAGGTCAGGACGGTGGACGTGCATGCGGAAAAATGATCATACGAATCCCGGATTACGAAAGGAGTCTCGGCGGTACGGCTCAATTTTCTTTTCTCTTCTCTTCCCATTTTGGATTCTACCTCAAGGGAGAGCCTAATAGCGTGAAGGGGCTCTCTTCCCTTTCCCGATATGCAGCGTGCATTGAAACCCACGCTGTGATGATGGTGCCCACTTAAACCACCTAATCAGAAATGGATCGGAAGTGCTCCCCTGGAATAGGCAACCACCCCGGAAATTCCTGAAAAATTTTCTTCTCCTACTTCAGACCCTCGATTGTTAATCCCTCGAGCTCCAGCGGTCCTAACTGGTTGATATATAACCCCAGTTTTCTTGGACGAGACACGCATGAAACTGCTTATATGAGACAGCGGCCATACTTCTCCCGACCGTTGAACGTGCCCAGCGAGCCAGGAACCATCAACGCAAACTCGACCCCACATGCCAAATTGGTTCCCAGTCTCATTTCCATGACGACCCATCCTCTCCTGATTGCAACTCAATTGAGATCCTTCCTGGCCCTCACCTGGGCCCAAAGAGAGAACACAGCCTCTGTCGAGGTTGGCTGTCACCTTATGAGTACACAGGAGACAAACGAGTTCTGCTTTAAGAATGCAGGATTTCCACAACCTGAAACAATAATTTCCGCTACTGTGGCGGTTGAAAGGGTGAGCAATATCGCCGTTGATGGTGCAATGTGAACAATCATCTTGAAGACCCATGGTTCTGTCAGATGTTGCTTCTCAATGCCTACCCGAGTCTTCAAGGTTCGAATCGGTAACTCTACCGAAACTGGATAAGATGCGCCAATCCTACAATTTTCCGATGCTCTCGTTTGATGGAGGACAACGATACTGCTTTTCCCGAGCAGCAGGAAACCCTTCAAAACAACCTCGTCCACAAATCAGGTCAGATAAGTATGAATTGTATCATTTAGAACCGAGGTCTGAGACGAGCATGTCCATCTTGATTAATCATAATCATATCGCGGCCTCTACATAACAACCCGTTGCTAACCTTCTTTAAACCAACTCCCTCCGTTTCACTCAGAGCCCCCCCTCCCCCCAGTTCAACGCTAAGAGCTAAAAAGTCACAATGGCCTCCACGGAACAACTTCCCTCTAGTCTCCCAGACCCAACAGTTCATATAACAACGCACAACTCCTCTGGCAAAGCCACACTCTACTCTTCATCTCAGAATCAATGGGCTTGGTTCCCCGAAAGAGCCGTGGGATTCAACGTGATCTATACCACTTCATCCTTCCCGGCCTCGCTGAACGGGGATGCCGACATTGATTCCCACAAAGCGACCATGTCCAGCGGTAAGCTCGGACTCGTCAAGAAAGGCGGTACAGTCTGCCGTATCGTTGATTTTGGTCCGGGCGGCACTCCACTGATGCATCGCACGCAAAGCCTGGACTACGGAGTGGTATTGGAGGGAACCATTGAAATGGAGTTGGACGACGGCAGTGTGACTCTTTTGAAGCGTGGGGATATTGCTGTGCAGCGAGGTACGAATCACGCGTGGAGAAATCCCAGCAAGACAGACTGGACGAGGATGTTGTTCGTCTTGCAGGACTGTCAGCCAGTGCTTGTTGGGGGAGAAAGGCTCCATGAAGAGCTTGGGGAGGGAGGAAAAGATATTCCGCGAAGTGGCAATGATGATTGAGCCGTACTGCATGTCCTCGCGCTCGCTAGCCAGAGCCAAACGAAATCATTTCCTCGGATATCAGGCTCCGTTTTGTGTAGAGCGACATGGACATCTGTGCCAGGATCGGTTCATGCCTGGCAATTCGCCCATGTTACAAGCACTCTCACTACTCAAATGAGGATGCTCTTGATTATGCCCAGAGACGATGACTCCTAGGTCTTACTCATCCAACCGAGGAAACAGGTAAGACGCTTCGTAGGGAGGGCATATAGGTCAAGTGATTTCCCGACCCTCCACACCCCCATTCCCCATTTTCCGAGCCATAGCCACGGGGTATCCAGCATTCACATAGCCGCGCCTCATCTGTGAAGAGGCTACGGGGGATTCGCAATTGTGACCTTTTCGTCGGAAAATCAACAGAAGAGACCCATTTCCTCAACGGCTAGTCCTTATGCTGGCCGGCGCAGGTCGACCAAGGAAAGCCTGCAGCCGATGCAAGAACCAAAAGGTATCGCAGATCAACAAGCACGGCACTGTCTTGTCTGGCCGAGTCAGGTTGACGTTCCACGTTTGTTTATAGGTGCGCTGCTCGGGCGAGAAGCCGACTTGCAAAAGATGCTCAACGTCGAACCACATCTGTCTTTACAAAACGGGCGAGGAGCGACGGAGGTCGAAAGCGACCTCACATGCGGAGAGCGCCGATCCATTGCGCTTGTCGTCGCTGTCTCCATCCAGCTCTAAGACGGCAAGAACCCCCGGTTTTGCGGTTCAGGATGGAACGAAAACACCGAGGCCGACATGCTGTAGGCCGACAACAGCGAGACCGACTCTTCCAGTGCTTCAAAGCTCCTATGTCGGCATTCCCATGACCCTCATCATGAGTCTCGTCGACGTCTACTACGCCAATGTGTACAACGCCTCTCTTTTGCTGCACAAGCGACTGTTCCTTGAAGCGATAGCAGCGGGTACTGCTCGTCATCATGTCGTCCTCAGCGTTTGCGCTTGGGCTTTAAAGTGGGACAAGAGGATCCCCATCCATTATGAAACCGCGGGAGCATTGTTCTGATCCTTGAACCTCTAGTTTTTATCGGGATCCAAGTGACCGATCAGTCCTTTGCAACCACGATTTCAGTAGGGAGTGGGCAGGTCAGGCAGGCAAGCTTGCGTTTCAAGAAGTCGAGAATCCGACCGAGGAGCACATTGTGACGTTCATGAATCTTGCACTCTTCTGGTACAGTCAGGGCTTATGGCGGAGATCTGCAATTCACAAAGGTTTCAGCTACAACCACATTCACCTTGGACCATGATTGATCTCGGCTGACTCTAGTTGACAGGCAGTGCTGCACAGATCGCCCATCTTCTCGGGCTCGGAACCGATAGACCGGGCAGAGAAGACCTGTGGGAGTCGGAAATACGTCGCCGGCGGTTCTGGGCTTGTTATCTCATGCATTGTCATGCCATTGAAACGTGCGCCGTGTTGACATCTGCTGAAAATACTCTGAAGCTCACGTTACCGTGGCCAGAGGAGGATTTCAACGCGGGCACCGCCAACCACCCCAGAGTATGTTTAAAGTCAGGGGGCAGCACTGGCAGCATCTTTGGCGAACTGATCAAAGCCTTGACCTTTTGGTGAGAAACATCCTCCAAATATGCACCAAACCCTGCAAAAAAAAAAAATACACACAACCAGTTCCCAGCCTGCGCTAACTCTCCACTCGAGGTGCGAGGTGAATGCTCTGGTCAAGTCTCCAGAGTCCAGCATCAGCGAGAGACTTCACGCCATCTACGCGCTTGATGATCGGATATCCAATTGGTGGACCAAGCTTCCAAGCTCGCTTCATCTGACAGTTGACATTGTTCCAGAGGTGCCCGACGAGGTTCTTCCCAACCTGTTACTCCTCCACGTTGTGCACCACCAGTGTCTTTGCGCTCTCCATGCTTCAGTCGTGCCTCTGTTTTGCTGGAGTGCAGCAAACGAGACATGGTCCACGGCAAGACAGATGTCCGCGCAGGTGGCCTATGACCACGCCTGTGCTGCTTCGGCCCTCGTCGATGCCGTCCTGTCGACCTTTGCTCGGCTCAGCGCAATACCGAGTTTCGTCGCGTATGCAGCGTACTGTGGCGCAGCCATACAGATTCCTTTCATGTGGTCCACCGAGCCAGCCGTGAAGCAGAGAGCGTACGAGAACGTCAGGGCGAACGTCAAGATGATCTATACTCTGGCAAAGTACTGGAAGTTCGCCGCTTTGTTGGTGTGTCCTGCTGCCCTCGTTTAGTTATATGTCTGGAACGCATGCCGTTGTGTGGACCTGACGGACCAGCTGAACTGACAACCCATCGCTTGAAAATACACAGGAGAGCCACGTGCGCTACATCTACCAGATCCACGCCAAGAGCCCGGTCATTCTCGAAAATGAGCCCAAGTTGATCATTGATTCGAAGAAGCTGATGAGCTTCCGCGGCACCACCGCCGTCCACGCCAGAGAGTCCATCCTCGGACACAACCGCATCCTGTGGAGGAACGGCAATGTCCTGCCCCGGCCGGGCGAAGAGGTCGCGGATCTTGGGGCTGAAGGAGGAGAAGGAGAAGGGCAAGGAGGGAGACGTGGTGAGTCGCTTACAGACCCTCCTCCATCAGCAGTCGAGATTCCCCGGAGGAGAGAAATATCCGAGCCTCAGTCTCAATCAACGCTCTCGCTCCTCCCGGAACCAGCTGCCGCGCCTCTCGCCCAACAAACCCAACCGCCGCCCCCGATCCCCGGAGTTTCGCTGCCCATGCAAGTACCATTACCGTTGTCATCACCATACGCACCACCACCGCCGCCACCGCTGCCGATCATCGAGCAAACACCAGGGCTTGAGCTTCCGAGCCTGGACTTCTTCCGCCCCTTCCACGACCCCGAAATGCTCGATCTCTTCCCCAACGGCCAGGCCATGGACTTTTCGCTCTTCGCCCCGAGTCCTGGGGCGGGTCTCGGCTTTTTGGATCCCTGGCCTGCCACGATCCCAGAGTGAAGCTGAGCTGCGTTGGTGTGGGAGATGGGAGATGAGATATGAGACCTATTGGAATAGGGAGGGCTCAAAACAATCTTAATTCAGGTATGGGATTTTCAAGGTCGTAATTGATAGGACCAGTCAGTGTAGCTAAAGGCAAAGGCCTTTTTTTTTTTTTTAAAAAAAAAAGGTATTCGATATCACCACTTGAGACGGCCCCTTTATAAAAAGGCATGGCCTTGTCATCACCACACAACCAATTAAGCTACCGCGTAATATACGAACAGCAGCCTATCCTACGCCCTCAACTTAGGCACTGCCGGCAAAAGCTCTCATGGCCGCAATGACGGCGTCCTTGATCTGCTCAAAGGGGGCCTTCTTGGACCGCTGCATAATATTCTCTGCCGAGTCTCTCAGCTCGGCGCGGACCTTTGGCCAATCGACGCCGACCAATTGGCCCTGGTGTTTCACCATTTCGCCATCGATTAAGACGGTGTCGATGTCCGAGGCATTTGCATACAGGACTAGCGCGGCGACAGGATCATGCACCGGCGTCAACCTAGTCGAGTCGCATCGCGTAATGATCAAGTCTGCCCTCTTGCCTGGCGTGATGCTCCCAACGACGTCTTTTAATCCAACGGCTTTTGCACCGCCCATGGTGGCCATCTCCAAAACCTCGGCGCATCTTCTGGAGATAGTCCACGGGGGGCCGTCCTGTGCGTAATGTTCGAGGTGTCGTTGGGCTTGAAGTAACAACCGCATTTGTTGAAACATATCGGCGGGGTTGTTCGAGACCACATCGATGCCAATGCTAGCGGTGCACCCCTTGCCTTTTGCCTTGAAGGCAATCGGATGGCCCATACCCATCTGTATTTCAGTGTCGGGGGTGCTGGAGAGGGAAACACCACGTTTGCCAACTGCCTCAAGCTCGTCGTCGTGCAAACTGGCACAATGACTGAACAGAAGATCTGGTCCAAGGAGACTGCGTTCTTCAAAGTTCCGAACTAAATGTAAACCGCGATCGTACTTACCCATCGACACATGACCGGTGATGATGGCTGAACCCAATGATCGACCGTACTCGACTTCCTTGATGGCATCGTCAATGCCCCCGCGTTCGATTTCCGCAGGCGCGAAACCAAAACGAACCAGGTCCGTCGGTTTGTTCGACTTGAATAACGTCTCCCTCACGCGCTTGGCATCTTCAAACCTCCATTCAGGCGTCTTGGTCTCTCGATCCTGGTCCATGCAAGAACCTGGCCAGGCAGGATTGATGTACAATCCATAACAGAAGACCGCTCGGATCTTCGCATCCCTGAGTCCCTTCACCGCGGCATCGGCATGGTCCGGAGAGTTCATAATATGCGAGTGATCAATTAGGAGGGTGATTCCGTTGTCAATACTTTCCAGAGCGCCGCAATAATTCCCCAGGTACGCGTCTTTGTCGCTGTAGCAGGAGCCATAGATGCTGCGGATGTGGAGGAAGTAGTCACCTAGGACGTGGTCCGAGCAGATTGTGCGCAGTTGGGTCTGCCAGGTGTGCCTGTGGGTGTCGACGAAGCCTGGGGAGATTATGGCGTTAGTGGCGTCGATGACGGCGTATTGCTCTGGCGCTGTGGGTGCGAGATTGGGGCCGACGTGGGTGATGATATGGTCGTCGATGAGGACGTCGCAGTTCTCGATCGTGCCCAAAGATGGGTCGATGGAGAGGACGGTGCCGTTTTTGATGTGATATTTGCCGCCCATTGCTGGTATATTGACTTGCGACCTCGAGACCGGAGTAATTGCAATGAAAGGGTCAGAATTCCTACCTTTGTGTCAGCCTTGGTCGAAGCCCTCCCTTATGAACAGCCATCGGTCCTCCATTGCCATCTCATCACCCCCGCTCCTAGGCAGAAGTCAGGCATCATATGCAAATACGCTTCTCTTTGATGGATGTACGCCTCTAGACGGTCGGAAAATTCGGGGAATGCGTGGCACCTGATTTCCCGAGATCAGCGCTATCCGAGTGATCGAAGGTCACGTTAGAGGGTCAATGTGGCATTCGTCCGTCAGGAAATCCAGGGGACAAGGTCACAGGCGTCATCGGTATGTGCAGTAGAGGATTGTGTCAAGGACAAGAATGAGCAACGGAGAGGAGGTGGTTGAAGTTGTAGCGAAAGGAAGAAAGAAGCGCAGGCTGGAACTTGCAAAGCGCAGTTTCGTGACCTACCGGATTCGGTCGCTTTTGCATTTTCCTCAATCGGCTTCATCTTCCCCGTCGTCATCGTCATCGTCATCGTCATCTTCATCTTCATCAACCCATCACTCTTACATGACTCGATGGCTTCGAACCCATGTCCAGTACTCGGTATTCATTCTTCAATACCCAACTCTCAGCCAATTCAACGAGCTGCTTTGGTGGGCGGCCGAGGTTCGCCGATCCATGATCCTCGTTCGCCATGACGTTCCTGCTTCTCCAGCCTGGTGCGCCTGTTGTCTTCTTGTGGACCGACGGGGGGATGATCCCTCGTGCTCCCGAACTTTCACTGACAGAGAAACAACAATCGGTGATCGATGATTCCTTCACATTCACTTGGATCTTGTCTCCCCGTTGGGCGCCAGTCGTCATTGGAAGGAAGGAGCCAAAGGAACCTCGCCTTGAGCGTTCCTGACCACTGCTCCGCAAGTCCCAGAGGTTGCTCGCCGCTGATCTCTGACCCTGGGTGCCCCGGCTGGACTGGCCGTGAGTCGATATTTCTTATTTCGGATTCCTCTGGACTATCTTACTCTTCGTCTCTCTTAGTAGTCTATTGCTTTGGTGTTCGTGATGCCTCTTTTGTGTTAAGTATCATTCAGCACCATCGAACGCAATGTCACAAAATCTCCCTTCAGTGCGAGCTAGTCCCCTCTCATTTGCGTATGACGGGAGAAGAATAAGATCTGTACCTACGCAGGAATCTGTTCCTTTCTCTCTCGCAGGCCCCAGAGTTAGCCATCCGTCGAGAGACCAGCGGAGCTTTGTCAGCCAGGAATATCAAGAATATTGTCCCCAACATGGACAACCATCCCACGAGCCAATTTGGGGATTGGCTGCCCCTTTGCCACGGGTTATGCGTCCAGGAATGCGATCTCGAGCCACGAGGCAAGATGGAGAATCTACAGGCGAGCCAACAGCAACAACAACCGGCCGCCATTCGCGCGAACCTGCGCATCACCAAACATCGACAGGGACACAGCCAGCTCCTCGAATCGAGGTCAGTCCCGCCAGACACAGAGAGCAGGAACATGATCATCCGTCCCGAGCAAGTGCCGGTACTCGATCGTCTGCCCGTGAACCCGATCTCCTGCGCCGAGCCACCACTGCCAACGCATCTTCATATTTGAGCGAGCCTATCGTCCCGCACAATACTCTCCAACAACCCGGCATCCTCGGCACAGAAACGAGGCAGAGGGAACGCCAGTTGGCTGTTGAGAATATTAGTGCGCATGACAAAGCCCCTACATCATCTGCGGAGGGACAGAGAAGAAGCGAGGAGACCCACGGGACTGATATTCGCCGGTACATATCTCCTAGCGGTTCGACAGCCCACGACTCTTTGGTCGCTGGGCACGACTTGGAACGGGGGGTGAGTGGTGAGTCCGCTGTTGAGTTGGCGCGGCGACGACTACAGCAATTGGCAGATACCGCTGGGGACGAAAGTGACGTGCGACGGTATCCACCGAACATCGACTGGGAAGAGTATCATCCCTCAGGAGACACCTTGGTACACCGGTTCTCGCAACCTGAGGAGCCATCTCAACCGGAATTCCACAATGCTTGGGGACCCATAAGACACAAATATCGAAAGCCACTCGCAGAGTTCCTCGGTACCCTGGTCTTCATGACACTCGGTCTGTCGGGATCCATCGTTCATATGACGGCGGGTAGCGACTATGGAAGTCTCCTCACCGCGTACATGGCATGGGGCTTTGGGGTGATGATAGGGATCTACATTGCGGGTGGGATTTCCGGCGCTCATTTAAATCCCACAATCTCACTAGTCCTCGCTATCTTCCGTGGCTTTCCATGGACCGATTGCTGGAAGTATATGGTTGCTCAGTTTCTTGGCAGCATGGCGGCGTCAGCCATCGTCTATGGTCTCTACAATGACGCCATCCAGGCGTACACTGCCTCAGACACTGTTCGTATCGGCCCTGCCTTTTGGACACAGCCCCGTGGAGATTTGAACAATGCCGCTGCCTTCTTCAACGAATTCATCGCCACCGCAATTGCCGCCTGCTCCGTTCTTGCGTTAGGGGATGACGACAACGCACCGCCGGGAGCAGGAATGCATGCATTCATCATTTCCCTACTGGTCATGGTGCTTGGCATGGCCTTCTCCTACAACACTGGCGCCGCTCTCAACCCTGCACGGGACTTCGGGCCTCGTCTGATAATGATGGCCGCTGGCCTCGGTTTCGATGTGTTCAAGCAGGATCAAGGCTGGTGGTTTTGGGGCCCTTGGATCGGTACGATGACGGGCGGGCTCGCAGGTGCAAGCGTCTATGACTTTTTCATCTTTACGGGTGCTGAGTCTCCCATCAACTATGACAGTGATGTCTGGAAATTGCGACTCAAGAGCTCTTGGAAGGAGATAAGGCAGAGGTCCAGGATAGGACGAGGAAAGGATCCGGGTGGGGATGTTAGTAAGGAGATCGATCTTGTTGCTTGATACAAGTGAATGCCGGAATGTATTTTTGATCGGCTTGTGGCGCCGGTGGACTTGGGCATCATTTGTTGTTATGACTGCTTGCATGACTGCTCGTCCAACAGTTCATAAGGCGGGCAGACGGACGAGGCTGAACGAGGCTGAACAAGGCCCCAGATTTCTGTGATACTTCATTAGAGGAGAGGCAACTTTCCCGAGATGCTCTCCCATATCCTCCCTCAACCACTTTCTCGCGCATTTCCCTGCCGCTTCTTTCCTCCAACCCATGCCTTCGGGAAATGGCAGTCACGTTGACGATGGCATTTCGGCCACCAACGTCGCTCTTACCGACGAGTTTGAAGCCTTGAACTCGATCTATGGTCCGGATACTGTTGTCCTCCGAGCTGCCACTGGACCCTCCATCACCGGGATTCTGCGCCTGCCCGGATCGGAAATCTCCTTGCTCATCTCCTTCCCGGTTGACTACCCTGATGTGCCTCCCGAGGTATTAAAGACACAGTCAACGGGTGATAGTGGGCGAAAGGGCGAGGGGGAGGTCGCCGTGCACATCGTTCGCGACGTACTGGCGAGGGTGTGGACTGAGGGTCAGGTGTGTTTGTTCGATTTGGCCGAGGAGGCCGGTCCTCTGCTCTCCCAGAGGCAAAATGAAGGCGAACACGGTGAACTTGCGACGACTCAGGCTGTCGAGCAAGACACTACGGACACGAATAGGTCTGCTGCCTCATCCTCGCACACGCATGCATCAATTCACCATCATGACCACGCTCTCCCTGCTGACCACGGCTACGACCCTCCCAATACCATGGACATTCCGTCTAACGCCGCCATAGCCTCCTCATCAGATGCACCCCCTCCGAATTGGACCCTCTCCGATCCACTTACAGTCAACAAGTCCACCTTTGTTGCGCGGGCCTGCCCCGTGCGGTCCCTGGACGAAGCGCAATCCTCCATCTCGCACCTCCTCTCCTCCAACAAAAAAGTCGCGAGTGCTACGCACAACATAAGCGCCTGGCGCATACAGTCGGCTAATTCACAGACCGGCGCGGTGATCACGGTCCAGGACTCGGACGACGACGGCGAGACCGCCGCGGGGGGTCGTCTCCTGCATTTGATGCAGCTCATGGACGTGTGGAACTGTATGGTGGTGGTGACGCGGTGGTACGGCGGAGTCAAACTTGGGCCGGACAGGTTTCGATTGATTAACCAGGTCGCGAGGGAAAGTTTGGTCAAGGGCGGGTTTGCGAGGGACCATGGAGAGGTGAAGGATAAGGACAAGGAGACGGGCAAGACAAAAGGAGGGAGTAAAGGGAAGGGAAAGAAGTGAGGAGTCAAAGGCACCTAGACGAGAATTGGATGGTGCCGATGTAGACATCGACGTTGAAAAGCCCAGGGGTTGGTAGATACGGATCGGCATGGATTGGATGATAGGAAATTTAAAAGATGGATGGCATATACAGAGCAACTCCTTCTCCTTCTCCTTCTCCTCATAATCATATGCCATTCTGTCCGTCTTCCGACACACATCCCCACGAGCGACGAGAATACATTACACAATCGAAGCGGCTTCAAGGCGGTGGCGGTATATAGGGAATACAGCGTACTCCGTCCGTCAAGAATCGTCGATACCCCCTATTCTCGCACGCACACGAACACGCGCACACGCTGTGCTTGTAATACTTTCTTCTCATTGGCACGTGAATCGACCGTCAACGACGAGATGAGACGAGATGAGACGAGACGAGACGAGACGATGTGGACAACTGCGCACGTATACATATATACATAGATATGTGGAGGGGCAAGGGCTGTCCCCCACATCGATCGTCACATTCACAATCACATCACATCCTGTCTTTAACAGCGGTGGCATCACAAGACAATGCCCTCCGCGCGCGCGGCAGCAAGCCGTCTGCGCGCGCTCTCTGCCGCCCTCCGCATCCTCAAGTTCCCCTGGAGCTGATGTTCCTCTTGGCCTGTGACCCCAGCCCCAAGGTCCCTCCGTCTCACGGCGTTGGAGATGAACTGGCTTGGCTGGCCAAAGTCGGGCGTCCCGCCCAGCGTGGCGAAGATGTCGCCTACGTAGTTTGTGGCAGGCACGCCCGTCGCAAAGGTGCTGGTCCAGCCGGCGAGGATGCCCTCGACGACGCGCACGCCGGCCAGATAGATGTTCTGGATGGCCGGCGTGAAGCCGCCCTGGTCGACGTACAGGAGGTTCTGGATCTGGCTTACGCCCGGGGGAGGGCGGTCAAAGTCCGAGGCCGTGCGCATGACGATTACGCGCGAGAAATCCGCCAGGTTCTTGGCAGCGGCGCGCATGATGGCTTCCAGGCTCGCGTTGTCCTCCTGCGCCGTCGTGCAGTAGATGCCCGACCCGTTGGTCCAGATGGTCGTTGTGTTTTCAAACGCCTCCGACAGGTGCGTCCCCGAGTAGTACACGTCCGAGGTCGCGACGTCGCAGCCCAGAACGCTCGGCGCCTGCGCCCCAGCGGCGTATATGGATGCCTGGGCATATTTGGCTCGGTACTCTTGACTGGCCGCCGTGTCGTTGAGTTTGGCGCCGGAAGCGAGGCTGATGGCCACGTCTCGGAGGGCCTCGTTGACCTCGAACACCTCAGTCCCATAGATCCTAAATGAGTGATTATGTATGTTAGCCTCTTCTCTGCATGTTCCCCACGTTCCTGACACCGAGTTTGAGCAACGCACGTTGTGGGATAGTCGTCTGGAGCGGTCACACCAAATGGGATATACCCGCTTGTGAAATTCGAGGGCATATCTCTCATGTCGAACTCGTATTGCAACGCGACCTGGACCGCGTATTTGGCAAAGGTCACGGCTCCAAGGGTCGCCACCTTTGGATTCACCCCCGCAATTCCGGCAACCATGAAGTATGTTTTGGTGAGGTCGAACTTGGGACTGTGCACAAAGGCGCTGATGGTTGAGGCCGCGTTGATTTCCGACTCTCCAGTGACAACCTGACAGACATCACCTTTGGCGGTACAGTGGACCTCGGGGAAAAGAGGGGAGAGACCGGGGACTGTGATGTTCTGTGCCAGAAGATCGAACTCTTTAATGCCGTGCCAGACTTCTGCTTCGGGGGCAAACATGCTGATGATGACGACTTTGGGGGAGATGGGTGCAGCTGGTCTGCCAACATTGGTGCGTCTTTCTATGGGGGACGCCAACGATGTCGAAATCAGACTTGCTGCTGCAAGGAGCAGCTTGAGGAAGCTAGAGATATGCATGGCAGACAGATTTTGGGAGAACTCGTCTGCCAGAACTTACGGCACGGCCCAAGACAGCTTTCTCTGCTCGAGCACGCGAGCAGGAGGAAAAGTTGATCGCGGAGACTTACCGCAAGAGAGGGATGGTACCTACCTTTTGTTGCCCACGCTGGGAGCTTCAAGCTCCCATCATTCTTCGGTAAGAGCTGCTGCTTTCGTGCATCAAGGAGTTGGGTGATCAACGTCCTCGGCCCATCGACTCCCATCGACTCCCATCGGAGGTGGGCGGCTTGAAAGGGATGACGACGAGCCGCAGAACTCTGGTGGATGGCTCGTCCCCGGGGACCTTGGGTACCTTGCTTAGAAGCTTGAATGGACACAAGCAACCGGACCAGCAATTGGCCATGGTTAAGCATGTTCCTGGAAGATCGGGATGTTATCTCTGCACGGTGTAGATGGACTGGGTCGACCGAGGGTTGTTTATGCAGATCTAAGTTAGCTTTGTGCCCGGTTTTGTGCCAGCAGGCTCTCAATCCCACGCCGTTATCTACGCAGCGGCTAGGCTTGGATTAGAAGCTTGCTGCCATCTTCGGAGCTCTCATTCAGTACGTGATAAGGAAATAATGAGACTCACAAAGCAACAGCCCAGCGGCACACGTACCTTTTGCTGACCAACAAGGCTGAGGAAACTCCCTTCTTGATTAGATGAGGCGGGGTCGAGATTAGCATTCGGCAAAGCAGCTCGGCGGCGAAGCGAGTGGTGTTTGGCAGCTGATATCAGGGAGAGAAGCTCGCTGTTGCAGTGGACAAAGTGGATAGCAGACTTGCAGAATAGGCGAGCTGCGAGATGCTGGAGATGCGGTAGAGGCCGTAGAGGCCGAGACGGCAGAGAAGCTGCGATAAGCTTTTCTTTTTCTTAACCGACAGAGCGACCTCTTCTTATCGCGCCCTCGACGTCAGATGCCACGCGCCCAACTGCTGCGGTAAGTACCGAGTAGAGGTCTATTCAGTCTATTTCTAATCTCGCAAGCAACCAGGGTCCTATTGCCTCGGAGGGACAAGGAAACAGATCATAAAGAGGCCGGGAAACTCATTCCCACAAGCACAGCCCTGTACTCGACATCGCCGTGAGCGTAACTCAACCCGCAAACGCCTCCAGGCTCAAGCATCATCTCTATCTGGGCGTCCATGTCTAGCTTCAGCCATCTCTTCACAAACGCTCGTAGGATATGGCCATGCGCCACAACCACGGCGTCACATTTTCGATCCCCCTTCTGCAGCCCTTGCCTGTGCATCCATGTCACCTGGGATATAAGCCGGTCTAGCCGCTCCGTGACTTGGGCTGGAGAGTGGCCTCCAGGACCCTCACACCCGTCCCGCCAGATATCCCAGGGCCGATCCTTGTCCAGACCCCTAGATTTGCGAAGTTCTTCGATCTGATGCTGCAGGAGGCCTTCGTAGTCGCCGTAGCCCCATTCCGCGATGTCTTCGGTCGTATTGATCTTCTCCTTGAGCGCTGTCCGTGCGCTCGAGTCTTGGATTTGATCCAACAGTAGTTGAAGCGTCCGTTGTGCGCGTTGTCGCGGGCTGCAGGCGATGTACGCGACTTTGCTGGGGTCGATCAAGCGTCCAGGACCGAACACCACGGAGGCTGTTTGGCGGACCTTCTCTTCGCCTTCTGGAAGAAGAGGAAGGTCGGTAATGCCCGTGAACCGCCCATTACGAGACCATTCAGTTTCACCTATTCAGGGTGGCTTGCGTAAGCACAAAATGCGGGCTGTCGAAGAAGAGGAGAAGAGACAAATATTTGTCCGAGAATAGCACGACAGTCGACCCCGCGCCACAGGGCCGAGGGCATCTCAAAACAAGGCACAAAGAACCTTACCGTGGCGTATTAGGAACAATCGAGGTGTAGCGGCGTCTTTGTCGGACATGCTGGGCCAAAGCCACAAAAGCAGTATTCGGCTCGACCACAGAATCCTTCAACGTCGGGAGACCTAAGGAAGCACCGTCGTCTCGTCGGCTTGTCGTCTCTGAGCAAGCTCGCGAGCCAAATTGAAAGATGTCTCACACAGCCATCCACCTGTCCCACTTCTGGCTCCCGGAATCCTGTCCTCTATTAGATGCGGCAGTCGTTGTTGGGAGACAGCTCCGGGCTGAAGACGGCAAGCGCAAGAGCAAACAGTTAGAAAGTTCTACCAAGAGTGGTAAGCGTAACTGAACAATCTGGAAACACGTCTATCGTTCTAGGGGGCAATCAAGGAACAGCAGAAGAATAGGAATCTATGAATCTAGGTGTTGAGGAAGATGGGAAAAGGGGACCCGGAGCCTCAACGAAATTCTACCGTTTAACTGAACAGTAAGCAAATGCCTTAGTCAGCTCCTTTGCACGGCTTGACGCTTTCCTACACTGGGACCTTGGACCTTGGTGCCCATCACCCTGCAGCAGATCTCTCCACAAATTAATCTGTCCTAGTCCCCTTTGCGCGGTCCTTTCTACCACGTGGGGGATTCAGAACACTCAGCAATGATGATGACGAGAGTTGATGCCAAAGGAGACATCAAAGAAAGAAGCCGCTGACACATTCCCGATTCCCAGCCACCCAACGGGACTTCGTGGAGGACTCCGCTGCCACCTTTAGGCACCCATCCCTGGATAAGTGGGCGTCCTTTCGGTGGCACCATAGTTGCATGAGCAGTTGCACAACTATGAGTATGTGCTTGGGGGGTGAGAAACGTTCCGGGAGGGGGGAAGGGCCGCATTAGTTCCGGGCATGAGGACCTAGTTGCGCTTTCTGGGCCTCGACAGTGATCGGCATTGAGTGCACGCCTGAGCGACCAAGGAGGCTTGAGCACGCGTTAGAACGTACCCGAGCAAGGACAGCAATGACAGGTCGCCGTGCGCTTTTGATGGGTGTTGACACTACGAAGACAAGAAGGGGAAAACGCTCAACGCCACTGGAATACAATTTTCCTTCTGGGAGTCGAGGGCGATCTTTCTTAACGCCACGTTCTGTTTTGGAAGTGCATAGACGAGCCATAATGCCTGTTGAGAGGTGTCGCAGATATCTCATTTGCACTCCAAGTCTGCAGCCGGAAACAGTGATGGTCGATACAAAGGCACGGGTCTGTCGAGACGGTGTGATCCCTCGTCCCCTGCCATGCCGGATCCAATGCAATTTGTCCTTGAATTTCCTCGCTATAACCCGCAACAAATGCATTCCATGCTATGCTTGTCCCAATCACAAAACCTATATACCACAAGGTCGTCAAGGTCATAAGAATCATTCGATCTGAGGGACAAATGCCCGGTCTTTCAAGTGCTGACGCTTTTATCGATCATCCAAGTTTTCCCATTCGCCTCTTCCTCAATGACAAATGCCTCTTTGGCATACTCGTAGATGGATCTATATGGCGGCCAAAGGGATCGAGCTTCATCCGTCAATTTGCCAGCTTTGGTTTTGCGAGACGCCTCGTTGCTGCTTCTTCCTGTAATCGTATCATTGCTGCCTTTGCGCCTTATGTCGTACTCAAAGTCAGGCCCGGGAAAGTAAGGGGCATTGTACTCTCCAAAGAGGATTTCGATACCCGCAAGCTGCTCTCGGTATCCGTTCGGGATGGGCACTTTCACCTCAATACGTTTTTGGAAAACATATTTGCACGGTCGCTCTAGTGCTTTTTCAAATGCCTGGCAGACTTGGATCGGTGAGAGCATCTCAAATGCAAGAGCGATCCTAGTGATTCAGATTGTCAGGCCCAAATTGTTCTCTCGTTTCTCATACTCGACCTCGCCAAAAATGGTGGTGATCGACCAGTCCATGTAACATCGGAAAAGTTTTCCAGGGAAAACCCTTCTATGAGGTCTTGACTCCTCGAGGAGGCGCAGACGAGCCCGTGTCACACAGAATCGAGCGAGTGTGGTAGAGAAAACTCGTTGTAACGTACCTGTGCCCATTCCACTTGCCAGGTCCATCTTTGAAGATCTGCAAAACAGCTGGCCCGACGTCGTGCTCTGCATCTAGCCATGGTAATTTGGTATCTGGATGAAAAGGTGCGCGCCATTCGAGAGTTCCATCGTCCTTGAAATCCATGCAGAACAAAGGGTACGGTAAGCTGGTGAAGTTGTTGTTATAGATTCCAGCATAGACAAACGTCGCTGGGAGGCCAAGCTGCCGAATGTAGTTCTCAACTGTAAACTTGCAGGCCCAAAGGGGAAGAGCCGGCCAGCGTGGATTGTGGATTGAATGATCGGGCATGCTGCTATAAATGAAATGCTGTATGTTGCGCTTCTTAGCCGCATTGGCAAGGGCCTTGCCTATCTTGATCTCATCGCCACCCAGAGGATTGGTGTTTATGAAGGCAATCTGAGCACCTTCAAAGATTGTGTCGATGAGGACTTGGTTGTTCAACAAGGGTCCCTCGAACAGACTGACATTTGGTAAATCGGCAAGCTCCTCAGCCACCAGACCTTCTATCGAATGGACCTGGGCCCGGACAGCATAGCCGACGGCTGTGACTGCCCGAATGACTGACGCAGCCTGACGACCTGTACCGTTGACAATGGCAATGGTCTTGTTTCTATTGGGCATGTGGCGCATATATGCCTAGAGAGGTCAGACAGTCAACGCCTGGATCTGAAAATTTGGATGGGACGATGGGCCTGTGAGTTTGGCGCAAGAATAAAGTAATATTATAACCGTGCGAAGGATCAAGGGATCATCAAAAAAGAATCTGCGTTGGCTAACAGCGTTGTCAGTAGGGCCAAGATAGAATAGAAAAGGGAAATTAGGACCACACCGTACTTTCCAGAATGTTTTTTGGTATCATGCGATTAGAGGACAACCAGAAAAACCCATTCCGCCATAACGGGCAAGAGAGTACTAGAACTCCGTGCGTCAATTCGGTCCCATTATTCGAGGACCCTATGGGTGCGCAAATTCTGCGACTTGTGTGAAAAGGTCTATCACCGCCAAACCTGATGCAGCTTATCCTTTACGTAACCGGAGTGAAATGTAGCAGCGGGGTGCTGGGTCCATCGCTGAGCACGACATTAGGACGGATTCAAGTGCCCGCCCGTAAGGAAGAACAACCCGAATCCATCATTTCTCTTCGAAATAGATTCCATTTGTTGGGGGGGCAACACACAACAATGCCGCAGGAAGGTGACGAGGAGGTGAGAGCCGACTGCCGCCATACGGCTGGTCTGTCAGGCACAGCTGGCAAATGAAATGCGGGGGCGCGCTGCCAGGTTATGAAAAGGCGGGGGAGAAAGTGGCAACCAGCTCAAGGGTTGCGTCCGGCTTTACACTGTCCCAAGCTGGGTTCGGCTCGCCTAGTTCGATACCGGTCCAGGTCTTCGTCAGTGGCGCCTTTACCCGATGGCCTAGGGTCAACGGGTGACCATGTCATTCAGATGAAGCAGGTAGTCGGCGGGTGTCGCAGGTATGACTGTCTGGTTCCAAGTGTCCCAATCCTGCACTGGTGGCTCCAGCTCTGAGGACAACATAAGCCGCTGTTGGCGGGTACCAAGGTTAGACGTGTCAATCTCGACCCCGGACACCTCCGCGGCCCCATTGTGTTGGAGTTGTCGCAAGCCTGTCGAGCAATGTCGTGAGTTTTGTCGATCGGACGATTGGGTTGCTAGGTGTCCTCATGGCTGGCCATCTCCTGTTTTAGCGAGTGCAAGCAGTAGCGTCCCGTATTGCCACGAGGCATGAATGCCAGCAGAAACCATTGTATCTTCCAGGTGATCTGGCATTGTTTCCCAGAGGGGAGTTCGGGCCTGGTGTACTTAGCCCCAACCCTCAGTAGCACCCAATGGGCGGCCAACGGGGCACACCAACATGGCGGTTGTGGGAAACCATGTGCAAGAACGGCTGGAGGCTGGAAAAGTTGCGCTAGGGCCTGAGGGTGCTCTTGGACGCCCATTTGAAACCCGCATCTCCAGGTCTTTTAGGGCACTTCCAGGCCCGCCTGTTTCCACACCTCGGGTCGTTGGCTCGCGTGGAGTCTTGCCGTCTCCAATTCTTCGGCATGGAGATGTCCGCCCGCCTGTCTTAAAAGCATTACGTGCGGTAATAAGCCAGCGTTGGCAGCCAGAAAAAGAGGTGTCCTGCCTGAACCGGTGTGGTTGCGGATGTGTACCCTGTAAAAGACCTTTTAGCCTGTATCGATATGGACAGCATCAGACGACAATGACTTGTACTTACGATGCACCCAGTGAGAGCAGATGCCGAAGGATGGCAATATTGGGCCCAGTTGCCGCAAGATGAACGGGCGTGTTTCCGGAGTAGTCGGCCCGGTTTATCAGTTGGTTGTCGTTGCGAAGGATGTCTTTCACTTTCTCAATATCTCCACTGGCAGTCGCGTATGCGATTGCTGTAAGCTGAGCGACAGGGGATGATAACTCGCCAGTCGGATGTTTGAAAATGGTACCCGCGTGCTCCGAAAGCTCACCACGAATGGATGTCGCCATGTCTTTGGCTACCGATTCTGGCGAGGCTCCGGGAAGGGCCAGAAGGTAAGACAGTTTGGTCAAAGCTGCTTCGCTTGTCATATCGCCGCCCGCAACAACGCCAGCTCGGCCAAGGACCATTCCAGGTGCATAAAGCGGGTTGACACTGCCAGTCAAACATTGAGTGACGTTCACAATCACAATGCCACGTTGAACAGCGTCAGAGATGACCTGGGTCAATTTGTTGTCGTGTCCACTGGGGGCGTTGCCGGCACCAAATGTCTCGAGGACAAGACCACGAAGGCCTTCGGTCCGCAGAACAGCTTCTACCATTTTCGGTTTGATGCCCGGGAAGATGCGCAAACAGGCCACATGGTGTATCTCAAGGTCTGATTGAATGCTAAAGGCTTCAAGTGAGGTTGACCTTTTGACAGAGTTCCATTCAACATGGGTACCCACTGCGGTGATTTTGGCCAATGGAGGAAAGTTCGGAGACGCAAATGCATCAAATGCGCTTGCAGATACCTTTGTGGTTCGATTGCCCCGAAACAAGGTCGAGTTGAAGCAGAGACAAACCTCGGGGATCATGAAGTGCCCAGCTATGTCCAGGGAGTCGAGGAGGTTCTCGAGAGCATCATTTTTGCGCTCCGAGAATGGTACCTGGGATCCTTCGAAAAAGTCAGCTCCGGCCACACACATGTTCCGTCAAAGCCAGTCAACTATTATCTTCTTCTCCATGTGACAGAGATTGTCACCGACAATGCCTCGAGAGAGTTGTGCTAGACGGTCGTCCCGGAGCAGAATCCCCGTCCTACAGCAAGATATGCTGGTAACTCAACTTACCCGTGAGTATGACAGGCTTGCCCAGGTTTTGCAACATGAAACTAAGAGCTGAACAGGTGTATGCAAGACTGTCAGTGCCGTGAAGAACGACAAAGCCGTCGAACAACTTGTAGTTGCGAAATATCGTTTGCGCAATCTCGGCCCATCCCTTGCTGTCGATGGAGGATGAGTCGAGAAGTGGTTCGAATTCCAGTACGGCATATCTGTGGAAGTATTAGCAACGCCTCAATTTCCCCGTTTTCTGCAAGGCGAGTTTCGATGCGTTATGCGAGGAAGGTCTGGGATTTTGAAGATGGCTAACTTTCCTGACACGTTTCCCGTAGACGCTCGTTGGCGTCCGCAAACTCTGGAACTCGCCCAGTCCACCGGGCCCATCGTGAAACCTCACAGAAATGGGATCATGGGTCTCTCCATCGTTAAATTCCGGTCGAGGCGCCATGCATCTTTCCAAAAAGTTTCGCGCGGGAATAAGACCGTTGGGAGACCTTTGCATGGAGATAGTACCTCCGGTCATGATTATCAAAACCCGAGCTTCGGGAACATGGCACGAGGACATATTGCTCATCACTAGGGACACATCAGTTTTGGAGGGGAAACCAAAACTTGTACAACATACTTCTCGTTAGAGCCAATTCACCATCTCTCTCTACTGATGGTTAGACAAGCCTGCAGATCTGATGACCACCAGACTTACCCGCTGTCGTCATAGCCGTCACATCCATCTTTCGCGGGATATAGTCTCTTTAACTGTCCCTCATACAAATGTACATCATCCCAAGTTTTCAGCGCCGCCTGAAAAAAATTTCTTTTGGATGTCCAAAGCCCATTCGATGTGCACTAAGCACTCCGAACCCCTGGTCGGCCTCACAAGGGGGAAACTTTAGGCAACTCGCCTACCAGCGGCTATCAGCGAGGATCTGCGGTACGCTAAGTGCAAACTCTGCGGGAGCCTTTGGATTGGCTCGTTGCGGAGATCCATCGACGCTTTGGTGCTCGCTGTGTGGCTGCGGTCCCGACCCCGTCTTTCCTTCTTATGTCGGTTCGTTCGTAGGACACAGATTTCTCGAAGGAAACAACCCTGGCATAAATCAGCTGAATCGGTGTCCGGCCTCCCACCGAGAACTCCTATTTGGGCGTTGACTAAGGCAGCACCTTCGCCCAAATTAGCGCAGCCCCGCGAATGTGCTCAGTAAACGCCGTCGTCTCAGGGCATCTTTTTGCGACGACTTTCGTTTCTTCTTCCTTCCCTCTCCACCTCATGCGCCGTTGCCGTTGCCGTTGCACCTCAGCCTTAATAGGGGTGACGCGAGGGATGGTGTCGTTTTCTTCACACGCGTACATATTCCCACATTCCCGCTGGCCGTGGCATGTCAAGCGAGCGTTTTGGTTGACGTTGGAAGCCATTTGAAGCCGCAGCTTCCAATCGAGCTGCATTTTCGCATCTCCAGCCAGGGTCTGGTACCTCTGCGGAGATTAGCATGCGGCAACGTGCAGCAGCGATGACAAAAAAATGCCATACCACACGTGCAACAACAAAGAGATCAGGTAGATGAAGCACGACCGTCTTGACTTCTCCTGCATACCTTTGGATGGCCGCTTATGCAGGAAAAAGGAAGGCAGCCAGCAGGAATTGAGATTTCAGCTGGCGCTCAACCATGGTTCTGCCACTGCTGCAGACCCTCAGGCTGGGTCTTCTATGCGACGGGAATCGAACGAATGGAGACAGGCGCAAACGAATGACCACTTCTGTAAGATGAGCAGAGGAGATTGGTGAAGCAGTCTTTGTTGGCCATGGTCTTATTGTGTGCATTGCAGTATCCTTGTCCTTTGTGGATTTATTGCGCATTGCCTCCTGGTGTGGGTGGTTTGCACATCATCCACGTCCTCTCCTTTGCGATACCAGCGACTTGTGCTCTCGGTGAGCTGTTGAAAGACATACCTTGAGAAAGCCGCCGTAGCTGGCTGACCGAGGCAGTTTCTCTTACTCCCAGCCCGTGTATAGTTGATTTCTTTTCACGACCTTTCCCAGCTCTCTACAACCTTTTGCGCCTTCCATGAAGATGGTCCGTGAGTGAAGATGAGAGGGAATTGACCAAGTCGGCGACCGGGAGATACTGTGTCACTGGGAGCGGATTCACCAACTGAAGTAAACAGGTCAGGAGGTGATTGCGGTTGGGCTGGTTGGCAGAACCGACCTCGTCAGCGCAGGTCGGTTGCAGGTCGGGTCAGCGGCGGTAGCCAAATAGTGACAAGGAGAGAGGCAATTAGCACAACCGGGTCAAGTGCGAGAAGGTCGACGGTGAGGTGAGGTGAAGTGAAGGTCAGGTGAGAGGAACAAACAAGCAGGGCGTATGCCTCAGCCAGAATTTTACAGTGGTAAGTGGTCGCATGCGCCTTCCTCCCAACTACATGTGCTCGCTAACTTGAACTGTTGACTTGCTATCGTCCGCCTCAGTCTCGCCTCTTGCGTCCATTCTTTCATCTCGCAAACCCTCACTTTGCCCTTTGTCTGCCGACATCTCACACTCCTTTTTTATCAATCAGTCCATCATTATTTTCCCCCCTTTACACCATTCGTTCATTACTCCTCGAGCCTCAATCCTTCCAACCGATCCCTCACTCGTCAACCACCTCAATCAACAACTCTATCACCGCCATCAATCACTCCTTCGCGACCCCAAACAACAAGCCCACCTCGTCGACGTGATGGCCAACGCCAGGGTCAAGCTCAAAGCCGACGCCGTCAGCCCCGCGCCCCGCTTGATTCTCCTCGCACTCCTCTTCCTCTTCTCCCCGGCTCATGCCTTCTTCCGTCACCTCTGCCATGGTGAACTTGGAAACGGTCGCGTCGACCCCATCATGGCCCCTGGGAGTCCCGCTCAACATCTTCACGTTATGTTTGGTGCTTCCAGTGAGTTAAGAATGACGCGTCGCATGAAATAAAAGTACGTTGCTAACCCGTCGCTACAGACATGGGACTTGATCCTACCCTCGACGAACTTCTGGCTTCCAACTGCACTAGCTGTTCTATCCTCCAAGATCATTCCGTCTACTGGAGTCCACGCATGTACTTCCAACATCCGAATGGCACACTCGAGATGGTTCCAACTGCTGGCGGACTGACTGCGTAAGGAATGATTCTGCCGGAACCCCTTTCGGGACGCTAACAGGGCCGCCAGGTATTACTTTACTGAGCCGTCTCCGATCGAGTCGTCTCCTGTTGTTGCATTTCCTCAGAACTTCCGCATGATTGCAGGTAACTCTTTGAAGCGCGCTTTCCATGGCCCGGTTCCAGATCCACCAATGTCAAACTGGCAGCCCAGCGACATGACCCAACAAGCACTCATGGAGAAGGCTCTCGGTTTCAACTGTCTGAATTATGACCTTCCAGCAGAAGGCGCACGACAGTATCACTATCTCCGCAACAAGACTTTCCTTGATGCCACATGTGCGGACGGAGTGCGCGCAGAACTCATGTTTCCGTCATGCTGGAACGGAAAAGATTTGGATAGTGCAAATCACTCAAGCCACGTGGCGTATCCAAACGAGATCCAGAATGGGAAATGTCCGGACGGATATCCCGTCCATTTGCCTGCGTTGTTCTATGAGACCATCTACCAAACCAATCTTTTCAAGGGCATTGACGGGGAGTTCACATTTTCCAATGGTGATCCTACCGGTTATGGCTATCACGGGGATTTCATGTGCGCTTGGGACGAAGGAGTATTACAAAGTGCCATCGACGACCCAGTCTGCAATCTTCCGGTGGGGACTTCGGGCAACCAGAACGACTGTCCAATCTTCAAGCTCCAAAATCCAGATGACGGTACACAATGCAAGATGGAGGTGCCTGAGGTCCTTCAAAACGAGCAAATCAACTTCGTCCAACAGCTACCCGGTAACGTGCAAATCCAGTCCGGACCTGCGCCTGCCACAATTGGGCCAATACCGAGTGCTGCAACACCGGCCGCGCCCTCCTCACCAATCGCAAACACCACAATGCCATTTCCAGTAGGACAAACTCCTGAACCTACGACTCTGATGCCTACGTCTGCGTCTGCTGCTACCTCAATGACAACTCCATGCACCTCTAGCAGTCGATTCACTACCACAACCAGCTATACGAGCAACGGTGTCATGGTCAATCTGATCCTGGTTGAGGAAGTTGTGACTGTCACCTTGGTAGACGGCGCCAGTCCTACAGCAGAAATCCACAAACGTCATACGCACAAGCATGGCCGCAGAAATGGAAGAGGTCGGCTGTAAGGGTGGTTATATGTGATTATAGCCCTTCGCCCAGGCGGCTCATTATTTGGGTATCCAGACAACCCCTGAAACCTTGTCTTGGAAATTATCCTTCGAAGGGAAAATGACGAACATTTCCACAACGCTGCCCGGCGCAGCTACGAAATTCATGATGATCAAATGAAGGTGAAAGAAAATATGCCGGTGGTGAGCTTGGTCGCTTCTACATAGGACAAATCCGAAAGAGAGTTGGGATTTGCGAGCCGGTTCTGATAGCTGATGAAGGGTCAAACATGAAATGTAATGATGAGATGAAACTTGTGTCGGCGATGTGATTGCGAGGATTGTTCGAGGGACAATGGCGGGTAGGCTTCTTCCTGTTCGTTGTGGTCTCTACGGCCGGCTTAGGCTGGATCCCATCATCACACCTGTACTTTAGCTGCACGAGCGAGACAGCAAAGCTACCTGACAATAACCATGACCCTTGAGAATTGAATCTTTCAACCCGTGACTCGATCCTGGCCACGTGTAGTATGCACTTGTAGGTCTACTTGGACAGAGTATGGAGGAGGGAGTAGTATATTACTCGCGGTCACAGAATACCGGGAAAATAACGCAGATTGACCCGGGCCTGCCGACCGTCACATGACCATTGTTTGTGCGACAACGACTTTCGCTACTTGGTATTCATCTTAGAAACCTTCCTGTCACATTCGATCGCAAATAATCTCGTCAAAGTTCTTACTACTGTGTGTATCACTCACTATCCTAATCGCACACTGTAGGGACCGCAAATTCCAAGCCCTTGAGGAAATAATGTTTTCAACGACAACTACGTCGACCTCGACGAGGAAGACAGCAGGGGACATTATCGCGTCGGCATCGCGGCCGGGCAAGTCGGTGCACGCGGGCTCCCAGGAGGAGCACCGTAACGACTACCGCAAGAGACTGTGGTGCGAAACGCAGTGGACGAACCTAAGCATGCAGGCCAAGAAGACGCACGAGCTGCCCACTCTGCCGTACTTTGATCCGGAGACCATGTTGTTGAGCAAAGAGGTTAATGCCCGCTTGTGGGGACAATTGGTACGTACAAAGCAAGCGAAGACACACACGGGCCTGGTTATTGTCATTTTCTCTCTACCCATTCATTTCTTTCATTCAACAATTCCGGGGGAAGGAGGAGGAGCTGGGACTTTGTCGTCCGCTTTCACCGTTCTATATGTCACAGCCGCGGAGGGAGGGAGGGAAACTGTGGCATCCCCTGCTTCTTATTCCTCTCTATTTTGCCTTTCCCGCCCTGCGTTGTCCTCTGACTTTCCCACTGATACCCACCACAGAGCCGATTATGGGACTACCTGGGCCCCGAGCGGGCTCCGTACGCCACGCCCGTCATGGTCGAGGGCGGAGAGGTCAAATGGCATTCGTTCCTGAATGGAAATCAAGGCGATGAGGCAGATATCTTCGACAAGGAGCTCGACGCCTTTATGAGCCGCAGCCGAAAGCCCGGGGAGTATGATGGATGAATTCATGAGAGAAGAGGTTGTTGATTCGCAGAATACTCCAGATTAGGCATGGGCGCATGGTCCACGAGGGGTTTAAAGTCCATAAGAATACGGGAGAATCAAAAGGGGTTGTTCAACCAGACATTCAAAGACAAAAGGACTCTCTCTCTCTCTCTCTTTCTCTCTCTCTCTCTCTCTCACACACACACACACACACACACACACATACTTTGTTGTTGTCTATGATCACGATAACGACGATGACGACGATGCTACATATATCCATGATCTAACCATCTAGGCTGGTCCAGGCTAGTCTCGAGGACTCCAAGCTCCCGCGCAATCGAAAGAAAAAGAGCTTTGCTTTTTCACCAACCTCCAAGAATGCTCGATGTACATGCCTCCCTTTCCAGAAAGCCCTGGGTGCAACATATCCTGGGGGGAGCAAATAAGGGATTCGGGCGTGCAGAAACTGACAGCAGAGAAAATCTAGGTTTGCCGAAACACCAAGTACGAAGCACCAAGCGCTAAACCTGTCAGGCTACGAATGACAAGATCAAGGTGACCAATATACTCCGTACAGGAGGGGCAACTGCAAGTGTCACTACAGTTTCAGGGGGATGGATTTGAGCCTAAATACGAAGGAGAATAGGATGCAACAGAATACCAGGCCCACTTCCCTTTCCTTCCTGGTGTGGGACAAAAGATGCTTCTTCAATTGTCCTTTTTCGGTACAATGTCAAACTTGTTCTACCCCGGAGACCTCCCGTACATCTGGCCGGTGATCACATATGCATGACCATCCATCTGTCTTCCCAATAGCGTATCCATAGCCCTGTACACGCAACCACTTTTCGATCTGCAAAGACCTCGTCAAGGGTGCAGAGAGTCCGGCGCCTCGAAATACCACGAATCGTCGCTCCCAAGCGTTATCTCCACCCTGCAATTGCGCGGGCCGGGGATTGTGATCTTGTTTCCCGCCACCGTGGCCGAGCGCCAGTGGACATCGAGCGCTTGCAGGAACATCTCGGGGCGGTGGAAGGGGAAATCCCCGCGGCGGTGACAGACGTATTCCTCGACCTCGTGCAAGATACTGTCCTTACCCTTCGGAGAGCACAACAACCTCGCTCCATCGGAATCCAGAAAAGTGCCTTGCATGGAAAAGCGATCTAGATGGGTCTCTTTGTTCAGAAACAGGATCAACTTGATCGCCAATGCCAGAATTCCTCCGTTCGGCGACGACGGCGTGCCAGCAGCGCCGATCAGGCGGATGTTGATGATGCTAAGTGATCGGAGCGGCTGTGAGTGCTGCGCGATGAAATCGCACAGGACGTTCAAGCGGACCGCCGTATTTTCTAGAGTGAGGCTATTCAATCTGGGTAAGGAAGTCTCATGGTTTGAGGAGGAATGGAGCAGCAAGCTCGTCATCCTCGTCAATGCATAGCCGCGGACAGGATGGGTTCTCTGGTGTCCTGCTTCTACAGGCAACTCATCGAATCCGAGCCACAGCTGTTCGGCCGCAGGCAGGTATCCTGCCACTTGGTCCAAGTATCTGGCCAGGCCTTTCTTCCAATGAGAGTTTCCCCGAGTGAGAGGACACGGCGCTCGATCGAAGCTCTTGACTTCGAAAGTCAGCTTGAAGCGAGTGACCCTCTCAAAAAGCTCTTTCGCATGTGGGATTTCCATGCAGTTGTAGAACTCCCACCAATAGAACGACGGTAAGTCAATGGAAACAGGCTTCAGACCGCGACACTTTTGCAACGCCGAGGTCATGAGTAGATATTGTGTTCCGCCATCCAGGGTTCTTATACCCGTCCGTCTCAATAGGTCGGAGTCTTCGTCAAGGAGACAGTCTCCCTCCTTGGTGCGAGACGACGGGCTGCAGTGCACGAAACACTGTAGCCGCGGAAACTTCTTCAGCGAGCTCGAGAGCAAAGCAGGGCCATCCGTCGAGAAGCGCAACTGGGCATCCAACTCGTCCTTGTATGCGCGCGAGAGTTCGAGAGCGTGCGAAGCCGCGTCGAGAGGATGCATTCTTTGCAGCCGTGCCGCCAAATTGCCAGCCCTGATGCATGCGTCAAAGGGGAGGGCTTTGAGATAGTGCCGATGGACCTCCAGCGTAAGCACTTGGCTGGCAAGGTCGGCCCGCGCTGCGATTTTAGACAGCCGGTCCACGCTGCTCATGCTTGGAGAAAGGCGTAGTGTGTGAAAGAGAACCCGCGTGGCGGCCAGGCTTGTACACTTGTCGAGCAGACGGCAAGACTTCAGGTCCCGTCGTCCTAGCCGCCCCATGATGTTCGCTTTGATCTCTGGAGGCAGGCAGGCCCACGGCTTCCCAGGAGGCTGTATTACCGCTGAGGGCATTCTGGGGCGTGAAAGGGGTTGAATATTCTACAGAGGAACATCGTTTGAAAGGGGATAGACATCCCAGGGTATAATGAGGAAGAGAGAGCGAGAGAGAGCGGTATAGAATAGAAGACAGGAAATGCGGGAAATGCTGCTTGTCTCCCAAGCGTTTGCCAGCCGCACGGCAGTGAAACTTTGCACGGCATTGTTAGAGGACCAGCCATGTCACATTGATTCAAGCATCGAAGGAGAGGTAGTTCTGCCAGAATGGCAAACACTGCATTGTCACATTTTGTGCGAGATGCAAACGCTGAGCGCATATGACACGGTGCACATGCCGGCAGCCGTCCTTTTCATGCCCTTTACAAACATCGTCATCACGCACGAGGCGGCTTTCGCGCTGAATGGACTTTACCTGAGCATCTGACAGGAAGGCTCTGGTGCAAGGGAAGGGAGTCAGGGATGTAATTGGCAAACAGCTTATTGTTGTGGCTCAGGAGCGCACCAGCACAAAAATCGTCCCCTACGAGGTATCCTATTTACAAGCTCAAGGACTGCTCAAACCAGCTTCCTCCAGGACTGGCCAGGTCCAGCGCCTGCGGCCGCCTCCGTCTCGCTGCCCAGCGCATACCACCTCTCTTCCCAGCTCTCCAGACTGCGCCTATCCTCTTCAGCATTCTGGTTCTCACGTGACGATCCGTATTCCCCATTGCGCGCGGAAGGAGAAGACGTGAAGACATCCCTTCGTCCTTTGCCTGGATTGCTTGCGGCCTTGGTCGGCGTGTGTCTCCAGGGACTTCCCACCTTCGGCGTGCGTGGTGTGCCACCACTCTTGGCACTCCTGTTTCCCGTCGAGAAAGGAGATGTAGGTGCATGGCCAGCAGTGTCGAAGCTGTATTTTTCTCTAGCGCGCGCGGCATCCTCTTCGAACTTCCTCAGATGTCGTGCGTAGGTGTCACCTCCGGCGTACCTCGATGCAGCGGAGCCCTTGTTGTTATCTCCTGTCAACATTCCCAAACGCTTCATGGCGATAATGTTCCGATTGTTTTCCCGTGTCTTGCGCCACCGGGCAAAGAAGCCGAGGCCTGGGATTGAGTCGAGGATCTTGTGGAATGATGTTGGGTGATATTTCCGCCAAAGGAGGATGGACAGCAAAAGAAGAACAAGGCAGCCAATGCTGAGCGGGACTATGATCATGGCGAGTGGATGTCCATAACCTCTTTCGTGAGGGTGGTGGAATGGCGGACCTGGGGCGGTGGTATTTGCAAATGGAGACGAAGTTGTGGCAGGGACTGAAGTCAGGGCTGGCGAAATAGCAGTCAAGGAAGACGACAATGTCGTTCTTGTTGTACTTGCCGTGGATGAAGAAGATGTCAACTGTGAAGCTGCTGGCTCGGCGGGACTGACAACGCTCGTAGTTATTGATATAGAAGCAGAATGAGAGGTAGAACTTGGGCTTGCACCGTCTCCCGAAGGATCCAGTGGGCCACCGGGACATGCGGCAGGATCAGGGACACCAAAAGCAACGCACGCGGTCGATGTCCACGCAATACTGCTGGTGCTGGTCGTGGTGGTTGACGGAAGAAGGACCGAAGAGACGGACGTTGGAGAGAGGCTTGACATCGTCCCAGTCGCGGCTGTGGTGATGGGTGTGAATGTGAATGTGAATGGTTCAACTTGACCAGTAGACGGGGCTGGCGACGAATTTGCGATCTAGAACATGAACCGGTCAGTATTGGATGTTGAGAATGCAACTGCCGCAGAGCCAGATCCTCGCATTCACAGAACTGACAGACTGCGCTATGGTTATCCAGTCGATGGTACAAGACACCCGGCTGAGTTCATGGCTGCCCTTGGTGTCGGGTCGTCATGGTTCCGCTTGGAATTGTCAATGCCTGGATTATGCCTGGCCTTCTCTTCTCTCTTGGTTTTTGTGTCAAAGACTGCTTCGTGGCTAAGACGGGACACAAATTTGACTTGGAGTAGCCTTGCAGCACACATACGCAGAAGCTGGAAGGGGACTATTTTATGTGAGGAAGAAAGAGAAGCGACTACTTACAAAAGTGCTGAAATTGACTGAAGGTGATTGCTGAACCGTGCTCGAGGGCAATGGAGAAGTAAGAGAGACCGTCAACGAGCCTTGCGTCACAAGGTCAGTCGCAGTGGGAGAGATCAGTGAACATGGCACGTCTCCTGGAGCGCAGCTGACCGCTGGCAGGACAGTGACGGGGTCTGGACTCGGAGTGACTGATGAGAAGTCAGAGAGTTGCGCCGAAAGACTGACATGACTGGGAAGGGGTCCGCGAGTCCATCTCGTACCGTTATCATCAGGGGACGGAGACGAGCTCAGCGTTGTTCCTGTCGCAGCAGAGGCTGCCATCCCGGCACACCAGGTCCCGGTGCCACAGGGCACTCTGCCACCGATCGTGTCGATGAGCGGAGGAAGGGTGTTTGTCATCGCCATCGCCGCGGTGATGATGGAGTTTGTCTTCATGCTGGGAGGACAAGAGACGGTGGTTGTCACAGTGGTGATTGTTATTGTTGGATCGAAGGTGAGGTTGGTTGTTGAAGAACACGACCCTCCAAGTCTTCATGGCAGCCATCAGGTCCAGCGAGCATCAGCCATACTGAGGTACTTCTGATGACAGATATCAGGCGTTTTCGCCTGTGCCCTGCGGATGGGTTTCTGGAAGATGGCCTCAGAATTCTGTCCGAGCCTTCACATGGCTTGTCTCCACCCCTTATGCTTGGTCCCTGGCCCTCTACGATTCTGCCAGTACCTGGATGCTGGAGTTTTGATATTGGTCTGACAGGAAGCTCACAGAAGCCCCCATAGTCCCTGCTTTGTGAAACGGAGGATGCCATGGTAAAACCATTGGACTTTCCACCCGTGTTTTCCCGATCATAGTGAATACTATGTTGGAAACTCTTCCGTTTCTTGGTAGTTGGGCTGTTAAGTACGTCAGTAACCAAGCAGGTGACAATAACCCCAAACGCTCGTGGTGAGAACATAGGAGACACGCTGGGGCATCATGAAACACGACATTTAATCCATCCGGCATAGGTGAAGCAAACAGAAAGCACGAAAAGATCCAATGGTTCAACACCGTTCGTGAATTCGATGGAGCTCTGACTAAATCAGAAAGGGCGCTTCTGTCGACAACAAACGCCGTTTCCTTCTCGGAGCAAGTCCCATCGAGGTCCACACACAGCTCCGCTCACAAACGTCCCATCATTAGCCTGCCGAAGCCGACGACAGGTTTCCCCAAAAGCCATTCCAACAACAAAAAAGAGATCCTTGCCCGTGTGTGTAAACGTGGATGGCTGTCTGAAGCAGAAAGTCTAGACATTGGATTGAATCTTTCGCCGATCTTGCGCCCCAACGCCTTCCGAAAATCCATGTGAGGCAAAAATCTGTGTTGCGAGACAGGAATACTTTCCATTTGCTCTTTGATTGTCTCTTGCTCAATCATGGGCTCACGCCTTTCCTGCCTCAGCGATCGAATATCTCTTGCGCGTTTCCCTTGTAATGTGTGCCGTGGCGGTGGCGATGTTGGCTAATCTAGCAGCAGCCACCAGCAGCGCCCGACTGCACACCTTGTCCTTGTCCGACTTGAACCGTGGGCTTATTGTTGACCGTGGTGGTTCCCATGCGCTCCTTGATCTGCCGGGCCATGGTCAAAAATGCTTGCTCAACGTTGGAGGCATTCTTTGCGGAGGTCTCGAGGAATGGGATTCCCAAGCTGTCGGCAAATTCCTGTTGCATGATAAGTCTGGCTGCTTTTCGGCCTACTCATTTAGGGGTGCGCCACTGTACCTTTGCCATGGTGTATTCGACCACCTTCTTGTCCGACATATCGCTCTTGTTGCCGACAAGTAGCTTGTTAACTCCTTCAGTAGCATAGCGGTCAATTTCTTGTAGCCATTGCTTGACGTTGTTGAATGAGTCCATGTCTGTCACATCGTAGACCACACAGATGCCATGAGCGCCTCGGTAGTAGGAGGAGGTAATGGTTCGGAATCGTTCTTGACCGGCAGTATCCCACTGTTCGGAGGTCAGATAACGTATCACAAGAGATGTGTAGAGATTTCCCATACGATTTGTAGCTTGACAGTCTTTCCGTCGAGTTCGATGGTTCGGATTTTCTAAACCCCCGTCAGCCTCCCGTTTCTCCTAATTCCGGAACCCTAGGATAGTAGCCTAGAATCGCAACAACGTACGAAATCGACACCGATGGTAGAGATGTAGGACTCGGTGTACGTGTCATCGGCGAATCGCAACAGCAGGCATGACTTTCCGACACCAGAGTCTCCAATAAGCAAGAGCTTGAAGAGGTAATCGTATCTACGTGGCGAGGTTAATATCCAGAACGTAGGAGGCTGGTGGTTTCGGAGGACGGGTTTTTGAAGGAATGACTCTACACATTGTTAGCAGTGGTCCATGCTCGGCATACCAACGTCGAGAGGACGATGATTGCTGGTGCTTTAGATGACTTACCACTCTGGATTCATGGTGGTCGATGGAACAGGGGGATCTCAGGAGACTTGAGAAGATTGAAACTGATGTAACTAATATCGACGAGTAGTTGAAGAGAGCCAAGGTTGGTGAAGCCGAGTGACGAGTTGAGTTGAAGGCGAAGGGTGAATTGATGGGAGGATGAATCTGGCGTCTGGCGTTTGCGGCCAACCTGGACTTGAGATCCGCTACTTGGAGACGAAAGAGTGGTAACGCAGTCCGTAACTTAGGCGCAGGCAGGCTCAGGCAGGCTCAGGCTCCTTTGTCACCTGTCCAGATCCTTGTTATTGGGCGGCAGAAAGCCTGTAACAGAGGACCTACGGGCACCAAGAGTGGCTGATGATGACAAGGTCGGGCAGATCACGTGCCAAGCCACAAAGACTGCGTGACACTCTTTCACCATGTTGTATCATCATGATGGCAACCTATGTACATACCTACTTAGGTGCTATGTAGGTAGCCTTCACAACACCCATCAGGCAGCACCCCGGAAATAACAGTACAAACACCTCCTGCACGCGCGTTCACATTCACAAGGTTGGTCTCGTGGACCATGAACTTGTGCATCCCCTCCAGAGGGAGGTTTGTACAGATCAGCGAGGACTACTTACCGCAGCAAATCAAAGGGTCGACAACATCCATTTTCATTGACGAGCTTCATCGAACGACCTCGCAAAACCTGCTCTTGGCGACGGACGTAAAGTCCAGGGTGGAGAGGTTGTCTTCCATAGCATGAACTGTCTCTTCAACCGAAGCCTTGTCCTGTCTCTTGTAACTCTTGACTCGACGGCCAGTCATGGATCCGCCACTAGTGGCCAGATGGAGTGAAGAGGACATCCCAAACTTCCCCTGTTTGGTCATTGTGTCTACACAAACAAACCCACAAACCCAATCCCATTTTCGTGGAATACCCGTGACCCTACGAGGCATACCCGTGAGCCTTCAACCACTCTAACAACTCCGCCTCGTCGCGCTCCTTATATCGTGCATTCCCCGTAATTGTATCATACACGATGACCAGACTTCTGCTGAATTGCCCAGTCTCCTTGTCCTTGAAGAATTGGTCAATTTCATCTCTCACCTTGAGATCCGAATACTTGGGCAGGCCTGATTTTATCCATCTGTCAATAACCACACTAGTGACCCCCAATCGCTTGAACACCCGGGGCCAGTTTTGCTTGGTATACTCCCAAGCCACGTTCCGGGTCTCGTTATTGTTTGACACAGCGATGATACCTCCATGTGCGTCTTGTGGAGGGACCTCCTCGGAGGTGACAAATTCTAGCAAGTCCCATGCATGATCCGAGTTCTTCGAGCGGCCCAGTGCTTGAATGCAGATCTCCTTTCCATCAACACTGGTGGTCTTTATGAACTCTTGTTTGACGGTGTCATACTCTTCTTGCCCGCCATTCGCGACTGCCAAGTTGAATATCACGCCTCGAAGGTTTTGGTGGATGGCTTTCTCATCGCCAGATTTCCATGCTGCGAATTTCTTCTGCCCCTCGGAAATGATTCCTTGGTGGCCGGCGCCGGCAGCGGTGCTAAGGAGGAGTTTTCTGGATTGACCAGTCAGGTAGTCTTCACCCTCAGGGTAGTTCCAACCTATTGCCTCTGCAGCAGGGGATACGAGTTTGAGGGTGAATTTCTTCAATGCTGCAGAGATTTCCTTGTTCGACGCAAAGACTTGTCGCACTTTTGATAATGAGCCGGCGATCTGTTGCCACACCAAGAAGCTCTTTTCGACCTTGAAGCCTTCTAGGAGAGACAGAAGAGCGGCTGTTGTACCATTTCCAGCCATCGCCAAGGCAGTAGCATCACCCATCAGGCCAATCTTATCTTCGATGGAAAGCTGCTCATGAGCTTCACCAAGCTTCATCAGTCGCTGAGGTGGGTAGTTCGTGCGATAGAAGCCGCTCTGATCAGCGTTGATTTTGTAAAAGGCATCATCTACATCTCGAACAGTGTCCTGCTTCTGGGTCAAGGCGCTGTGAACGATTTTGACAGGGGTGCCGGTCTTGAGACCAACCGGAATCCACCACATAGTTTCGTCTTCCTCGGCCTTCACATCTCCGGTGGTGAGGAATCTTGATTGGCGAATGGATATTTGACCAGGCTCTTCCGCTATTGTGATCACCGGAAACCCGATCTTACGAATCCAGGGATCCATAAATGTTTGAACATCCTGGCCAGAGGCTGCGCTAAGGGCCGCCCAGAGATCATTGGTTTTGGCGTTTCCGTAAGCATGGGTCTTGAGATAATCACCCACTCCTTTCAGGAAGATATCTTGTCCGAGATAGTTGCTTAACATTCTGATGACAGAGCTGCCCTTGAGATACGAAATGTGGTCGAAAATTTGATCAACCTCGAGAGCATTGCGGACTGGGACTTCGATAGGGTGGGAAGCACGTAGCGAGTCGAGTTCGAGAGCTGTTTGAACAGCTTCAGCCTGGAGTAAACGTCAACAAGAGCAACAATGGTACAATACCTCTGGACATTCTACGCACCACAAACTGACTCCAGACTTTCCACTCCGGATGCAGATGGTCGACGGCTAGCCAGCCGACCCAGGTGGCGAAACCTTCATTCAGCCACAACTCATTCCACCAATCCATAGTGACCAGGTTGCCGAACCACTGATGTGCCAACTCGTGAGCAACAACATAGGCAACTCTATTCTTGAAACGAGCATCGGACTTCTCTTCATCATACAGGACCGCCGTGGTTCGATAAGTGACCAAGCCCCAATTTTCCATGGCGCCCATGGCGAATTCATGAACCGCCAGCAGATCCGATTTGGGAAGGGGATATTCAATCCCGAAAACGTCTGAGAAATAGTCAAGGGTCTTGTGGGCGTGTTCCATGGCAAAACGACCTTGCTCTTTAAGCCCGCGAGTCGTGTAGACTCTGACGGGCAACGGCTTGCCGTTGTACTTGCGTTCCGTGAAACCTTCGACGTATTCAAAATCACCAATGGCCCATGCAGCTAGGTATGTGCTCATGGCTGGTGTCTTTTCAAATGATACCTTTTTCAGACCGTCCTTGCTCCCCTTGCTTGTCGATTTCTCGGGCATATTACTCAGGGCGACCAGATCCTCTGGGATCTCAACCTCGAACTCGAAAGATGCTTTCAGATTTGGTTCGTCAAAGCAAGGGAAGGCCCTCCTGGCAGCACAAGCTTCGAATTGGGTGCTGAACATGTAGTGGTGCTCTCCGTCTTTTGGGGCTCCCGCGGATGGAGTGACAGCAGGCTTGTATTTGGAGCGATAAAAGCCTTCCATAGCATTATTCATTGTCCCCTTGAACCCGATGGCAAAAACAGCGTCACCAGATGGGACTTTGCCTGAGAACTTGATGGTTGCTCTTTCGGTCTTCTTGTCATAGGAAACGTCGGCCATTGACGTGATTGTAGAGCCACCATCTTTGCTCAGCACTTCTGCGCTTTTGATTTCCAGCTCTTTCACGTTGAGGACCAGCTCCTGCGTTTCTTGCTTGACCTTTGAGTCGACCTTAACGGTACCGTCGTAGCTCCAGTTCCCACCAAACTCCAGATTGTAGAGGGACAAGTCATAGTTGAGAGGTTTTATGGTATCCGGCAGGATATCTCGGTCAGTGGGAGGCGCCATGATCCTTCTCGCGTCTATCGAGCAGAACCGAATCTGAAGAGATCTTTGACTGAGGTGTCTCGAGAAGGAAGGTTGTCTGAGTGGGGGCTGAAGCGAGAAGGTACAGATGCTTCGTTTCGTACCCGCGATAATAATAGGTCCAGCCTTGAATGTCGAAGTGAAAAAGGAATAAAATTTGAAGTCGAGCATCCACGCCCTCCTTCCTACTTGGGTTGCAAACAGATCTGCAGTCACAGCAGCCAACGACCGACTAGTACGAGGAGAACAAAGGTGGGATGCTACATACCAATCGAGTCGACGTACGAGGTATTTATTCGGTACTGCCCGAGCTGCCTGAACAGTTGCATTGGCGGGGGGGGGTCATGGCATCATCTCCAACTGCAGCTCCAAATTATTTTCAGCCTTACCACATCAAGCCTCGTCCTGCACGCGACAACGTGTTTCCTAACTAGCCGTTTCCTATTCTCATTTCTTTCCTGCCTCTGCGCATCTTCCTCGTCCATGTGATGCCGGCGTCAGGGGACGAATATGTTGCCGATGGAACAGACGACGACCTGCCCAGAGCCTCCACCCGCGGCCGTTCTGCTGCTCGAAGGGCAAATGCTCGCGAATCTGCCCAGAGCTTTGAAGTAACCCGAACTTGGGACTTGCTCGTTGAAGGTGCCGATGGAACCATTACAGGCGCGGTTGAGGGTCTCCTTGAGGCGGGTAAGAGGAAAAGGTAGGTTCTTTAACCCATCGACGGAAGGAACAAGACACAGAAGAGAAACAGTCTCAAAAGAACGCCAACAGCACCTCATTTAAATCTATCTCACCATGGCTTCTCTACAGACTTCTCAAAGACACCACGCCCCTCCAGCGTGGTATCATCCGCCACCTAATCCTCATCCTCGACATGTCCCTCTCTATGAATGAGAAGGACCTCCGTCCAACCCGCTACCTACTCACCCTGTCCTACACCGAATCCTTCATCCGCGAATTCTTCGAACAAAACCCAATTTCGCAGCTTGGGATAATAGGCATGCGCGACGGTATCGCTGTTAGGATCAGTGATATGTCTGGTAACCCAACCTCTCACTTGGCTGCAATACAGAAATACCGTAAGGAAGAACCCAAAGGCAATCCCTCCCTGGAAAATGCGCTTGAGATGGCAAGAGCAGGATTATTTCACGCACCCAGCCACGGGACCCGTGAGATACTGCTGGTATTTGGCGCTTTACATACTTCGGATCCGGGGGACATTCACAACACGATCAACAGTCTAGTTCATGACAAGATACGGGCTACGGTCATTGGCCTCGCGGCGCAAGTTGCCATCTGCGCCGAACTTGTCTCTAAGACAAACGATGGTGACTTGTCCCCCTACGGCGTTGTATTGCATGAACAACACTTTCGAGAGTTATATATGGCTGTGACAACTCCACCAATTACCCACGACGGCGCCAACAAAACAGCCTCATCGCTCTTGATGATGGGTTTCCCCTCCAGAACGGTAGAGGGGCACCCCTCATTATGTGCTTGTCACGCGACACCCAGAAGAGATGGCTATTTGTGCTCACGATGCAGTGCCAAAGTATGCAGTCTGCCGAGCGAATGCCCCGTGTGCGGACTGACGCTAATACTGAGCACCCATTTGGCGAGGAGCTATCACCATTTATTCCCCCTTGTGAATTGGCTCGAAGTTCCTTGGTCAAAGGCTTACCGAAGTACTGCTTGTTTTGCTTGTTTGAAGCATTTCCCCCCGGTTCCAAAGCCAAGTCAGTTGCCGACATCAACCGCAAGGGAACAGCGACCGGGACAGTCAAGTACGGACCCTCCTACTGGTCCCACAGTCCCAATCTCTGCTGGTAATAAACACTTCCAATCTGCAGCCCCCCGTCCGACGACCAGTACCAGCAGATACGAATGTCCTGTCTGCCGGAGGCATTTCTGCATTGACTGCGATCTATTTGCCCACGAGGTCGTGCATAATTGCCCTGGATGCCAGAGTGCGAAGATACAGACGAGCTTGATGGGAGAGACGGAGATGCCGGCTCCAGATCGAGGTGAAGCTGACGGCGAGAGAAATGGGACGCAACAGGCTGGGACGGAGGGTCAGGACTGGAACAGAATGAATGTTGATTGACTTTTCAGGGCGAAACAACCTTAAACAAGTCCCTCAACTTTCATGCCCAATTCCTGAGACCTTTTTGTCACCTTCAACATGGATCACCCGGTTCGAATTGATCATCGTTGAGAAACCACATCATACACAAAAGTTTGTTCGAATTTCGTACTCAGGAATTTATTCTGCCTAATCTCCTCGAATATATATAGCCCCTCGCATTCACCACCTTCTCCCTTTCCTTTCTGCATATCCTTACCACTATTCTTATCCCTATTCTTAACTTGCATTGATATCATATTGTTATCCGACAAGTCAAGAGCGGGTCTCTTGCAGCAGTTTTTGGGACAGCAACATTGGAAATTCTCTTCCGCATCTTTTTCATCATTGCTTCCTTTTGCCTTGTTGCAAAGCTTTGGGGAAGAAGAGGTTTGAGCGCGGTTCATCTGTCTCTTTCTGCAGAGAGAGCATTCTTGTCTCTATCCTCATCAAGTCGACTCAGAGGGAGCCATAGCTTCAGATCTTCAACTCCCCATTGTAGATAACTCGTAGCTACGCAATTATCCTTCGATTTGTTTTCTCTTGGACATACGGAAGAGTGCATCACGGCTTAGGGTATACCTGCTCATTCACATGGCTGTTTTATCTGCAAGACACGCATCTACCCACCAAAGGGCTTGGAATCTTGTCATGTGCAAATCCTACACTTCAATATGTTCTTGCATTACTCTTCCAGAGACAATATGTCCTTTTTGATGGCGAATGTAGGTATCTGTTGAAGGTGCTATGTGAAGGCTTTGGCCATGCCATTTCCCGTGTCGACAGCCCATAAACTTTACGCATGACAGGCCATCACTTCGTTGTCTCCTGCGCCGGCGTTCACCTCAACTGACCAAAATTATCAGAATTAGGACGACCGCCTAAAGGGCAGATCGAACAAATACGTCGAAATCGACCAAGGAAGGACAAATGGTAATCGAACAATGATAGAAACCAACCAAATGCGGTGGATATTGCGTGGATACATAGTCGGGACGTTATAATGTTCGGTCGAGATAGGGGCCCACCCAGCACCAAAGTGTATAAGGTCAGGGCCCTATTATGAGGTGCTAAGTGCTCTTTGAGAATCAGCTTTAACCCATCTCCTTCAAGGGAATCTCAATCTCCGCCGGTGACAGTTTCTGTCCAGATCTTCGTAATCATGGAGGTAAATTCTGGCAGACAAAGCTGCTTCAACTGGAAGAACTGAACCAAAACTTGCAAGGAAATTGTATGCTGGAGAGCCTCGCTTTCGACGTCAGTGTTGAAGGCACCGAGGAAGGTAACAAGGCAGAAGACAACTCAATAAGCGCTGGATTGAAGAACAACGCCCTTCCTAATAAGCTTCGACCCATGTCGGTAGTTGCAATCCTTTTCTTCTTTGAACGACAGACTTCCTCGACTGAGCTTCTGCGGGCTGAGCCAGCTTCCGAAATAGGGGAGGGCAATTTGTCGCATGGGCGAGAACGATGGCGAGGATTGCCGCAGTCATGGTGAAGCCGTTCGTTCACTGCTTCGAGTGTTGAAATAGGGGATGATGGATGCCACACAATCTTGAAACCAGCACGAATCAAAAGTGGTGCTCGCAGCTCGACGATCACATCTCCTTCAGCGTCAAAAGGCGAGGAACATGCTCACATATCTTCATCTCCTCTTATGTGGGTAGCTACACGGCTTCTTGCGATCCGAATCCATTCGCGGCATCAGTCTGCTCTTCATTCCCGGAGCTGTGCTACAAAGGGAACATATCTGGTTCTCATAGTGGCATCACACCCTTAAGATGCCACAGGATGGTGATTTCTAATCGATCCGCGATTGACGACGCCTGCGTGTACCGTTCCATTGCGCGGACTGCTCAGGACCGATATTGTGGCGCTCATGATAGCTGGTCGAGGTGACAGTGGAAAGAGCAGTTCAGGATTCATATTGGTATAGCGGTGAGCTGTGTTACACAGGTCTAATTCTGACATGGCAGTTGCTGGTCGTCATTCGATGCCTACTATTCTCACACTGAGGAGAAGGCTTGAGAGACAGTCTCGCAGCTAGTCACCAACTCCAGCAGATAGGGCACTTGGGATTTTTGGTAGTGAAGCAGGAGTGATCGGACAGCAAAGCCGTCATTGTACGCCTCCTCAAATCTTCTCATACTGGGCTCTCCGTCATTGATCTCGTCCTCCTTGGAAAAAAAAAAAAACTTCACCTGTATTTATTCCAAGCCAGTTCATCTCTTCGCGCTTTGAAACGAGCAACACTTCAAAGCCGTCAACGCGCTCTGTTGCTATCGGCAATCTATCTGGAAAGCTCTCACTTCGGTTTTATTTCACCCTCACCACCTAGTCAATAATCACCTGTTCAATCGCACAACGACCACCGGTTAGCTGTCAGCTTTGACCGTTCCTGTGCCTCTCTGCGGCCTGCCGGAACTCCTTTTTCGTTCCCTCCCAGAATCGGCGCTATGGGTTGGTTCACAAGTCTGTCTGTTTATTTTGCTACACTCCCAAATGTCCCCCATACTCCTCGATGCAAATGAGTTACCACCGGGCTCTGCCTATATACGAGGGGAGAATTGGGGAGACGACATTACTATGAACATCTTGTTCTGGGGCAGATTTCTGGAAAGGATTGTATGAGAGTTTACGACAGAAGCAGAAAGGAAATGGAAGAGATAATGGACGGATACTACGTTGGGCGCTAGGAAGAGGAGAAACAAAGCACACCTTACCGGGAAATCCCCGAGATAAATGGGTAACCAAGCGACATAGGCCGAGCTGATGCTGTCTTTTAGTGAGATGTTGAGATCCGATGCAGCAGTGTTAATGTGCTGGGTGAACATATGGCGAGGCCGGCCGGGTTTCATGGAGTTTGATGATGGCAAAAGGGTATGGAAGAAGAAATTAACGTAAATATTACTATTTGCCCCAGTCACAGACCTGTGCAAATTATCTGCGACGGGCAAGATGGGCATAGATGGGCTCCGGAGAATGTTCTAAGGGGGGGAGGGGGGCGATGCAGGCGGAGCTGCATGAACCATGGCTGTCCTTCGGAGCGGAAAATATGATAAATCTGTCAGACGGGTGTCAGACGCCCAAATTAATCGAGCTGCACGACCAACGGAGGCCCTTGAAAGCCACCAAGCTTAGCGTTGCCAGACCAATTCTTTAAATGACGCTCTCAAGAACCTTTCGCTCCTTTCCGCCTCCCGCCCTCCCTTATGCATGTTGGCCAACTGCTTGAACCGCCCAGATTCAACCACCACCCACTGCAGGCCACCCCGACTTGTGCATCAGGTCGTCCCTATCTTCAGCATTCTTCTGTGCGGGAACCGCGGCACCATTCTCACTCACGGTCCACCTACGAACGGCATCAAACATACAGTTTTCACTTCGTAATTCCAAACGCAACTCTTGGAATGGCGCACTACGTGTGAATGCAGAGGTGCGTTGAGACACGTACATATTCATCTGGCTCTCTGCCAATTTTCATTTGATGTCAACGGCGTCTTCGGGCCAAAAGAATGGACTTTGCATCTCGCCATTTCCGGGCGTGCTCTCGTCAACTGCTTGATCTGTGATCAAGCTGCCGTCAAGCTCTGCAATTGCCCAACATGCATACAAAAATTTCTGACTCTCGCTACAACCACTTACGATCACGAAAACAATTTTCTCGATACGTGATCGGAGACTTTACGTTTGGGCTCTATCAGCAGAAGGCACGCCACAAACTCTTTTTACAGAGGAACATCTCGCGGGTATTGGAGCATCACGCGGAGCGGCGGAAGGAGAAACGCCCGTGGACGAGTTCGAGGCCTACTGTGGCGAAAAATACGACCGACACCGAGAAGGTCTCAGAAGGGACGATTTCGGGTACAAGAGAGCCAAGTGGGGTGGTAAAGAGTGCTGTAGTCCACAGAACAGAGACTTCGGGAGATCTCACTGCCACCTCGAATTCGCCTCAACCGACAGCACGCGATATGTCGTCGAGACCAGACCCTTCTGAGCAGAATGGAACACAGCAAGAGAGCACTAGGCGGCGAAGCATCAGAAGCCTCGTCAACAAAACGTACAACCATCCTAATGCCGAGCTAATGCTTGATTTGAGTAATATCAGAAGGAAACTCAACTTCAGAACCAATTGTCTTAGCGGCGATCAGAGGCCTTCCAAACGCCAGAAACGTGACGCTGTCCGATGCCTGTGCCATCTGACAATATGGGACAATCGCGATGGCTTCAATGTGATGCCACTTATTACCAAATCATCACATTGCGATGTAACAGTCGGTGACAATGGCGCACATGGCTACTTTGTCGACCTCGAACTAGAAGTGCCTTTCGTTGTCAAAGCGACAGAGCTCAAAGTTCCCATTCACCAAGCGCCGAAATCAGTTCGGGGAATTATCAACAAGTATTTTCTTGAGATCAAGATTATTCCCTGTGCAGTTGACAGTTTCTGGCCTCCAATACCAATTATGAGCAAGAGCGACACTGACAAGTTCACTTCGGAAATTGGGAAGATGGAAATTGAAGAACTACAAGGGGCTATTGTCGCAAGATACACCCACCTTCCACAGGCCCCTGACCCGGATGTCCCGCTCAGTGTGTTTTTCCTGCATGAAGGACGCACATACAAAACGAATTACGGACTCCAGGTGACATCAACTTGGCAGAAATCTGACCTTATCTTCAAACCTACTGAGCCGGGGAGCAAAGACTTGGATGTCGACTCGTTTCTGTCCCAAAACTTGAACGCGGTGTATTTGCCAGAGAGACCAAGATTGGACCAGAAACCTGCTACCAAGGCAGCTCCGCAGAGTCTACACCAACCGGAAACAAGCTATTGCTTTTCTAGCACGATTTCGAGGCAAGCAGATGCTGGTGAAGAGTTCCGCAATGCCATAGTTGAGGGGTACCGCTGTCCGCTTTGCGCCCCGTGGAAGTCGCAGAGTTTGCAGAGTTTGCTGTTTCATCTCACGACCACGCATCCGAAGTATAATTTCTCGGTAGCAAGGCTGCGACGAGACCCCATCACCAATGAACCAACCGAAATCCAAATTAAAGTCGATAGTCTCGTGAACCTCAGAAGGGAGGAGAACGATGTTCAATTTCACTGGCAAGCTCCAGCCAAACCATTCGACCTCTCGGCCTATGTAGAAGGCGATCATAGTTGGACAGGGGAAAAGTTGGTTAAGAAGCCTCCATTGAGCGATATTACGACTTCCAATAACTCCTGGTCAACCATATCGGCCTCGCGATATCCACTAGCCTCTGAGGTCCCTGATTTTCGTAAACCTAACCGCAGAAAGGCCAGAGCCGTTCGCCTGCAGTCCAAGTATGACACACCCGAAGATGTATGGACCTCCATTTCAGATCGACCGGTCTCCCCCAGCGAAGAACCATGTAGTGACACAGATGACGAAGTCGACAACAGCTTGCATATTGAAAAGCATATGGAACAGCTTGAAATCATGGCTCAACAACAGGGTTGGAGCAATCATAAACGGGAGCTCTACAAACGGTGGAACCGACACCGGACGGAAGAACATCTCGAACACCCCCGATACCTCTCGAATTCTCTCATTAGATTTGTCAGAAAGCATAGAAGATGGTTGAAGGACGGGAGCGATGAGCTGTGCCAAGTTTTCTTCGACTTTTTGAGCGAGCTGAAAGAGAAGAAGGTCATTGATGATAATGTAGTTGCGGACGTTAACGAGCTGATTTTCCAAGGTCCTCCATCGGCAGCACTGGCGGAAGAAAGAGAGACAAGCGAAGTGGTACTCAGTCGTGTACCAGAAGTGGCACAAGGCTCTCAGGGCACTGAAACAGACCATTTGCAATCCCGAACTCGAGTGCAGGCGCAAAGAACACAAAAAAGGCAAGGAGAATTGGACAAGGAAAGTGAACGAGCTCAAACCCAAGTGACAAGTGAATATAAATGCGGCGATTGCCTCAGGGAAATCGAGTTTGCACACAAGAACACAATCTGCTGCGCGGATCCCGAGTGCAGGACACCCGGAAAGAGGTATCACAAGAGATGCGCCTTGTATCAGAGATTGTTGTTCGGCAAGAAAAGAAGAAACATCCCAACGCATGGGGACTTTGGTCGTCCTCTGCCGGAACTGAGTCCAACCGAGAACGAAAAGCTGAAGAATTGGATGTGCAAGCACTGCGTTGCGAAATGGTGGGTGCTCTTGCTGGAGCGTATACCGAAACGGATACAACCTGTCAAGAAGAAGACAATAAAGATAAGGAAGAAGGTGAGGAGAAGAAAGGTAGACGATGAGTCGCTATTGAAATGGGCGACCCATGGGGCATACGAAGAGAGGATGAAAGAGGAGATGATTAAGAATACGGTGGCAGCGAACGAGGAGGCGACTGGAAAGGGCAAGGAAGTGGCGAGGGAGACGCGGAATCCGGTGGCAGCGAATGGCGAGGCGACTGGAAAGGGCAAGGAGGTAGTGAGGGAGACGAGGACTCCGACCGTCAACAGGGAAGGGATTCCAATTAGAACTCCGATTCGGAACAAGATGGTGCTCCCAATGAGGATAAGTGGAGGGAGCCCGACGAGGACGGCGAGCCCGAAAAGGATGAGGAGCCCAATGCCGACAGCGAGGGCGGCAGCGACGGCAAGGGCTAGGTTGAATTCCCAGGAGAAGGCCGTCCTTGCAAACAAAATTCTGGGGATAAACAAAAGGAAGAGCGGTCTATCGAAATCCAGGTTCTGCGGAGAGACCACAGACACAGAGTCCTAGATATTTCTAGGAGCTAGGACCAGGGAGATGAGGATGAGGTCAAGCTCAAGCTCAAGCTCAGGCTCAGGCTCAGGCTCAGTGCCGTCCACTGGCGAGCCTGCAGACCATACACAGCACCGCGATTTCTGGGATTCTGGATGGGCGATGATATTGGTGAGTTCTGGGGTCTGAATCGGATTCGGACGCAGTGAATGGGGATCCAATATCCATGGATGCAATATTCTATCCAAACCAATCCAGTCCAACGCAATCAAAAACAAAAACGGAACAAGTAGAACTAAGCCAGGGGTGTCAAGGACACTATCCTTGTAGCCGTAGTTAGGTATGCTCATGCCTGTAGCCTTGGCTATAGTCGTCACTACACAGATGGAGGGGGGAATGTGGATATGGATACATTGATGATTGTGGTGGGGGTGATAAGGGTCTTGTATACACGGAGTGTATACCGAGTACGGAGTATAGATGAGGGGTCTGGAGTATAAGGAAGCTAGAGCCGGGAAAGAACCAAATGTCTGAATGCCAGCAGATTGAATGAATTTTTGGGTTTGGTTTTGTTTTTTTTGGGAAGCGGATCTTGGAGCTGTCTGTCTGACAGCAAGTCAACCACCCCGATGGTCTATCACTTGCCATACGAGCAAGAATGAACCCCCATTCTGATCGCTTTTCCAAGCCTGCCGTGAGGCAGATTGATTCTTGACTCTTGGACGCCTGCATCTCTTTTGCCTCCCGAAGAAATGCTGTCAATGCCATGTCAAATCGCTTGACGGATGGAACAAGATAAAATATCCTCTTTCATGGTGAGGTTCTAAGGGCAATTCTGAAACCTGTGCCCAATGGGGGCCCATCAGCTTCGCGATTCGAATCACATATTTGCGTGATTCATTCTTCGAGAGCTGAACTAAGGCCATCACATCGGCCGTCGCCGCAATTATGAACCGTCAATATTCCAATGCTTTTCGCGGAAGACGCGCAATAATGCAGGCGATATCAACCTTTCATCTCCTCATCCTCGTCTTCAGGCGCCTCGAAGTCTTCATCGTCATCGTCGTCATCGTCATCCAAATCGTCACCGGCATCCTTTGACTTCTGCTCGGCTTCAGCCCAGTCGATCTTCTTGCCACGGGTTCGGGTTTCGACAATGTTTTCCAGTTCAAGTGCTTCCATCTCATCGACTATATTGGAAGTTAGTTTGGATTCCCCTTCGCGGAAATCTGCGAGCGGAGGATAGATGGACGGAGGTTTTCATGGCAGATTGGTGTGCGATTCACATAGGAGTGATGTGAGAATTTGCTCAAGGGGTAGAATGTACCTTCATCTTCAACTTCGGGTATCTAGAGTAAGTGATCATGTCAGAATGGGCTAGGAAGACAAATCCTCGGTGTCATGGACGTACCTCTTCTTCCTCTTCCTCTTCTTCGTCGTCCTCGTCATCATCCTCTTCCATCATCACAGGCTCCTCGACCGCCTTGCCCTTTCCTTTGCCTGTGTCGGTAACTTCGCTTGCGCCCTGAGGCACAGTCTCGCCGTTTGCTGCCATTGTGCGGTTTGGTAGATATGAGTGGGGAGGATCTAGGGGTTTGCGAGTAATAGGAGAGGCTGCCTTGAAGTTAAGAGCAGTTGGTGTTGAGCGCAGCAGTGTGGCAATTGCTGGTGGACAGACATTCGAGTTTGGAGCGCTGCGCGCTTTGCGACTGCGCGCCAAGCACCAGTACACCACTAACCCGATTAGACCTAGCCTAATCACGTGTATATTCTTTGTCTGGTCGGATATCATATCCGATGTCAATTCGCGGATTCTGTTTTGGATTTATCGCGTCCACGTCCCGACTTCTCGAGTTCGCGGCTACAATTGCTCGGAACAGTATGGGGCTTGAAGTTTGATGCCGATAGGATGCTACTGAGAGATCACACATGAAGATTTCAACGTTGCAATTGTGTATCCAATCGAAGACACTTATGGGCTGCCACCGTTACGGGGAATAGACGGTCGCTGATTACAGCTATGGCAACTGGAATTTAGATGGCTGCCATCATGAGCGGCATCAACGAGCAATTAACGTCGCATTGAGATAAACTAAGCTCAATTTTGAGTGGCCAGTTACCTCATTCCCTGCTGGTCCCTACAAGTAGTATTCTCATAAAGCTAGAGCGATGCCGAGAGACTACTTGTAGGGTGTCTCTGAGGAGATCTCATCTTTCATATGTCGATATAACGCCATGAACAGACTGGATTCTTTGCTCTCGATGTTTTTGCAGTCAAAGTGTGGATGTTCGTGGGTAGTACCAACTTACTGACAAGTAGATGGCTTCTACAAGTAGTTCGCCTTGTGGTCAGAGTGGTTGCGTGTAGCTAATAGTAGTCTCTGTAAGGGATTGAATTTGTCGCGTGATGTCTTGAGAAAATATTGCTGATCTTTTAACCTTCCGGTCAATTTCAGAGAATGGGAAGACACAGGACTAGGACGGGATGGAGAACAAATTAGGCGAAGCGACTCCACACGATCCTCATCTTCTAGCAAAGTCTCCCGAACTGCATCTTACTTTGTATGGAGTACGATTTTTGGCGGGGGGGGAATGTGTGATGTATCAGTGGGGATTATACTTGTAAAACTGCGACAGTGGCTCGCGAGTGGCGATGATTAACGTCAGAAGAAGCGAAAAGAATTGGGATGATGTTGTTAGATGCAGCGATTTCATCATGCTTAGAAGCATCGTGAAAGATTTCTGACTGGTACCGAAAATGCAAGTATCAGGCGACTTTTTTTTTTTCTTCGCTACCTTGTATGGTTGCCCCTCCAATCAGTCGCGAAGAACCCACCTCAGCCTTGTCTGGAGAAATTCAGCGAAATAGGTAGTTGGAGGGGGAAATGAATGACGTACGAGGTACCTAGGCATTCAGTCATTCAGTCATTCAGTGCGGGACAGCTTCCACCGCGAAAAAATGCCCAGCTGCAGCCCTCACCACAACAAAAGGCTGCCCTCACCAAAGTGGAACATAGGGCGCACACAGTGAGTGGAAGGGCACAGACAATTCAGGCAGCTTCACAGCCCACTTCAAGTCACCGCAGGCGCTCGCTGGAAGAGGCCGGCAGCTTCCAGCTTCCAGTGGGAACCGCAACCCTGCAGCTAGAACGGTCGCCAAAGTTCCACGTACTTCTTCACGCTTCGATTAACTGCGTCCCGCCCTCGCCTTGGCAAAATTTTGACAACAACGAAATCCCATAAATCCCAGTGATCAGGCTCTGCCTTTCCTCTTTCTCACCATCAGATCACAACATCCAAAACTCTCTTAGGAATAAGAAGTCTAGTAAAAGACTTTCATAGCATTTCTTTCTCCCTTGCACGAACACCCCATTTCCTCTCATTCTCCAGTCATCATGGCACCAGCAATTGGTATCGATTTGGGCACTACCTACTCATGCGTGGGTGTCTTCCGGGACGACCGCATTGAGATCATCGCCAATGACCAGGGCAACCGAACCACTCCCTCGTTCGTGGCTTTCACCGACACTGAGCGTCTCATTGGCGATGCCGCAAAGAACCAAGTCGCCATGAACCCTCACAACACCGTCTTCGACGCCAAGCGACTGATCGGTCGTAAATTCAGCGACCCCGAGGTCCAAGCCGATATGAAGCACTTCCCATTCAAGGTCATCGACAAGGGCGGCAAGCCGGTCATCCAGGTGGAGTTCAAAGGTGAAGAGAAGCAGTTCACACCAGAAGAAATCTCGGCCATGGTCTTGACCAAGATGAGAGAGACTGCGGAGTCATACCTCGGTGGCACAGTCAACAACGCAGTCATCACCGTGCCTGCCTATTTCAACGACTCTCAACGTCAAGCCACCAAGGATGCTGGTCTGATTGCCGGCCTCAATGTCCTTCGTATCATCAACGAACCCACTGCTGCCGCTATTGCCTACGGTCTCGACAAAAAGGCTGAGGGCGAGCGCAATGTCCTCATCTTCGATCTCGGCGGTGGGACTTTCGATGTTTCCCTCTTGACTATTGAGGAAGGTATCTTCGAAGTCAAATCCACTGCTGGCGACACTCATCTGGGTGGTGAGGACTTCGACAACCGTCTTGTCAACCACTTTGTCAACGAGTTCAAACGCAAACATAAGAAAGTAAGAAGAATCCCATTTCCTTTGCCCTCCTCCCTTTTCCCTTTGGAAGTGGTGTTTTGATTTTGCAGCGGCTCTGTATAGCGGTTTTGCACTGTTTAAAACAGAGTCGGCTGCGGAATACGGACCCACGTCCCCCCCCCCCCCCCCGGGGCGGGAGGGGCCTTCCCCCCATAAAAGAGCTTTGTTATCAACGCTGCCGCTTCCTCTTGTGGTGGTCCACCGGCATTGCACCTTCCAATGGATTGCGTCACAATGGGCTGCTCTTCTCTAAAGCGACGGCGTCGAAAACAAGCTCAACATTGCCATCTTTTACAATATCATTTTTTGTTACTCAACATATACTAACGGCTCACAAATAGGATCTTAGCTCCAATGCTCGGGCTTTGCGTCGTCTTCGAACCGCCTGCGAGCGTGCCAAGCGCACCCTGTCCTCGTCGGCACAGACCTCCATTGAGATCGACTCTCTCTACGAGGGCATCGATTTCTACACCTCTATCACTCGTGCTCGATTCGAAGAGCTTTGCCAGGACCTCTTCCGATCCACTATGGAACCTGTCGAGCGTGTGCTGCGTGATGCCAAGATCGACAAGTCCTCCGTTCACGAGATCGTCTTGGTCGGTGGTTCTACCCGTATTCCCAGAATCCAGAAGCTTGTCTCCGACTTCTTCAACGGCAAGGAACCCAACAAATCAATCAACCCTGACGAGGCCGTCGCTTATGGTGCTGCCGTTCAAGCCGCCATCTTATCCGGTGACACTTCTTCCAAATCGACCAACGAGATTTTGCTCTTGGATGTTGCTCCATTGTCCCTCGGTATTGAGACCGCTGGTGGTGTCATGACTCCTCTGATCAAGCGTAATACCACCATCCCCACCAAGAAGTCCGAGACCTTCTCTACATTCTCTGACAACCAGCCGGGTGTGCTCATTCAAGTCTACGAAGGTGAGCGGGCTCGCACCAAGGACAACAACCTGCTCGGCAAATTCGAACTCTCCGGTATTCCTCCCGCGCCTCGTGGTGTTCCTCAGATTGAGGTTACATTCGATATGGACGCCAATGGTATCATGAACGTGTCTGCTGTCGAGAAAGGAACCGGCAAGTCGAACAAGATTGTCATCACCAACGACAAGGGCCGTCTGTCCAAGGAAGATATCGAACGTATGCTCTCTGAGGCCGAGAAGTACAAAGCTGAAGACGAGGCCGAGGCAGCCCGTATCGGCGCCAAGAACGGTCTGGAGTCGTATGCCTACTCTCTCAAGAACACTATGTCCGACTCCAAGGTTGATGAGAAGCTCGATGCATCCGACAAAGAGAAGCTCAAGTCTGAAATTGACAAGATCATCTCGTGGCTCGATGAGAACCAGACTGCCACCAAGGAAGAATACGAGTCTCAACAGAAGGAGCTTGAGAGCGTTGCCAACCCCATCATGATGAAGTTCTACGGCGCTGGCGGCGAAGGTGGCATGCCTGGTGGAATGCCTGGCGGTGGTATGCCTGGCGGTCCTGGTGGATTCCCTGGCGCGGGCGGTGCTGGTCACGGTGATGATGGTCCAACTGTCGAGGAGGTTGACTAAATGTCTTCAAGATACGACTAAAAGCATGAGCGGCTTTTAATTCTTGTGTCAATCATACCGGCGTTGGCGTTATCGATGGGACGTGACATGATACCTCTTGCATGGCATAGAGTTTTTCGGCATCTTCCTATGAAGAATTGATTGAGGTTTACGGGATCTCTACTGGTGATGACCAGCGAGGAGATGGTCAGAGTAGAGAAATGACAGAGCTTAGCATAGCTTTCAATACAAAAAATATTCCATCTCAAATATTTCATTTTGCTTCATCCTCATAAAAAATAGCCGGTTCATGGAAATTGATCCAAGTCATCACCGCAAATCTGATTTGGTCAGTTGCCTGCTGAAGGCTATTGGTAGCTCTTGAGAGAGGGGGGCCTAACATATATCCTGGTCCTGGCTTCCCCAGGCTTACACGCATCGTTGTTTCATTTTCCACGACTTTAATCGTGGCCACTTTCATCCTTGTATCATAACATATCATGTCTCAATGGCACGAAGGCGACCTGTCAAAGCCTGCACGGAATGCAAGCAAGTCAAAGTTCGAGCCCTACCTTCTCTGTTCGACTTTTCACTTCTGACTGATGCTCCCAGCTACGATGCGACGCCAGTGAATCCTTTCCTCGTCCCTGCGCTCGTTGCGCGAAGAGGGAGTTGGTATGCGTAATTGATTCCAATTTCAAGCGGACGCCAGCTCGATTGTGGGTTCCTTCCTGGATTTCGTTTTATCGCCTGGCTCACGAAACAGGCGTCTACAAACCGTCACCAATGAACTTTGTCGGTTGAAGCAGTCAATCAAAGCTCAACCGGAGAAAGGATCAAGCCTGGAGTCGAATCCAAACGGCAACCGGGTACAGGGAGCAGATTCTCTCCTATTGGAAAATTCTCGCCCATCACCAGATGGCAGGTCTCCAGTGAACAGTCCTTTTGGGTTGTCGGAGGGTGACGCGTGTCTTTCTGGTCTGCAGGAAGCAAGTCTTGGAGATTGTCATTTAAGCAAAGAGGAGATACGAGATCTCTTCTCTCTGTACGCCTTGCAACCAAGCTGTTGATGGATTAGAGACTGACTAGCTGCAGCTTCTATGTAGCGTTTCATTCTCATCTTCCAATTATTGACACCAGGACCTCTGCACAGACAATCCAAGCATCGAGCCCGTTCCTGTTCTGGACTATGCTCTTCACCGCAAGTCGGCACCACAAAGAATATGTGTCCAAGTCCAACGACCTGGCCTTGCCGTACTCGGATCTGCTCAATCAAACAATCCTTCGAACCCCTCACTCATTGAATACTATCCAGGGCATTTTGATTATGTGCACCTGGCCGCTACCAGTCATGCACCAGCCAGAGGATCCGAGCTTGATGTACAGCACTATAGCGGTACACGCCTCGCATTATCTCGGCTTATCGCGTTCTGCTGGATCTGTCTCTCGTTCTATGACTGTCGTTTCACAGAGTGACCGGGAAACGATGTGCAAAACTTGGCTTGGCTGCTTTGTTATCAACACCTCGTGAGTTTTTCGATCCTACGCTGGAATAAAACTGACTTGATGTGCTAAGTTTATCTATCGCCCTTGGGAATCCTCCCTCAGTGAAGAGCGCTCTTGACCTCAGCACGATCAATTCCATCCTCCGCAAACAGCAAGTTCCACCAAGACTGGCCATTGATGCCCATATCCAACAATGCATGGCCAAATACCACGACTCCTTGGTCGGAGAAGTGGGAGTCTCGGTTCGAGAGACCCTAGTGCAGATGTGTGAACAAGACTTGAATGCTCTCACGGATCGCTTTAACAATTATATTGACAATCACGCCGCTTTCAATTTCCATGTCGCAAAGCTACATCTGTATACGTTGGCATTGGTCAGAGAGAAACAGCAGTCGAAACAGTATGACCATCTTGAGCTCGGGAATCATAGTGTGAGATGTCAACAACTCGGCATGGCAGCTGCTCATCGCGTTATCGACATTTACTGCAACGATCTAGAGGGAGCCGGGGCGAAAAGGGCGCCTGATAGCCGCCTGATTGGTCCTCATCGGGCATTACCCAAACAATTCTTTGTGGGCGTCTTGCTGGCAACCTTCTTTCTTCTCAGATACTTCGTGCTCAATCCCGCCTCCGATGCTGAACAAATTGCTACGTCTCGAAACAAGGTGCTGATGGTACATGCCAAGCTCCGTCAGTTCACGTCGCACCAGCTGGCTGAGCCTGGTCGAGCAGCTACGGTGATAGAAGTTCTTTCTCGACACGGTGATGCGCAGAGGGCAGACCCTAGTGAAGACATTGAAGACCGTGGTGTGGCTTCCATCGTATGGAATGCTCTCATTTCTGCAGCAGACATTCGTGGAAGGCGGAATCTGCGGACGGAGTGGCTGGAGAAAATCAACCCTTCTTCGCCTGCCCTAAGAACTGACAATCGATCCTCCAGGAGCCCCGATCTCAACGTTCAAGAAAATCCCGATTTGGGATTCGTGGACCTCGAGTACCCACTACCTGATAGCGTTTGGGATCAGTCATTTTTGCAGATGCTAGATTTCACTGCTTACGACTTTAATGATATCGGCGCATAATCATCAAGACCGCTTCCGAGCTTCAACTTGATCGCGACCTTCACAGGGCTGCTCTTTCATCAACTTTGAGAATCTTTCGAATCTTTTCCGCAACGTCTTCTGGAATAGGAACCTTAAACAGTGGAACGTATTGCTGTGAGCCATGCACGTCACTTTCGAAGAACCCACCAGAGGCCTTGCGTTGCGAGTTTCGCTTCCTGGGTATGGTCGCCTTGAACGCTCGCGCCTGATCGAACCATCCACACCAAATACATTCCTCAGTTTTCAGGTGATACAAGCTTTCAATCAGATTTTGGCTCAATATCCCTGAGTCTTTAATAGCCCGGTATATTTCCTCTATGTCGAACATCACGTCAAAAGTGATTTCGAAAGGCCCAGCATTCTTGGAACGCAGAACACTAGCGACATCTCCTAGGACCAAGGGGCCGGGAGGTACACCAGGAGTTTTGGTTGGCAATGAGCGCTCTTCCTGCGTGGTTCGTCTGTCGCTATTTCGCTGAATTGACTTAGCGGGACTTCCTGTCGTTCCTTCTCCGTTGAGGACGTGATTGATATTGCTAATATCCTGGATCCGCCATCGAAACAACCCAGTTGGAGCAACGACGTTTTCGCCAATCGAATCTTCATGGGCGTACTCCTCACCAGGTTCGAGGTCCATCAAATGATAGATGTTGAACTCTGCACATGGTCCAAGCTCAACGGTCTTCGTGCCGCAAATACCAAAGGCGAAGTTACCGCTTGTGGCTTTTTGTCCAGGATATGGACCGTGCTGGGATTTCAGATATCAGCGTGAATTATTCTACGAATGTTTCCGGCTTACTATTGTGGCAATGCGCGCAGTGTCGGCCAAAGCGGTCGCCAGAGCCTGAGTTCCCGCCATTGCCTCGCCGATTAGGAAAATTTCGCCTGGGGCTCTCGGCAACTCGGAGGCAATGTCTTTGTGTTTTCCATCATATATATGGAAGGCAAGGTGCCAAGAGTCTTGAGTTCCATGTTGCTGTCGCACGTATCCCTTCACGCGGACCAGAAAGTCGTCGATCTGGTTGAGGAGAATGGCTAAATGCAGTCAGTCGGATGGGCACTGAAAGCGCGAAGCGCACTTACGGTCTCTCAAGCTCCCAAAGTACATGCTCCGATAACCCAGGACCTGTGCCCCTTCAAGTTTAACTTGATAGGGCGCTCCCTGCATGGCGGATGTGTAAAAGCGGTCTCCTTGCACCCGAACGGTGCGTCCATCTTGAAGTTCTTCATATGTTGACTGAGTGACATCAAGATAGCCGCCTGGCCCGAAGAGCAAATCTGGCCTGCTCTTCTCATATAGAGTGTGTGCAGCAACCGACATTGTTGTGCATATGCTCTGCGGATGGAGTGGACGAATATCAAATGTGCCATTTTGGTATATCGTTGCCATCGCACCAGCAGACTTCGGGCGCGCACAAAGACCGCCGCATTCCATGATCTTACCCATGTGCATAAAACCTCCGAGAATCTCACTCGAGCAGAGTTTTTCGGAGTTGCCGAATTTGCTTCGCAAACAGAACATGGAGAATGCCACATATGGCGCTGGGTCATATGCTCTACCACCGATAATTAGCCTGAAACCCGGTGTTGCTTCCATTGCTTGCACAAAGGGTTCAGGTCCCATCTGCCCCAAGATTCTTACACAGTTGTCGATGTCTGACTGTGAGATTGGGGGTACGGCTGGCCCACAGCCGGTGATGACTCCCTTGGCGAGTCTTTGTGAGACGATCGGCTTGGGAATCCCGGCGAAGATTGCGATTGTCTTGAAGTCGTACGATCTGTACCTGCTTCAGCTCGCATCTTCAACAAAGGAGATCTCCAGCTTACGAATTCTCGGGTGCTGCAACAATTTCTTCGCAAATCTCAACGATTACCTTCACATGTTCGTCGCTACCGTCACTTTGCGGAACTGATCAAGACCGGAACCTTGAACCGGTGTGAGGAGCTCAATATCTTCTGGAGATCGCGTTTGTAATTCAGTCTTGAAGTTGTCATGCTTCCCAATGCCAGACAATTTGGCCCGCTATCGGTCGAGCCGGAATCGAGTATGATTGCCGTCGGAACGCATGTGGAAACGCAGTCTTCGAGCGCCTTGTTGACATGATCCTGGTCTAGCCCATAACCAAGGTTCCCAATGGGAGTTACAATGTTGCAAAGCCGATGCACGGTGTTGTTCGAATAATCCGACGAACCCATGGCTCTTCATGCGATCTTGACAGGGCCCGGCAGACGAGTGTACCGAGAAGACAAGACGACGGAAGTTGTTGTGCTAAATACTTGGGATCAGGATGTCCGCAGACCGCGACCGGCCCGGTTCAGGAGTCGAGAAGTTTGAACGGAGGACCATTTTGCCTGAAGACTCTTGCTTCGCCACGGCACGACGACCTGTATGGATCTCCCTTGTCCAGACGGAGCATTTCGCGACTGTCGGCCATCTAGCGAGTTTCGCTCGCGACCTTATCCGGCCTGAAGGTGTACGTGCGCTTTTCGGGCTTTAGGCCGGAGTTCGCGCTTGCAGCGAGTTGGATATGGCGGTTTCTGGTTGGGTCCCCACACGCTCTCCGCCCAACCTGGGTATAGCCTGGGGCGAATGCTGACTAGACTACGAGGATTCTTCGGCCATTGGAACGCTGTCGGCTGCATATCAAGGCGTTCTGCTCGTCTCCACATCCGATACAGTTGGCACGCGATTCAATATAAACCGACTGCCAGGCACCCTTTTTGCGGGCAAGACAACAACTTTTCATTCTTCCAGCCTGGACGAGATTCTCTTGCATTCGTTCCTGACGATTGTGAAGCACCATGGAAAAGACGTCTCCCTGGAGACGGTTGAGCGTGCCGAAGGCCAGACGGGACTTTCAATACCGTTGACCGAGGACGAGCGCCGATGTGAGCGAAAGCTGAAATTGAAACTGGATTTCATCATCCTTCCATTGCTGTCCACCGTCTACTTCTTTGCCCAAATGGTACATGTCTGCTTGAATTTCCAGGATGTCCGCTTAGGCTGACAACTTCAGGGCCGATCTGACGTGGGTAACGCCAAAATAGCCGGAATGGACAAAGAACTTCATCTCTCGTCACGACAATACTCAAACATTGCCAGTATATTCAATGTCGGATACTTGGTATTCCAGCTGCCGGGCACTTTATTGGTCCGCAGGATAGGACCTTCTTATCAGGTATGTCTCTCACCGGTGACTACCTGTATGACGACTGACGGCGACACAGTTCGGCGGGGCTATGATGGCATGGGGCATGGTAACTGCCTGCACAGTCGCCGTACACAGCTATGCCTCCCTTATGGTCATAAGGGTCTTCGTCGGTGTCTGTGAAGCCTTCGTGCAGGGCTCGGTCTTCTATCTCTCTTTCTGGTACCCCTACAACGAACTTGCCACTCGAGGTGCCATATTCTTCTCCACAGCGGCATTGGCCGGCGCATTCAACGGACTCATTGCCTATGGTGTGGAGACAGACCTTCAAGGCGCAAATTCCTGGAGCGCGTGGCGATGGCTATTTCTCATCGAAGGAATTCTCCCGATTGGGTGGGCCTTTTTAGTCGTGACCTTTCTCCCTCCGACTCCAGAAAAAGTGAAATTCTTCTTCAGTGAAGATGAGAAGCAGCTGATTGTCAAGAGGAGCCGGATAGCTCATAACACTGGCGAATCGAAGATCCGGCCAAAGTTGATCATGAACGTCCTTCTCGATCCCAAATTCTGGATGTCTGTCTGCATCGAATCCGCCACCCTCTTCTGCCTCCAATCTCTGTCCAACTTTCTCCCTGCCATCCTCTATGGATTTGGCTGGTCGACAATCAAATCTCAGTTTATGTCGGTTGTTGTTTATGCGTGCGCCTTTGTGGCCATCATTGTGAGTTTAACTGCTTTGTGAAAGAGTTGCCATCTTTCCCCGCGCCTTTTGTCCTACGAATTATTTTCCAAATAACCAGAGGCTGATAAAGGTCCCAGTTCTCGGCTCGTGTATCAGACAAAACCGGTCGACGTGGCCTAGTCATTATCGCCAATGCCACCGTCGCCAGTTTAGGTTATATTCTCCTTCTCACGCTCAAGCAACCAGCAGGCCGCTTCGCCGGCGCATGTATTGTCGCCATGGGCCTTTACCCCAACGTGGTCATCAATCTCACGTGGGCTGCCAGCACGAACATCGGCTACACCCATCGTGCCACTGCAACAGCACTTATCAACTCCATCGCTCAGGCTGTCGCCATCAGCGGCAATCAGGCGTACGTGGATCCACCATATTACCGTCATGGCCATGCTGCCTCGTTGGGGATGATCGGGTTCGAGATCGTGGTCGCCACGACGATGTTGTTCGTGTTGAAACATGAGAACGAGAAGAAGAAGAGGGAGCAGCATTCTGAGAAGGCGGAAGAGGTGAGGGGGAAGTACACCATTGATGATGTTGGAAACAGGCACCCTGATTATTTCTTCACCTTATGATGATCATGTCTACAATGAAGGAGGTGTTGTTGTGGGGCGATCTAAAGCGATATGGTTTTCTTGAAAGGATGTAAAGACTGGCTCTGTCTTCCTCCAGTAGTTTTCATATCATATATTTCGTGGTCAACCCCGTTGGCCCTCTCAAGGCTCTATTGCCCCGCAGATTCATTTCTATCACTCTATCGTGTGTTGCACTGCACTCCGTACAATTGTATCCTCGCAGGGTCACGCCGCCAATTTTCAGGTCCCTATGAGAGCCTCGTTTCGCATCCTCATCCCTCTGTTCTTTATTTTAACCTCTTCGCCTTTCTCTCACCACCCGTAGACTTAACACACCCGTCATACTTCCGCTCGACACTGCTAAAGCCTCAACTCTACCGCACTAGGCGCCTCATTTTGGATTCTGCGTCGATTCCCTACTGGCCTCCTCGGCTTGGTAATCGACCGTGGGTTAGGCTGAGTGAGGATTAACAGACTAACGAGTAAATGATATGCTATTCTGTTCTCTGAACGACACGTTTCTCGTCCCTGTAGCCTCTAGTGATGCCATCATAACCTACAGTAAGTGCGATAAACTGAAAATGGAAACGCGTTTTGCAACCACTCTTGAAATGCTTTCCCCACAGAGACTGTTGTCCAAGAACTATGGAGAGACTGGGACAGATTTTCTGGGACGAACAGAGTTTCTATCACACCCCTAGTCCCCTTCGCAACAGGGTGGTGCCGAGAGGGGCTTCCCGTGATGTCTATCTTCCCGTCGAACAGCCAGGAGTAGGCAAGCAGATGTAGAGCAACGAAGGGAGCCGAGACTCGGGGCTTTGAGAGAAGCAATATGGAGAGATTATCTTCTACGATATCATTGAGGCCGGGGAGGAGTTACAAAAGGGAAAAGCAATGGTGAAGCGTGAGGCTACCTATGTAGGTAGTCTGACTACCTTGGCGCTTTAACCAATTTAGTCCGCGAAGGTAATGATTGCGGTAATTAAGCTAGATAATATATTCATAGAACCAAGGTCTAAGCTACTTTTATCCTCAGGAACACAGAATGCCGCCACAGGTATCTTTAGGCCCCGACTGGCCATTCTCTGTGCGCCATGGAAGGCAAGCTCTGTGAATTTTGGCTTACCGTCCAAATTAATCCCCTCTTTCAAAGTCTAAGATGAGTCTTATATTTTTTTTCTTTCTTTCTTGCAGGCTGAAATCACCACATAACGGCTCTCTGCTTACGTGCATCACCAGCAACAGTTCGGAACACTAAATGATATGGTTCATCGATTCCCACTACCGCTGGATGTCTATGCGTCCATCTCGGTGCCTGTTCTGCAAGTAACTCCTAGAACCAGGAATGCTAAACGCGAGGCTAGGTACCTGGGTAAGGTCCTCACAAATTGCAACCACATGGCTTCATCTGAGATAGACGTTGCTGTCATCGGCTTAGGTACGTGAGCCGCCGTTCCCATCGCCTACGAAATACTAATCGGCATACGACTCTCGGTAGGAGCTTTTGGGCTTGTTGCCCTTAAGAACCTCTGAGAGGAAGGTTTTAATGCAACTGGGTTTGACAAGAACTTGTATGTGGGTGGTCTCTGGCAATTCACGGAGAAAGATCAGACATCCGTCCTAGAATGTGAGCAACCCTCCTCTTTGGAGACAGAGAATGCTACAGGATGTACTTACAGCCATCGAAGCCACAATTGTGAACATCTCCAAAGAGAGGGTGAGCTCTTCGCTCTCATGGAGGAGCTAAATATTCCCGTCTACTTACTACCAATAGGGCTGCTTCACGGATTTTCCATTTCCAAAAGGCAAGCATAGGCATTTTTACGATGGCCCCTCATCGCAGTCGAATGGCTTATCCATACCATTTCTCGCTGGCGGACTAATATGTCCTAGAAACAAACTCCCACGCCTCTGCGGTAGATGTACAGAAGTACCTTTCCGATTATGCGGCTCATTATGAGCTTCTGTCGCACATCCAGCTTGGTGCGAACGTGTTGAGTGTGACCAGAGACGACCAAAATAAGAAATGGGAGTTGAATGTCGTCGGTGCCCAAAATTCGAACAGACTTCTCCTCTTCGACAAAGTTGTGGTGGCCACTGGAACTAACCATAGGCCTGTTGTGCCAATTCTGAAAGGCCAAGAAATTTATACAGGGCAAATTTTGCATTCTTGGAGTTTCAAAAGGCAAGTTCTTACTGCGGCAGTCCTTGGACGTATGTTAACTTGGGTCATCTAGGCCCCCTGACTACAAGGACAAGAGGGTGGTGGTCATTGGTACAGGAAATTCTGCGGCGGACACTGCTACATCGCTGGTGGGGATTGCGAAGGAGATTTTCCTGTCTCACCGGCATGGCGCATATATAGTCAGTGCTTACAGAGCGGCCAAACCTGATCACTAGAACTCACGTCGACTTAGCTACCTAGGTCACAGCCCAACGGACAGCCGCTCGATCACGGCCTCACGTACCGGAAAATCAAGATGTCCCTAACGATGCAGAGGTACCTCCCGCAACCATGGGAAGCCATGAGTAACAACATGCTAGCCAAGATCCAGAACACATCATTTAAGCTGAAACCCGAATGGCGTATCAATCCTGCGCCTTCCTTGGTTCATAACGTACCGACGGTAACGGATACACTAATACCAGGGTTGGAGAAGGGAGAGATCCAGTCTGTTGAAATCGCGGAAAGAATCACCGGCGAATTTGCCGTGGAACTGGCAAACGGCAAGGTCGTCGAAGTCGACACCATCATATGGTGCACTGGATATCATGTCGACTATAGCGTCGTTGGCGACTTTGACCCGACACTCGAGACATGCCACACGGGCGTGTCAGAAGGGGCTTTGGAAGTGATGTCCACCCCGCCGATAAAGGACCCGGCCTCTAAACTAAAGCAATTCGAACCACCGATTCCTAGACTTTACCAAAATCTCCTATCCCTCAGTCACCCGGATTCTCTGGCGTTCCTCGGCACTGCAGCGATTCCTTCAGCTGCGTTCCAAATTTACGACCTCGCCACCATGGCTATTGCACAACTGTGGAAGCCAGATGATTCTTCACCGTCGCTGCCCCCCCCCCCCCCCCCGCTGCGAAATGATCGCTTGGGTTGAGAACCACCTCGCCTGGACAAACACGATCCTGGCTCGAGGGGGCTTCGACACTCGTATGGTATACGCACCTGACTGGAGTGATTGGCTTGATGAAACTTCGGGTTGCCGAGTGGACAAGCATTTGGGATACGGGCGCACGGGCTGGGCGTTCTGGTTGAACAATAGAGAATTTTGCAACTCCCTCATGGATGGGATATACAGTCCCCATGTCTATCGATTGTTTGACAGCCACGGCAAGCAGAAAGCATGGGCTAGCGCAAAAGAGGCGATCATCGGTGCCAATGAGGAGGCTGAACGAAGACGCAAAGACCGCGTACAGCGCAAACAGAAGGATTAATGTGTACAATGAATCGTATTCTAGCACCAACTGAGATCTGTGAAGCGCAGCGAGTGTCAGGCTTGTTTGATATGCTGTTTCATCGACAGCGCAATATACAGGAGGATGGCGTCGACATGGATGGCGTCGACAGGAAAGGTTTCAGGCTAGATATCGTGGCACAAGCCAAATGCCTATATAAACAGGAAATGACTCACTGAACAGTTGGACAGGTGTCTCGTAGAATAGATAAATACTATCAACCAACTTGACAGTTGTCCGTCTTACAAGATCTGACTAACCATTTTCGGAAGCGCTCTTCGAAGACACTAATCAATTTCCTTGACATTCTGATGGGATTTGTCAGTTTTCGGCCTCTGCAATACAATCTTCCTCTATCTTGTCGGATAATAATCAGATGACGGTCCAGCATGTGAAATGGGAAGAAAGTCCACCAAATTCGGCGGGAAACTTCCTGCCGAGGCTGCTTGAACTTCAGAGATGTGTCCTCTTTGCGCCGCCGGTCATGCAGGGAAAGAAGCATGTTTGTGGTCTCCTAGACGAGTCTATTTAAATCAATCTCTTCTCCCGAGGCAGGCAGATATCTCGACAAGCGGAAAAGGTTTCGCGCCCTGAGTCTCAAGCCTCAGCTTTTCGACCTGTGATTTACCTCCGATCCATTCACGGTACAGTTCTCCACCCACCTTTCACCACTCAGCAACTTTTTTCCAGCAGGAACAACCAGGTAGACGCAATTATGCATACGACCTTCGCATTCCTGGTTAAGCAACCGCACCTTTCTACCCAAGAATTCATCACGTACTATGAAACCAAACACATTCCGATGATCAACCGTCTCGCCGGCCCAGAGAACCAACCCTTGGTGTATAAGAGACGCTACACCCACCGCGACGACCCGGCGTTCGTGTTTGTGACGGCCAGCGTCGATGCAAGCGGTGCACCCGTGTCGACCACCACCGGGTCCCATGGTGACGACGGGGCGACGGCACATGGATCGAAAGTGGAAGCGCATCCGGGAAATATTGACTTCGACGTGATGACTGAGATCGGCTTTGCGGACAAAGAAGGAAAGGCGAGATGGTTGGCGGCTTTGTACCAGGGCGAGAATGCTAAGTTGGTCATGGAGGACGAGGCGAGGTTTATTTGGAGGGAGCGCACGCGAGCTGTCGTCGTGGAGGAGTTTGTGAGTTTTGGATGAAGGCTCGGGCGCGTGTGGGAGTCAAGCTGCTGCTTTGGCGAGAATGGGTGAGGCCATGAGGAATGTGGTGCGGACTAAAGAGAGGTATCATAACTGCAGAGAATGCGTCAGCCTTAGGGAGTTGGATAGTCCACGACATGACGAATGTTGTGTGTCATATTTAGATAAAATGTCAGCGGTGACAGGGGCTGTCGCGAGATAACGAGGCCTTTATTGAAAGATACATCTGAGAACAGTTCGTGTCGACGTTTCGAAGATGAAGGAGGACCCGCCGTCGAGTATTTGGTAAACTGTAAGAGCAAGACAGATCATTGCTTCTCCACCACAGAGCCCTCGCTGACAATCATGACAAGATATATAGTTCCCAATACCCTTTCCGAGGCCTTTCACTGGTGTTCAAACTTGCTTATTCTCTTATCCAACGGTATCTCCTCCTCCTCCTCAAGCAATTTGAATCCTTGGCGAGAATCCCACGGCACAAATGGAAGGAAAGATATGATGAAGCGCTGTACGGGAAGGTGAGGGATGGGGATTGATTCAGGATACAACGGGGACGAGATGGCCTCTTTTTGAATTGACCTGGCCACCCATCCACACATCCGCTCGGAGCCATCGATGATCTAATGAAAAGACTTCTGGATAGGGTCCAACGGTCATGTGGAGACATTATAACCATGTCGGTCAAGGATTGCACTTCACGCAATTCGTGGAAAGTCAGCCAGCTCTCCCCTGGATCTCTTGTAGCGTTAGCGTAGGCCAATACGTCTACAACTAGATGCCTTGTTGCATCTTGGTTTTCTTGGCCTGGTGATTACAGAACAGCTCTATCGAGAATGTATGCGCGATTACTAAAAGTTGTTGCTAAGGATTTTCCTTTCGAACCTTGTCGGGTATGTCTTTGCCGGTCGCCTCCAAAAAGGGTCAGGTTCTAGATGAATCTATAAAGACTTCAAATGAGTCCCAGGTCTCGAAAAATAAAACTTTTTGCAGTCTTTTGAGCTCTAGGAGCTGCTCTCGTTTAACGTCCTGCTATTCTGTGGCCGTTTAATGATTATATCGGCGCAATTTCTGGCATTTTGCTCATTTAGAAGCTGCGTTGTCCGTAAATTGTATCCAATTTTTGGCACTCTACTCGCAAGATAGCATTTATCTAGGTCTGGGCTTCTCAATATATAAGCTAACTAAAGTGCTTTTTAAGCTCCATATATTCTGGCTCATTCAATTTCGTTGATTATACTTTTATTCCGGTACGTTATGAGTGGTGGCGTGTGGCGAGAAGTTCAGAGTGACCAGTTCAAGAAAGAAAGGCAAGGCAAGGCAATAGTTGAGGTTCCCCAAAAGTCGTCTGAACGTCGCGATACATGTTCATCTACTGGGTAAGTCATTGACTCGCTATCCGGTACGGGGACATAAAATTACTTCTTTCAGAATGGGGCTCTTTGAGAAGTCCTCCAAAATACACATTCGTATTCACCGTCTCTTGACGTGTAAGGCTAAGTGAGAGATCGGAAATCTATCGCGATTAGACGTCCACGATTCTTCGTATTGGTGAAACGAGTTTTGTTAAACCGCTGTCCCACAATTACTAACCGCCAGGGTAGTGGGGAAGATACGAGGCTTCTCTCGCTTTTCTCCACGCAGCAAAATGACATCATTACGGAGACTATGTCGAAATTCGTTCGAATAGATGCGTACAGGAAGAATCCCTCCCAAGAAGACTGATAAGACGAGAACGCTTTCTAAAGGAGAATTGTTTGAAGGCGCTGAAAGTAGCTCTCTGAGTGTGGTGCTCTCATGTAGCCAATCAGAGAAATATTAACTTATTCCTTTAACGGTTAAAGCTAGATTAGACACTGTTCTCATTGGCGGAGCACCATGCGCTAGCCGAATACAGGTTCTCTAAGATGCAGTTATGCTTGATTATGTAATACTGGAAGACAATTTTAAGTCTTGGATTGTCTGTGATTGCGTCCGTTTGTTTCAGAGAGGATGGCATGCTCAACATGCGGCCGTGAGTGTCCGGGGAAAGCCACCAATCGCCCAGAAGAGTCGTCGCTGGTGGGGCTGTTGCTGCCCACAGCGCCCAACTAATATGCGAGTCACGTGCCGTAGCCTGAACCATTTAATCGACGCAATTCAGCTCGATCCCTAGCGAAACAGGAATACGAAGGGTAAAAATCTTGGCCGATGGCTGGAGCTTCAAAAACAGCCCGTTGGGTTACGAGTCCAGCAATGAATCCGACTTTGTGGCTGACCAACGAAGACTTTCATAAATGGAGCCCCAAGAACTACTCGGCGCTGCTCGTGAAACCAGCGGCAAGCATGAACCCCGATAATGGCAGGGTTTCTACCTTGCAACTTCGAGGCCACCAAACCGACTTGATGTGAAAAGGCTTGTGCAAACTGCCAATCAGTTTTCTTCGTCAAAGCTTGCCAAGCAAGCCGCCCAAATTTAACGTCGGTTTTCTTTTCCACCGAAGTATTCAGAACTCAAGCTTCACAATTTATGCCTTCATGGCCTGTTTACCTTGCAGTTCCTGCATCCACATAAACGATGACTAAGGAGACCTTGGTGCCATCACTTAACAAGGGGTGTAAAGCAGCGAACGTTCGGCTTCGTAAAGCGGCTTGAACAAGGGAACCTGCTCCCTTCAAGCATACATATAAACGAACTAAACTTCCTCTTCAGTGGTTTCCAAGACATTGGAGGACTCGGCAAGAGATAATGGCTTCGACAACGATAGTTCACTCATGGATACACCACGACAGCCAAGCAGATAGCAAAAGCCTGTCGTCACAAAAAAGCCAGGTCTTTCGACATGTTGCCGCACACCGAAAATGGACACGACACCAGCGGACGTGCAAGTTGCGGGCCTCAGCTCTCGACCTATACCATACGTTTCAAGTTCAAGGCAAGCAGAGTCCTCAAATCGAAACTCATTTTACTGGTTCATGCGACCCTTTTGACACCCTCGCTGTCCCTCATACGTCTCAGATCGACGAATTGCTTCAATTTGACTACAAACTCCTATCACCAGCTTTTGGCGTCTCAAAAATTCCTCAGCATCGAGCTTCAATGTTTCTTCAAGATGAATTAGCTGCCTATGGGTTTCTAGCCCGCATTGCAACCATCAAGGCGCGATTCGATCCAAATCCAGAGGTCTTCAATTTTATCCTGAAGTTGAAGGCGAAGGCGATGCAGCAACTCCGCTTGAATCTCTCCCAGACGGCCATTGCTCGTCTTCCCCGGGCAGTCATTTCTCTTTTGTATGCAGAGACGTGGTGTCAGAATCTTGAAGCTGTGACAGTTCATGTGCGCCTGCTGGAGGCTATCAATAACCACCATGGATTGAAACCCGATGATCTTATCTGCATTCTCCACTCAGATATCCAGCGTGCTACATTGACACTAGGGAGTCCACTCTTCATGATGGACGACAAGACATGGGACATCTACGAGGCGGACTACGCACCATCGCCACAGTCCGAGGATAACGACAGTAATGACATCCAATGGCCTCAGCTTCGACTTCTGGTCAACATGAGAAACGCTCTTATGGCGTTAGATGTACTGCAGGCGTCCGAAATGTCAAAAGCTGTCCGACAGTCTGCTACCATCAAGTTCCTTCACATCATGAGGGTTCTTGTTGATCAATACAATACGAGCTCTGATAATATCGAGCAGTACACAGCTTTGGCTGCGCTCTATGAGCTGCGACGAGAAGCTAATATGGAGAAAATACCGCTTGGTGCAATCAATGTTTATGACGCAGGAAAGCTGATTCTCTCGAGAATACGACAATTGCTTGGACTGGTGTCCGACGATCCGCCGAGTTTGCGTCTGTGGGTTTTATTTGTGGGGACGATGTCGGGTGACAATTGGTTCAAGCAGGAATTCCAAAGGCAAGTGAGTGGACTGGGACTCGTGAATGCAGACGATATCAGGACAGCCCTACATGTTATTGAGCATCGAGAACTACCGGATTCCCTTATCGATCCTCTACTTGGGGCAGCTGCATAGTAGGAGGATGGAATGCAACAGATTTCTGCGAAGAGCTAGATCGCAGCATAGCAAAGTGTCCCGAATGGACTCTGAACATTCACGATCACCATGACTTGAGGGGTGAAATGTTCCATGATCTTTTTGGACGTGCGAGCTTCGCCTCTTTGGAGTTCTCAGGAACAAGCTTGAATTCACTATTCCGGCAGGCGCAAGGCTGCGGGCTCCACATATGCAGGAGACTTTTGTGTTACCAAGTCGAGACTAGCCGAACCCTAAAGTCGCACCACTAATTCGACCTAGCGCCTGCCTGAATCGACATCCCCGCTCATGAATTAGCTTCCTTTCTCACATTTCGGGTCGATCGTGTCGCAAAAAACCATGGTCGTTTTCATTCAGGCTTCGGTGAGTGGGATAATAGTTGAAGGCATGTATCACCTGAGCATGCTATCTGGAGTTTCCTGCTACAAATGCCCTTTAAATGACAGACCGCGAGACGACCCAGGTGACCGTTGTGGAAGGCCCTTCTCAAGACGAATGGACCTCTATCAAAGGCATATTTATTGAGCTGTACGTGCATCAAGGAAAAAAGCTATCCGAAACTCGGCAGCTGCTAGCTGATCAGTATGGCTTCCATGCGACGTGGGTTGCTTCCCTTTTGATTCGGATCAATTAACTTCGGCTAATAAGGATCATGAATGCAGTGAAAAGGCGTTCAAGAGACGGATAGCAATGTGGAGAGCATTCAAAAACTACAAGTCCGCCGAGAAAGAGGCAGTTGTAGGCTTTATGACACAATCTACATATACGAATGACGCCATGCCTTCGTTCCAGTTGCACGGCAAACCGATTAAGTGGGATCGAATCAGGCGATTTAGCAGACCCCAGGGGCGAAAGCGAGCACGGGGAACGACCGGCGTCCCACCGATAGGCGAGAAGATTCACCTGGATCTACACCGGAGCAGCTTTCGGCCGACCATAAATATTGACGAGCGGATTCTTTTCTTAACCAAATCTTATCTAGATTGGAATATTTCGTTTTGGAGTCCGCTAGGCTTCGCCAATCGGCAGCAACGACAGGACCTCTCAAATCCCGACGGTCGAAGTGGGGATAGTGTTTCACGAATATTCAATAAATGCTTCTATGACGCTATCCCGCTGCTTTTGACCAACAATACAGTGCAAGCGTTCAAAGAAATCAACCTGGCCTGCAGCCTTGCATCGCATTGTCTTCAGAAATCACCATATGAGATATTCCTGCGACTTCTTCGACTGTATTCATACCCTCTCTGGGGTCGATTCCCAGATGTACGGTGCCAAATCGTGAATTTCCTTCAAGCTCTGGCTTTCCGCACTCTTGCAGAAGGACACGCCTTGAAGCCTTTACTCAAAGTATGGACGCAGGGGGAGATAGAAGCTAACGCCGGCCGGGTCGCTTCCATTCTTCGTCTGTCCTCGGACAAATTTGGTCCTGCCAGTGGACTTGACGCCGAAGAATGGGCTTGGATCCAGGATGAAATCTGCTCTCTGAATTATCAAAGAAGAGAATTCTCTGACGCGCTCCGCATCGCCCAGAGACTTGCCGATGATCCCCGCGTGCCTCGCGGCGTCCATATTACGTCCTTGCAAATGATTGCACGGCACCATCTATTGCACGGCCAGATCGAGGCAGCCGAGCCTGTCCTTCTCGAGACTCTGAAGATCTGCGCCGGCTATGACCGTGAGGACGACAGGGCTCGATTCCTCCAGCAGACGTATTCCGACATGGGATACATATACGACGTCAGAGAAGACCGCGCTCAGAGCTCCCATTATTACCAGCAAGCACTGGAGAAAGCGATCCAAGTGCAGAATGCGGCAAATATTGCATCAATACGGTGTCGCATGGACGCTATCGCGAGGCTGCATGAAGACCGCCAAGGAAGCCCAACGGAGACGCGACAGGGCAATGCGAGTAGTTGGGCGCTTTGGGCCTTTTGTCGGCCATACTCTTGAAGATAACACACCCCAGCAGGTGGTCAACTCACCCTCTTGATCCGTGTAGCAGATGAGCGAAAAGAGGCGAATTTCAGAGCGACGGCCTACTACGCGAAGAGCGACATCCAGGAACCCCAAAATTCTTGACCGCCAATACCCGCAACAACCCGATCAAAGAGCCCGCAGGCCTCCTTCACAGATACGCAAAAACAAAAAGCGCAGGCAGCCATCCGGAGGGGTAGTGACCACCGCTCCATTGAGCAAGCGTCCGCGCCGACACGAAGCGCTCAACGAAGGCGGGTCCGACAAGACTCACAGCGGAACATTGGAGCAAAGGGGACGGAAGGAGAGATGATGAAAGATGGACAGAGGAAATGAGTGGGAAACGGGACGGCACGGCAGACACTCGGACACTGAGGGGTTTATCTTATGTTTTTGATTCTGGAATCCGAACGGTTCATGCAATGCGAAGCGAACACAATCCTGGCGTTCATGGATGACGATGAATTCGATTAGAAGCGGAAGAGAAGACCTCTAACCTTCAAAAAACGGTCCGAGGCTTTATTAGCAGGGCGCCCCTGCCAGTGCTCAAACGCTTCAGCTATCTCCTCTTCCAGCATGCGTCTGGTTAATCCTCGTCTTTGAATCTTTTTGATCTTTTTGATAGATTCCAGATCGAGAGATTTCCATCCCATTCTGTGTTTCAGATCACTGGCTTGACATCTCGCCTGTTGGACGCGTGTCTCTTGCATTGAGGTCATCGTCTCTTTGAGATTTTTCATCGCTTTCATGAAAAACGCTGCAGCATCCCCATTGACTTCGGAGCCGCCAGCCCATTCTGTCACCGGTGGAAGCTCTTCGCTGACTTTGAGTGGAGACACACTTCTAATTGACCCGACTAGCATATCTGCGGAGCCCCCCACCTATGTCGATGAGCATGTAGGTTTTGTTCAGTGACAACTGGTTCTGGTCTTGTGTTTTCAAATAGAGTCTTAGCGCCAGTGCAGCCTCGGACACCAAGTAAAGCGATGGTTCTTGGATACCAGCCCCCTTGGCTGCTGCAAGATGTGTTGCCTGTGAAGGACAGTGTAGTCTGCAGTATAGCAAGAGCAATGCGAATATTCTGCGCCTTTTCAAGTAGCAGTCTCTTAAGGTCCGAGGGCTGCTCGGACTTGGGCCACTGAAGCTCCGGGTGGTTAGTGACGGCGAATTCGACGGCACATTGAAGGAGCCACTGTAAAAGCTGCGAAAACAGTCGAAGGGGGACTATGGTCTCTTGTAAGTCTTTTTCGTTTCCTGGGGTTTCGTTTTCCTCATGGTGAGTGCCAAATTCACCAGCAGAATTTTTCATATCCAAATTTAAATTCTCAACTTGTCCTTGCAGTTCTAGCGTCTCATCAACAGGCTTCCTCTGTGCTGCCATGTGGCCCTTGTAAATCATGGGCTTGAAATGCCGTATGATCTCGTGAGCATCAATCTCATCGTTCTTGAGTGCTTCGTCCACCTCATGACCAAACAGCGGTATGGGGATCGACTGTCTACTTCCCCTCCGTGTTACGGACCTGAAGGCAACTTGGGGCCGGACAAATGACTTGCCATCGGGAAATTTCACGATCTCACACGGACCACATTCGTCGGGAAGAGTCTTGCCGTTGACGGTAGCCTTTTTGATGACGAGTATTGCTGCCTTGCAGAACTCTGTACCCGGATCGAGAGACACTCGAAGATGGTACAAGATCTTTTTCTTGGGCTTGGATTTCTTGCGAGACTTTGTTTGATGAACTGAGGTCTTCTCCCCATCAGAAACTTTGAGTCTCTTATTAGATTCGGCTCCTGTGTCGCTGTGCTTTCGCTTAGGCGCCGTGGCACCAGGCCGGGTTGATCCCTCAGCTGGCTTCGTTACATTTTGTGTAGGCATTGTGCTCCACAATCCCTGATAGCCGGTCGATGTTTGACAGGATTGAGAAGCCGCTGAACAGATTATCCGAGTAAACTGGGAGGGATGTGGCATGAATTGGGTTTGTATCCAGTAGTGGGCGGTTTGTTAGGGAGCGACGCTTGAGATGTCGACTGGAAGAGATCTCAGACTGGCTGGGAGCGCAGCTATTTAACAGAGTGAACATGATAGACTGTAGGTCGTAAAGCGACTTTGCTTCTCGACGCGGTGAATACAAGCAAGGCCTGAGGGCAGCGATGACAGCGAAGGCAAGACAGTGCCTTTGTAAGTTCTTTGTGCCAACCATTATTGACCACGATATCCAGTACAACGATGACGCTCAACAGCACGACCCGTATCATTTTGCTCCTTTTGCTCCTTTTACTTCTTTTGCTTTTTGGGTCGGTGGTGGTCTCATCCTGCCCCAGCTTCAGCTTTGGCCCCATCGGCCATAAATGATAGAAAAGGGGGGTGGTGGTGTGTGTTACAGCAAACAAAGAAGCCAGCTAGACCAGCAAACAAAAAGCACGACTCACAGCTCACCGCCCACATTCCTAGATCAGCAAGTCAATCTGCCACGGCACATTCCAGGCCGGGTTTGTTTAGTTAGTATATACATCCTCGCCCCTGCCAGCCGCGGTCTTCCTCTTTCTCCTTGCCTTTCCTTTAAAGCCCGAGACCAGCCCATTCTTCCCTCATGCTTTGCTCTTTCAAATTGGTAGCTGAGCTCCAGAGCATACTTCAACATCTGACTGCGTCTTCAACCTAAAAAAGCCCATTATGGGAAGGCGGCGCGCGTGGTCGTCAGAAGAGACAAACGAGCTGTACAATGCGCTAGATGAGTGCGTCAAAGAAGGACTCGCATCATTTCACCACGCGGTAGCAAAGATTGAACAGCACCTTCTGACGACCCTCAAGAAAGAGGACACCCCTCTGAGCGAGAAGGAAGTCAAGACGAAGCTGTACGGGTCGGGCAAGAAAGTCGGCGTCAGTGCCGAGAAGCTTGTTACAGAATGGCGTCGGCATCGTCAACAGTTCGTTGCAGAAGGCCACCAGCGGCAAAGCGCAACTTAATCCGCAAGGTCTTCAAGCCAGCAAATTAGGAATTCAACTCTACCGCAGAGTCTAGAGCAATCATCGGACCGCTCCCCTTCGCCAGCTACCGACAGTTTTCACCTCTTCGCCAGTTACCAACGACCTCCCTGAGTCAACTGCGGGCAATCCCCTCCTTGAGAGGGTCTTCCATGATGGAGGTCTTTTTGGTGGGCCTCGTCGCGGTGATATACTACATCCCCAATCGAACAATTCTTCGGAGAGCTCAACGGCGGGGAGTAGCGATTCGCCTGGGGACGCCTTTATTCCATCATAAGGTCAAGAAGATCATAGAGAGTGCCGAGTTTCCGCACGGTTCCCTGGATGAAGCACTGCAGAAGCGCTGGCGAATCTACTTTCACAGAAGAAAACATGGTGGTCACATTGGCCCAGGGGACGCTTATCACGCCCTCTTCGAGGTGGTTTGACTGATCCAACACGGCGTCGAATCCTTTTGCAAGGCCTGCCCTGTTGCCCATTTGACTGCATCTAACCTCACTCGCGTTTCCCTCGGCCTAGGGCGGACTCTATGCTACTTGTTTGACCGAGGGTACGTAGAGTCAACTTTGAAGACTCTCCTTGCCGATCCCTTCATGACTGTGGAGGTTGTTCTTCGCGCATTTGCCGGGGCTGCCATGTTTGTGAGTCCCTCATGTCCTTTGCATATGGATGATGGCAAGATCATGCTTTAAACTCTCGCCTGACATCGCTAATCTAAAGAAACAAGAAGAACTGGTCGTTCGCAGATCTCCCAGCCCGAAAAGATCGTCGAAACTTCATCAAAAGCGCACTGGGTGGTAATCTTCTCGAATTTTGCGAGAAATGTAAGGTCTTCATCGGCGAGGAAGGCCAAACCCAAGTTTTCGGGACTTGCACGGCAATTTCAAAGATCGAGTGGAAAATGGGAACATCCAACCCCTGAAGCCCAAGCAGCGTCTGAAGGGGAAATCCTGGAGTATCGGCGTCTCCATCTGTGGGAATTCGAACGTCATATGGAAGCTGCCTTCCTGGCCGCACTTAATTTCAATGCGAGAAGGTGGGTAGCTGACCCTGACCAGGAATTCTCCATGATATATCCCAAGATTGGCCAGTCTTTCGACAAAGAATCGATGATACCGGCGGACTCGCAGACTGACTACCGGAAATTGCCCACGGACAACAAGGTTGCCCTTGCCCTGTGTCCCGCGGTGTACAAGACGTGGGACTTTAGCCCTGGCGACAGGCGACACACTTGCATACTCAAGGCCTTGGTCATGGCGGCTTTGGTCGGGATGAGACAAGGTTCGGGTATCTCCCGCTCACGGATATGCCTTGAATATGCCCAGCGGAGGACCGAGGGTCGGCTGACGGGCTTCTAATTTCTACTTGTACAGTAATATCTTGCCCATTCTCATCGACATGACATTTTGTTTTACCTATTGACCTGGGCGCCGCCAATGGCATGATCATGGCTATTTCTACAGCGATCGCTCCTCTCATTTGTTTTTTTGCTAGCATTTCGTACGAAGGGAATTGATGAAATGATACAGAAAAAAAAAAGAGAGAGAGAGAAAGGGAAACGCGTCCTCGGATGCTTCTAGTTCCTTCCCCACCGTTTCCTTATGGGAGAATAGAAGCAAGGAATAATGGATATATATTGGCTATATATAGCTAGGACATAAGCGCAAGCGAGACACTTTACGAGGGGGTACATATACACGGGATAGGATTTATTGACGTTCTACGACTCCTCTGGATGAACAAACAAAAGGAGAAGGAGCAAGAGGAAGAACGACCGTTGAGAAAAACTCTCTTTTTTGGTTTCATTGTATCTTTGCTACTTGCCTGTACTTGCCTGTACTTGCCGTACCAAAGCTCAAAGATGTGATGTTGGATCGGAGCTGTCCGACCAAAGATTGAGTAAATGAATGAATAGGCAGGTCACTTCCACTGTGAATCATTCCAGCCCAAATCAGCGTATGGATCCCTTTTCTTGTCGGCCCTCGGTACATGGTGGCGCCTCTGCGATTCCTCATCCTTCCTGTCCCGTCATTCAAATCCGCTTCAACAAACCAATACCCGTATGAACAATCACATTCATTTCCATCGAGACATCATCAAGTGCCACAAGCACTAATCCACGCGAACCACATACTACTTCCATTTGTCTTGTTTTCTTCTCAATAGCTCGGCCAGGCGAAAAAGGATGATACCCTCTCATGTTTTATGGCTGAGCATTCCCATCCCTCACGGCATCAATTCTCTGCCTTTCTTGGGGCTCCAGGTTGTCATAGTACCTTTCAGCCAACCCTCCTTCCCAACTGTCCAGGCCAACCTTATCCTTTACCGCAATAAACGGGCTCCGATACACACTAGCCATGCCTTTGTGCTTCTGGATATAGTATCCCGCTACTCTTGCCCAAAATCCACCCCTTGCAACCCAATCACTCAGCTGCTTCGGGACGGGTCGGTCATTGATGAGCAAGCCCGTGGGTCCAAGCGGCCGCTTCTCAAGAGACTGGACGAGTAGAAGGGACGGATCGGCCATAGGAGGCGGCGGAGGATATTGGATTACCGAGGAATGGGGTTGAATTGGTTTTGGGATTGGGAGCTGGGGCTTGTGTAGCATCAGCATACCCCCATGGCCACTAGTGTTGAGCGGATCGTAAATCGAGCGCTTGGGAATGTAACTGCTGATTTGCAGAGGATTAATACTCGCAGCGGGAAACGGTGCCATATCGTGTATCATGTCTAGATCCATCATGTCCATTGAAGAGGACCTCTTTAATCCCATGTGACTCAAAGGGAAAGAGATGGATGATGCCAAACCTAGTCCGGAGAAACTTCCTCTCGCAGAGCGATGGCCAGCACTAGATCCGGGTGGGCTGATCTGCGTGGCATTCGGGTTGATAAATTGAGGAGGGTTCTGCGGATCGAGTGGTTGCATGGAGGGGCTTGCGGTGGACGAGCCTGCATGCTGCAAAAAGGAAGCAGAAGCATCATGTTGCTGATGCAGGCCAGGACTGGGAATCATGTACGAACTGCTTGGTCTGCTACCCGGTGGAGAGTTCTTCTCTGCTTCTCTTTGGGCCTTGATTTGATCAGGGCTCTTAAATGGGTAAGCCGGGTTGGAAATCCGACGCTGCCGTTCGACTTCGGCTGAAGGTGGAGGTGGAGGTGGTTGACTTGTGGCCGCACGGATTGTTTCGATGCGGGATTGTTGATACGGAGTACTTGGAGCCGAAGATCCTGCAGCAGTGTGATTCGAACTGCCGTGGTACGGGAATTGAAGGTGAGATTGTTGGACATACGAAGGGAAAGGAGAAGTGGCAGGGGATTGGGATCGACCATATTGAGGTGTTAGCATAGAGTTAAGACCTGAATTTTGGGGATGTCCAAAACCCGGGCTCTGACTTGCGGCAGCAGGGTTCATCCAATCACTGCTGTATTCGTATTGCTGTGACCGCATGTTTGAAGTCATCATTGTGGGACCATAGCGACCAGTGTTATCCAGGGTGGTGAAGCTCGGGAAAGGCTCATACTGCTTGAGCGGCGGCAGTGATGGATCATTTGACCACTCCTTCATATGCTTGGCATGTTGAGATGCTTGCTGTTGGAAGTGTCTCTGACGTTGGACAGCATCATGGTCAATTCCAATACCAGTATGGCGAATGGAACCGGTGGGGTTCTCTGCGGCATCCAGCTGTCGAGCTTTGGCTTGCTGTCGCTGAAATATCCGTGCCTGCTCGTTCAGGCGAGCCTCTTGGCCGGTCACGATGTCTCGATACTGCGATCGCTTAATCTGATTGGCTTTTATTGGCTTAATCTGGCTGCTGCCGATCGTGAGATCTTGTGTTGTTCCGCTGAACGTTCCCGGAAGGACTGAAGATTGCAGAGCCTGCTTGTCGACGGTCTGCCTGATATTTGCCATTGCAGCACTCTTTGCCGTAAAGCTGGCCCGCGGATGGGAAGCAGAGAGTGCTTGGCGCTTGGGGTGAGGCGGTGGTGCCATGGCTGTTTTGGGAGGCGCGACAACGTCGAGGAAGTTCGACGCAGGATCATGGACAGGTTTGTCAGGATCGGCGGTATAAAAGGCCTTCCCTTCTGATGACGACTCTCCAAGATAGATCCACAGTTGCTTTTCCTGGCTGAGGTCGACAGGCTTCTGTGCTTTGTTAACGAGAGGCAGAGCAGAGACAAACTCTGCCCATTCGGTTCTTGGCTCCTCAGCAAACAGGTCGCCTGGGCTGGGCTTCTTCTCGGTTGATTCGGGGAGTGAAGCAGTCTTGCCTTGAAGCTCTTCGGGAAGGTCAAGCGCATTTGCACTTGGCTTTTGTAGATACGAGGTGGCAGAGTCGACAAACAGGATCGATGTCGGATCTACCTCTTTTACTTGTTTCAGATCTGGTAGGATCTTCACAAGGACCGAGTCTTGGCCTTCTTCGTACCCAGCAATGACCAGGCCTGCTTCAATGTCGTCGGTATTGGTGGCTTGAAATTGAATAAGGTCCCCTTCCTTGAGGCTGAACAAAAATCGACGGAATTCGGCATTCTGCCAGCAGCTGTTTGCGTGATTGCAGGCGGAAAGTTCGCTCGTGATCCTTGTCCGTTTGACTGTGCGATGCAGACGACATCTCCAGTCGAACCCAATGTCACGATACTCCACCCCTTCGTGCCAAACAGCGATTTCGCCCTTATCGACCTGTACACCAGCTTGCATGGCACAGGTCGCGTGGTATGACTTGGTGCATTTCGCCGATGAGCATTGAAAGCACGAACCTTTCTTCAGCCGACACTCGTAGCACTTGAGTTCCAGACGATCTTTGCTGATGTTTTCAACATTGTAAACCATTTCCCTGCCGTCTTTGCTGGCAATGTAGGTTTCTGGCGTGTACATGGCACAAGTTCTGTGAGCACGCTGGCCGTGCGTCGTCGGCAGAAGCTCCTCCCAGGAGAAATCGTTCGGGCACAGGCAGCAGGGCTGGTTCTTGCTGACTTTTCTGATTTTGATGATTTTCCTGGCTTTTTTGTTCGGTCCAAGCTCCTTCGAAGCTCGTTTTCGCTTCTGTGGGACTTTTATTTTGCCTCTGTCGCTGCTCGGAGGTGTCGGCAGGTCTGTTGGTTCGTCCTCATCTTCGTCGTCTGTGACCTCAACTTCTTCGAACTCGGGTGTTGGTTCGCCGTTCATCCTTCGAATGAACCATTCCACATCGATAAAGACACTGTCGGCTTCACACTGGCACTTTCGTGCAGTCTTGCCATATTGTAACCAGTTTTCAATGGCGAAATTGACAGACTCTGCGCAGTTGTAACCCAAATTGTAGCCGGAATGGTACCCAATTGGAAAGGTGATGATAAACTGGCCTTCTCGATGGACAACTTTGTTGACATTGACACCGAATTTCGATTTGAGTATTGCAGGCGATACCAGATAAGTCTTGTGGCGCAGGAACTGGTCGCAGTTCTTCGCATCTGACGACCAGATAGACTTCATAGCCGCTTCAAACTTGGGCGCGTCTTTTTGAGATACACTGTACCATTGCTTCGGGGCACCGAAGTGAATGTAGTTGATGCTGTAAAGATCCACATCTTCCAGATGCCACGCAAAGGTTGCTCGCCACATTCCAAGGTACAGGTAAGCTGTGTTGACGCCGGGAATTGGTTGGCCCAAAAGGTCGAGCAAGTTGGGTAGTTTCGCGACATTCCATTCCTTAGTATCGTCGTCAAATAGAGATCCCGGCATATCGGCAGCGTACATAGGATTGCTGAAGTTCAGACTTTTCCAGTATTTCTCTTCGAGTTCGTCGCAGCGCTCGGGCGTCCACTGATCGTTATCATATACCCGATAATCAAAATCGCGGAAAGCCTCTTCGTCGATTTCATCAATGGCCTCGCGAGCATTCCGCAGTCGACGAGCTGCAACGGTGGTTTCCGATCCCTTATTAATACCCAAAGCTTCTTTTCTAGCGCCATTTTTGGGTGGTCGTCCTCGTGGTCTGCCAGTGCCAGGCGGTCTGCCTCTCCCTCTCTTGGCCTTGATCGGGGTTGGATCAGCAGTTGAAGAAACTGCCTCATCTTCCCCTGCCTCATGGTCCAGGGCGGCTGGCTTCACCTCGGGACTCGTCGGTGTCGGCGGGGCGAGAAGGGTGGAATCGTGATCAGTTGGTTCCTCTTTAATAGGAATGGATTTGGCACGACTGGAGGCTCTCTTAGAAGCCTCAGGGGTTGCCGATGCTTCGGTTTTCCTGCTGCGAGCAAGGCCTCGTCCGAGTAATTTGTCGGCGTTGAGGCGCTTCTCACCCCGTTTGGCGGGAGGCTGGTTCTCAGTCTGCTCGCACAGAGATTTCCACTGCGGCAGATTGTAAGACCGCATTTTCTCCATGTTTCGTTGCGTATAGATCCCTTGGGCACCATGGAATTCCTGCGTGATGGGGTTTCTAATCTTGATGGTCTTGACGATTTCGTCGAGATCTTTCCGCTCACGTTTCCTGTGATACAATCAGTCCTGTGAACCACGGTGAAAGTGATGTCCGCCAAAGATAGTCTGACAACAAGGTCCGGCAGGAGCAGCGACATACCATTCTTCAGGAGGATCAATCAGGACGATACCTGACTGCATGCCATAAGGATCCACACCCTTGACATATCTTTGAAAGTCCTTGAACTGTTCCATTGTCTGTTGTCCATGTTTGTCAGCCTAGTATTCTTTGCTTGCGCATCACATCGTGTCATGATATCGACCCGTATGGTACATACTGGAGTAAAGATCGGGACCCCATTCTCATATCTATCCGGTTTGACCTCCGAGAACTGTTCCGCTTCGGCGCCAGCGCGTGCAGCCTCCTCAAATCTCATCCTATTTTCCTCGTCTTCAATGTCATCACCAAGTTCGGAGAGGGAGGAACTCGAAACTGCGTCATCGTCCTTGTGACTCCCCTCGTCTGTAGTGGGAGGGGTATGAACTTGAGGCGGCGCTGGGAGAGACTGGGACATGGGATCTCGATTGTCCAAGGCAGCGGCACCAAGCCCATCGGGGACAGGGAGGGTGGTGGTCGCAGGCAAGGTGACTGCTGCCATGGTCGGAGTGAGGAAAGGCGGAAAAGGCTGAAATCGGGTATCTTTGGGGGTGGCGAGCGGACGGGTTCGGTCAGGGCGTGTCCAAGCACATGAAGAGAGTTGCAACGAGACCCGTCGCGCCCTCTGACCACGAGCTTTGACGGGGATACAGAGCGATGTCTATCGTGAAAGAGAGCGCTGTTGATTGTTCTCACGCAGGGACTGACTGGGCTGCGATGGGAGTCGGGACGTTGAATCGAGCAGTCCTGGGTCGCGCCCAACCAGGTCTAGCGTGGTGAAGGAACTATCTTCTTGGCATGCGAAGTGCCGGTCGTGCATCGGCGCTATTATCAGGCCACTGGAATACCAGCAAAGACCAGCCTGAATACTACATCGTAGGAAACAGTCCTGCGCCAGTGGATACAACGCTCTCAAAACCTGACAATTTTGGCTGAACTGTTGGCTACAAACTAGATAATCGGAAGATCGCTGGCTTCTATCTCCAAAGCTTCTGCACCACGCATCGCACCTCCTCAAGACATCGCCTGTGGCTGGTGTCATCATCCTGCACCCCGTATGCGCCTCTTCGCAAGCCTCCTGCAAGTAATTGGCTCGCTTGGTCGATCCAGGCACAACACCCCGGACCGGCCTGGGACTGCGAATGCGAACCATCCCCCGCAAACGCACACAAAAACCCCTTGTGCTGCCAGGCTTTCCGCCTGGTTAATCATCTCCCCGACCACACATTCCCATTTGCCCAAATGCCGTCCAACCAGCACAATGCCATCCTCCAATTCAGGATTGGTCTCGTACTAGTACTCACTCAAGGCAAGCTTCTTACCCACAGTCCTCCTCCTTTGTACAATCTGTTCCGAAGGTTTGGGTTGATCCTTTTTGAGCGCTTGCAACAGCATGCCGGCATCAAAAAAGCCATCTAGAGAGACATCAAGGTCAGTGAAGATCCGCAATCAACGATACGCGAAGGAAAACTTACATCCACCCAACCCATCATCTTCCACCTCTGCCGTATCCAAACTCGTAGGCGTTTGGAAGCCATCAACCTTGGAAGCTTCAGTCTTGATAACCCGGCCGCGAGATTTGAGGCGGCCGTCCTTGCCCGCCTTTTCCTCTGCTTCTCTGGCTCGGGTGATCTTGGAGGCTGCAATGTCTTTCGTTTTAGTAGCTTTCAGCAATCGGCGGATTTCATGCAAGTATGATTCCAAGCTGTCTACGAAACGTTGGGTTTGCCGGTGCTTGCTGCTCGCACAAACAGAAATAGAGTCATCCTTGATGATGTACCCGATGCCGAAACCGTCTCCGGAAGTGGGCCCGAAGCCGAAATGGCGCAGCGACGGATTGCCACAGTTGGATGTACTGATGATGGTGTTGTTGATCTTGTCCCAGCCGGGATCACTGAACAGGGCTGGCATATGCTGTAGAGCCGGCGCAGGCGAGCGGCTGGACTCGGTCCCAGTCCGAGAACGGCTGATCGGTGAAGATGTCTCCTCTAGTCGTTTCGGACTACCCAGGTCGCTCATGTCGGTGGGGCTAGAATAGCCGTTCGAGCTGAATCCAGCAGTACTGCCAACCTCTGCTGACTCGTCGTTCACCTTGCGCTGCCACACGCAGTACAGAGCGTACAGATGCCGGTCTGGACCCTGTGCTTTGCTCGATTCCTTGGTGATGGCGGTATGTTTCTTCGTCGCCGTTGTCAGTGCGTCGACCTTCTTTTGAGCGGGGTTGTCAGCCCAAAAAGTTTTGACGAATTCGACGCATTCCGGCGTGACCGTGCGAATGGCCTCCGTCCGACCATGGAAGAACGTCTTGGTCATGGCAGGTTCATAGGTATTCTCAACACGACCGTAGAGACCATAATATGCTGCTTGGAAAGCCATTTGCACAAACGCATCCGGGGAGAAGCCCATCGAAGTGATGAAATTCTTGCCGTAACCGGCGAAATCTAGCGTCTGGAACTCATTTTGGTTGATGAGGTCCGCCAGCCGTGTCTCCGCGAACCGCAAGGCAATCTGCAATTCAGGGTGCATGTCCCACTCGAGCTTGTGAGGAGTGGTGCTCACATCGCCAAAGCTGTTAGGGTCTCGCTTTGAGGGGTCGGGGCTCTGGCTTGTCCACAACGTCGGCGCTTGACCGTTGATGGACTTTGCAAATCTCAAAATCGTGTCGGTGTACACGTCACTGGCAAAGCGGAGGACAGTATGGCCGTCCACGCCTGTGTGCTCGAAATTGATGCCGGCACTGCCGTTCTTGCAGACAATGATCTGGAGCTTGTCATACCATCTGTTGGTGCAGGTCCCGACTTGAACACCACGCTCGACCTCACTAGTGCCACAAAGCATGTTGCCGCAAAGTTGGGACACGTCGGCGGGCTCAGTATAGTCCAAACAGACCATGAACAGGGCCGAATCGACGATGCTAAGACAGTCCGCATTATTGGAGCCTTCTTCCCTGGTCAAGAGATCTCGGAGGTGTGACCAGACCTTTCGGTTTTCGGTACTGAGCACCCCGATGGCACCTTTGGCGGCCTCCTGGATGGGTGTCTGCTGGGCATCGTCGACAATAACCTGCAGGTTGATGGCAAAGTCCTTTTCCGTCATAATCAGGTCGTTATTATCGTCAAGAACGTCAAACCAATAAAACTGACCGCGGCACATAACAACAACATGCTTAGAGTCAGAATCCTGGCCGATGATGCAGCCATTCTCGGTCGGTACTCGTGCAGTTCCGAAGAGTCGAGAGTATTGGTACATACACAGCGGCGTTCCTCTTAAGGTGTCTGGCGGCAGCTCTTCCTTTCTGACTGCTCTGACGAAGCAGAGAGCGGAAATCACCAAAGAGGCCGCGCGTGTGACTTGGTTGTTCCGGGCTGGGGTTGGATCATCCTCGAGAAGAAAGAACGGGTTGAGGTTCAAGACGACGGGGTTGTCATAGTTCAGATACGAGTCGTACCAAAACTGTTCGATATAACTAGTTCGGCCGGTGGCATACTTCTTCAATCGGTCTTGCAAATCCTTACCTTCGTTTTCAACGAAGTCCCGAACAGCAGCCTTTGTCTCGTTGTGCTCCGACGGCGACTGGAGCGGAGCGAGAGCATCAAGGTATTTCTTCATAGTCGACTCCAGTTCAGGTATGGGCAACTTCGGAAGCTTGTCCTGCGCTGCAAAGGTGATTCCTTGTTTGGAAAGTTCTTTCTTTAGAGACAAAGGTTCCTTCTCCACCTTGGTATAGGCGTCTGTGGTCTCTTTGGCCGCCTCAAGCGACCGCTCCACTTGACCGTTCGACATATTGGCGTGGACTCCGTTCTCCCGGGAAGAATTGTTCAATGTCGCGTCGAGGGATTTAGGGCGGGCAAAGTATCTGGCTCCTGTCCCTGAGGAAGACATGGTCAATATCTGAATCATGCGTACAGCGCAGCCAGCACAGTGGCAATGTTCAAAAGGCGAAGTGCGGTACGATAGAAGTAGTGGCAGTCATGCAAATAGTAAGAGGGCATGAGGAATGCGATTTCCGAGATGGAGGGAAGGGAGGCACGCCCGAATGTCTGATGAGGGAGGAGCACACAGATTGCGGGAGAGGAAGAAGGAAGAGAGAAGAGCTCTGGTCTAGAAGAATTCGTGCGAACTGCATAAATTGTCATCTGGCACAGGGTCAGGATGTCAAGAGGGGTTTTTCACGCCCTTGAACCTTGCCCGAGGGCAGCATTTCTCAAAGCACCTCTTACAGAGCCGATCTGTGCATGTGAAAGGGTGCAGCAGGGATGGTGGTCGTATGACGATAGCATCTGCCCGGTTCATTCGCGACCGGGAGGTATCGCAAGAAGCGCGAGATTGCACATGGACAGGGAACAGGTGTGGGCAAGTGGTCAATGTGTGTTTTCGCCGTGGGTGCGTTCGGAGGAAAGGAAAGAGACGTGGACGTACAGAGTGTTGGAAAACCGCAGAGCGCAGTCTGACTCGTCAAGAGGCTAAAATCCGCCCGCGCTTTGGGCGGTTGGAGGGGCCCTCAGTGGCCTGAGAAAAACGACCCTCCTAGGCGTGGGAATCGCTGCGCCGCGACGATTGGAGTCAACCGAGGTGGGAGGAAGAGTCAATGAGTCCGAATCAGACTGGAGAACTCTATGTCCGTGTTCGTCTGAAGTTTAGAGAAATAAATGTCCAAAAGAGTTGTCTGCAGCACTTGCAAACTGGGGGGCAGTCGTGTGGTTCGACCGAATACCAGCACCACTTGTGACTTGACCAATTCGGAAGCTCTGTGACGTATTAATATTTGGATATCGAACCATCCCAATCCCCAAGCTGACATCGACTGGGCTTTGCAGCCCTTTAAAAGGCCTGCGATCCTAGAGCTTCTAGAAAATCTAGAACGAGAACGGCGTTCTCGTCCCACTGTTGGGATTCTTCGCCCTTCTCGCCAGGTCAAGGAACGACGGACGGGTGATCGGAGGGGGGGTCGAAAACAATGAAACCGGATCATGAGGAAAACTTGGGTGTCTGACGACGAGGGCGTGAGCTGCGCTTCCTTTTCTCCGCAAGCCAAACCTGGGGAAAGGAGTACATGGTGGAAGGGATCGAGAGATGGTGCTAGTGTGCTAACGGGGGCAAGGGGGGGTTCCAGACAGGGCGGAAGTCGAAGCCGGGATAAAACCGAGACGAACTCGCCACCAAGCAGACGGAACTTTTGGAAGGCTGTAAACCACTGGGACTCAATTGAGGATTTTGCAAATGCTGTTGATACACTTTTCTGTCCAGGTCTTACTTTGCAGACTCGAGCCACCTCCTTCCTCAGAACCTCGCCTTCCTGGGCACTCTCACCTCCTAAAATGGTCTTCAAGCCGCACTCCCGGTGGCCAAGAATCAAGATCCAGAAAGGCCATGATGTCCAACTCACCAGCGGAACTCCAAGATGGGTACATACAGATGGTGAAGCAACATGCCTGTAGAAAAGAAAAGAAAATACTCCCAACACTGCTCTCTTTATCTGCGCAGCTGCTCGCAAACCCGCCACCAACACTTTGCACATGCATTTTACCCGGTCCTAAGCACAAGATAACATGGCCATTGGTTTGGTTGCTTGGGCTTGGAGGTCATCCAATGAATCGTGAGATCATCCAGAAGCGAAGCGCCACTTATAACGTGACAGTGGGCAAGCCGCCAGGTTGCAAGACGTTCGCAGCGTACTCGCCACCAAAATTGCCTGTCAAAGTCAAGTCAGCAAATCTCTTGCACATCCAGAGACGAAAGGCCGTCAAACGGACATACCTGGTGGACTATAGTTGCAGACGGTGAAATAAGGGCTTACATTGCCACCAGTATTGGCCAATCCATTGGGACAATACTGAGTGGCACAACCGACAGCGGTGGTCGATTTCCAGACAATCTGGGAATAATGACCCCATTTTTCGAAGTTGCTCATGTCCGGCTCCACCCCATACGCCGGGTAAAAGTTGATCTCTCCATTGTACATCTCGTCCGTGATCATGGCAGGGATACCTGAGGGAGGAGCACCAGCACCAATGTTCTGGCCATAGCCACCACCGCCGGTGGAAGTGTCATGAGCATAAACACAGCTGGCGGCGATCTGGGCGGCGATTGAAGCCATCTGATCACTCCAGGTCAGATGTGGCACAGACGCGTTGTCGCGATGCATGTTGTGAGAATCGAGAATTCCCTGCTGATAATCCGAAGAGACAGAGGTGGAGGCGGGTGAAGGTGCCGCTTGAGCGGGAGTCGAGGCTTGAGGTGTCGACCAAGAATCAGAGGCTGGAGATGGGGCAGGTGTATCAGGAGGAGCAGAGGCAGGAGAAGGCGACTCGCTATTCCATCCATGCCATTGGCCCCAACTATTCCAATTGTTGCCGCCAGAGCTAACTTGGGCAGATGGAGTGGGTGTACCAGCAGGCGGATAGCCGGTTACTGTGACGGTCACGGTGTACAGGTCGATTTCGGTCACATACTCGCGCTTGTCAAGAGGGGAGGCAGCAGCCATACTGGCGCACATGGCGGCGATGGCGAAGGTTGCAACAGTCTTCATCTTGAATGAATGATTGATTGATTGATTGATGATTGATCGAGAGTTGGATTGGAGGTGTCTGTGGGCACGAAACAGCAGATGACGGCAGGGTCTGAGCGTACGGATTGTCACTGTCTCTAGCAGGAAAGCAGAAGTCGTTGTTTAGTGACTGTCTGCTGTTGGCCGCGTGAGCAATGTGCTTCTGTTGACGCAAGTTCTTCACACCAGGTGAGGCAGTATGTGTGGGAATGGACTCTGGTCAAAGAGCTGGGTTGACAATGCTCGGACGATCTAGTCCAAACAGCACGGTCACTGACTGTGCTTCTGCTTGTGCTTCTTGAGCGATAATTGGGGCAAAATGTGGCTAAGTAGGTGGCGAAAAGAGCGACTGTCCGATTGTGTGCACCTCGAGAGAGTGAAGAGGGCTCAAAGGGACTGGAGACGAAGGTAAGGGGTGGCAGATGGCCTAAAGAGGGACTGGAGGTGAGGTGGAAGAAAGGCGGAAGTTGAGAAGTCGAGGCTGTCGAGGTGAAGAGAATGGTAATAAAGGTGAAGCCGCAAGGGGTGTATGTTTAGTGGAGGCCTTGATGAAAGCGGGCGCCGACCTCCTTTGAGACGGTGACCAGTCGGAGAAAAAAGAGCACAAAGAAAAGCGGCTCCACGACGGTCCTGCTCCAATTGCAGACCTGCAGCGACAGGGCCTCGAGGGACCAGGGTGCGCTCTGGCCTCGCTAGCCTTCGATGCAAGGACAGTTGGCTCCAAGTCGGTACCTGGAGCTTAACCGGACAGGGCCTAATTGCAGCTAAGTCCAGATAGGGCTATGCCCGATACAGTTGGGGTGCTGGGGAGTGATGGCGAGTGCGGGGAGCTAGAGAGCCTCGGAGGTTGGGCGGGAGATTTGTCGCTGTAACGATCTGGAAGGGCAATCTGGACTGAAACGCCCACGTCGACCAGGGTGGCAGATGATATTCCAGTCTTTGACCACTGCCCAGCGCCGAAGCCCACGAAGTTCACTAGGCTCACTTGGCCCCAAGAATCACAAAGAGCGAGACAGAAAGAGCGTGGTGGCGTGGTGCAAAAAGGAGATGAGAGGGAAAAACAGAGGGCAGAGAGAAAATCAGCAGGCGGGAAAGACAGGAGTGGGCTTTTTGAACAAACGGGAAGACACAGAAGAGCACGGTTGCAAACTGAGGCCTGGTTTGGAATTTCACCTGGCCCTCCTCTTCCTGTTCCTGAGCAGGGAATCATGTTGCTCGATATATGGACGGGGCGTGGTCTTTACATGTCGACTACCGAGTCCTGGTCGACCAGAATGCGCCGAGTTGGAATTTCAGCTGGGCGCCTCTGGATGGTGTACCTCGTGCTCCCATCTGCGACTTCCCGGCCCCTGCCACCACGCGCCCGCAGGTGAGAATCGAGATAATAATTAGATCGATTCCTCGCCAAATTGGACCGCGCATGGTTGAAACCGCACCCCCCCCCCCCAAACCAAGATGCAGTTCCCTGCGCTGACGTGTTCAAGCAGGGTTTAGTGGGTGCAGTCGGAGAATAAAGTGGCTTGCAGCTTCTAGGGCATGATTAGGAGCACCCATTGGCACCCACTGGCACTCAGAGGGGCACTCAGAGGGGCGTGGCGTCTAGCCGCTTATCAAATTGCGCCCCGGAGATCGGGCTGCTGGGGAGTCAGCGATTGGCCCAGACTGCCGAAATTCACATCCCAGACCGACAGGGCTCCTCGCTACCTGATAATACAACCGATCACTTGCCCCGTTTTTCACATTCCTTTTTGGCGACGCTCTAGTTTGTTTCATCTCCTTGTTCAAAGGCAGACCACTATCAAGCAAGGTGAAGTTGTGTCACACTATGGACATGTGTGAACTTGTCCCCCATCCAACCACCATTCTATGGAGCCAGCTTCTTATATACCGTGTGCCAGCATTCACGTCGAAAAGGGCATTCATCCACTCCTTCCAGGCTCATCGTGACTGCGAACATCCTTGCGCTTAGTCGAACCCGTAGATCATCTAGACGAAGAAATGCAGCTGATGTGTCCTATCTTGGTTCAAATGCCATCGCCGGCCCTGTTCTCCTCACCCTTTTCATCGGTCCACGCCGCCGTGTGCCCCCGTCAGCTGTGTTTTCCACGGCATTTCACCGCAGACTAGCACATACGGAAAGAGATAGAAGTACGCACACCGGACGAGCAGAATCGACAGCTCCCAGTTGAGAATCGCTGCCGCTGAAACGCTACTTCTACATATCCATTCCTGTTCTCCCCTTCCAGTCGCCAGGTAGACCCCGGTCTGTTGTTTCAGTTACCAGAGCTGAGCTGAACTCTTCTGCCATCTTAACAAGGGAGATTAATCTGATCGGAGCGTCGATGTGCATACCTGCTTGAAAGGGAAATGCAATACGCACCAAAGTGTACGGCTCTGCACAGCGGCGGCGACGCGGGTCAACAACTGCACTACACCTCTGGATGTCGAGGACTGGATGCTGTCCTACGTCCCTGCGTTACACCTGTACCTTCCCAAATTTCTCCAATAACTGTTGAAGTCAGTACCTAGGCACTTAGGCTGACTGGTGTATGGAATTGACGTGACTTTCAGCTTCGCCTCACGAAATGGTCTCTCCGTTGTCAGTCATCTGGACTAGATGTTGTCGTGATATGGTCAGCTGCTCAGCCCGAAATGTCTCAAGCCAAGCTGTCACCTTGATCGTGCCCACCTCGGATTCTTCGCACCACCCAATATTTTGTGGGTTTTAACGAGTAGTCAACAGAATCCATCATCTCACTTTGAAACACGCAGGGAATGCAAGTGCCTGGCAAGATTGTCAAGGTATCTAGCTCGAAACAGGCGAGCGAACAATCATCCCTTACCTATTTCTATCTTCAGAGCAAAACCTGGGCATCGCGGTCGTGGATCAAACAAGGACTCTAGGTTTCAATGCCAACTTAGAACATAACACGTCGCCGCTTGCAGAGACATGTTGTTCGAGGCAGCAGGAAGGTACTGACCACAGCATATTACGAGCAGTAGCCCTGCATGCCTATATGGCCAGCTTCGGACGTTTGAACCCTCCGCTTCCGTGCTCAATGTCCCCATACTTGCAGAAGCACTGGTGCAGTTGCAACACGAACCAATCCACGTACGGAGTTTGGTGCACATCCGGCTATCCGCCGCCAGCCACGATCAACTGGGCTGTCATTCTACTCTGACGTCGGGACTCTGGATGAACAGTATTGACTATTCTTCAGGCTACTTTCGGCGCATTCTACCAGGATTGCTACCCGGCCCCAGGCTCGCTGAGTCCATGTCTCGCATAAGAGATGTCAAGTTGAGCCTTCTTTCGATTCTGACCACGTGGTCTCAACTCGATACATCCCCTGCATGAGCAGAAGCATCTGAAGGTGATTTCATGTGCAACGCGAGCAACAAGCAGTCCAATTCGGTCCTGCGAGTCTGACGACGAGCCTAGGAATTGCATTTCCTGCTCAGCTTTTTTGACTCAACCTCAAAAGGATCCGAAGACCGCAAGGTCTGGATAATGGCGGGATTACATCCTATTTTCAGGTGCACCTCTCCCCTCCATTTTGATCCATGGTGTCCTCAATTCTTGAACGTACGGAATCTTTGCGGTCCCTCTTGCCTAATCTCTGCTATGCTGCTACTCAGATTGTTGCACGAGCTTCGCAGATGTCGTCTCGACCCTTCTAATGCGAGAACAAGTCATGATCTCTTCAATGGGTGGGCGAGTTTGCCATACCATCACTCATACATGAAGATGACATTTGCTTTCGAGTCAGAGTTCGATACAGACATCATATCACTGTAATTTCGACGACACGTCCTGCCGAGGTTCGGCTGATGTCGCCTTGGAGCAGGTCTTCTGGTTTCTTTCGTGACGTCTCGGTGCCACCACCTTTTCATGATACAGACTCCCATCCAACAATCTCCGTACATCTTCCTTTCGTAGGATCCCATCCTCAGGCCAGATTAAGACCCAGGCGAATCCCCATTCAAACATGGCAGAAACTTGGCCGAAGAAGTCAAATGCCATTCTCGATCTCCTCAATCCGTGCCACAGTTCCCACTTGGTCAGCCCACCTTTCCCATCTATGTCAAATTTGGTAAAGAAATCTTCTAACGGCTGTGGTCTGAAACGGCCTTCGGAGTCAAAGGTACCTGTCCCGCTGCCGTGTTTGTTCATGTATGCGTTTTTCACCCAAAGTCTAAAGAAGGGGTCAGGCAGCCAGCCAGGAACGGTGTTATACGATTGTACTGCGTGGAGGAAGCCGGTAAAAAATAGAGAGGTGGGGATTGACCATTCGAAAGAGCGACAGGTGCGGTAGGTGTCAGAGGGCCATATGATTCCATCGCCATCAGGGTCGAAGAAGGAGCAGTGTTGCTCCAGAACCTGATGGAGTCGACAATTAAGCAAGCTGTCTGATCTGGACGACGCAAGTGACTTACAGTCTGGTGTTGGTGTTTCTCCGCCCAACCATTTTTCACCGTTCCATTTGGGGCATCTGACGAGGGAGCGTACGTGGCCCAAACTACGCCAGAGTTCTGAAGCAGACCGCCAGGGGGTGGTATATGCGCCTTGTACTTCTCTGTGACAGGAGCCTCTGGTATGGAAATCCGATGCGCGATGGTAGCGCATTCCACGTATGGTGACATTGTTTCCCATCAACCAAGAGTCAACCAAGATGGTCGGAAGTAGAGTACACTAGAGAGCCATGTACAAATATACATGTTATTCGACGCGCTGTGCATCATCAAGCATCTGGCGGCATTGGCGGCATTGAAAAGTCTTGACATCATCGACTCTGTACGTGGCGGTCCAAGCCACTGGGACGTGCACTCAAATTCGGTACTACAAACACATAGCATTATGCAGCTACTCATTCAATGAAGAGGAGATGACCAGTCCACGGCTCAGAGACGAGCATGGACACTCCAGGACACTCCAGGACACCCCATATGCGCAGTCGCCAGAATGCTTTGATACTCTGTAGTGGTCTTCGCGGCCCTTCCGCCAATCCAAAGCGAATGGTCAATGGCACGCCGATTGGATGAAGTCGAGACAGGGAAACGAGATAAAAAGTGGCAGTCTGACCGCAAGAATATCAGGAACAACCTTTGATACCTCACGCCCCAGGCGTCACAGATCAGGCCGATGGAAGATTACGGGTCCAAAATGAAGCCGCTTTTCAATACTATATTCCTGCCAGGAGAGACGAAGTATAAGTGAAGTCTTTTCTCACTCCAACTGAAGAATCTCAGTCGTGTGGCAAGGCGACTCGGTCAGACCGCAACCTTCGTTTCTTTCGTCACTACCCTGGTTACCCGTTTGCTTTTCAATTTCTTTTCACCTTCAGCAAATACTCATACATAGCTTTCCAAGATTAGGCCCGAGTACAATCTCTCAGAGAGTTTATTGGGACAGTTTGCGGGGGGCCCTTCCAACAAATCTCGGTGGGATTAAAAAGTCAAGGGCCAGAAAGGGAAGAGAGACGAAAAACACGAAGTGACCATCTTTTGGTGGCAGCAATTCTTCTTCCCCTTCCCCTTCTCTTCGTCGTCGATTCCTTTAAGAGCCGGGGATTTCGAAGCGAAGACTGGGCTTGCGGTAAAGGAATTTAACTTCTTTCGATCCTCACTCCATGCTCATCGTCGAGGAAGAATCTTCATTGGCCTATCACCGAGCCACAACCAAAAGCGTCCTTGTTGCTCGCCATCTTTTGAGGCCGAGCACTTGCTTGATTATTCAAATACATACAGCGCGAGAATCAACGGCATGGCGCACAAACCAGTGATACGTGTCGTCGGCTCCCTGAACATCGACTTCGTCACACGGACTCCACGTGTCCCCGGGCCGGGGGAAACGCTATCTGCGACATCGATGACAGTCCATCCTGGCGGTAAGGGATCAAATCAAGCAGTCGCGTGTGGGAAAGCAGCATTCACTTCTCCATCCTCCCAAGATGTCGTGGTCGAAATGATAGGCGCCGTCGGTGCCAATGACCCATACTACGCCTCCCTCCTGAAGCCCACACTAGAAAAGAGTGGTGTGAGCACCACAGGCGTCGAGGAGATGGAAGGAGTTCAGACAGGTACAGCTACTATCATTGTCGACGAGGGCTCCCATGGTGAAAACAGGATCCTGGTTGTCCCAGGAGCCAATGCTCGAGTGAATGACCTGGCAAAAATCATAGAGACTGCGACAAAAGATGGCATCCCCGATGTGGTGGTCATGCAAGGGGAGATACCTCGATCCACCGTGCTTGGACTGCTGAAGGCGTTCAACTCGCCACATTACAAGACATGTGTCATTTTCAACCCAGCACCAATGTTCCCAGAAGGAGTCCCGATTGATGCGCTCAAGGGCTTGGCGGTGCTGGTAGTCAATGAGACAGAGTGCCGGCAGCTCTTCACGTGTGTGGATGAGCTGAAGACCGTTCCAACTTCCGGCCTGGATGAGCCCATGACAGAGTTAGAGCTCAACCGACTTACGACCTATCTCCATAACAAGGCGGGAATACTCATCGTGGTGGTGACGCTTGGTTCACAGGGTGTCTATTATTCATTCGAGACCCCCGACTTTCTGGACCGGTCTCTAATCCCGGCTGTGAAGGTGGAGCGAGTTGTTGACACAACAGGAGCAGGGGATACGTTTGTGGGATACTTTGCTACAGCGGTTGCCAGGCATCTCGCGCAAGTGAAGGGTTTGGAAAATCTCAATGTCCGGGAGGCCGTGGGTAGGGCGAATGAGGCTGCAGCAAAGTGCGTGCAAAGAAATGGAGCAATGGAGAGCATTCCCTTCGGATACGAATAGCGGCAATATGAAGACGGGCGCGAGTCGTTTATATCTGTCTCCACGGCGCCATGGACATTCTCTTTGGTCCCGAGCCCCGAGAGATGACAGGCGGCTAATAGAGTCAGGGGGGTTACTCTCGTGGCCACACTCATAATGGGTCGAAGTTGCAAATCGGTCCCGGATTCGGCATCTGCTGGGCCCAGGAACTTTTGTAGTCCGATTGGCCGAGACAGGTACAATATCACGGAGCGTGGAGCCGGCTGGTGATGGTTGTGAGGCGGAGGAGATGCCTCGGAAGGCTGTCAGCAAGCCTTGTGCGTGTGGGGAAAAGGGAAAACCGAGGTTCCTGGCAATCATCCCGTCAATTCAATCCTGACCACCGTCCAATATCTTCCTTCGATTAATACCCTTTTTGCCAGTGCTCACTTGCTCACTGATACAAACAGCCGAGCAACTTCAGTCCAGAAGCTTCGGGTTTCTGCAATCTGTCTCGAACGGAAAGACTTCGATATCGGAATCAAACGACTATCTGAGACAGGAGATAAATCCCAATTCAACAGAAACAAAGAAAAAAAAAAAAGAATGTATCCAACAACATCCAAAACCGAACTTCCACCCCCTCCGCCCAACGACAGTGTCCTCCTCTCCTACCCGACGCCCAATATCCTGCTCGTGACCATCAACCGGGCGCGGCAGATGAACTCGATCCCCTTCCCCGTGCACTGGCACCTCCACCGGGTTTTTGAGTGGTTCGACCGCGAGCCGACCCTGCGCGTGGCCATCATCACCGGCGCGGGTCCCAAGGCCTTCTGCGCGGGCCAGGACCTGATCGAGCTCGGAAAGCGCAATCCCAAGGAGCTCGAGGAGAAGCCGTACTTGGGCATGCATCCCACCTCGGGCTTCGCGGGCATTAGTCGAAGACTGGGCAAGAAGCCCATCGTTGCGGCAGTCAATGGGTTCGCTTTGGGCGGGGGCTTTGAGATTGTTTTGAACTGGTGAGTACATGAACCCGTTTGGGTCTTCACCCTTCTCCTCGCCGTTTTCTCCGTGTGTTGCATTTCCCAATGCTCCCTTTTACATGGGGGGGTTCTGCCTTGGAAGACGGCCTTTGCTGGAGCTCCTCGCTGCTTTCGACCCCCACAACACACTCTCCATGCACGTCTAGCTCGGCAAGTTCGGTTACTAACAATCTCCTCTTCTTGCACTCCAAAGTGACATGACCGTCGCTTCTCCGACCGCAACATTCGGCCTGCCCGAGTCCCTGCGCGGCATCTACGCCGGCGCCGGCGGCCTACCCCGCCTGGTCCGCAACGCAGGCCTGCCCATCGCCTCGGAGGTGTCCATGACGGGCCGCACGCTGTCCGCCGCCGAGGCGCTCAAGTACAACATTATCAACCACGTGTCAGCGACAAGGGAGTCGTGCGTCGCCGAGGCCGTCCAGCTCGCGCAAAAAGTCGCGGACATCTCGCCCGACGCTATCATTGTCACCCGCGCCGCGCTGCGTGAGACCTGGGAAAACGGCTCGGTCGAGAGAGGGTACCAGCTTATCGACGAGCGCATGAAGAGGGGCCTCATGCAGGGCGAGAACGCCACCGAGGGCTTGGCTGCGTTTCGGGAGAAGAGGAAGCCCGTGTGGAAGGCGTCGAAGTTGTAAGCAGAGGTTGATCCGTGCTTGGGTCTGAAGGATATCGTGTCCGTGTCCGTGTCCATGTCCATGTCCCTGCCCCATGTCTGCGTCACTGTCCAGGTCTAAGTTTAGCCCTCGTCCACGTCCGGTCGAGCCCGGTTCATGCGCCATGAGCCGAGAGAAGAAAAGAGTGAAGGCATTGCATCTCTTTTATATATGGACGGATACGGGATATAGCGTATGGGACACATAATATCGAATATATGACGTATATATATATATATATATTTATATATTTATATCATACGTGGCCACCTCGCCAACGAACCCACACAAGCGGCCGTTGTCTACATTCCCTCCGCGTGTTCCCGCCCCCCTTCCCTCTCCTATGAGGGGGGGGGGACAGTATGTACCACTACATAGCATCTATGGACATTAGCATATCACCTGCCTTCCGCCGTGTCTCGGCCGCATTGTGACATGTACTCAAGTATGGCATGCAGCGGGCGATTAAGGGAGAGGCGCGGGGATTGGCTAAAGGAGAGAGGAATATTAGTTTCACGTGGCTGGGATGAAGATGGAGATGAAGAAACGTGTCTTGCAGACGCCTCAAGGATTAACATTCTGATCACAGGTATAGGTACGCTGCAGCACATCAACCTGTGTGGTCGAAGTTGGCTAAATGCAACGTCTCTACCTCATCAGTCTATCTGTGGGTAGTACTAGTTACTCGTGAATCGTAGGTTCGTTCACATTCGTGCAGTGTTTGCATATCCCATCTATGCCAGCACCCATGTCGCTCGTCTTCCAGGTCAAATGTTCATGAGACTAACATAAACACCCCAAGCCAGCCCTGCCAGGCCTCCAACAAGCATCCTGTGTTCAACAGGGACAACGACTAGATTGAGTATTGTGACGATGGGCCAGAACTTGTAGCCTGCTATGAGCATAGGGAAAAAGTCCTGAAAACGAGAGTCAACCAATCACCTACCACAAAAAGAAGTGCGAAGATACCAAACTCACCTTTTGAATAGTTGTCATGATGTGATTCAGACCCTCGCCTCGCAACAGGTTGATCATGACAATGAACCAGATTGTATTCAATGACGCCCCAATGGTCTGATCAAGCACGAACTTGGCAATTGTATTGGTGATGGACAGAGTCTCTTTCTCGTTCGCCGCTCGCTTATCATCGTCCTTCTTCTCCCTCGCGTCCACGACCTTGTTGTCTCGTTTGGGATTGGTCGGGAAATTCCTCTCGAGCGCCAACTGCCATTTGTAGTTCGGCGGCGTGGTTATGACCGCGATAATGATGAAGTGAACGAGTGCAACCGGGTCAATATAAGCCCCGCCACCGCGGTAGGCCCTCAGGACTTGGGCGAGGGCGTTGGAGACGGCGCTCATGATGGCGCCCTCAAGCGTCACACGCAACAGCCGCGAGGGCTCGGCTGGGGACGTGGCTTCGGACATCATGTTCTGGTACAGGACCGAAGGCTGTCGATTAGGAGGATACTGTAGGTATGCTCTGTTCGGTGTAGAGATGCAGGGTCTGGTCTCAGAGGATCCGTAGGGACTTTGTGGTTCTTCGCTCTGTTTGTCTGGCTGGGCGACGGAATCTGTTTGTTCCCACACTGGGTCATGTCATGTTGAGGAAACTGCGACTGCGTAAACCACGATACCAAGGCAGCTGGAGCAGGAGCAGCAGGGGGAGCAGCAGGAGATGAAACAGCGGCCTGAGGTCTTATTCATTGTCTCAACATATCACGAATGCCACGTGTCAGGTTGCGCAGGTGAGTCCGGGGTAGATGTGAACACAATCCTTGTGTGCAAGAAGGGCGAGGACGAGAAGGAGGAGGAATGTCACCTTGGCCTTCAATGAATTGGGGCTAAATTCTGGCGAACCCCCGATAAACAAAAGAGCAGCGTTCAATGCCGCATTGTGCATCGAGCTGGCGGGAAACAAATAATCAGTGGAGGGTTTCCCGCCGGTTTTCCGCTGAGGGGGCGCAAGGGGCGCAGCTTTGTTGGAGGAGCGGTGTCCGGAACTCCCCGGGTCAACGCCAGCAGTTTTCTTCAATGCGATGTGATTGCTGCCTTTAATCTCCAAGTCATCATCTTCCGGATAATATGCTGAAGGGCACACGAACGGGAACCCAAGAGTCATCCACGAGTTTCCAGAGCCTCCCACGGCCACTGTGGCTATGCGCGAATCTTCGCATCGATCGTTTGAACGTGTGATCGACAGCGGCGGCGTGTGCCTTGCAGATATGACTTCACCATGACGTTGAATGCACCCGGATGAACTCTCCGCGCCCAATTGAGGTCGACTCACAGCAATAGCTGATGCTGATGCTGAGGCTGCCGGAAATATAGACCCGTCAAGGGCACGAGATCTTCCCTTGGTGTACTTCATACTCTGCATTGAACTCACTGCGAACAAGACCAAAGTTGAAGACAGCCCTGTTATTCTGATCAAGTTAAAACATCCGTCTCGGTCTCGAGATGCCTCGAGGAGCAGAATTCGACAACGGAAAGCCTCAGTCCGACAACCCCATCGAGGCCGGAGAGGACAAAGTCCATGGAGGAACAAAGGTATGAACATAGGATGCAAGACGCTGAAATACTACCTGCACAACACATCTCAAGTCCCAATCTAAAACAACAATCCTCACGCCATTCTTCCCCAGGATCATAGTATCGCTAGCACAGTCGCTGACACACCATCTCCCATGTTATGTCTAGCCCACATACGAAGCCGACCTCTCCGGCCCCAAAAAGGCCGCACCTCTACCGGAAGGCATGGACGAAATGAACGACCGCACCCTCAGCGGCGGCGCGGCCCCGGGACACGAGAGCGGAAAAGGAGGACACGGGTCCCGGACAGGCGGAGAGCATACGGGCCTAGGTGCCCACAAGGACTTGGGCACGGCGGATCCGCATCCGAAGGACCTGAAAGATGACAGACAGCCTGGGGGGAGTTGAATAGCTGAGGACGGAAAATAGCGTCGAGGGGACAGACAATCCGTGCAGAGGGGTTACAATAGCACTCGGCTGGCATGCCCCGTTGTCTGCTAAAATCAACGCATGTGAAGACAAGACCAAAAAACAGCACGCACTCTGCAATTTCATGCAAATGTAGTGTAACCCGATATTCTCCACCAAGTCTATGATATAGCTATAGGTGATTAGAAAAAAAGAAGAAATAGCCGCCTCCTTGTGTATAACATGCTCACTCCTCCACCCCCCCCCCCCCCCCCCCCCCCATGGCTATGTATGTAACTACGTTGCCACCGGCTCCCTCGACACGACAGGCGACAGGCGTTCACGGCCTTCTCTGCTCTCTTCTCCGAGGGCACCCTCTTCGTCCTTGACCACCTCGGGGGCAGTCCACCCGGTCCCGGCCTGGACCAGGAGCATGAATATCGCCCAGACCCCGCCGGCCATGTAGATGGAGCGCAGGGCGGTCTCATAACCCGCGAGGGCGACCTCCCTGTCGACGCCGGTGAGTCTTTGGACCAGGATCGGCGTGCCGACCAGCTTTCTGATCAGCTCGGCTTTCTGCGCGAGGTCGAGTCCCCGGTCCGCGAACCCCCGTGTCAGGGACTGCTGCAGCGTGCGCAGAAACAGGCCACCCGTCACGGACGACCCAAACGAGCCTGACAGGCTGCGGAACATGGCGTTCAGGGGGATCACGATGACGTGCGTGGTCGGGTGGGTCAGGTGCAGGACGTGCGCGAGGCTGTAGTTCAGGAGGGAGCCGACGATGAAGCCGTTCAGGAAGAGCACGAGGATGTACAGGTAGATGTTGGAGGTGGGCGTCGAGATCCAACCGACGGCGAACATGGATAAGGAGAAGAGCACAAAGGTGACGATGCACGCGAGGTAGAAGGACCCCGTGCGCCTTATGTGCAGCCACCCCGCAAGCAGGCCGCCGAGCCCGAAGCCCAGGTTCGTCGGGATGAGCGTCAGGCCGGCTTTTGTCTGTGGCCAATCTCGCAGCGTGAGCACGTAGGTCGGCGTGTAGAACAATACGCCCCAGCGCGCCGTCATGACACCGACGGTGGCGATCCCCGTCAGGATATTTCCCCGCGAACGCAGCACGGACATCGGCACGATGGGCTGGCTTGCCCAGGTCGACTCGACGAGGAGGAAGAGGACGAATGACGCGAATGAGAGGATGATGGGCGTGATTTGAATGTGCGGAGACGAGAGGCTGTACAGCAGAAGCACGACGGCGGCGATGATGCTGAGCACGCCCAGGTAGTCGATCTGCGCGAGTTTCTTGCCCAGCGATTCGGATGACGACCCCTGCGCCAACGCTGTCCTGGGCTTGGGGATGGCGAAGAACGCCACCGTCACAGCCGACAAAGCGAAGGGGATCTGCAGCCAGAAGACGGCACGCCAGCCGACCAGCGGTTCGAGGGCGCCGGCAATGATGGCTCCACAGGCCACCCCCGTCGTGTAGCCGGTGTTGATGCAGCCAAAGAAGAGGCCTCTCCGTCGCGGGCTCGTCAGCTCCGTCACCAAAATGAAAGCCACGGGCGTGACGGCCGCGCTGCCAATCCCCGTCACGGCACGACCGGCGAGGAACACGGCCAGTGATTTCGCACGCGAGGTGACCAGGAGGCCGCACGACTGCACCATGATCGAGGCGAGCAGATAGACTCTAGGGCTAAAGATGGTGCACAGTCGGCCCGCGACCGGGGTGATGCTCGTGACGGCGATCAGGTAGGCGGACGTGAACCAGCTGACTTCGCTGGAGACGCGGAGCTCCATGGCGATGGGCGACTGGATGGTGGTGATGAGCGAGACATTGTTGGTCAGGATGAAGATGAGGACCCAAACGGAGATGCAGATGAGGAAGCCGCGTAGAGAAGAGATGCCCTCGTCTTGTTTTGGTTTCAGGGGGCCGGGCGACGACGGTGAGTCTCGTGATGATGGCTCTTGTGTGGTGCTAAAGGCGGCGTTGTTGGTTGAAGAAGAGGATAGAAGAGGCGTCCTCTCGGACCCGACATTGTCCCCCGTCATTGATGTTCCTGGCAGGGGGAAAAGGGAAGAGAGAGAAAAAAAAAATAATTGAAGGGCTCCTAGAGCCTCAGAATAAACATGTTCTTCAACATATGTACAGTAGCATAGCAATGGGAGAGATAAAGAATTGACAAAAGTGTGGTGGTGTAGTTTACGCAATGAGCTATCGAGCCCATACAAATCAACCACCAATAACACGGTTGAGATCCTGAAATGCTGAAATGCTGACAAAAAGGCATCCGTCGAAACGGCCGAAGGGCATCGGCTCTCGGTCTCAGCCTCGACGGGGCAACTCGAGCGAAGAATGGAGACAAATAACAGATGAGACCGGTAAATATGCAAAATCTGCGGAAGGCCGTCCTTCCGGGCATGGCCGTCCAATGGTATCGAAAGGGTCTGTGGCACTGATGGCGTGGCTGTAATATACTGGTGAATTTGTGTACCATTGGGGATTATCTGAACGAGTGACGAGCAGGCCGCTACAGGCCCGTAGTTATTCCGTGAGAGAGTCGCCCTCCCTCCGCTTCACTCGGCACACTCTGCTTTCCTCGTCTCAAAGACCTTCAGAGCTTCCTCCGCAGCTTTGACACCGCTCAAGACCATGGCCCCAAAGGTTGGACCCATGCGATTGGCGCCATCCAGTTCACTCAGCTCCATGCCGCCCATAATTAAGCCCGGCGACACCTCGCGAGTTCCCTTGACAATGGCATCCTCGGCACTGTTCATGTCGAGCGCACGCATGCCGCCCAATTTCTCAACCGCGTTCATGCTGACCAGGCGCTTGGCGCAAAAAGCTCCAAAGGGTCCATCGTGGCCAGTGGTGCTGATGACTAGTGGAGCATTGATTGTGCTGAATCCACTGTCAGAACTTCTAGAACAATGGTAGGTCATGTGAAACTCACTTGGGGTCCATGCAGCTATGGTTATCATGGTGCAAGGTGACCAGCGTCCAGTTTGTGACCACGCCAACCACTCTGACACCGCCTTCGGCAGACGGGCGGGTGACCAGATCTTCAACACAGGTGGCGTTGAACAGCTTGACATTTGGCATGGCCAAGACCTTGCTCATCAGCGTGGACATGAAGAGTGCGGCGTGCCTGACAACCACATAGTTGCCTTCGTCTTCATACGGCACGCCGATATCATTGAGAAAGGCTTCGGCTGGTTTGCGCAGAACCATGGCCGAAAAGAGCTGGCCACCCAGCCAGCAACCGCCTCCGGGGCTGACGGAAGCCTCAATGATGGCGATTTTCAGGTCGGGTCTCGCCTTTGCCAAGGTATAGGCAGTGGAAAGTCCGCAAGAACCCGCGCCGACGATGACCACGTCCGACTCGGCATATCGGTCTAGGTCGGCAAAGTAGCGTCGAGTCATAGCCCGAGAGACCTGGGACTCGCGGATGGGAGCAAATTTGAAACCGTCCCATTTGCCACTGAATTGTTCAAGCAGACTGTTGTTGTAGTGTTCGTTGGCGGCCGTCAAGGCTACCTTTTTGGCTCCAAGGGCGCTTTCTTTCATCTGTTTGGTGCTGGCGTAGCCTTCAAACTCGTTAAAGGTGGCAATTGGTGGAGACATTGTGCAAGTCCTGCATCGTGTTAGGAGAATTCTGACAAGCTGTCAGGGAAAGAGAGGGAGATCGCATAATCCTTTCGCTGGTATTATCCAGATCAAGTTAAACCGTATGATCTCAGAACGCAACTTCTCCCGATCCCGCAAAAGACTTGCCATTTCCAAATCCCCATCGAGGACTCGGTTGGATGGCAGACTATGGCTTTGCGGGGCAGGAAAAGTTGCGAACACCGGTTCATGCGCAGACATCCTCATGTCTGTGAAAATTGTACCTTGACCATGATGGCTCTTGACCGAGCGAGACGAAAGCTTAGCAATCTCCATCTTTGTCAAGTGAGATTTACTCTTGAGGGTGATGGGTGGGATAAGATATGGACCTGATATTGTCAGCATGGAGTCCAGATTGGCGACCAAAGGTAGGGGGCGGAGGGAGCGAAATACTTCGACGGGATGGCGAATCGATAAGCAGACCAGGAGATTGCGAAGAACGCATAAAATAAAATGTGGCAGGAGAAGAGAAGTCCAGAAAAAATGGATAGAAGAAGTGAGAGGTGAGAGGTGAGAGGAGGAATTGGCGCGTCGATAGAAGGTCCGTAGCTTTATATGAAGTCAAAGACAAAGGAGGGGCTGGCGAGGGGCAAGTGGAGCTGCCTCAACCGTTATCGGATCACATCCAGCCAATTGGCGTACTAACCTTAATGCAGGAGTAACACGTGATTGTTGCTCGTCTTCGCCCGAGGATGCTGTCAATGTAGAGAATGGAGGAAATAGACGAAGCGAAACAGATGACATGTGTTGAAAATGGATCTCAAGTCTAAGCCGTTGATTCATTGAGCACTTGTTCTATCCTATTCTTTCCCATCCATATTTCTCTTCGCAGCAGCAGCAACAACAACAACAACAACAACAACAACAACAACAACAACAACAACAACAACAACAACAACAACAACAACAACAACAACAACAACAACAACAACA